CAGACTACTTCAAGGGCAGGAAATTAATCCGTGATGCGGTTGAACATCGACTTAAGAACGACGCATCTCTCAAGGATGAAATCAACCGCATCAAGAAAGTCAAACACGTTAAAGCTACCGATTGACTAGGACGAAGTATTAGAGAGTGCACAGCCAGCTTCGTTGTCTCTGCGTTTAATTCGATGTCCTGCACTACATACTACCCATTGAAGAATTCGGCTCTTCTTGACTCAGGGTCAACAATACATATCTTTAATAACTTCAACCGGTTTAACAACTTCCGTCGATCGGAGGCTGGGGATTTCATCCTTGCTGGAGAAAGCAGAATTCCTATCCAAGGATACGGGAATGTAAACATACAAACCCAGGGACCGAGAGGACCAAGAATAATCCAACTGAACGATGTCGCACTATGTAGAAATTTCCCTTGCAATCTGGTATCCCTTAGACAATTAAGAAAACGCGGATATTGGTAGGACAATCGTCTTCGTTCTAACTACATAAGGTCATTCGATAACTCAATCGTATGCAAGGTTATGGACCGATATGACCAATTCGTCATCGAAGATATACCTCCTAACACGCCGAATACTGCATTCGTTACTCGAAGACATAAATTGAACTCCTGGACAAAGAAAGGTGCTATGAAAGCAGACGCAAGGAGGTGGCATCTTCGACTTGGACACCCAGGACCTCAGGCTCTGGAACATCTAGTTAATACCTCACAAGGGGTCCGGATAAAAGGACTAACCACGGTGGAATGTGATGGATACGCACTTTCCAAGATGAAGCGTCAAATAAGCCGTCAACCACGGAACGTAGGCTACGGCCCGGGTGAGCGATTAGCAATCGACTTTCATGACCTTCCAAAAGACCCTATAGGCAGAAGTAGCGTAATGCTAATCACGGACCGCTGGTCGGGAATGATTTAGGACTACTACCTTACGGAAAGAAGAATAGGAACGATCAGTACCGTATTGAAAAACATAACCGGCATACTCGAACGACAATACCAAATCAAACCAAAGATTATCGAATGCGATAATGAAATCGTGACGGGAGGAGTTGTATCTGTATTACTTCACTCCCAACATATCAGAGTCGAAGCATCAGCTCCGAACACCCCAGCACAGAACGGAGGAGCTGAGGTGTCAGGGAGAATTATCAAGGCGAAAGCGCGGGCTATGAGGATAGGAGCTCGGCTGCCAGAGCATCTGTGGGTCGAGATTTACCGTGCAGCTGTATATCTGTACAACTGGACGCCAAAGCATATGTATAGCTGGCGAACACCGTACGATAGATTTTACACCGCCCTAGCGCACAGAGACGGGGTTGCGGTCCAAGACCGAAAGCCATACCAAGCACACCTACGTGTCTATGGATGCAAGGCATATGCTATGACGACGGATGCTCAATTACAACGGAAGAAAAGGCAAAAGTTGAACCCAAGAGCATGGATCGGTTTTCTTGTGGGGTACCAGTCAACAAACATTTATCGAATATGGAACCCTCAGACTGGAAGAGTCGTCGGAGCAAGAGACGTTATTTTTAACGAAGACGAATTATTTAACGGAAACTTGAACCAATTAAGAGATGACCTCCTTCACGTCGGACAGCAAGAGCTAATCAATTTACTTGACCAGGTTAAGGAACCAGAAACAAACCGAAATATGATAGCAGAAGAAGACCACACCGGTGCCTTTATACCCTAAACAAATTAGGAGGGCCTTTATAGAGAAGACGAGGACGTCGGAACCCAGCTCAGTTGGGAAGATGCCGTTCTCCATGAAGTAGAAAGAGATACAGGAGCTAAACAGTTGGAGGCTAAGTCTGATCAACCAGCTAGTACCGACGAAGGCTCTAGACAAACCGGGGACGCGGAAGTCGACCTGGGGAAACCAGAAGGCGGCACGGGAGACCAGGCAGAAGCCGGCACCGATAACCAAGCCAAGAATTCTGATGCCCAGAGTCGTCCGTACCCATCCCCTATATCTCTTCCACCGACAGCACTTCTAGCTATGACGATTCGGGATGATTCGGAATTCCTACAAGCAAATGCTCAGAAAGGTGAAAGTTTATATGATGTCTTTAAAGCATAGAAGGCAGCGTTTGCGGCTAGACGACAGGCCACGCCGGTGGGCATCTTTGAAGGAAAGCAGATCGACAAAGCAAAGCTTCAACGACTGTTAAAGAATCCAAGTTGCCTACACAGGCGGCAGATGCCTCCGTTACCGCGAAGCCATGCTGATCTTAGAAACCACCCCATGGGTACGCTATTCGAGACGGCGGAACAACAACATCTACGCAGTCACGCCGAGATGAAATCTTGGATTGAAATAAGTCGAAAAGACACCCGTGCGAAGGACTGTCAGGTCCTAGACTGCATGTGGGTATACGTATATAAATTCGACAAGCATGGACGGTTTCAAAAGGGCAAAGCACGCCTCGTGGTCAGAGGAGACCAGCAAATCAAGTCAATACATGAAGAAACCTATGCCGCAACACTAGCAGGACGGTCTTTCCGGACACTGATGGCGGTTGCTGCACGTTTCGACCTCGAACTAATCCAGTATGATGCCGTTAACGCGTTTGTAAACGCAAAGCTAGACAAGGACATATTCATGCGCATGCCTCCAGGCTATCGGAAACCAGGAATCATCCTGATGCTCCAGAAAGCGTTGTATGGCCTAAGAGAGTCACCACTCCTGTGGCAAAAGGACCTTATGGCTACGCTGAAAGACCTCGGGTTTGAAACCGTTCCACATGAGCCCTGCTGCATGATCAAAGGAGCTATCATTATCTTCTTCTATGTGGATGATATAGTCCTGGCATATGAAAAGAAGAAAGAGAATGAAATCAAAGAAGTAACAGGAAAGTTACAGAGACGATATAAATTAACGGGGGGAAAACCACTACAGTGGTTCCTTGGAATCGAAATCATTCGAGACCGAGACAAGAAACTTATCTGGCTATCACAGTCAGACTATATTGACAAGATTGCTAACCTATCTGAAGATAGAGATCAGCGACATGACATTCCCATGAGACGCGAAGAGCTAAGACCGTATGAAAAACAAGCTAGCATAGCGTCCATAAGGCGATACCAACGCAAGATTGGATCAATTCTATATGCTGCCGTTATTACTAGACCTGACATAGCTTTCGCAGCATCAAAACTAGCCAGGTTCAACGCAAACCCAGGTCCAGAACACCACAAAGCAGCAGACCAGGTTCTGCTTTATCTAAAGAAAACCAAATCGCTTGCCTTGCAATTCGGCGGAGACGATGAGTTCTTCGTAGCAAGCGATGCCTCGTTTGCAGACAATACAGAGGACCGCAAGAGTTCCCAAGCCTATGTAATGCGATTGTTTGGAGGCACTATCGGTTGGAGAGCTAATAAGCAAGCAACCGTTACTACTTCAACAACAGAAGCTGAGCGAGCTACTTGCTCTTGCTCAGGCAGCCAAAGAAGCTATATTCGTATCGCGACTACTTAAGGAACTTGGACTTCAATTGGATGAATCACGGATACGAATACAATGCGATAACATCCAGACAATACAACTGATCAACAAGGACATCACCAAGTTGCAGACAAAACTCCGACACGTTGATATACACAACCACTGGTTGAGACAGGAAGCTCAATTGAATAGAATCAAAGTGGAATACAGACCTACTGCAGATATGGTTGCAGACGGACTGACTAAACCGATGAGCCATACGCCATTCAAGACGTTTATCAAACAAATCGGCCTAGTGGACATCTCCAACCACCTAGAGAAGAGAAAGCTGCCCACACTGGGAGAAATGGAACTTCTAGGTGAAATGGAAAAACTGGAAAACTAAGTAACCCAGCGGATCAGTCTCTGCCTAAGCGGCCTCAACTGGGGGGGTGTGTTAGATTGACGCCTGCGTCCGGATAAAATGCTAGGAAATCTAGCTTAGTTGCATTCTTGCAATATGCTGAAACCGGGAAGAACGGGTAGATACAAAACAGAACCCCGCTTCAACCGGAATGGGTAGAACCACTCAATCAACAACATGAATCACTCTTTGCTCAATGAACCCCAGGTGTATTGCATCAAACTAATATCGTTTATCTAACAGTTGAATGCATGCCCCGATATATGCAGTGGTCCGTGTGACACAATGCCTTTGAAACGGACACGGTAGGCACAATACTTTTCTCCCTGACTCAAGCCACGCCTCGAAGCTATCGTACACCTTATTACTGTATTCTTGGTTCATCACAAACTGCAATACACTTACAAGCGTCCCCTGATCTAAGACCCAAGCACTACAAGGCGTGCTTATAGGGCCCCCACTGCTATATTTAAAGTATAAAAACATGGCTTGCTCTATATGTTTTTCTTTTAATCCCTGCGATTTTACTATATTCATCCAATCGCAATTATCTGGTCCAGCTTTAGGGAGCTAATTTGTTTTACCAGAGACCGCTGATATTTCTTAAATATACTTCTCGTTCCTACCTAGTTCGCCATTACTGCTAATTTGTGTAAGAAATGAAGTCTTCAGGCACATGCAGACTTTATAATGCCAGTTCGAACAATGGTGGTCACTTATGAGCGTGCGATTGATGTTGGCTATCTTGAGTGCACTTGGCCGCTTGAGGTGCTCCACTTTCGGGCAGAAGGCCAAGGAAACACACTTGCATGGCTCGCTTCATACATCAGTGGCCTCGCGGTCTCTATGCTATTTCTGGAATTTAAGACATATTTGTACCACCTTGAAAGCACGGTAAGTCACATTATTGGCACTCATTGTAGGCATCCGATTGGAGTAAAAATGGCTCAGCCTTCAGTTGATGGGCTGAACCCCGCACCAGGCAATTCTGGACTCTTGGGCGTGTGGAAGTGAGATAAATAAATGGTTCCCGGGGATGATACGTTTTGGCTATTGAATTTAGCTGAGCGGCTAAGAATACTTCTCTTCAATCGAAATCAAAATTGATACCTAGCAGAACGTCCACATCAGCCATGATTCCCAAGATCGGTTGCCATGCCTTGGCATTACTCTATGGGCTCAGCACTATGGTGCTTGTTCTTGCTTCCCGTATTTCCTCAAACCCACTTCAACGGTCAACGCCGGTACGAAATAAATCTCCTTTAAGCACCTAGTATCGTGGTACACCTCAATTTCTTACAATCAGCGAGCAAAAGTGTAAACTCCTAGCCCAGGCTGGTCTTAGCGACATGCTTTTTTTCCCAAATGATGCCGAGTATATCACTACGATTCAATCTTACTATGGAGGGGATAGTTGGGACCTGAGACCCCAGTGCATCCTCAAGCCAAATTCAACATCCCATGTATCCATGGCAATCAAGGCTCTTAACTCAGAGAAGGCGGGCAGATGCTGGTTTGTGGCCATCCGAGGGGGCGGGCATTCGAATTTCCCGGCTAGCAACACCAATTCCGGCGTCACAATCGATCTTGTCCGTTTGAGTACTCTGGATCTTGAAGTAAGAAGCCCTTTGGTGACCACAAATCGACATTTGCTGTACCTCGTTCCAGTATCTAACTACACTGTCAGATTGATGAAAGCGTCTCCATAGGCAGTGGAAACCGATGGGGAAAGGTTTACCAATATCTCGAACCCCGAGGTTTGATGGTGGCAGGAGGGCGTGAGGGAACAGTGGGTGTAGCCGGCCTTCTTCTTGGTGGCGGTATGTTGTCTCTTACGGTCCCCTCACTCCAGTGCGGTACTGACACCCTAAACCGAAGGGTTCTCTTGGTACTCTGGCAACGTAGGCTTTGCTGCTGATAATGTTATTGAATACGAGGTAAAGCCCCTACTATTCATTACAAAGTGTCATCTGAACTAAACAAATATGTAAAGGTGGTTCTCGCCAACAGTAGCATTATTACGGCCACCGCCTCCCGCAATGCTGACTTGTTTAAGGCACTGAAAGGCGGTGCTACTAACTTCGGGGTTGTCACAAAATTCAAACTGAGGACATTTCCCGCCCGAAATTTGTATGGTGGAATTATGGTCTTTCCCTACACACAAAGTAATGGCGTGTTGCAAAAATTCACCCAAATGATCGAAAGTAACACGAAAGACTACTCAGCAGATACTGGGTTTATCGCAGCTGCCTGGAGCCCAAGTGGAGGAAAAAGGATATCTTACATCCTGGCAAATATCGAGGGCCATTCTAACACTAGTGCATTTGAAGGGTTGAGCGAAATGTCGCCTGTTGTCGATTTGCGGAGCAATCTTACAGTGACCGGGATTGGAGCACAAATTGCATCTACAACCGGCGAATACCAAGTCTGGAACACCCTTACATATCACAATACTTTGAGTATGGGCCAGAAGATTCTTGCATCTTTCGAAGCTGTCGTTGCGGATATTGAGGATCAAATCGATGCCAGCGAAAACGTGAGAATCATCTATCTCATGACTCCATTTCCTGTCTTGTACTCTAGCCATGGAAACAACGTTCTTGGGCTTCAGAATACCCATACCACCAACTCTGTCGTCTTCAGCCTCCAAGCCACATTGCCGAATGCCAAGTATCGAGACCTACTGAGAACAAAACTGAGCGCTGCCACCGCCGATATTGAAGCCTACGCCAAGGAGACTGGTCAAAACATGCCTTATAGATACCTCAACTATGCCGGCCCGGACCAAAATCCAATCGCCACCTACGGCAAAGAAAGCGTTCTTTTCATGAAGGATGTTGCCGCAAAGTATGACCCAGAGGAATTTTTTCAATACGTTGTGCCTGGTGGTTTCAAGCTTAAGGACGTTTGAATCATCTCTTCATGGATTCATGGTTGATTTTTGGTTCTACTTCTATATGAAAATGATGGAAACAGCACTGAAGGTCTGGTTGCATCTGTGCTAACCATGCCAAGTAGAATTTTCTTGATAATAATGCTCTTCAATGTCTTTTCAGCATTGATGTCTTGAAAAAGATGTTGTTACATTCAGATTATGGTATTGATTAACCATGCTTCTCTTCAAACGCCTGGTAAACTCCACAATATGTCCCAAGAGCGATCCTCCAGATCTGGCATATCTGGCATATTAGCCCAGAGTCCAAAGGGAGCTAAACTCTTATCAAGAGGCAACGCTAGCCAGTCGCTTGCCGAAAATGAGAACTCCTCGGCAGCATCATTAGTTAATACCGACGAACTTCCAGTGTCCCAACTCGGCAACGAAGGAAACGATGTAATGTCTCTAGGTACAGCGGAAGGGACCATTCCTTGTTTAAATCTTATCAGATATGATTCAAGTAAAGACCCATACATGACAGCAATATGCGTTTCATCAAATGTGCTACCCTTTAGGGCATGGATACTCTTTTCCAACACAGAAAGGGATGCTTGCAGTTCAGAAACTCGCGTTCCGAAACTCAGTGCTTTTAAAAGAAGAATAGACGCGGTGATGACGCGAAGAAAAACGCGAATCGGACAGAAACGGAGCTTGCCAGTTTCAAACAATCGGTTGACAGAGCCGAGCGTTTGACAAGATCCATCAACCACTTCCTTGATGAATTCGTAGTCAGTAGAATTGATTGATAAGTTGATAATATCTGGGTCGGTTGTTGTAGGGCAAACAGTGCCAAAAACTCGATTGACAATAGCTTGAATACCAAGCGAGTTCATGAAGGCGCGGATGTGATTGTACTCAATTGTAAGTTCCTCCCGATAGTGTGCAGGTAAATCTTCAACCGTCAGCATCTAATGAAACGAAACTGATAGCAGTTTGCGAAACGTACTTTCTTGGCTCAGGTTTGCAGCTTTCCAACTTTGCAGCTGTTGTCGAAAGTGCTTTATGAGTGTCATGTATCGACCGTTTTTTAGTAGGCTTTTAGTAGCCAGTGATGATGGAAAAAGTACATCATTGATTGTTCTCAGTAGGTTGGTGAGTTCCAACCATGCCTTCAATATACCTGATTCGGCTGTATTTAGTGACGGTTCTGAAAGTACTCGGCTCAAGCTTCCAGGCACCATTGATGGACATCCAAGTCGACTGGAGTGTTGTTCTATCAAAATGTACAAAACTTCGCTTAGTCGTCTTTTTTGGGCTTCTTCACCAGAATCCTGAGGTGAGATAAGGTTCAAGGGATCACCGATGTCGCATAAACCCAGCTCGAGAGCCAATGACTGAGCGCAACCAAGAAGCATCCATGACATTCGATCAGATGTCTTTGCAGGGGTCACGATATCCCGTAACCACTTAACGTTTATTTCGTCCGTAGTCTCGGCTCGATTGGCAAACTGGCCGTCTCGTGGGTCGTCGTCCGTTAACAGTAATGAAGAGTCCCAACCGTCAGCTCCAGGAGGGAAGTATATTGCACGTGAATGCCATTCAACCATCAGCAGAAGGGCTTCAATTGACCCCTTTGTTCGGGTTTTAGCTTTTGATCGCTTCTCTTGGCCGAAGATGATTCTTGTTATCAAATGTTGGCAATGTTCCCATAACCGCTGGTGGATCATTGTACTACGTGCAATACCTCCCGCCCCAGGAAGAACATGATATCTGGATGATATCAAAAGAATTACACAACAAAGTAGTGGTTCTTGAGTAATGAGCTTGAAATGAGCGCTGTGGCTGGAATCGAAACACTTGGAAACTAGTGACAGGGGTGCTAAATTTTTAAAGAACCTGTCATGTAGTAAATATCAGCGAGCCATTCCATGAGGAAGTTTAGATCAGTATTAGTCTTACAGATCCATATATGTGACAGCCTCCTCAGATGAAAACCATCCCATCTTTGTAAACCGAAATGCGTCCCAAACCCTGAGGGTTGTGGGTGATGCAGCGGAGAACTCAACTGGATCGGTTGCGGTGGATGACCTGTTGTCTGGCGTGAGAGTGTCACCTGCAACCGGTTGATTTTGACGAACACTGCTTAAGGTTTCGTCTTCCTTCTGTTCGATCGCCGCTTGAAACAGCAGTTTAAGGGCGTCGTTGCCATTGGATACCAGTGTTCTCATCAGAGTGGCATTCAAATCTCCAGCCATATCACTCTCCCCCCTGTCGTTGCCAGCATTCTCACTGACACTAGCTGCAGGGACCATGGAAACATCGGAAGAAAGGGAAGATTGCCGTAATTGCTTATTTTGAGGTGTGACAGAGATCTCATCCGTGGTAGCCCAGTTCTCAACGGTAGTCATGTCGATTGCTGCATGGGCAGAATGGTCTGAAATCTGCGATTGACCATCTTCAGCGTTATGAGGCTTGGCTACAATCACGACTATCTTAGCATAGAACTTCAGGGAGGGTCTATTTAATGGCTTCTCACATGCGATTTTCGAAATAGATGAAGACGGTTCGTAAGGAATCCGAATTTCTTCCGCGTTTTTGGCATGGTGTGATCTTTCGACAGGGAAGACACATTCTCTTAACTCTCTCTTGCACCTGAGGCAAGCTTTACCTGGGCCATCTACAATACAACGTATTTTCTTTCGGCGGCATAGTTTACATGCCTTGTAGCTGCGTCGGAACTCTCGCAAGGGCCGGCCTTTCTCAGGCGCAGAAGCCGTAGGTTGTGGTAAAGGATCGGCCATATGATTGGATTGATCCTTTTCTTTTTTTAAGGTTGGTTTTTAATTTAAACAAGCGGATAATACGGGCAGGAAACTTACGGGGGGGTAGCTGGAAGGTGTCGCTGTTTAAACTGTCTTTATGGTTGAATGGCTTTGGGGAGCCGTGGTTTTCCGGCCAAAACTGCCGGATAGTCACGGAGACGAGAGGGGGGACGCTTGGCAGTATGCAACGAAACATTCTCCACTTAATCACTAGTATATGTTGCAAATCGTGCGGGAGAAGGGTGGGGTAAGAGCCCACTCAGTTCTGATATGTGACAATAAAGTAGTGGTCAAAGCGCTCATTGATTGGTGAGATGATTCAACCTGGTCTTGTGATTTTAGGATCATCCTCAACCCGTAGAACAACACTATGCACATTAGTCGTCACTGTTCTGCAGAATCGCTAGCTGAATTACAAACCAACAGCATTAAATACCTGTGATACATGTATGGTTACTACTTGCTTTAATTTTTGCAAGTCACTTGAAATACAAGCGAGCAAATCATAGACATATTTCGATTTTATCACGAGGTTGATGTATCTATGTGGCAATTGTGCATGAGAATAGATGCAGAAATATTAGAACTATCAAAATTCGGGCCCCTTAACAGAACTTTCCAGGTGCGAGAATACAGAATTCTTTGATCCAAAATGAAAAAACGTCGTTTCCGTTCACAAAACAATTAGCTCCTGTCCTGCATTGAAGTCCACCCTGCGAGTTACGTCAAGTAGCGAAAGTTGCGATGTTTATCACCATGCTCCGTGACATCAACCGTCTCGTTTTCATTTGCCGGTCCCAACTCGCGGTCTCTTCGCTGATTTTCCATTTTCAATAAAAAGTGTAATGCAAGAGCAGAAAGGCATGTGACACCTGTCAAGCCGCAGCCAATTGCTGTTCCTTTGGTGTAAAAGGGACTGATAATGACATTAGCACTTGTCTTGGTGTAAAGCTTGGGTTACCTCAACTCACGCATCAGAACTTGGGAAAACCACACTGCTAACAAAGGACGAGCATTGCCCCAGTGTGGCAAGAATGGCGAGCCCGGCACCCTTCTTGGAGTCGCCCCCCTGGTTGTTTAATAACCAAGTTATATTTATGCACATCGCAGGAAAGACTCCGCAAGATGCCATGAAAATACCAGCGTAACGTGCGGCGACAGCAGACTCATCGCGGACAAGAACAAGGATAAGGTATCCAGCCGTGCCAATGGCACCACCACCACTGACGATAAACCCACGTTTGCCGTATCGGTCGCTAGCCCAGGCTGCCGCAACGCAGCATGCAAAAGCAGCGAAGTATGGCGGCGCCGTAAGGCCTTGAGCAGTGACTGAAGAGTATCCCATATCTCGTACAATTGTTGGAAGGAAATTTGACAATGCGGCAAATGAATAGTTGTTGCAAAAATGAATTAACGTATGGACGTAATTCTGGTAGTCAGTCATTCCCGCGAATATTTGATCCCAACGAACGCCGGTTTTTTTTGTGCGGTCTCGAACTTGAAGTCTTTCCACGGCGTAGGTCTTGTCTTCTTCTGAGAGGTATTTCGCAGTTCCGGGAGAATCGGCAAGGAAGAACCATGTCACAAGGCTGAAAGCGATGGTTGGAGCTCCTTCTATTTCCACGTAAAACTTCATTAATGTATGAATGAGGGACAATTGTTGGGATTTGGGTGCTCACCAATGATGAATAGATATCTCCAAGGTTCTAATGATCCATGGATTTGAGTGATCCCATACGCAAGTGCAGAAGCGAAACAGTTGGCCAGCGGAGACATCCCAATTAGAAGCGAGACACGGAACCCAAGTTCGCGGCGCTTGTAGAACATTGAAAGAAAATAAGGTGCACCGGCTCCAAAGGCGGCCTCAAACATGCCGAGAAAGGCGCGTGTGGCTGCTAGAGATCCCAAATTATGTGCAGCACCAGAGGACATTGCAGCAGCCCCCCAGCTATTTTGACATCGTCCTTGATCAGCTCCATGTTCTAGATGAGCGTGAAAAGAATTCAATGCACCACTTACAGTACGCAGAGAACTGCTACGTATTTGCTAGCAGGTAGGATTTTCCAAAACAGATTAGTCCACTCAAAAGCCACATAGCAGATGTAGAACGAGTTGAGGACCCAGGACCAGTCGGAGTCGCTTAGACCCAGATCCGCCTTGGCGCCGGCTGCCTTGGCATTGCCGATATTGCCTCGGTCGAGATAAGAGAGAACATAGAGGCAGCATACGATGGGCAACAGCTTTCGATCGAACTGGACAAGGCAGTTAGCTTTTGGACTGATAAGTTGTATCGCATCTAAGGTTTACTTGCAGTTCTACGAATACGCAAGTTGGTCTGTTCTGAAACTGATTGGTGGTTTTGCTCGTGCTGAGGTCGTCCCTCTTCAATCTCCTCGGCCTTTATGGACATTTTGTCATCGGGGGGAGCGCGATCCATGTTTACATGTACTGGGTGTTGTCAACGTCTTGGATGTTGCAAGTATTGTATCCGTCAGTTGTTTGGTACTGGGCAAAAGATAATTTTGAAAAAAACGTCCGCTTTCATTAAACGATGAATTCATTCAATCCTGTTGTGGGTGTTGGCTGTGGTTAAATACCAAAGATCTCCGTGTCTCTCCGACTTGTACCATTTATCACTCAACTTGTTTTAAAGATCAAGGAAAAGGGATTTGAGATCCCGAGCTAACTTTGTGGGGTAACATGCACCCCAGATTTGTTACCGGCTGGTTCTCCCTTGCATCCGCTCAACACTGCATGCATGCATCACCCTGTAGTTTCCGAGGCTATCCGAGACCACTTCACGAATTGATACACATATGTTCGGATATTGAAGGAGACAGCAGGTATTGAAGACAACATGAATTGCATATAAAACATCGCCGCGAATCTTCGTATGAACGTCTTTCACCCGATCGTTCGCAGATATTGAAGCATCAGTGACTTCTCGTACCCAATACTCCGCAACTTATTACAGCTCTATTTCATTCCAGTTACAAAATACAACATGTCAAAAGCAATTGTCAACACTACACCTTACCCCTTCAACTTCAACCCTCCCGTCGTGGAGAAGCATGGCAAGCCGGGTATAACGGAAGACCTGACCGTAACACTCCGGAATGTCAGAGGCAAAATCCCGTCGGTCCAGGCCTCTCGTCTCCGGACGATGATGCTGGAGGCGCATAACGATCCTTCCAAGATACTTGCGCACGCATGCACATATGATGGGCTTTCTTCTCGTCTTGTTGAGGAAGCAGGCTTTCCTATGGTGTTTTTGGCGGGTTATGCTGTTGCTAGTGCATATGGACTTCCTGATACGGGATACATTGCTATGTCCGAAATGTGCGACAAGATCAAAGAAGCTGTGAGCCAGGTTTCTGTACCTGTCATGGCTGATGGTGATACCGGCTATGGAAGTCCTCTCAACGTACGAAGAACTGTTGAGAGTTTTGCAGAGGCAGGAGCTGCCGGTGTTATGATCGAAGACCAGACATGGCCAAAGCGTAAGCATCTAACCATGGCGAGATTTGCAACATGCTGACTGGAGGCAATATTTAGGCTGCGGCCATACGAAGGGGAAGTCCGTGGTCTCACGAGGTGAAGCATACGCACGAATTCAGGCTGCCTGCGATGCTAGAGACCAGGGTCAAGACATTTTCGTTCTCGCTAGAACGGATGCGCTTGTCATAGGATGGGAGGAAGCCATTACTCGTGCTAAGGAGTTCAAGAGGATTGGTGTGGATGCTGTCTTTGTCGAGGCTCTACCGGATCGAGAGGCAATGCGAAAATGTGTGGAGGAGCTGCAGCTTCCTACTTTCGCAAACAGTAAGTATCTGCTTCCCCTCAAGACAAACCAGAATCTTGAATTCGCGAAAATTGTCTAACTGCGTACAGTCATCGAAGGTGGCAAGACAGAGAATCTGTCAGCTAAGGATCTGGCGGAGCTAGGCTTCTGTGCAGTGGCCTATCCTTGGACACTGGTCGCTGCCAAGCTCAAGAGTATTCGTGAAACACTCGAAGACTTGAAAAAGAGCATGACGCTCGGAGCGCCGCCAATGATATTGTCCTTTGATGAAGTTTGTGAAGGGGTTGGATTTAACAAATATTGGAAATTGGAGGAAAGATACAAGTATCAAGATGATGGCCTGGTGCACGCCAACGGGTCGTTCCACTGAGTGTCAGAGCACAACTGCAACATCTCTGCAAGAACACCTTTATTACATTTCAAAATCTCTTGGGGGAAGTTTATTCCACAGTCAATTGATTCTATTTCGTAGTCCAGTGTCCCAGCTTGGCATCCATAGCAAAGAATTGAGCGAAAAACGAGTTTACAAATGATGAGACCACATTCCGTATCATACATGAATCTGTATTGTACATCCAGGAGCTTTTTAAGACTTGTGTGCCACAGATGGCTTGCCGTTTTCGTCCGTTGCAACCGGAGCTGCAGCGAGGTCTTCGGCCTTGGGGTACGCAACTTTATGCACCGTGTACCACGGCCGACTAAAAAGACTCTCCATAGACTCCAAAGATCTTCCCGATGTTTCCGGCATCGCCAAATACACATAAACAAGCGAGATCGAGCAAATAGATGCAAAGAAAATGAACGCACCGTAACGTTCAGTCGCGGCTAGAAGTGATGGCATCGCGCGGGAACAGCCGAAGTAGAACGCCCAGTGAAACGCCATAAGCACGGAGACACACAGCGATCTGATTCGTATAGGGAACACTTCAGCACTAACAAGGTATGGGATGGAAAACCATCCAATCGACCAAGCAATTGCATGCAAGTAGATTGCTGCAATCGCTGCCTCGCTGGCCCGCCGAGAAGCAGGGTTTGCAGAAATGCCTGCCGCGCTGCGTCCGTTTGTAATCTTTAGGTAGATGCCCACGAAAAGAAGCGTACCAATCTGAAGAGAGATTCCGGTGAGAAGAGATCGCCGTCGGCCGATGAAGTCAATGACGAAGACCGAGAATAGCAGCACTGAGACAAACTTGACAATAGCGTAGACTCCTGTGGCAAGTAGGCGACCCTCTTCTCCTTGAATACCGAGATAACCAAAGATGGATGGACTGTACTGCGTGATCGCATTGGCACCACTCCACTGACTGAATAGATGGGCGAGGAACATGAGGATAAACCGGCGTCTGTTTGGCATGTCTTTCCATGTCTCTTTGACGAGGTCCACGACTGAGGCACCGGACACAATCTCCATCTCATGTTCAAGTTGAGCTTGCATGGCTTGGAACTCTTCTTGTACGTAGGGGTGGTCCGCAGGAAGCTTTCGGAAGTCACAGAGAACTTTGAGAGCCTCGGAAGGTTTGCCACGAGAAAGCAGGAAACGAGAAGATTCCGGCGTGAAGAATGTTCCTAGGCCCCAAATAACAGCAGGCGCAATCTGGAGCGCAGTGGGCAGTTGCCATTGGATTTGTGTACCTGCGTAGTGTTTTGTGATCCCGTAATTGAAGAAGAATCCAAAGACGACACCAAGTTGCTGACAACAAGTGTATTGGAGAGTAAGAAGGCCACGAATCGAGCGAGGAGCAATCTGGGACAGATGAATGAGTAAAAGAAACTATTAGAGGCTGAGAGAAGTCTTGCATACCTCGGAAATGTAGACTGGAGGCAGAACTGTAGTAGCACCAATGCCAACACCTGAGATGATCCTCGAGATATACAATCCAGCCACACTTCCAGACGAGAAAGTTTGTCCGAGAATACCGGCAATATAAACAAGAGTGAAAATTTGCATCGTCAACTTGCGGCCAAGTTTCTCAGTGAGTTTGACACACGCGAGACATCCCAACACAGCTCCAGCAGTTGCAATCGCTACTATCCAGCCTTTCGTATTTGAGTACTCGGATTCTGATTGATTATCAATGCCAAATCTCTTCTTGAAGACGGCCATGGTGACAAGTGAGGCGATGTTTCCTATGTCGCAGTGTTCTGGTTAGCACAATACCATCATTCAGCACCACGTGAGTTGCGCACCCTCGTCGAAACCTTTGGCAACTCCTGAAAAGCTCCATATCCAAGTACACAAGAACAGGTAGCGGTTGAATATTTCCCTAGGACTGTTTTTCACTGCAGAAATTGTTGCACTAATCAAAGACATTTTTGCGAGAAGTAAATGGCCTTGGTTCGTCAGGTGGCGGGATTAAAGCCAAGATTCAAACCAGAAGAAATAAGAAAGATGCTGATGCCGGAAAAGAAATCAACTGCGTCCACTACATAATTCCCTTGTAAACCTCTTAAGTCCGTCTCCATAAATTATTCCCCAGACTACTCCAAACCACCGAGGGGAAAAAACTCCAAAATGCGGGGATATCGTTCGTGCTATGGAGGTTCAAGGTTGATGATATCGGGCACACCCCGGAGTTGTACCGAAAGAGTGGGGATCGCGTCCCGGGCGATATCCGATAGACTGAACAATCCGCCGGGCCGTCCCCGAAGGCTGTCTTGCAATGGCTCCCAGTAAACCTACTTTAGAATATCCACTGATTTCCATACCAGTTAGCACACTGGCAAGACAATATGCTTCAAGCACCTGCCAAGTTCAACTCAACCGGAACCAACCAATACCATTCGGAGTCGTTTATGTGAAGTTGGAAGGCAGTCAAGCTTTCTCCACGTGGGCGCGTCATCATGAATTTTTACCCGGTGCCTCCGACTATCCAAGCCGAGTTGTATGTGCGAATTCCCGAACATCTTCGGTGCCTCGAAAAGGAAACAGAATGGCGAGGAGGTTTTGCCCGGACTTTTCAGCATATCTTTCTTGAGGGGCCTGTTGCAGATGACAAGGGCAATTTGTACATTGTGGACGTTCCTTACGGCAGAATTCTAAAAGTTGATTCAGAGAAGGAGATTACTGTAGCTGCGGAATGGGATGGCGAGCCTAATGGGTTGGCAGCGACGCAAGATGGTTTGCTGGTTGTTGCAGACTATAAGCAGGTATGTTGGCTGAAACCTTGTTTTATAGTGGTTGTTCAATTTTTACTCAAATAACATTTGCCAGGGCATACTTATATTTGACCCTTCTAGTGGTACAGTGAAACCGTTGATGACGCGACGCCATCTGGAACGGTTCAAGGGTCCCAACGATCTCATTGTTGACAGGAAAGGCTGCATTTACTTCACCGATCAAGGTCAAACTGGCATGACAGATCAAACGGGCAAGGTGTACCGAATGCTCCCGGATGGAAAGCTGGAAGCCCTTGTTGAGAATGGAGTCTCACCAAATGGGCTTGTCCTTTCACCAGACGAAAGATTCTTGTATGTCGCAATGACACGGTCGAACCAAGTATGGCGACTTCCACTTCATCCCGATGGAACGACCACGAAAGTCGGTGTATTTTTCCAGTCATTCGGTAATGCTGGTCCTGATGGCCTAGCTATTGATGAAGAGGGCAGCTTGTTTATCTGCCATCCAAGTCTGGGTTCTATTTTTGTTGTTGATTGCCATGGCGTGCCTAAGGCGCGTATCGTCAGCGGTACAAGCGGCATCAATCTAACAAATTGCTGCTTTGGTGGGCCAGAGAACAAAACAATCTACATCACAGACAGTCTGGAAGGCAATGTACAGAAAGTCGAATGGCATTGCCGAGGGGCAACATCGCGGCCGGCATTGAAAGGCTAGCAGCCCCAACATGGAAGAGAAAAGCTTTCTACATACTGGACTAGAACCTGCTACACAGAACAAGCCAAACGGCGTTACAATTGTTCATAAGTGTTGAATAGACTGCTTTGTTTTTTAATCTATTTATCGCGTATAGTAAAACCCAAATGGACCTTATAAGTTTTTTTCGAATTGGTCAAATGTCACCGCCCTTTCTTAGTAATAGGCAAAATGGAAATTCTTACCGCCTTGGCATATGAGGTTGTTCATCAGAATGATGCATACACTAGAAATACGAGCTGATTATCTCCCAGATCCCTGAAACAATCATCAAGGAACCAATCGCAAAATAGAATGGGAGACAAAGTTTAAGCTCTCCAATGACCTCGTTCCCTGACTGAGACGTGTGCCTAGATTTCAGGTCAAAACTTTGGGATGAAACACATTGGCGAGGAAATTATTTGGGGAGTCGAGAACAGTCATGATCCAAAACAGGGAATGTTACAGGCGCGTGTGCGCACAGCCATCCGGGGGTGGCATCAGCAACGAAGAGTGGCACGGATTGCTCAAACTGCGGAATAAAACTATGGTGATTCCCCGGTGGACATTTTTTTCGCCAGTAATCGCTACACCATCTGACCATCTCAATAGCTGCATGCAACTCTGCACCCAGTATGCCTTCAACTCCCGAACATCAGCCCTTCCTGAAATACTCGGACGACCCGGCGGCCGAGGAAGCAAGTCCACCACAGCAGCATGTTCAACGCAGAACTGCTCTCGTATCCCACATTTTAGTCTTCGTTGGTACATCAGTAGTGTGGGTTTTGGTTATGTTGTTTGTCGTCCCTTCATCAAAGATAGCGATTGCGAGGTATCACGCGGCTCAGAACGGCATGTCATGGCATGAAAGACACAACATCACTGGTGGGAGACACAACATCACTACCGGCAGAAGGCTTGTATCATGCGGCAATTCAACGACAGAGGCCAGAGCACAAGGTTGCAAATACGACATCCTCTTGAACCACTGGGTCCCAGCCCCATGCTTCGACAAAGATTCAGTCGATGAATACCAAGAAGACAACAGTTGGGGAGCCTTCGCCGACACAAAATTGACGCAGAAATTGACCATTGACGAGATGTCGGAGAGAGACTTCTACTGGACATCTACCCGGGATCACATCAATCACTGCGCTATCATGTGGAGGCGTCAGTACTATGCCCTTTTCGACCAGCGTGCTGCGGTGGACTCCATCATAACAAGCCCGGGACATACCGAGCATTGCTCTCAATATCTTATGGATGTGGTGGACGCGCGTTGGACAGACCCGACGAAAACAATGAGAGGGTTTGCTGGATGCTGGATCCTTGATTGAGGTCGTGGGTATTCGCGACGGCCCTATGTGTATTAGAAGATTATATGTTGAACAATCCGAGCGTCATTGTATGATAGGAAATGTACTCTCTTTCGAGTCATCGGAACATCTATTGTGCGAAGAAGCGTTCAGATACCAGGTCATTTGACGAGAAACACACCAAATGCTATTCTATAAAGACTTTCATTTGCTGGTCATGCATTATCATCTTATCTGACCATGCAGACGCAGCCCCTAACATTTGAGACTCCGGACTAGGGTTGTTCAAGCATAGGTAGTGTCCAGCCATAAATGCTAAACACCCGTTGGAAATCTAGAGCATCATTATCCCCTCACATCAGGCTTCTCTCCCGTTTGGCCGGTGCATCGTTTGTGTATGTGGTTCGCGTTGCACATTTGGATCCCATGGGGTCCTGGACTGCTGAGCTATTGATCAACGCAGGGTACCAACATTTTAGAGCTGGCGGACATGGTGCTCAGCGTAACGAGAAGCCACTTCAGCCCGGAGGTCCGCAAAGCAGGCGGAGCCAAAGCGGGGCTCACTCGAATGTGGCTGAACAAAACAGCCGAGAGAAGCCGAACTCCTCTTGTCCCCAAGTGCCGCATCGGACCAGGTCCGAAAACCCTGTTCGGAACCAACTTGCTTAACACGACGGGGTTTTCACAAGCTGTGCATTGGGCTTGGGGGAGCGGCCCTTGGCAGTAATCTGGCTCAACATGGACACCTGTGCAGATCGTTTACCCAGACTTCCAGCCTGCCAGTTATGCTATCAAAAGAAGATCAAAGTACGTACCTTTTGGTGACGCACCCACCAAACCCGTCCAGCCAACGTTGAGACTCCATGCTGTAATCTTTGCTGGCGATGTCAGCTAATGTCCTTCAGTGTGACAGCACAAGGCCGAAATGTACTCCCTGTACGAAAAATGGGAGCGAATGTATCATTCTGATTTCGAGTGGAGAAGAAACATTATCAAGGGCGTGAGTAGTACACTCACTCACCGTCAACTGTGAACTGGAAACATGAAGGCTGATTTGAATGACAGGGAGATCAATCACCTCGAGCAACAAGAGAGGGAGCTTTCCGCGAGACTGCAGAATCTAGAAGATGTAGTGAGAACAACTGACCCGACTGATCAACGTTCCACCGATGTTGGTCAGACCGTATCCTCAATTGAAGGCTCGAACGTGTCACATGGCGAAGGACTTGGGTATGTTAAGCAGGAGATCCCCGGTGCCAGTAAATACTGAATACTCGTCTAGATTTATGGCGTCTCTCTTCACTGATCCAGATTTAAGAAGAAACAATACCGAATTGCTTCAGATCTTAGCTAAAGTACCGAGCGCTCCCGAGCCAACAGTTGTGCCCTGCGGGCTGCCTTCATCAGAAGATGCCGAAGTACTTTTTGAGAAGTAGTATGTCTGCTGATCTCAAATATCAACTCAATGATCTATGTTGCCCTTTTCTCTAATTCTATTCTGTAGTTTGAGTTGGTCTCATGTTCTGAATCCTTGTCTTTGCAGGGACGAAGTCAGAACACTCTATCGTCGAATCTTTTCGTCTAGGCCCGATAATCGGACATTTCCAGATTACGACTTGTTTCGTGCCTTCTTGATTTTGGCCATTGGTTCTATTTTTCCCTACCAAAACGGCACTCACAGTCAACACCCCGAAGGCTACTATCTTGCAGCACTACAACACATGGGGGCCGACTTTCTCACTCGAGGCCTAGACTCTGTGCAAGATTTGCTGTTGGTATGCCGATTTGGCATATACCATCGGATAGGTAAATTTTGCAGAATTAACCTTCTTGACTATTTGGATTAACTGTTCTCCAGGTACCTCGATTTGGGATGTAATTCGACTTTGTGGGCGCCTTTGTATTGAGCAAGGCTTGCACCTCGATGATCGACCACGCCAGAGTCTACTACGCACTCAAATGGAACGTCGAGTTTTTTGGCAGTTCTATATGATTGACAGATATAGCTCTACCCTTCTCGGGAAACCATTCGCTATTGATGATCATGATATTGAAACTGGCTTTCCAGCAGATGCCAACGACGAAGACCTTGTTGCCGCGAACCAATCAATACGAGACCTTGCCGAATTTCAAATGTCTCATGTTTCACTGGAACCAAATGAAATGAGTGTGTTTTTCACATCAATCCGTTTGCGACAAATTTCGTCAAAAATCCACACAGAGTTCTCAAAACTTGCCCGCAATCATTCAGAGCCTTCGCAAAATCACCTTGCACCAGGCCATATATACACAACGTTGGGTTGTTTGATGCAGGAGCTTCAAAAGTGGAGAGATCATGCACCAAATTTTCAACAACCAAAGTGTTTATTCGAATCCCAAGATTGGTATGACCTTTTACTAGCTCGGGAACAGCTTTATCTAGTCCGACGTGCGATCGATCTCCTGCCAAAAAGAGACAGCAAGATACCAAGGCACGTTTCTATTCTGTATCTAAGAACTGCACTTAGCACCATAAGGGTGTACTCGACCCTTTTTCAACATCGCCCGCTTATCACGCATACACGAAGTTATTTCCACATGATGTTTACTGCTGGCTTATCAGTCATGTTTTGTGTTTCTTCGGCAACTGCTCTCGATCAAGAGGATGTCCAGAGGGCTTCTGATGGGTTGCAACAGTGCGAGGAAACCTTGCGGGATATGGTAGAACAACTCTCGAGCGCAAGGCACTATATCATTGTCTTTGAAGCCCTCAGGCGCAATACGTCACGAAAGCTGAACCGCATCGCGGAATCTTTACGATCCAATGCTATCGGTAGTGCTGGAATAAATGAGCGGTGGAACTCGACCGTATCTTCCGCAAACTTAGGCAGGCCATCCTTCAACTTCAGGTCTGGCCTACACACCGATACAGGGGGTGAAACGACCGGCAACAGGCCTAACTCAGGCGTACAAAGCTATCAATCAGCTGAAGATACCATGTCAGGCCACTTCAACTTCTCGTTCCCTCTAGATAGAACAAACGGAGACACCACATCTTCGCTATTGAACGTTGGGAGCAATTATACTTCTCTTGAAGTTCCCGAGAACTTCTCACCAGATAGCGACCTATTTGACTGGGCATTTCTTAACGACGATACTTTATGGAATATGGAAACTGTATTGGGAGAGTATGTGTATGGCGACCCAACCAGACAATATGGATTTTTAGATACCTTTGAGTTTTGAATGACGATTAATACCTTCAACACGATAATGTTTACATTCTTTCGTGGTTTGAATTATTCTGCTCCAGAGTGGTTGATAACCCCTTCTGGTGGCTACCAGATGTAAAGGTCCATTTCCAGTGCCAATGGTGAAACGTTTTAAAAGTTAAAGAAATGTTTCTGAGCTGAGTTCAGGGATTTATGATATTGTAAAAAAATATGGAACGAGTTGTAATTCTATTTAAGGTATATCCTCTACATTGCCCTACTCTTTGCGTAATCCAACAAACGTGTAGCAGCAGCCATTCCAGTTTGTACTTGTGTCTCCCTTGTTGCAGCACCAATATGCGGCGTGCTTATCGCCCCAGCCTCCCAGAGTGATCCATACTTCTCTTGGCTCGGAGGCTCTTGCTCATGACAATCCAAGCCTGCGCCCCAAATAAGACCCTCTGACAAAGCTTCCTCCAGGTCTGCTTCGTTAATGATGCCACCACGAGCTGTGTTGATGACTATTGCTGTCTTCTTCATTATCTTGAATTGGTCATACCCAATCAAATCCTTTGTAGTCGAAGTCAACGGCATGTGAACTGTCACGATGTCAGAAGCTGACAGAACCTCCTCCACTGATTTAGCGCGCTGATGGGGTATTTCTGCCCACGCTTCAGAAGGCAGATAGGGGTCGTAAGCAATCACAGTTGCTTCAAATGCTCCACGGAATATTTGGGCGACAGACTTCCCAATGTTGCCCATGCCAAGTATGCCAATCTTCTTGCGATGCAAAATAAGACCGGAGCATTTCTCCTTGGGAACAAGAATACCAGAGTTCTGTCTTTTCGTAATGCTGCCGACTTGTCTCGCAACCGCCGTGGTCAATGTAAGAACAAGCTCAGCAACGGCTCGAGCGTTGACTCCTGGAGTGTTGAAAATCTTGATCCCTCGGGCGGAGCAGGCGTCTGCATCGATTTTGTCAATGCCAACGCCTTGTTTGCCAATGGCGAGGAGGTTGGGACAGGCTGCAACATCTTCAGCTGTCAGACGCGATGATCGCATGAGAAGAAACTGGGCGTTTTCTTTCCATTTCGCGTGCTCTGGTTGCCCTGGGAAAATGGCGTTGAAGTTTTCTTCGCAAAATGCAATAACCTCTGGCTGGAAAGAGTCTAATACGTAGACGGTGGGTTTGATGTCAGGCAGAATGTCTGTTGAATGGTCAGACACTATACCGGGGGCCATGATGGACTAATTGGATAGATGGTTGAGAAAATGAAGTTAATTAAGATAGAAGGTATTGGTCAGAAGCCTAAACGCGAATGTTTGCGTAGCAGGCCAGCCAGGTAACAATACGTCGGTTTCCGGCGGTGTGAGGCGTAATACTTATTCTCACGCACAGGGAGTACAAGTTGGTTTATGAAAAGTACCAAATGCGAAGACCAAATTACACCTAGACGAGGTCATCAACTGTTTGATTTGATGCAACGCTGGTTCGGAGGTGTTCCGGGTTGTTCGGACAGCCACCGGCTGATTGACCACTTTCTCCCTGCGGCGGACTTCGACTAGCGGAGCAGCACCGAAAGCCCCTACCTTAAACATTCATCCTACTCGAAAAGCGTCAGCACGAAGGGCCGATCATTAGTACACGGAAATATAGACCAGTCTCGACAGCCTCGGCTTTGATCCGAAATGGTAAGGACGCCGTCGCTAAATACTACTATAACAGTGGTCTTGTCGACATAGCTTGTCAGGCGCTAAGAGCAAAGAAGATTTGTATCAATCAAATTAGTAATACTCGTTAGTTTACCGCCTCAAGTCGCTATGACAGTTTCATCACTTGCTCAAGGAAACACTTCTCTGCAATGAGGTAGCATCCATGAGCGCCAAGCCGGTCAAGTCGGATTCGCCTCCCAGTACCACAAGCTCTGTAGGTGCTTTTTATAAGAAGCATTATTAATTTGACCTTGAGACGTTTCTCGACTCCGTATAGCGGCATCCTGGGCCTGCATCTTGCCTATCGTCCAGGTACCAACCAAAATCCCCTTTGCTTAGAAGTTCTCGACGGTGACGCACTCGACGTAATCGTGCTACATATCTGCAGCATTCGGAATCCACGTCTCTTTTATCATTTAAAGATTCTAGTCCGCTGGTATTATGAACTACCTACTGCTAGTTCTGTGCTATACTTGCCAAGATCTTTAATATCAAGTACACTTGTAAGGCGATGCTACATTTGTATGAGATTAAGAAGCAGAGGTGACTGAAGGGAAGTTCTGGAGAGTGGGTACTTGGTAGGTTATGGCTGCTACTGACATCCCACCCACTGTATACTGAACAGTTCAATTCTTTCACATTGCCCATTCTTTGCGAGTCCCATAGTATTGCACGGGTAACACGTTGAGTGGTCTTAACGGATGCGTGGAGTGAAAGTTTTGGCACCCGGTAAGGTACACAAGCAGACTTTCGTATCCCCAGACGAGTCTAAAGAACCTGGGGTTAGCGGCGCCAATGACTAATGGTAATCTCCGGGTCACGTGAGAGGGGGCGACATCGGTTGGTTCTGGTACTTCTGGTTAGAGGATCATTTGCCATGCGCAGATATAATCAACATCATCATGTTCAATACTTTCACGGCATGATTGAGTTTTCTGTTAGTCAACCAATAACACAGAATTAAATTCTCAATGCCAAGTTCATCTATCAATAAAAAACAGGCAGCACCGCCAGGCAATCGACGGAGGACCTGGTCATGACATCAGTTTCCTCGGGACGTGAGCCATCCAACTCTGGCGAGCCCCCCGAATCTACATCTACTCCAGAGACACCAAAAACTCGACCGCAGGCCTGCGAAAGATGCTGGAAACGAAAACAAAAAGTATGATCGCCGTTTTTGGAGCTGATCTCATAGTTAAGATGGCTGACTTCTCGCTTGACGTTCCCCAGTGTGATCGGCGGTTGCCATCTTGTACCACATGCCAAGGACTGGGCGTGGAATGCATCCCTCGTAATCAAGACTTCAATAAATTGTCCGAGCTCTCTCATACTTCTGTCATCGGGTAAGTTCTTATTGGTCTTTCTGGGGGACATTGGTTTCATTCGAACTGCTCGGACTAACTTAGCTCAGGTATGTAGAGTCATTAAAAAAAAGGGTCGCCGACCTTGAAGAACAAGCTTCGTCGAGAAAACGAGCTCGTACCAGTAGCCACATAAGCGAATCAGTGGTTGGTCCCTCACTTGTCAACGCGGCTCACGCCGAATCTCAACGCAATGATCACGTACCATCAAGCTCTACAGTGGCCCGCAGCGCTCAAAGAGGTAACGAAGATTCCTCTGTCCGGGCCACTATGGGCGCGATTGGTTTCTTGTCGCGCAGTGCTATGGCTGAACCGCGTGATCATTCCGATGATCTGCCTAGAAAGTTTTCTCTGGGTGAAATTATCTCGGGGGCACTGGCTATCGATGGCCGAGATCCCTCTACAGCTTCCCCTGCGCCTCGGGCTCCTGCCATTGACAGCCATTTCACATCACTCAGCCACGATGCAATGAGTGGCTATTTCCAAAGGTTTCTTGATCAGACCGCTTTTCTAACGTATATCAACGAGGAGAACCTCTTGGAACAATATATGGCCGTAGTGGCCGACAACGAGCTACGTAATGAAAGTAAAAGCCCCTTACAGGTTTTCAACACCCATATGGGCCTGGCCATTGGCATCCTGATGTCACCCGATTCCAGCCACCTGTCATTATTGAGCGCCAATTTCCACGCGATTGCTGTTAAACAATTGCCTTCTGTCTTGCGTTCTGAGGCACCCACTGAGCACATACACTGCATGGTCATGCTTCTTGTATATTCGTTATTCAACCCCAGTGGAGGCTCAGCGTGGCACCTTCTTGGTCTTACAGTTAAAACTTGCATTTCAATTGGTCTCCATCGAGAGCCGGATGCTCACACTGATTTAACGCTGGCTGAACACAATAAGAGAAGATGGTTGTTCTGGAGTGTCTATCTGCTCGACCGGTAAGCATTGGCAACATGAATGGCGATACCAATTTAGTAACGCCGATTAGGATGCTTAGTACAGTCATGGATCGTCCGCTGAGCATACAAGATGACGACATTTCTGTGCGAGTGAGTCCACCCCTTCTCCTTACTAACGCAGGCGAACGGATCGGTTATAACATTGGTAACATAGGTACCACCAGAAGAAGGCGATACGCCGTTATCAACGAGCGATTCCTCTAAAAGGTCGTCTCTGTGCCGCTATCTTCTGCTTTATGCACAACTCATATCGAGTATAAGAACTAAGGGAAAGGGTAATATTCTTCTTGATTACAGTAACTTCAGTCATTGGAGGGATTTACCGCCAAGTATGGAACGTTTGCAATCAACGGCTCAGAGTACCAAAGATGTCTTACATCAACTTTCTGCCCGAGCTTTAGCGCAACTAGTCTCGCCCACAGCTTTGCAAGAGGTTGATGCAGGACTATTACTTGGGAGTGTTAATGATGTCGAAATGGACGCCTTAATGACTTCCGACCAATTCATCGGCCGGTGCTACGATCGTTTTACGGCCGGAGATTTTGTGGGTAGCTTCATTGATGCATACGATGTCTTTCAAGCTGGAGTTGTTTGCGTCTGCCTTACATGGCGTAAGGGCCAAGAGTCTCCGACGGAGCGCCGTCTTACGAAAGTAACTGAAATCATTAACAAGGCATCCACACTGGTCACTGTTATAGCGTCAAGGTTCCCTGCATTGTCGGCTTTTCAACGAGTATTACTCGCTCTTTCTACTCGAATAGTGGATAACAGTAATAACCCGTACACTGTAAGGCAGATCATAATCCTAGTTTGTCATTTGACAGCTTACTAACGCATTCTGGAAGGCGAATATATTTGAAGAATTTCCCGCTGTTGTTCCTCGTCGCATACAGCAACTGATTCGACATACATTCGCGTAAATCACACTTCATTGCGACCCCAGTTTAGGTTCACCATTTCACATTTCACGTTTAGCGGGGCGGACGAGATGCGTGTCATGGAGGTTATCTCATCAGTGAATAGGGCACATCGCTGCTCCAGACAAAACGAAATTTCGCTGTAGTTGGGCCGCTTCCGCTCTGCTTTTAATGCACTTTAGATCTTCGGGTTCTTAACGCTAATCGGTTCCATTGTCTTTAAATGGCAGTCTTGACTAAAGCTCTAATCATAAATGGTAGTATTGAGGTCTTTGGTGAAATAGAAAATGTCAAAGCATGAAGGTTCATCCAAATGTTTGATGTCATACCCTTTGGGCCAGTATGTGATCACTCTGACACAGGTTGACTGAAAACTCCTGCAGACACCATTAGTATTTTTCTTTCTTATAAACATATGCTCTAGGTTTCCAATCTAACGATATTCCCTGTACTGAGCGAATTGCAACTTTCGATGCAGAAGTACTCGGAGAGGCTCCTATGAATATCGCACATATCGTCAAGCAACCTTCCCAAATGTTAGTGATTGGGTCGAAAAAGCCGCTAGCATCAATTCATCTTCTGGAGACAGTTCCTTGCGCACAAGTTCCAGAGTCCGTGGAAAATAGGTATGGCATTGAAGAGAACCTGGCACTTTCTGTCCCCGATTGGGCATAACCCCAGATGCTATGTAACTGTAGCCCAATGGCAGTCGATGGGATACATTGTTTCGAGAGCTAGCGTCGAGAAAACAAACAAACGCCGCATTTGCGGTGATGTTCATTGGTCTCTGAGTATTCAAAAGGTTAGCTGGATGGGATTGCGCAAGTTAAGAGCGTTGGCTGCTGTGGCGCTCTTGTAACTAATGGTTAATTAGAATATTTCCTAAATCTGAATAGTTGGTGATAATCTAGACCATGTTCGGGCGAAAGGACAGACCTCAGTACTAACCTAATTCAAGGACAAAGAAGATGGAAGGATTTAGCGATGGAGCCAAATTCAGGGTAGCTAGTTACTATCAGGCCATATGACTCGAGCCAGTGCTGCCATGGCTTGTATTTGGCCAAGAAATACGTGGGCCGTTGATGGCCAGCGGCGAAAGATGCGCTGAGTTACACACGGTATTAGTTATAGATGCGGGCCAAGCCCGAGGACTTGACCTTTGACATCGGACGTCTTCCGGACCGTTGGGGTAAGAACCCCAGATAACCCGCAACATACCATAGGCTACTCATTTGGATCGCGGGGAAATGGGACGCTTGGGTGTGGGGGAGAGAAAATCTGGGCAAATGCCAAGCCATTGCAACGTTGAATGAGGTGAACGCTTGTGAGACTGCAAGTTGTGGTAAAAACATAAATACACAAAGTAACCACAAGAAAACTCTCTGCTTGGTAGACCAAACGATCCATCTCGCCTTGTCTCAAGCTTTAGCCTAACAACCAAGATGACGAACTCACACGACTCAAAACGGGGGTCGTTGGACATCAAGGTTGGAATTGAGTTGGAAGAGACTGCACCTATCCGCGACCCCCTTCTCCAACACTATGAACTCATCCGAGACAAGTCGCCGGAAGAACTCAAAGCCCTCGATAAGGCCGTTTGTAAGCGACTAGACTGGAAGTTTCTTCCAATGGTTTGCGCAATGCTGCTGATGAAGTGAGTAATATCATGTGGCGCATACAGTTTTCAAAGCTGCTGTGCACCCTTGACTTTCAGAGCTTGTTGTTAACATGGCTTCCAGTTACCTCGACCGAATCAACGTCTCCAATGCCCGTTTGGCCGGTATGCAAGAGGACTTGCATATGTCAGACACCATGTGGTCCGCTGGAATATCGTTGTTTTATGTTGGATATATCATCTCACAGGTGCCTGCAAACGTGATTATCGCCAAAGGCAAGCCGCGGATATTGCTTCCGTGCTGCATGTTGGGTTGGTCCTTTGTGACCATATCCATGCCTGCTGTAACTGCTGGCTGGGGATTCCTCCCGTGCCGCTTTCTTGTTGGCCTCACAGAAGGCCCATTCGTGCCGGCTGTGTCTCTCATGACGTCGTCCTGGTACACCAAACATGAGTCACCTCTTCGTATGGGAATATGGCATGCTGGCAACACCATATCACAGGCAATTTCGGGTCTCCTTGCTGCTGGAGTTCTCGAAAATATGGATAACATCGCTGGCCTATCCTCGTGGCAATGGTTTCTTCTACTTGAAGGTACTGTATAGCACGCCATTCTGAGTTTCAATTACGACTAACAATTCCACAGGAATCGTTAGTATTATGGTTGCTATCGCTAGCTTCTGGTTTCTTCCCAACTTCCCCGAATCTACAGGCACTTATTTCCTCTCTGCCGAGGAAGCACAAATGGCTCAATATAGACAAGCTGTGTCAGCCGGCGGTCGAGCTGAGGACGATGAAGGTGATTACTGGGGAGGCGTGTGGATGGCACTCAAAGACCCATTCACATACTTCTTCTCCGCTATTCACTTCTGTCTCATCATTGGACAGTCTTACAAAGACTTTTTCCCGTCGGTAGGTTGTTGTTATTAGTATTGGAACTTTTGCACCCGACTTACAACATCAACAGATTTTGAAAACACTAGGCTTTAACAAGACTACCACGTATCTTATTCAGGCCCCTCCGCCCATCATTGCCTTTTTGGTCACATTGGCTATCTCATGGTCCTCAGGTCGTAGATTGGAGCACGGATATCACATTATTGTGCCCATCCTTCTGACACTTGTCGGCTGCGTGGTGATGATAACCACCCTTAATGTTGGCGCCAGATACTTCAGCATGATTTTGCTGGTTACTGGACCATTTGTCGGCCTCAATGTAAGATCCATTGAATTCGATTTTTGCTATTTAAACACAAACTAACCACCAAAAGCTTCAAATATCTTGGGAAACAACCGTGGTTCCACGCCCTCGTACCAAACGAGCAGCGCTGATTGCCATTGCCAACTGCGTCTCTTCCGTCTCTCATTGGTTCACACCGTATTTCTTTCTGCGAAACCAAGAACCCTACTATCAAACTGGAGGCGGGCTTATCATTACTGGCTGCGGCTTGACGGTAGTCTTTGTCCTCATCACAAAGTGGTACTGTCGCAAGAAGAACAAAGAATTGGAAGAGCAAGAGAGGCTCGCAGGAGAACCAAAGGGGTGGAGATTCGCCTCCTAATCTTACAATAATGTCAGCCATAGTACTTAGCGCTAGAGGATTGAAGATATCAGAGGTCTTCAGGTTGGCTCTCGTCCACATGTAGTCAATAAGTTAGGGTAATTTGCCTTGCACAATACTCTCTCATTTATGGAATACGTCAAGATTATCTTCGTCGGACGCTGGCCCTTTTTGGTGTATACAGTTTTCAGTAGTCTTGCGACCTTGTCTTTGAAAAAGAACATGAAGTGTTTGAAGAAACCAATTGACACGATTGTTGTTTGCAACAGGCCCTCCACTCCTACTTTGTCAAGGCTTAAAGAGAGGGACCAGCTTTACAGAGGAACGACTCTATTATGCCGTTCCATTTGACAGGATTTTGGAGAGAGATTTCACAGGAGGGTGTCTAGGCACTTGTTTCGACCAAAAGGATTTACACAACTCAAGATTGATGTAACTCCTCAGTTCGGGAATGTAATATGTTGTCAATCATAACGATGATGTATTTATGTCATAAAATTTACCGCTGATGGCTGTCTCTTTGCTATCCGTTACTTACTGGTTTCAGTGTCCAAGACGTTTGAATGACCAACCAGTCGGGCGTATGAAACTGGATTCTTCTGCTCTTGGTATCTCTATAGAGTGTATTGATATAGAGGGCTCTTCTCGCCCATTCCGTCCAGCTGTTCTTGCGTGTACTGTTGCCGGATGTGAGCCTCGGACAGTTTCGCCTTCTTTTTGTTCAAATTCCACAACAGGAATTCCAACGCAAATGCTGATATTAGTCCTAGGCAAATGATTCCCAGTGATGTTCCATATCCAGTAGGGTACCGCGGGCCCTCCTTATCCAAAAAAATGTTGGTTCCGATGAGACCTAAAGAGATGAGTTTTCATCATTGTATTATGTTTGCTGACAAATTTACTTACTTCCCAGATTACCGGCTGCTAGAAGCCAAGCAATTCCAATAGACCGCTTCCAGGATGGAGCTAAATTATTGCCTATCCACGCAGTAATACCCGGAAGGAGAGGGTATATGCCGATCTGAGCTAATACTACTCCAACGTACATGGCTGATACGTTATTGGCGACGTCTGAGGAGTATCGGAAGAGAACACCAAGTGCCACTGCAAGCACAGTCATTGGGCCGGCTATGAACGGCATACGCCACGAAAATCTGTCTGAAAATCTGCCAGTGATCCATGCCGCCTCACCACCGCAAAAGTATGGAGGAATGGTAAGGAGTTGAGCTTTCTCGGTAGAAAACCCCAGTTGCTTGATGATCTGTGGCATGGTAAATTTGAAGGCGGCATTCGGAACTGAATTCGCCCAAGCAAGCAAGATGCCCAGGCCGATTTTCCAGTCTGTCATGGTCTGGAAAAGCAAGCGCCAAGAAAGTTTGTCGCCTTCTTGAGTCTGGGAGCGGACACCTGAAAGGCGAAGACGCAAGTCTATGAATCGTTTTTCTTCATCACTGAGCCACTTGGCCTTTTCTGGCGTGTCCAGGATCAAGAATGGCATTGCAAGCCCTGCCGTGATAGTCACGACTCCCTCGAGAAGGAAGATCCATCTCCATCCCTCTATACCACGTATACCATCCATGCGAGCAATCCCGAAAGCCAAAAGACCACTTAGGGCACCCGAGAAAGCAGATGCTGTGTAGAAGATGGCGAGGCGCTGTTGAAGCTCATGTCGTGGATACCAGGTCGTAACAATGTAAACTGCACCAGGGAAGAAGCCGGCCTGATGAGTAGATATTTTTTAATTAGCCAGTCTGCACTTTTAAGCGTTATTGAGTCCACCCCATTTCAGAAACTTACCTCGCATAGACCCAGAAATACTCTGCAAGCAACCATTCCTTGAAAGTTTTTGACCACTCCCATAAGTGTCATAACAGTGCCCCATGAAAGAACCAAGAAAGACAGCCACAAGCTAGGTCGAACTTTCTTAAGCACAATGTTCGAAGGGATCTCTGAATGCCTCAAGAGTCAGCATTCTGTCCATTTTGAAAGAAGCTATATCAGCGAGATGCGGGATATTACCAAAAATGATATAGGGGACGAAAAAGATTGTGCTGGCGATATTGTATTGATTTCCAGTTAGTCCGAGGTCTTTGTCCATTCCTTCAATCTTCGCATTACCAATATTTCCTCTGTCAATGTGCGACAACAGGTAGAGAAGACCCATGATAGGTATCAGCCTGTAGTCAATCTAGGTTGGGGAAAGAAGCATTAGGATCTGTTGAAAGGAATCGAGTAATTTGTCAAGTTTAGCTGGTATGTGAGACGGTTTCTCACCTTTCTGACCACTTTTCGCCCAGCTTTTCCTTCATAGCTTTTCATGAATTCTGCATCTTCGGATGAGAGGCTTGCATAAGGATCAGGAGTTATCCCTGATTCTAAGCATTTGGCTTCCGGCTTTGACATTTCGATTTCCGTATTCCCGGCCATGATTCGTCTGGTAAGTCAGATTGGTTGATGCAGGCCTTGACGAAATATGCAAGACTGGAAGGTTAGCCATGGTTATTTGGTCTTAAGCACTTCACGTTAAACAAGAAAAACACGAAAAAAGTCGGACAGGATCCGATTAGTTTCAGGGAGCTAAATAACAGATTTGTGGGGCTTCGGTATTGTCCAACTGATCTTGTGGGCGAAACCAGCACAGAACGCTCAGAATGGGAAAAGTGGTGTTGTTGGTTGGAAGAACTAACTAACTGGCTAGAGGGCTGTGGAGGCTGGCTAAGACCAGTGGTGGCGGCCGTCAGCCCACGTGACGGGCCGGCGAGGCCTGCCACCCACACCCCCTCTCAGACTCCTCAGCGAAAAAGCAGTAGAATAATAGGAAATACAGGAAAAGTCCCAAATCCTCCAAATCCGAGGAGTTCTCAACTATTAGAAAACTCGGTCAATTACCGGTTAAACCTGGCCAATAGGAGGCCGTGAAATCCTCCGAATCCCGAAGTCTCAATATCAATAGTCCCACAGTCTCAAAATCCCCCTCTCAATCCAATCCCTCCGCCATGCCCAACAAACGAACGAATTCCTTGTGTTTGACCGCAACCAGTGGCTTCGTGAGTCCATCGGCGGCCATATCAGCGCCCTTGATGAGTCGGAGTTCGATGCTTTTCGCAGTGTGAACCTCCTGTATGATCCATTTGTATCGGACGTCGATGTGGCGGGTTCGTGCCTCGTTGAGTGGGTTCATGACGTTGTCGTAGCCGTTGGCACTGTCAGTGAACATGATAGTAGGCGTGGTGATGGGTTTGCCGAGCAGTTGGGAGAGGCAACGTCTGATCCACTTCACAGCAATTGCCGTAGGTGTGAGATTGATGAATTCAGCCTCCGTGGTGCTCAAAGTCACGAAAGTCTGTTTCTTTGACTTCCAAGCAATCGGCGCACCAGCGAGGAAGACGACGTAACCACCTGTCGAGACTCGTGATGGCTTGTTGTCAGCGAAAGAGGCATCTGCAGCAGCGTAGAGCCCCAACTCGTTGATCGTGGGGATGCCTCCAAGTACAATACCGAGATAAACGGTGCCCTTGAGGTATCGAAATAAGTGCTTAATAGCACGAAGATGGGCCTTAGAAGGCCCTGAATTCGCCTGTGACAATTTACTGACGGTGTAGGCCATGTCAACGCGAGTTCCAGCCACCAGGAAGTTAAGGCAGCCGGTTTGTTCGATGTAAAGTTGTTGTTCGTCAAGCGAGCACTCGTTCTTGTCCCAGGTGACGGGCAGATCGTCAGTGGTCGCCATAGGCGTCTTGACAGCACTCAAACCATCAAAGTCGAATCGTTGAAGCACTGCTTTTGCGTACTTGGCTTGGGAAACGAAAATCTTACCGGCAGCTCTGTCGCGTTCAATCTGGAAACCGAGAAAATCGGTAGCCTCGCCGAGGTCTTTAAGAGAACAGACCTTCTCGAGGAGACGACGAACTTCCATCATGACTTGCTTGTTGGGAGCGGCGATGGCGTTGTCGTCGACGTACATAAGAACGTACGCTTTAATCTTGTGATTGACGAAGAGACAAACCTCCCCATCAACAGCAGTGAAGCCAATTCGTTCCATTTCACCCTTGATAAGTCGAAACCACCAAAGTGGTGATTTTCTCAATCCATAGAGTGCCTTGTGGAGCAGCCAAACCTTGTTGTCTGCAGTGGCGTAGCCAGCGGGGGGCCGGACGTACACCTTAACCCCCTCTGGAATCGAGGCGGCTAGGAAAGCAGTGTCGAAATCATATACTTCGTATTCAAGATCGAGAAGTGCGACAACTGCGAAGAAAAGGCGGGTTGCGGTGGCAGAGGCAACTGCAGCGTAAACCTCTTGCGATGACCAGTCACCTTTCTCGTGGTTTCCACAAACCACATATCGGGCCTTGTAGCGCACGATTTCGTTGTTTTTGTTGGTTTTGATGTCACATACCCACTTGCCGGGCAGGACTTTAGCGTCACGTGGTGGGTAAACGACTTCGTAAACCCCCTTTTCCGTGAATTGAGTCATCTCTCGTTCGAAGGCTTGTTCCCACTGGGGCCACTGTGGGCTCTTCTGCGCCTCACGGTAGGACTTCGGGATCACCACGCCGTCGGGTAGGACTTTCGAAAGGGCAGTGGCAGAAAGCACGCTGAGAGAGAATTGACGAGAAGTTAGTGAAGCTGGAATGTCAGCAGATAGAAAAGTCTTTTTAGTATAAGAGCGTACACCATTGGCGGCTCGGTAGTGACCAGGTGGTCGCTGGGCTGAGGCGCGGCGAGGTCGAGAGGACTCTGCCGGCTGACTCGTTGCCTCCTCAACAATCGTGGAGAGGGAATCAGGGTCCTGGTGATCAGTTTCCATTGTTTCCACGGAGGCGACGAATTCGTCGTTTTCTGGTGGTGGAGACATGAGATGTGTATCAGTAGGTGCCATCGCTTTCCCAACGATGGTCTCATCTGGTTTGGGATCACCAGTCACGGGTTTTTCACCTTCAATAGGCTTCTGACGGATGGTGTACTGGATGATGATATCTGGTTCGACAAACGCAGCATCATGTTCAATTTCATCAATGTTGGGTGTGCCAGTAGTTGGAGGCAACACTGTCTTGTGCGGTTCCTCACGAAATCGAACATCTCTGCAGCGAATAACCTCCTTTCGATCAGGCAGGTAAACGTAGTAAATGTGGCCACGAAGAGAACCGTAACCGACGAGGAATCCCTTGATTGCTCGTGGTTCCATCTTGGCAGAGCGCATAGGGCGTCGAGGGCCCTTCTTGTGTACGTAGGCAGCACAGCCAAACGTTCGGAGATGTTCAATGTGGGGGGCCTCACGTTCAGCAGCCAAGTTCAGCTCTCTCGCCATGATCTCGTGAGGGCTCAAGTTACCCTTGGAGGGTGTGGGCAAGAGGTTGAGAATCTGAGTCACCGAATCAATGCTGTAATCCCACAGTTCCTCTGGAAGGGACATGTCAATCAGCTGTGTTCGGGCGCCTTCGACGATGGTACGACCAGCACGCTCAATAGTCCCATTCATGGAAGGTGTGTGGGCAATAGTCGTGTTGTGGCGAGTACCCTCGAAGTAGGGGTCGTTGAAAACCTTGATTAGCTCGGGAGCATTGTCAGAAACCCAAACCTTGGGCTTGAGGCCGGTGAGACTGTAGAATTCAGTGTCCCATTTCTTGATAGCTGCCAGGATGGTGGCAAACTTGTGGTTGGGCAGAAAAACAACCCAGTGGTAACCACTATACTTATCCATGAGGTGTAGAACCTGACGGTTCCCTTTTGTTGATAGGGGAAGAACACCAACGAGATCAAGGTGAATTTCATCGCCAATACTCGTAAGTGGAAGTGGGTGGTCTCGACTAATCCGTTCAGTGGATTTGCTGAGATGGCAAGACTCACAGAAGAAAGCGTCAATTTCTGACGTTGTGAACCGAATGCCAACACGGCGGCAAGCCTCCACAACACGTGATGGGTGGGCGTGAACCAGCCGGCGGTGCATCAGTTCAAGAGACGGTCGCTGGGTAGCCCGGAAGGCGGCGAGGCTGACAGCAATATCTCGAGGCACGTGATTTCCAGTATCATGAGTCTCAACGACGCAGACGTCAGAAACCCAATGAACTTTGGCAAGGGAAGTGCGCTGTGTCACGTGTATGAGGCTTGAGGTCTGCCAATCATATTCCACGTGATCACGACGAAGTTTTCCAGGGCTCAGTAAGTTGGCTGGGCTGGAAGGGTTGTACTCAACGTTGTGAAGTGTCCAATCGTGAATAACGTCAGGGTTGGTGGGGTCTTGGGTCTGGAAGAAGACGGTGCCCACGCCAAGTGACCGGACTGGGGCGCCGGAGGCAGAAGTGGAAGGTGTCAAATCGCTCTTTTCAGCGTACTTGACGAAATATCGCAAGTTGTTGAAGGTTGAAGTAGTACAACCAGAATCGAGAACGATATCGTCTCGGGTGATGAGGTCATCGCGGGCAGCAGTGAAAACTGCTGGGCTGGCGATGGAGGCAAGGGCAGACTGACCCAAGATGGCAGGTGACGCTCTGACAACAGTCTGGCGGGTGCCATCAACAGAAGTAGGCTGATCCCAGCGGCAGCGATCGCCACACACGTGCTTTCTCGCTTTTTCAATCAACTTATCCCGGTTGACGTAGTGTAGAGGGATGAGATTGGGGTGGGCGACATAGCACTTTGTGGTCTCGTGATCACAGTTGCAGTGGTCGCACTTCTTCTTTTCCTTGGAGGCAGTGACAGTGGAGGTGACGGTGGTGGTGACGGCTGGAGAGGCAGGACCCCCACTGCCAGCAGACTTGCCTCCAGGTGTGTTGCGAATAGTGGCATAACTGCGCTTTTGATCCTCGTCTTGGGCAAGCGTGTAAATCGTATCAGCCACCTCATTCCACGTGGGATGGGTGGCGCCCTTCGATGTGAAATGCTTGTACGTATCGGGAAGTCGGTCCTTAAAGAAGTTAAGGAGGAAAACAGCGAGGAAGGAGTCTGGCAGACGACCGTGAATGGTCTCAATACGCTTTCTGAGGTGGTGACAGCGATTGAGGGCATCGTGAAGAGTCTTGTGATCGTTGGCGGTGGTCTTGGCAAACTCGTCAACAAGAAGAGTCTTGTGATCGTTGGCGGTGGTCTTGGCAAACTCGTCAACAAGGGCAGCTGTGGCGTCTTGTGAGATTCTCGGAATGTGCTTCTCGAGCGCCTGCCACAATTCGTAAGGGTTTCCATCGTCAACCCAACCCGCTGTGCAGAGTCTGTCAAGAACCGATTCGCTGGCGTTCATGAGGAGACCATTCGTGACGTTACGGTTCTTTCTCCATTCCTCTGCAGCGATAGGGTCAGCAGGGCGAGGGACGTCAGTCTCGAGGAATATCTCGAAGTCGTATCCTCGCAGGGTCGCTGTAACAAGCATGCGCCATGTGTTCCAGTTGGATTCACCTTTCAGGCGAGGAAGAGGCGTGAAGACGGTCTTGAAGTCGTTTTGAGACATCTTGAAGTGAAAGTGAGGGTATCACAACAGTGCGGGACAGACTTATAGTCGCACCTCGATCACAGGCGTTTCTCCGAGGCCGCAGCTTTGGAGGCGTGTCTGTACGTTAGATGGCTTACTTTCGCTGCCACCTACGCGTGCTGTTGGATTGTGTAGGAGGGAGAATCTTGCGTAAGAACACGAGAAATGGGTGGAATTGTGAGATCCGACCGTAGAAATACGGTGAATCGAAGGGAAGAATGAATACTCGTAGAAGATACGAGAAACTGATGGGCTGGTTCGAAAAACCGAAGCTGAAATGGTTGAATTCTCGTGAAAAACGAGGAATCGAAGTAAAAGTTGTAGTTGTGACTGAAAAGTCTGTTGTTGACCGTGGTGTTCGTGAAAACCAGTGGGTTGTGGTGGTCGGTCGCGTGCCACGTGATATTCGTGCGCGCCAGGCAGCCAATGTCGCGTCAGAAAGTGAAATTCGTCAGCGAAGAGGAAGGAAAGAAAGCGAGAAAATCGCACAGAAGGGTAAATAAAGCGAATAAAATCGCAAAAATTCGTGAATCAATAGAAAATTGACAGACGAGTAGAATAATGGGTAAAACGACGTTATTCCGAAAGAATAACGCTGGGCTCATAACCTGTGGGCGAAACCAGCACAGAACGCTCAGAATGGGAAAAGTGGTGTTGTTGGTTGGAAGAACTAACTAACTGGCTAGAGGGCTGTGGAGGCTGGCTAAGACCAGTGGTGGCGGCCGTCAGCCCACGTGACGGGCCGGCGAGGCCTGCCACCCACAGATCTAGATATTGAGTCTGGGGTCAGCGCTCTCAACATCCCCATCTCCGCATTTCCTCCGCATTTTCTCCTCATTACATGTTTGAACACCAGGCATCGTATTCTTGCCCTCTCTAATCGTGAGTGTAAATCACCTTACACAACGGGATTGTGGGGTAGACAATGTCTGCATCCGGGCCCCACTTAGGTTGTGTAGTCGGAGCCTCTCCGTCCAGCGGACCGGCTCCGGCACAGTTATGACTGACTTCGGAAACGCCCCATACCCACACCATAAGCCACATCCATATCGAGCATTCAATCGGCACGTCCTCGTCTGATGCCGAGGCAAAGTTAACAACGGAGAAGCTTTAACCAGAAACCGCAACAACACTTCAGTCATTGTTACGACAGGTTTTAACTCCTGCATTGGTTAAGTAAGAGGTGTTGTGAGTACCATTTCGGCAGACACATCATTGCTTGGTCATAGATCAAAATTTCTCTCACTCCCAATTATCACTGTCGAGAACTTAACTTTTTCATCTACATTATCTACAAAGATGGTTCCAGACAAATACCCAAGTTTTCGGGACCTTCCTCTTGACAAAAAAGGGCCACACGGCAACGCCTGGGGTCTTTGGGGCCTCGATGACCAACTGGGTACACTCAATCTACTTACAGATGATGTCGTAGCATGTGCAGCTAGAGAAAACATCATCAATGGCCAAAGAGTATCTCTTAAGTAGGTATACCTTGCCGAGAGCGGTATACCACTTGTTTTGCGTTTGGAATTTGCTTCTGGTGTCTAGTATAGAAAAAGCGTTCGCGGCAAATGAGAGTATTCTTAGAATCTCTGCTAACATAGAATTGTGTAAAAGCTGGTCCATGACGGGGGCTTCATATCCAAAGTTTGCACGGAAACTGCTTGAACTGAACACTATCAATAAAGCTCCTTTGAAGCATGCTCATGACGATGAGGTAGGCATCTCTACGACAGAAAGGACTTGACAAGGCTGTGCTAACATGGTAAACCTTAGTGGAGCTTCAACTCGCAGTGTAGTTCACAGTGGGATGGATTTCGACACTATGCTTACCAAGATGAAGCCGTAAGTTCTCATTCCTTGTTCTATAATCTAAGAGATCATAGGTAGCTAAAACCTCACGTGCCGATGCAGCTGTACTACATGGGGCGCACTGCCAAGGACTTTGCTGAATCATCGGTCCCAAACGGAATACAGCGTAAGAGCCTTTTAGTCCACTGCTAGCAACAAAACTAATTGGTGATAAGATGTATCCAGCAAAGGGATTGCTGGTCGGGCTGTTTTCATTGACTGGTACGCCTGGGCTCAGAAACGCGGGCTTGACGTGGATGCCTTCACGTCCTATGAAGTTCCGTTTAGCCAACTCATTGACGCCTTGAACGACCAAGGCATTAGTAAAGATGTATTTCGGCCAGGCGACATTATTATTATTCGATTCGGTTACCTATCACAGTACGAGTCAATGAGCAATGAGAAACGGGATAAGCTCAATGAGCTTTATAAGACGAAGAAACCCGACAATATTGGCATCAAGCCATCGAGGGAGCTGCTTGAATTTCTGTGGGACAACAAAATTGCGGCAATATGCGGAGATACCAGATCACTCGAAGTTTGGCCTTGCAGAGACACGGAGTGGCACATGCATGAGTGGCTCCTTGCAGGTTGGGGCATGCCAATAGGAGAGCTCTTTTATCTAGAGGACGTCTCCCGCCTTTGCTCATCGCTAAGTCGATACATATTCTTTCTATCGAGTTCTCCCATGAATGTAAGTCCTCGTAGGCTTTTCCCGACCCTACTAAACCTGCTGATCGTTGTTTTTACAGGTGCCGGGAGCCGTTGCAAGCCCTCCTAACGCCTTGGCCTTTTTCTAATACTTGGAAGACCAATCCTCCTGATTAGCAGCTCTGCCAAGCTATGGTCTGTTGGTATTAGTCTCAATTACAATCTTTTCTTCAAAGATTTCATGTAGAAGATTAAACCGATTAGAAAGGCACACTCAGTGAGAGCTTCGGGTGGCTTAATAGAGGCAGACATTGTAGAGTACCTTGTGAGAAAATTTTCAGGCTCTCAGCCAGCTTCTCACAGTGTGGCTTCTAGCAACCCACCGCGAGAAGGGCCCAAGGACCTTGCTTCACTTGCTTCCCAAGCAGTTAAAGCTCTTCGTCAAGTCTTTAAGAACGCCCGGCTTGCTAGTCAAGTCACATTGGAAGTTGAGCTCATGAAGATTCCCGTGATATTGACAATGCCCGATAGTATATCCAAACATACTCTATGTAGCTGGTGAGAGCTCGTTGTCGATCTTCAAATGGTTTGAAACACTACTAGCGGGCTGGACAAAGTATGCATTGGAACTATAGTAATTATAATAAGAGATAAATGAAGTACACTCATCGGTCTCTCTTGTCCTTTCCGAGTATGCCGTCCAGGTGTTTCCAAGCATCTTCAACCTCCTCGGGAATGTCTACATGAACCAGGAACCCCTTTCCGTTGGGTCCATAGCCGCTGGCGTCATCTCGCAAACGGGGTATTTCTCCCATAAGCAAATCTACAAAGCGTCTCATATCCCACAAACCGCTGTATTGTGTACTGGTTTGGTGAGCTTTGAAGTACTCAAGGTGAGCCAGGGGATCCTCTTGACCACCGCCAGCAGAACCTGCCAAATTCACGAGTACTTCTGGTGTAAAAGTAGGCCAGCTAGTCACTCGAGGCTTAACGCCTGGACTGTTCGAGTATGTTTTCTCGAAAGTAGCAACGGTTCTCTTTGACATGGTGGGATCCTGCACAACAACGATTGAACGTGGCGAGGGTACTCCACAGGCCTCCAAAACTTTCCGAGACTCAGATGCATTAGCTCCACAGTTTGTTGACTTGTCTTCAACGACGATGAGTAGTCTATCTCGATCACCAGGGAGTAGTTTTGACCCCGCCGACCCTACGTCGAGGGCGCGTAGTCCAAACCATCTCTCTGCGATCATCTGTAGTACGCGGGACTCTGGCTTTCCTTCAACCTCGCTGGCAAGCTTGTTGTAGGTTGGATGCTTTGCTATTGCTTCGTATAAGAACGGAGTGGAGTGCCCAATGCCACCACAAAGAACGAGTATCGTGTTTCTTCCGTGCCTGCAGACATTAACAGTTGGCTTCTACCCAGAATATGCTGGAGGACAGTAATTACAAGGCAATTTTCTTGTCAGCAATAGTCCCATCGGGTGTAGAACTGCCCGAGAATGCTGAGAAAACAGCATCAGCTAGTGATAGCACTGAAGATGCACAAAAGACAACGGCATCAACGGGCTGTGCGGATTGTATGTCATCATCAGCTAGGGATGTTGGCAGACTTTGAAAAAACTCATTGAGTCCTTTGGCCCCAGTAATAGATTCATCGGCTAGAAATCTAGAAAGAGTGTTGACTGCATCTACCGCTTTTTTCATGTTTACGTTTTCGATGGAGTTGTGTGAATGAAGGAAAAAAATACAATGATAGGAATGTTGTTTGTTGAATGGGTGACATTCTCGGCTGGGCACCCCTCAATTCCCCTAGATACTTCGCCCCGCGCTAACCCAATCCGGTACTTCCGCGATCCACCAAGGGCTTTCTACCAGTAGCATGAAACAATATTGTGTGACTGAAGTTTGTCTCTCGTCTACAGCGATGCTATTTACCACTACGCAGCTGTTAGTTTGATATCTGATATGGTCTTGACTGTTTCATATCACATACAGTACATTGAAAAGACTTTGCTCTGAAACCATTGGTCGGGCTGAGGCAAGATCTTTGATAATTGCCCATCGGAATAGGGAAAGTTCCCAGTCGGTCGCAGTTCTCTCCTGCATAGAACCAGCAGGTCGCAGGACCCTCGGGCTCAACAAGAACTGAGGTTGGCAAAAGAGATTCTCTCGAACAACCTTCAGGTCCTTGCCATCCGCCTCTCTTGAACTGTGAGCAAGAGACTCCGGGCATGTCTCTGTCGAACGTGTAGCAGTTTTGATTAGTGCCATGAAGGATGCGGTACATTGTGTCGTCGTTGGCATTACAGCCTTTGACGTTATTGTAGATTGTTACTACAAACCATTAGTTAAAGATGAAAAACTCTGGGACCTGTAAGATCATACACTCCCAGGCTGAAGTACTGGCTAACCAGAAGACCAGGGCGATGTGTGAAATTTGCATTGTTGAATTCTGAGAATCTGTAAAGCGAAAGTAGTTGCCAGTGCTTTGATATGTCTTTACATAGGGGATCCAGCGCGAACAAGCTTCTTTTATACTTAAATGTGCTGGATTCATGACCTTGGTCATGATGTAAAAGTCGTTACAGTAGAGCTTTTGATGTTCATTATTTATAGCTCAGCTCCAGAAAGTAAGTAACATCATTGGACACCTCGGATTAAATTCCGCCACTGTTGCCCTGTCAGGGTCAAGGTCAGCATCACGTCGTATCGATCCAAGCTACCTGGACATGGAAATGGGCGGTAAGCTGTAGCTGAATTAAAGCCACTGTCGACTGAGCCGGGTAATATCCAAATGCGAGGGCTTTGCTATTTACCCATCAGATGTAGTCTGCAGACTAAATTATAACCTTAGCGCTTAGGAGAGACTTGGCATCGGCACCTTGACCTTTGGAAATCAATGTTGATTGACTATTCACGTAGTGTTGTATTTTATTGTTTCACCAAGAAATAAAATTATATTCTTGAAGACTTTGCTGCAACATTGGGATGTAACGTTTGTTGAAAGCGTGTTGGTAGTTTTCAATCTCATGTCAGATACACTTGATTAGTGCCAATTTTAGAGGCGGGATGGTCACTGTATCACAAACCAATGTATCCTTTGAATCCAACAAGCTTCCTATTATACACCCACCGGAACTTCAGTTAGCAGTTTCGATCATCATATGATAAAATCGAGCGCATAGACTATTCGTTTTATATTTGGCAGAAATAGATTTCAGTCTTGAAATATTAAAGCTTTAATAAGCCGAAGTTATCAAGTTTTACGTGATTGTTTGATGCCATTAGGGTTATGTCTAGCGGACCCCGAACTCTTTGGCTTCATTTATGCTTTCTGAACTGCGGCATTTGATGAAGCTTTATGGCTGTAGCCGTCCCCTGATTTTCCAGGCAGTTCACAGTTATGGAACATGTACTAAATCCGATAGATAGCAGTGATCTAGGTAGATGCACGTAGAGCGTACTGCCCTCAAGAACGACGTAATGAGCTACGTATAGAGAAAATCTGAGCATCATTTTTGATGGGTATGAGTAATTCTTCTCTTATAAATATAAATTATTCAAACAGGCCGATTAAATAGTTTGCTGCGGAGTTTGTCAGTTGCTACACCACAGGTCCGCAGCCCAGCACAAACTCCGCAGCACAAAGCAATCCGTGCACGGCGCTGCATCGCTTTATTGTGGATTCCTTGTGCCTTGGCAGATTATGGTGAGTCGGTTAAACCATGTATCTTGCGATTCAGTCGTCAAAGATGGAGATCAGTCTTGCTCAAAACATTATCTTGCTTGCAAAGCTTGCGGGTTTTGTAAGCGGTTTCGGGGGAAAAGTCCGCCTCTGCCGGAAGAAACTAACCCACCTGTCTCCTTCGGCATGATTGCATATAAGTACTAGAAACCGATTCCGAATCGCGGGTCAACACACTCATGAAGCTATCGCAAGCTCTTTGAATATTTCAGCGTCAATTGTAACTTACATCATGTCATCCGAGAACCCTACACAGAACCGAGTCGTTGTCCTTCACAAGATTGGGCAGACTGCAAAACTCGAGACACGCGCAGTACCATCCGCTGGACCCGGCAGCGCTATCATTCGTGTTCTTGCTGCGTCTGTCAGAGCCAATTCGCCGGAGGTTTATGGAAACCCAGAGAGCGGACACCCCTTGCCTTTACCACTTGTTCCAGGGTTCATTTCCATTGGACGCGTCGTCGATGTCGGCCCAGACGCAACCAAACTTGAAGTGGGACAACTCGTCTTGTTCGATCCATATATCCAAGGTCGGGATCGTGGTGGGATTTATATCTCTGGGCTGATGGAAGGCTTTGATGAGGGCAGCCGAAAACTTTCCCGCGGCGAGTGGCGCGACTCCACCTACGCCGACTACGCCAAGATACCGCTTGAGAATTGCCATCCTTTGGATAATGCTCGGCTCCTTGGGGATACCAAGCACGGGGGCCTAGGCTACACCATTGAAGACCTAACTCACATGTTCAGCATGCTTATCCCATTTGGCGGGCTCGCAGACATCGATGTCAAGTCGGGTGAAACCGTTATCATTGCTCCAGCGACGGGGAGGTATGGAAGTGCAGCTGTTCACCTAGCGCTTGCCATGGGCGCTCGCATCGTTGCCATTGGGCGTAATAAGAACATTCTTCAACAACTTGAATCTATAAATGCGCGCATCTCAACAGTTCAGCTCACCAATATCGTTGAAAAAGATGTCCAATCTCTTCGCACGGCATGTGGTGGATTAGCCGACGCATTTTGGGATATGTCTCCACCAGCCGCAGAGACCTCGACCCATTTCAAAGCCTGCTTGAGCGTCCTCACACAAGGCGCGCGTGTCAGCCTTATGGGCAAGGTGCTATCTGGGGTTGATTTTAGCTACATGGACATTATAGGCCGGGGACTCACTGTTAAAGGTTCCTGGATGTGTTCTCCAGAGCAGACTCGAAGGCTCATCAAGATGGTGGAAAGCGGTGTTCTTCCTCTGGGACAAAAAGCGGGCATGGGTCCGGTACATTGTTTCCCGCTAGAAAACTGGGAACAAGCATGGAGCGCGGCAGACACTAAAAGGGAGCCAGGAGAGATTGTCATTATTCCGTGATAGCGGTACAACTTCAGACCGATAGACTGACATTAACTTCCCTTTCGACTATTCGTAACTGAGAGTTACTCCAGTTATTGTTTTTTCTAAGAAATTATAGTCACATTAATGAGTATTAATCCACAATAGTACTCTCATTTAGTTTATAAAGATTTTGTATCAAAGAAGTAGAGCACCACGTAACCGGTTTTAGGCGAAGATGGACTGATGCTGCTGAATAGCGGCTTCTCTCTTTCATACTTGCCCGATTCGGCCGTCAAATATTTCATTCGACCCCTTCTGCCCCTTTTTATGGATATTGACTGGTGCTGGTCATCATCATTCTGTTGCACCCGGCCATTCGGTTGGGTGCCGCTTTACCCGAGTGGGCATGAGTAATTTCTCCGTACACTGGATCGACCCACGACTGGATTCACTAAGCTCCACGGGGGAATGTCCCGATCATGGGAAGGTATCAATTATATGAACAACCACGACAGCTTGCCAAAATATATATAAGCAATTGGTTGTGCTTGGCGATCCTGGTGACATCTTGGCCAACACCTCACGTTCTTTTACCTCCGAATAACCAATTACAGAGGCCGGTTCTCTTTCCACTCGTTCAAGTTTGACACAACCATTTTTTGCTACTTTCATTTCTCAAGATGCGCAATTCCATCCTCGCCGCCGCTGCTGCTCTGGCTCTGGGAGCCAAGGCTGACATTTATCCCAACTACGAGTATGGCAACATGTTCTATCTCGGGCCCACTACTGGTGGCCAGTACATCACCAAGGCCACCTACTCCATGGAGGTCCCTGCACCTCCCAAGGACTGGGTAAAGTCCAACGAGAAAGAACGTTGGCTCTCTCTCTGGATTGGTATTCAGAACAACCCCAGTCAAGGAGACGTTTTGAAGATGGACTTTGTTCAACCTCTTCTCAACTGGGGTCCTGACAATTCTGTCTGGGGCTGCAACGCACCCAACACCCAATGGTGCGCGGCCGCAAGCACATACACTCCCGACGGACAGATTGGAAAGCCATACGTCGAGGTCGAGGAGAATGCGACCCTGGACTTTGAGCGTAAGTTGCATTTGTCATTCCTTTATCGAAAACGTCATGAGTCAGCTAACCCCTGACTGAATCGTAGTTACGCTCAACTCTGCCACCGACATGATTGATCAGAAGATTTCTGCCAAGGGCAAGGTTCTTTCATCCCAGTCTGACTGTAAGTTTATGAGCCATCCGGCTTTCGGTAATGGAAGCTAACTATGTGGTGCAGCCAAGGGCATGAGACCAGCCGTCTTTTACTCTGGCAACGAGTGCTACGGTGATGGCTGCGGTACTCTCGATGCCTACAGCTACAACAACATTACCCTTGTCTTCAACGAGGCAGTCAAGGACTTGGACAGCATTGTGACTTACACCAATGCTCATCACACTGAGTGGCAAACCAAGGACAACGGCATCACGTGGACTATTGACTCCATCACCATCGACAAGGACAACTTGACCGAGAAGTCTTGAGCATTTTCTTAGGCTGCGATAAGGTTGTACATAGGTTTCTCATTCAATACGTATATTTTCATCGCCCTGAGCACTCGGACGCTTGGCAGACATGTACAAACATGTTGGTCGATCGCTTGGCATGCACAATGTAGTTTATTTCTCCGCTGAGGAGCAAACTTAGATCTTTAAGCTTGCCTTCAAATTGTGTCGCGTTTGTCAGGTTGTATTGACAGGGAGCTTGGCCGAAAGGAGAGTTGCATTTGTTCAAACTCTTTTATCTGCGACGCAAGCAAGTTTTACTAATGGAGAGAGAAATGAGGGGTGCTGATTGGCTGTTTGCTGCAAAATAGGCCTCTTTTCCACCAATTATGGTGGAAAATTGGGGGGTTTTTCCTCTCGGGCAGGCCCGAAGCGGGTCCTTCAGGGGCTTAAATGAGCAAAATGGCCTGCGCTGAGGTTGATTTTGGGGAATGCTGGGCCAGAGTCCTAAAACTCTCTTCTCCCAACGTGATTCACTTTGATTCAAAGCTCTTGTTGTTAGGTTGTGATTCCCAGACCATTTAAACTAGTGCATAAATTGGTATTTTGGCGGGTTCTGATCGTTAAGAACTCAGCAGCATGACGCGCATAGGGGCTCTTTTTGTCACAGCTTAATCGCTCCTGCTGTTTCCTCAGTGTTTTTGTAGGTTTCACAGGGGGTGAAACAGGGGGTGAAACGGAATTCCGTTCGTCAATAACAAATAACAGTAAATTGGTTCTAATCGATGGTTCATGATTGTTGAAAGTGGTGTTGTTGACTAGAAGGTGGGGATATTCCCCCTTGGCCTGTCACGTGGGTCTGGGAGGCTTGGGCCTCTCAGCCTGGCGGGCGTGTGGCTGGAAGTGCCACACGACTCCGTATTCCAACTATCGCAACAGGTTCTGTTCTTCAAAAGAAAGAAAGCAAAAACAAAAAGGGGCAAAAAAGGAGGAGGGTGTTTCCTTTGATTATACAACATCAAACGGATAGAATTCCACCAAAAAGTTTTGATGGATCAGGATTGATGTAATCTAACCGTTTGAGTATGTTTTCGTCAAGGAAATGGGATTCTGATGGGCGCGGTGTTCCAAACCGTAATTAACGTAGACTCTATCCTTACGCTTGGCAGTAAACTCGAAATGCTTGTTCGCCTTGGTCCGGTTGGTAATAAAGCGTGTGGCTGACAAGGTCTCTGAACATCTTAGTCCCAATTGAGCTGACTGAAAGACATGTTCTGTGGGGAAATCTGGTCAGGAGGTCCCCAATGCCAGTGGGCACATAACGGAATACCGAATAGGAGGTTACCTCTACCACCTGAAACAACCTAGGAAGGAAACACATCAATGCGTGGTTCATCTTGTCATTGGACCTGCCATCGATGTCGGAAGCCAAAATCGAGCCACACTAAATGTAAAGTATGTCTTTTTAGTGGTTATGTTGGAGATACGTTTCGCAACCAACGCCCAAATCCGTCCAGGCAAGATGTGTCACGTATATTGCATACCACAATCTCGAAGCCAAGTTCAGATCCGTATGATCGACACTATCCGAGAAGAAATATGGGAGACCTCGTGGGCAAGTGCTTCAGTGCCGAGGCTCTCGTGGTCTAAACACCGATATTTTCTCAGCTGTATCGTAACATCCCGTTCGATTTGAGACTTCTATCATGCAGTCTCCCCACTTCAATCAATTCCCCCTCGAATGGATCCAAATTCACGAATCATCAAAGGAGTTTTCTTCTTCATAGCCGAGGATTTGTGAGAATACCGAGGAATGTCCAAGACTGGGCAGAACTTCTCGTTGAAAATGCCTATTTGAGTAAAGATTCATTGAAGTTGTAGATATCATGGGAGTCTATAAGAAGCTCAAGACATGTCGTCGAGGAGGACCTTTGACCCATTGACGACGACAAGAACAACTCACCAGTCACATACAATCCTTCCATTCAATTTGTAAATTTACCATTCCGTCTGCGACGCGAGACTTTCATTCTACAAATCAACTACAAACTCTTCCAAGATGAAGTTCTTCAACACCATTGTTCTTGTTTCCACTGTCCTTGCTCTCCCTACGGAAGACAAGCGACAGCTCGGAAGTGTTGGCAGCACTGCAAACGAATTCAAGACGGGCGGATGTAAAGACATTATCTTCGTCTGGGCCCGTGGTTCCACTGAGATTGGAAACATGGTGAGCTCCCATTTCTTTCGACGGAATAGACATCGTCAATCTATCTTCATAATCTGACTTACCCTGAAATAGGGCACTGTGGTCGGCCCTCCCGTGGCAAACAGACTCAAGAAAGCATTCAGCAGCGTCGCTGTTCAGGGCGTCGACTATGGTGCCCGACTTGATACCAACTTCCTCCCCGGAGGTGCTGATCCCGCCGGCATCAGCGAAATGGAGAGCATTCTCAAAAACATTGCTTCTAAGTGCCCCCAGTCCATTGTTGTGACCGGAGGATACTCGTAAGCGCCCTTTTATCTCCACATCTTATATCAAGTGTGGGATGATGTCTAACCTTTCATGGCAAAACAGGCAAGGTGCGGCTGTCAATCACCGTGCTATTGAAGATCTCCCAGAGGCACAGAAGAATCAGATCGTCGGTGTTGTGACCTTCGGAGACACTCAGTTTCGTGCAGACAACGGTCAGATCCCCAACTTCCCCAAGGACAAGATCAAGATCATTTGCGCCTCAAACCCCCGCGACACCGTTTGCGACGGCAACCTCGGTGCTGCTATTCTGGCTCCGCATCTTTCGTACGGCGCCAACGCCGGCGAGGGTGCCGACTTCCTTATTTCCAAGATTAAGGCGGCTCAGGGGGCTTGAGTGTCCATCTAAGGGGCATCAACTAAAGTCTTTTTATGGCCTGATGCTTTTGGGATCTGTGCAGACTCTGCTGCTGTCAAAGGGCAAATGTGTTTGAGACTGGATTGCTGTGTGATTGGCGGGGATGGTTTGACATATGATATCTAGAAAATGTGGCGGGCTTTTTGCTTTTCTTGAGGTACGGAGCTTCTGGAGGCTTCTGTCCCATTTTTCTTTCTTACGCCAGAGTTGCGGAAACGGGCGGTTCTTGGTTCTTCGTCGAAACGTGTAACCTTTCTTTTGGAAATTCATTCCATTTTTGCCCGCCCATTAATTCTTCGCTCCCCCAAGATCAGTGATATGTGTCCCAACAGGCTGGCAATTGAACTCAAACAGGCTAAGAAATAACGCCTGGCGGATATAACTCAAACATAGAATTGCTTTCCCTAGCATTTGAAAGGAGTATTTTGCAAGTTAAATATTCTTGGTCTGATCAGTCGGTGTTGTGATGTTTCTTCATTCTCGTCGTTCAAAGGCCAGAAGAGCATTTAAGTGGTGCTATCATTAGGGATGGTTGGCATGAGTGAATAATTCAAGGTAGACCACACATTTGTGTCTAAGGACCTTCACTACTAGTCTCCCATTAGTCTCCCATTTTTCGCATCACCATAGCAGTCCACTTTATCCTTCTGGAACAGCTATCTGACCCATAAATATAGCAGCCAGTCGAATGATGTCAAAAGAAAATGCAGAAAGGTCTGCGGGGTGCAGCGAGGTGAGGACAGGTTGCGGGTTCGACCTGCGGCTTCCCGTCCACGGCACTTGATACTCGGAGAGTTCTTTCTGGGCGCCTTTGAATGGCTTCGATGGGGACAACGAGAGGGGCGATTCGTATTTACTATGTCGCAGTTGTATTGAGCTGTCTTGGATTCTCACCCGTCTTTGCCAATTTGAGTAACTCCAGCGAGGACGTTTGTTATGGTACGAGCCCCGCCTGGGGTGCAGGCTGCACCATCCAACACGTGTGGAGGCCTTCTCCACCAAATTGACTAGGCTTGGCGATGGTACGAGATGCGATTGGCAAACAAGCGTGATCCAGCTAGATCCCTGTCAAGTGAGGACCAACGGTGATGCAGCTCAATTCACCAGGCCGAGGTTCACGAAGCAGTAGTGCATGTATCGTTAAGTCATCGATCCTTGTTTGAAAACGATGATTGATCTATGGGAGGTTTCTTGGTAAAAGACTTTAACCTCACCCACACATCTCAAGGTGGGAAACGGGAAGCCAATTGCATTTATGTCGATCCCCTCTTTTGGAACCACTTGCGATAACTCCACGAATGGAAATCAAATCAAGTAAATTAAGCAAAACTTGACTCAAATACAACCGAGGTTCCGAGGCTTCAATCTTCTCGGAACGAAGGATACGATATCACTATGACACAAATTAAATTGAGATAAATACTCTTGAAGTTGTCAAAGCAGGCCTAATTAAAGTTCCCACGACAATGCAACAACCTCTGACCTGGATCCCCTAATCCAGCAAGCGTCTGTCGATAGTTCATCTCATACTTGAGAAAATGTTACCAGTCACTGTCTTACTTCTCTCCCTTTCATCCTTAGTCCTCGTCTCGGCGCAGGGTTCCGATAGTTGCCCGGCGGTCCCGGATACTGGCGTAACGATTGGCGACCCGGTTCCAATCCGTCCACAAGACATCCCGGCGGGATGTTCTGACTTTGAGATCCTTGTCGGTAAGGCTCACTTGATAACTAGCAGTTTAGGACATAGATTAGTATGATTGAGGCTAAGGCGATGTCTAGCCAGAGGAACCAGTGAGCCAAATTTCGCCGAGGGTGGCAAATTCGGCATCATAGTCGGCGATCCAGTCGTCAGCAACACAACAGTTGCCCTGCCAGGTGCAAGAGGTTACCCAGTCCAAGTAGGTCTTCTACTCACCGCGCCAGACAAAATGTTACCTGACTTCAAACCTAGTATCCCGCAAGCTCTCAGATCATCAGTGGTGTCCGCCGAGGCTCCGCCGATGTCGTCTCTCGCCTTACATCCCAGTCTAAGGCCTGTCCAAATCAGACCTTCTCCTTAGTCGGGTACTCTCAAGGGGCATCGGTGATGCATGCCGCCGCGAAAGACATCCCGACTGCACTATATGGAAAGATTAAGTCGCTTGTCATGTTCGGCGACGGGTACTTGAGATACGGAAACACACTGAGCAAATTTCCTGCTGGACTGAACGAGAAAGTTCGTCAAGTCTGCGCGAACGGAGACCCGGTAAAAAAATCCTTTCTTCAAGTATCGTCATGAGGATCAACATTTGGTGCAAAAGCTGATTCATTCGCGGCACCGCTTAGGTTTGCGATCCGGATGGTGAATGCACGTTTTATCATCTGACTTATATCCGTCCCGAGTTCATCGACCCCGCTGTTGATTTCATTGTCAGAGGATTCAGGCAGTAGGATGAATGTTAGGAGTGCTGAGTAGACGGGAAAATTTGCAGTTAGCAACAGCAGGACGGCGAGTAACTGGGTACACATTGAACATTGAGACGCGTTGGGTTCTTAGTCTACCTTAGTTAGGTGAACAGGTTTCATTCAACATGAACCTGTAGATAGCATAAGGATCAGAATGGAAGGTTTCTCTTTACATAACTGATTATCAACGCTCCGTTCGTTATCTAAATGTTCCAGGTGTTAGCACTACTTAAAAACTCAGCATGACGCGTATGGGGACTCTTTTTGTCACAGCTTACATCCGAAAGTCTGAAGCGCACGGAGAAGAGAATTTCCTATTTGGGAAGGCTTATCTCCGACTTTCGTTCTCCGGTACGGAGATAGAGTCTATGATGCCGTATTCCCTAAACAAAGGGTCTAGCCTAGTAAAAATAGAACGCGGTTAATATTAAGAGCTAATCAGAGCTAATAAGAATGTTTTACACATTTCCAAGATAAAGTACGCGAGAGTCGGGGTTACTCGGATTTTTTTTACCTCGTGAGATGCTAAGTCCGGGCCTCTGAATATGCCAAAGTCATATAAATGTTAAGTTAGGACAACCATCAGGATAGGAGTTTGTTACAACCATAACCACAAGACTACGACTAGAGATCTATTCAAATATATCATTTAGTGCTCGATCTCTATTTCCTGATTAGTTTACCTTGTACGCGACCGCACAATGGCTCCCAAAATCCCAAGATATGCCAAGGACCAGCCTGCCGGCTTCGTCAACCGCATCGAGAAAGTTGCGATAGTTGGTGTGCGTTAAACACCAATTATGGCCATTTGATGGTCTTGTTTTGAAAAGCATGAACTAACAGCTTGACAGGCTACGGGTACCATGGGCAAATTTGTGACACAAGAACTGCTCAAAGGCGGAAAACACCAGGTGACTGCCATCACCCGGCATGATAGCAGCTCCAAATTGCCGAAAGGCGTCATTGCGGCCAAGGTCGACTACGACGATGAAGACTCCATCGTCCGAGCTCTTGAAGGGCAGCAGTATCTCGTCATTACCATGAACTCCCGCGCTCCTCAAGAAATTCAGATTAAGCTCATTAGGGCTGCAGCCAAAGCCGGCGTTCCCCACGTGATGCCCAATGCATGGGGTCCGGACCCGCAGAACGAATCCCTCATGAGCGATACCCTGCTCGGCCACGCTTTCCAGGGCGCCGTGAAAGAGATTGAACAGCTTGGCGTTAGCGACTGGATTATCATGTCACCCGGCTTCTGGTATGAGTTCAGCTTGGGTCTGTCGCCTGACCAGTACGGCTTCGACATGAAGAAAAAGTCACTCATCCTGTTCGATGATGGAAATGTCAAAATCAACACCTCGACTTTGGCGCAGTGTGGCCGCGGAATTGCTGCGTTTGTAAGCCTAAAGTGGCTGCCCGAGGACGAGAACGACGAGTCCCCTACGATACAAAAATGGGCCAACGACGTTTTCTACATTTCAAGCTTTTTCGTTTCTCAGCTAGACATGTTCGACAGCGTGAAGCGAGCCACTGGTACGACAGATGGTGACTGGAAGATCTCGTACGAAAACACAAAGGAGCGGTGGGAGGCCGGCCATGAGGCGTTGAAAAAGGGAGACAGGACTGGGTTTTCAAGACTGATGTATACTCGCATCTTCTACCCCGTGGGTGATGGTGATGTCGAGCACAAATACGGCTTAGCAAACGACATACTGGGGTTGCCCAAGGAAGACCTTGATGAAGCAAGTAAAGAGGCTGTAAGATTGTGCTTCTCTGAGGAGTTACCCCAGTATAACAGGGCTTGAATTTCGGCATTGAGTTTAGCTTTCGGAACCTCGCTTCACCTACCTTAAACAAAGCACAATTGGAAATCAAAGCGGTGCGCTGTCGCCAGCTTAACAGTTAGTCTAGCAGCAACACGAAAACATAAATACATGTTTGAAATTACTTGAGCCCTCGGCATTTGACGGATAATTTGTCAATCAATCTGCCTACCTTAGTCGCTAGAAGCTAAGGCGAAGCTCCGTGTGAACGGCGCTAGTGCCGGGTCCCGCGGCCCTCCTAGGAAGCTGTGATACTGGCATCCCGTCGGATATGCTTATTAATGAGCCTGGACGATAAAGTTATTTAGCCCTCACGAAATCTAATAGAGTGTAAGCTATCCTTTCAATTCCACCCTTTCGCTTTATCAGCATTATAGATCTGATCATTCACAAACTTTGTTCATCATTTCCCGCCAGTCCCAAAAAAATCATGGAGAATGAAAAGACACACGAAGTTTCGAAGGTAATCGATGCGCCCATCTCGGAAATCTGGGCCATCATTTCGGCTTTCGGCTCCGAGAGGCTCTGGTTTCCCGGCGTAGTCAAGTCCAGCCTGGAAGGATTCGGCATCGGATCAGTGCGCACGCTTACATTCGACAACGGCTCTGTCGTCCACGAGCGCCTGGAAGTGGCCGACCCCGAAACCCATACCGTCAGGTACCTGATCCTCGACGGCGTCCCAAACACAACCAACCCCCGCGGCACGCTGCAACTTACCGCCGTTAACGAAAACCAGACACGCTTCGTCTGGTCTGGCGCATCGGATTGGACGGAGCCGAGCTTCAAACCTGTGCTGGCCGGTATACTAGATGAGATGTTCACTGGGTGTATAGACGCCGTCGCGGCAAAGTTGAAGTAGTCTGACATCCCGAGATATATATATATATATTCTTGCACTTAGAAACTTGTATGCGCGAAGGCAATTATGTACATTAAAATGCAGTAACAAAAGGCCTCCGATTAGATGTGCAATTATTGAGTGATCGTACATATCAAGGCGACACATGCGGCAGCACATCACAATTCGATCAAATACGTCACTGCCAGCTACGAACTAGGTGTCGTCGATTTGTAATTGTAGCCGGTCTCGGGTTGTATCCATTCAGTCGAAGAATTTAATCATTGCGAACGGCGTCAACGGATTGTCTCTTGGCTTTCTTGCAAGGAGCCTTGGAGGGAACAGGCTCGGCATTGTCTAAGTCCATGTTTAGCACGCTGTCTCACTTGGCACTTTCTTGTTCTCAAAGTACAACACTTGGCGACACATGAAGCAAGGTACGACATCAAAGTTTTTGCGGTTTCTGGGAAACCAAGACAATATTGGGGATTGGTGTTCAAAGAAGATAACGCGAATTCAATTACAAGCAATCATAATCTAGTAAATCTAGTTCGTACCTTGAGCGCCAATGATCTTCTGCAGGCTGGTCATGGCGTTCTCCAACAGGTTCATCTCGCCAGGGGTGTTCTGGGTGTAGCGGGAGTTGAACTTCAAGATGCTCTTAACCGTCTTGTAGGTGGCGAGGTCGATGGTGATGGGGGTTCCAACAACGTTCCAGGCAATAGACTCGGTGCAGGGAGGAGTGGTGAGAGATCCGGAGTACCTTTTGAAGCGGTCAGCACGTAGTCAAATGTCGTTGAGAGAGAGAGTGCACTTACTGGTAGACGGTGCTCCTGGAGAGGTGACGGGAGAGGCCGCTGAAGTCCAAAGGACCTGTGGGGGCGTGCTGGCCGACCTCTCTGGCCTTGTTTGCGTTCTTGAAGACAGCGGCCAGGAGAGGGTCAGTCTTCTCACCGAGCTCGATGAGGAAGCCGACAACAGCGAGAGAGGAACCTGAACCTGTGTTAATACCTGTCTGCCTTGATCGCTTCACTGTTATATCGGACTCACCATTGCCAACCTGAGCCTCCCAGACAAAGTGAACCTCCAAAGCAAAGTGCTCGCCGTTCAGACGGTGCTCGCTGGGGGTGTGGAAGTGGAACTGTCGAAGAGCGTAGGTCTTGCCGCCGTTTTCCATGGTTCCGTTGGCGCGGACCTCGAAGACGCCGTTGAGGTTCTCCAGCTCGTGGCCATCGGGGTAGTTTTCGGGCTTGAAGGTGATGGTGGAGCCCTTGACTTGCTTGGTGTTGGAGTTGAGAACGTTGATAGGGGACTGGTTCTTGCCGAGAGCGCAGGCAGCGTTATCGGCGGACAAGGAATGCCAGTTGAGAGGGCCGCTGAGGCCGTCGAAGTTGTACTTGCCCTCGGCTCTCTTGAAAAGGCTGGTGCCGTGGTGGCAGAAGGCCGAGACGGCGGGGAGGAGGCAAAGAACGGCGGTGGCCTTCATGTTGAAAATCGCAAAAGGTAAAAGAATGACCGTGTGGTGTTTGGCAAAGAAAAAAGAATGACTGTGCTCGGTGAGTTGAGTTGAGAGTGTCACGATGAAACAAGTGGTCGAAGGAGTGGAAGATCTATAAGTAATATATAGATGGCACTGGAGTGTACCAGTCGATCGTGGGGTCCAGAGAAGCTAGGACTTTAAGATGCGATATTAATTTCATGTAGTCACTACGTACGATCAGAGCTACATTGGTTAAAGGTAACCTCTTGGCAGGTTTACCTAGTCAAAACAGCAAAACACCAGAGCTTGATTAGGGGGGATAATCCTGCAAGCACACAGCCGGCTCGAGGTGAGGACGAAAGTGTAGACCTCTCCGCGGCCACGTGCTTGGCAATGATCAATCGCGGACGGGACCAGGACCTAAAGACTGGGGTTTGAGTCAGGGTGCAAGAAACACATGACGAGAACGAAGGGACGGCTCCACGACAGTCAGAAAACAGGGCCCCTGAGAGAAGCGCCTTAGACGAGGGCCAGCGAGAGAATACCCGAATCAGGTTGTCATCAAAAAAAATTCAAATTGGCGAGCGCTTGGCGGGAGTGAGTCGCCATAGCAGTGGAGACGCGCTGGCAATTTACATTGTCCCATCCCATCCCATCACACTCACCACCACTTCCCGTGGTGCATGCCAGCAAAAGGCCAAGACTCTTGATCGGCCGAGATTCATACATAGTAGACGTTGCAGGAAACCCCAGTTGTTCAAGCAGCGTTATTGGTTCAGCTGATCGGCGCCGACACAGACAAGACGGCCGACACACGGGCTTACACGTGGGCTAGCAAGCCATGAGATTCAATCAACATCTGTCAACTTTGTCAAGAATAGCCGCTGGTCCGGGATCAAGCCAGTTTGACGTTCCTCACAAAGGCCGTCCGAACTCTACGAGGCAGGCGGACGTGCGAACGCTGCACTTGGGAGAACGCTAGGGCAAACATGAAGCGATTCAGAAGGGTTCCAAGACCATGGGCAGGGGGCGGACTTTGGAGAGGGAATAGGTCACTGTCGGATAACTGTCATTCGACCATGCAACAACGGTGACGCCAAGCAACAGGGACAGGGCCGTATGAATTTACCAGACTATTACTAGCATGTCAGGGCCCAACGTACCAACATAGGGAAGGTCTTAGGGGGGGGGGGGGATAAAAGGCACAGCAGATGGGGCCTAGTCATTGCGTGGTTGATGCTGGTCAGATTAAAGTTTTGGGGCCAAGAAGGCAATGCAGCCACCGGCATCTAACCCGGTTGATTGGGGCTACAGAGGGACAAGAGATGAGCAGGTTCAGGCGCCAAGACCCAGTGAGGAGCACGCCCAGGGTGCTGCTATGCCACACAGCCACTTTTGCCTACTACCAGCCTATACTATAACAACCAAAACACCCCTACTACGTAGCAGAGGCACTGCTATTTGTACCCGCTGAGCCAAGACTTAGGCAGTAGATAAGGCGGTATAGTTCAGGGGGGAAGGCAACTGTAGGCGGGCTGCTCCGTGCTCATCCAATATAATCACCATCACCACTACCACCACCAGTGGGCATCATCTGCTGTCGTCTTCTCTTTTCGTCTTGGCTATTTGCCAAGATTCTCCATTCCATAACCGCGTACCAGGCTTGGCAGATATATAGTCGCGGCGTCCTATCAACTTCCAAGAAACACCCAAGACTTTCTGTCCAAGACTCGTCCCAAGGTCCCAAGACTCTTCCCCAATAAGACCAACACGTGGGGGATGTGTGACTGAATTGCTTGTTCGAGTTTGGCGCCGCTGTTTTACCGTGGCTTGGACGGGCGTACCGACACCATGGGACCGGCACATCAATTTGCCCATATTTTTTTTTTTCTTTCTCTCTCTCTCTCTCTCTGATTCCTTGTTTAACATGTTTCTCCGGCCGATACCCCGTGCCATCCAGTCAATCATCATCATGAAGAATACTGCTGACAAATTTCTCCGTTGCCTATCTCGCCTAGAAAATTCCCACCAAAATAGCCTGCCGTTGTGTCATGGTTGGTCTCTTGGCGCACTAAATTCAGGACTCCTCATCTTGCGTACCGCTGATTCTTCATTGGCAGGGCTTTTCTTTTTTCTTTCCCCTCCCCCATACTTTGCATGCCCTGGCTCTGGCTGTACAACAGTGGGGAAAGGTTTAGGATAGCCTGGAACCTCTCAGAACAATTCTATTTTCTTTCTCCTCCCAAGAGGACTTTGGCCTGCCTGTCATCCTGTGTGCCTTTTTATCTTTATTTTATTTTTTTTAATTTCCAAATTTCCAACCCGCTTCCCTCCACATGCCGTCATCCTTGTCACTCTCAATGTCTGACCTGGCAGAGGCACTGTCGACATCCTCCCCTGGTTCTTCCGCAACTCTACGTGGGCGCCCGACCAATACTGCGTCGCCCGCGGCCTCCATTTGGAAGCATCTCCCAGAGGCTGGATTCCGGCAGCATGTCGTCGAGCTGGAGAAACTGACAAATGCCGTGCCTGTGGATGCTCAGACTTTCCCTCTGCCTCGGCATGATGCGGCAGCGGAGGCCGTTGAAAAATCCGATGGTCTGGTAGCGGACTTGGGCGGCCCAAACTCCGACACAAAAAACTGCCAACCCCGCCAACTCTCGCTGGCCAACGAGCAACGCCTGGCTGATGATATCGCCTATCTCATTGCTGTCGGTGAAGGGGCGCAGTCTGTTGCCGCTGCTACTGTCCAAGAAGGTCGTAATCTCCAAGATGGAAAAGATGGAAAAGGAATGAAAATCACCGTTGCATCCGTTGATGCGATCGAACCCAGCTCACAAGCGTTTCTACGATCCATTTTTCAGAAATTGTCTGCCGAGCCAAGCCCGAAAACCTTATTGCAGGATCTTGTGGACGAGGTCACTCGACATCACCACATTCGTCTACTCAACCGTCTTCGGTCGTGCAAGTGGAAGAAGCCAGTCTACCTCTCCCGCACCCACAAGAAACCCCTGTATGCCGACTTTGCCAACCTCGTCCATCGCGCCCAGTTCTTGTATACCAGGAGAGAGGCGAATACACGTGCCCAGCTCGAACAACAGCTTTTGGCTCTTGCTGCACTTCTTGAGGCCTTTGAGACGGCAACCGATGATGACCATGAAAAGCTAGTAGGGATTGTCCGCTCTAGCTACAATGTATGCACTTCGCCCCTCGTCGCAGACTATCTCGGGCGCCTGCAGGGGGTCAGGGCAACAACTCAAATTCAGGCGTGCCTAAAAACCTTGCGCCAGCTCGAAAAGATCGCTGCATACCACCGCATCTGTCTAACTCTAACAAGGCTATCCCAATCTCATGCCAAGATTTTCGCTAGCGTCGAGCTCCTCTTTCTGCCTCCATACGAGGCGGTGCCTCTCACCACCGTCGCCTACCAACCGTGGGCGAAGGCGACTCACGTGCACGCAGAGGTTATACTCAGCGTCCATCATGATCTCGAATTCCATCGATCACAACCTGAAGAGCACCCTTGGCACAAGCCGAGGTGCCTTGGCGCCTCCAAGTACTTTTGCTATCTCTGCTTCCTCTTCATTCGACACCACGGGGCTTACTTCGCGGCTAACACGCACGGGGCCTGCTATGACCAGTGGACAGTACCGGACCTCGCCGAATATCCTGAGACATTAGCCAGCCGTTATAGTGAGGTATTACGCGCCATGGACGCCGACGTTCAAAATCAGACACGCGCCGCGGTGTGGAGGCCAGAGCCCATGACGAGCCGGGAAAATCTGATTGAGACGACAGAATGAACATGACAAGAAACCTGGGGGGGGGGGGGGGGGGGGGGGGTTTTCCATTGTGTATTGCATAGATCCGACTCACGACTCAAAAATCGAACGTGGCTTAGCTATAGCTACGCTCTCATGTGGCTGTTGCTCTCATTTTTCTGATTACTGTACTCAACAAGTCAAGCCCAACCGCGCGGACGTAGATCCTCCTATCTTTGCGCCCGTTCGACGGGTGTACATGATTCAGGTTTCATCCGGGGACTTTTCGCCTCTGAATGCTACCCCCCGGTTGCAGATTGACAGGCACAAGGTAGCCCATGGAGCCATCATAAATTTCATATAGACTAAATCAAGCGGATGCTGATCTAATTATTCCTCTCCATGATTGCCATGTGCAGTGCCTCCATGGCCACCCAAGCCCTTTTTTTTTTTTTTTTTTCACTCCATAATTCTTCATTTTTGTCATGAGGCCGTCTATGCTGAATAACATTACTCATCATCGATTTCAGTTCTGCATTTTGCAGCCCCCCACCATCTTCATCATTTTATTACTTAGTACTGGTAAGAAAGCCCCGTGCGGCTGAGCCTGCGCTTGTTCAAAATATAATACTGCACGTTGGCCCAAATACCACAGGCCACCGCGGCAGTCACGAGGCCCGTGATCACGGTCCAGCCCTGGCGGTACTTCGGCGCATCTTCCTCGCGGAACAGCTGTTTACCCACAATGCCAGAGCAGTTGGCTGCCATAATAAGCATGGCCATGGTGATTGATCTCTCACCGGCCGACTTGGCGTTCATCGAAACCCAGGCGCCGTTGACGGGGTCTAATTAAGCTGTGTCAGTTGCGTGACCTCTTGGTGTCGTACTGTTTGGAGAAAATGAACTTACGCCAAGGGAACGAAAACGCCGTCGAAAGAGTCAGCATTGTGAACCTCCTCGTGCGGTCAGAGTCAATTAACAGCATGTTGCCAAGCTATAGGTTTTGTCAACAATTTAATTCAGCCAAGCCTCGACAGGTGATGTTGTCTACTCACGTTGAAGCCCCAGAAAATGAAGAGTCCCAGGAACACCCATGGGCCCCGCACCTTTGTCTTGTCGCTGTCACACAACAAAGTCAGTTTCGTTTGTTTTGATTCGTTCAGCTTGGCATGGCACACAACAGCACTTACGCGATCCAACCCCAGAACAAGTTGACGGGGATGAGAATCCATGCGCCGATGGAGACCATTGCGTTGGACTGCAGTCTGTCGTAACCCATAGATGCGACCAGCGACGGAGCGTAAGAGCTGAGAGTTGATGACGGCGAAAGAGCGGCAATGGTGAAGATGATGTGGGGGATGAGTCTCCAGTTGGTCAACTATTTCGGGTGAGCGCGGTTCACGCAAAACACAACACAGTTTCCAAGACTTACTGCTCCTTTTAGCTCTGGCCAGCTGACAGAACGCTTAGGGTGAGCCTTTGAAGGGTCGTCGAGCATGACTCTCTTGTAGAGGATTTCGGCCTCGCGCTCCGTGAAGTAGCGCTTACCAACCATGGACACGGGGTTGTTGACTTGGTTGGGAAAGAAAATGAGGAAGCAGATACCGACGAGTACAGTAAAGATACCCTCGAGCTTTTTTTGACGTCAGCAACTGTTTGACTGTAAAACACGGTATCTCTCCTACCAAGAAAAGCCATTGCCATCCAGCAAGGTTGGCAATACCTCTCATGTGCAAACTGAGGGCGTTGGTCAGTTGGAGTTCCGTAACTGATAGTGATCTCACCAATTGAGAAACTCACATTCCATAGGCAATCAGTCCGGAGCAGGCGGCGGCAAGCATGTTTCCGATGAAGAACCACGAGAACCTCTTGCTGGTCTCCTCCTTTTTGTACCAGCGGGTCATGGTGTACAGCGCGGCGGGAATGAAGCCGGCTTCGCAAAGTCTGGCGATAACGTTAGCTTTGGCTTTTTTTCCGAAAGTCTCCAAAGCTTGATGCATACCCAAGAAGCAATCTGGTAACCATAAAAGGGCCAAGACCCTTCTGGAAGGCTTGAAAGGTTGCGACCAACCCCCTAAGTGGCTTAGTTAGCGTTGTTGGCTTTGAGTTGCCAAGGCTCGGAACAGCCTACCATGCAACGATCTGTCCACCAATCCAAAGAGTCGGACCAACTCGATACAAGATAAGATTGCTGGGAATCTTGAAGTTTGTTAATTGCGATCCCTTTTTTTGAGTTTGCACGACAACTGACCTCGAGGATAACAATGCCTGCAGACAACAATTGCTGGCCGACGTTGAACTGGTTCTGCGAGATTCCGACGTCCCTCAGGAAGTAATCCGTCAAAGCATTGCCACTGTTCCTTCTGTCAGATACACTCCTTGTATTGTTATCATTTTGTGACTTCGTACATGTTTCCACGGTCGAGTTGTAAGGCGAAGAAGGCGAGGATCAAGAGGGGCATGATAAGGAAATCGACCCTGTAGAGAAATGGGTCAGTAATTGTCACTCGACGCCAGATATATCGACCATTGAGTAAACTTACTTTCGAACCAAACGCTGCTCCTCTTCTGGCGACCAGTCAATTTCGGGGTGGTCAACATCGCTCTGGCTATCAGGGCTCTCGGCCACTATCTTGGTGTGCTTCTCATCTACGGTTGCCATTTTGAAGCAAGCCTGTTGATCTTGCGACTGAGGCAATTGAATAAACAGTGACGGAAGTAGCCTTCAGGAACTCTGACGATCTCTTTTTTTTTCCTCCTCAGTAACATAACCTGGCATACAATGCTATTTAAGAAAAGGCTACCATGTTAAAGACTTGCATACTGCCCCTCTTGCCTTGCCTTACGGTTCCGCGTTCCACTCCGCGTTCCACATCGCTTGGAGCCATCAAAACCCTCTATTTCCTCTCTACTAGGACGAAACAATCCATAGTTACGGTATTTCCGTGGGGAACTGACTTGGATACCACGCGTCGGGTAGCCATTTTGACAATTTTGGGACAAGTCTTGCTTCGGCCAACTCCAGAATTGGACCACCCAGCACGGCCCACTCCTGTTGATGCCATCGGAAGAAGCGCGCACGCCATCGATCACCACCTCTTACATGCACAATCCGCACCCATAACATGCACGACGGCTTACCTAACCATCTGATGCAATCGGTACTCGGGATGGCGAATGGACCTAAGTCCAATGGAAGTGCTCAATTCCTCAATAGATGCCGACTGTTCTGGTGCGCTACCCGTCAGTTTGAGCCGGCATCGGTCACAGTCCGAACGGCTTTGCGGTGACTGATAGCTGCCGATTTGCTTTCAAAGCTATTAGCTGATCTTTACTAGTCAGATCTATCTTTTGGACATGGGTCTTCGAAGGTATGCTGTGGAAGAGAGTGGGAGGACGCGACAGGTGCCCAAATCCATATCAATACCCATCACTGCTCTTGGAAACAAAGAAAACTTCAAAAACTCCTGTTGCATGTTGGATTTTTTCAGAGAATGATTTTTCTCGGTCCTTAAGACGGGATTACCCGCCTTTAAGCAGATTCGGATTCAACCTTCGCGTCATCGTCCACAAATGAGATGTTTATCCGAAAGCTCTCATATGCAGTCATGATCGCGCAATGCCTAATATGGCAGTTTGAGGTACTATGTACTTCTCAGGATGACTGCAGTGAGAATGTACTGATAAGACTGAACATAAGAAGAGTGTCTTCGAACGACATTAGTGAGCGATTTTGTGATCGATCTGGCCGGACTGTGCGACACATCTCACCATGGCAAACTTGGAATCCAGAAAACACATTTCTCCTGATTCGGGATTTCCCATTACTCTCCATCCCCATTTCCACCCTAGAATAAAGGACCATGTGCCTCCGGAGCCTATCAGACAGCAAGTATTCCCAGACAAGGACCGCGCTACCTTTGCGGATCCGGAGAAGAAAGCCCTTTTCGCCGTTGCCAAACGGATCGATTTGACCGAGTCAATCGGCACGGTTCTGGAAAACGTACAGCTATCGCAGCTCAGCCCTCAGCAGTTGGATGAACTCGCTCTTCTCGTGACTGAGCGCGGAGTCGTCTTCTTCCGAGATCAGGACCTAACGACAGATGGCCAGGTGAAGCTATTCGAGCATTACGGCACGCTAGATCGCCATCCAGCTCAGAAGGATGTCAGGCATGTCGTAATCAAAGGCAGTCGTGAAGATCATCGTGAAATTCTCACTTACACACCTTGGCCATCTGACGACTTCCATGCCGATACGTCGTTCGAAGTCAATCCTCCATCGTATTCCTTGCTCCGTATGGAAGAGCACCCCGAGGTGGGAGGCGATACTGCATGGGTTTCCCAGTATGGGCTCTATGATGCGCTCAGCGACGCCATGAAGAAGTTCGTCGATGGGTTGCATGCAGTTCACACCTCGAGGTTGCAATACGATACAATCTTGGATCTCTGGGGCGTCGGTCCAAACCGACCCCCTATCGACTCACACCACCCTGCCGTGAGAACGCATCCGGTTTCAGGACTCAAGGCATTGAACGTGAATCCCGGGTTTGTGACTGCTTTTGCCGAATTGAAGAAATATGAATCCGACAAACTGCTTGATTTCTTCGCTTATCACATTCACTCAGCTGACGATCATGCCGTCCGATGGAAGTGGCAGGTAGGCTCCGTTGCCATGTGGGATAATAGGTTCGTTCTAAGCTCGTGTGCTCCAAGGATAGTTTGTTGAACTTCTACTTAGATGCACACTTCATCGTGTTATTCCCGGCACATATGACGCTCCGCGAAGAGGTATTCGAACAACTGTCTTCGGAGAAAAACGTAAGTAATTTTCTCACAGTAAAAGGAAACAGTCCCATGGAAGCATTATTAACTGTGTTGACCACTTGTAAAGCGTACTATGATCCTGCTAGCGAAAGTAGGAACGAAAGAGAGAAGAGACTCAAAAGAGAGTTACACGAGAAAGATCAACATCTAGAGGACACGAAAGAGCCAGTAGCCGATACTCCAGCATGATCGAACGACGCAAGGACACCTTCGTTTTTATTTCATTGTTCATACTTCGTTTCTTGGGCGCCCCGAACCAGTAAGATGTGTGAGTTCGGTGATTCGAATCCAACAGCTTTCGCGAAGTTGTGGCGCGTGATAGCCTAAGTCAAGTACATGTGGAACCAGTGAACATAGGAGTAGAACAAAGCCGATAGAATAGTGTACCGATTCTGTCTAACAAATGCAAAACACAACACCATTCTGCTTCTAGAGGTATCTTCTTCATTCATACGCTTAATCTTTGCTCCTCGTACACCGGAGAACCAGCTCTCCGGTTCGTTGTAGAGCTTCTCAGATGTCAAGGGAGACAAGCAGATTCCACGTAAACAGGTCTACAAGAATTTAACTGCAGCCACATGCACATTTGTTGTATTAAAAAGATCCGGATTATCCATATCGTTCATCACAGTCTCTTCCAACCCAGAAGAGCTATTGCAAAGCCAAGGCTTCTCGCGTTGAGCAACCCTATTGAGGCATATCCGTTTCTATGGGTATCTTTCCGTCTTTCATTCATATATTTCGCCGCCGATTCCCAATAATACGCTTTTGTTCGAGAAAGACCTCGATAAGCATGTCCATAGGACTTATTCCCTAGTGACCTTCCAGTTGGTATGGACTTTAATCGCCGACTCCGGTTGCTCTCTCGTCAGCTTCCGTTCGGACCCGCCGTCATTGCTAACCGTCTCATGACCATCTTGCTCGTTCTGCAAGACGTTAGCATATACATGTCTAAAGCATCGCTTAGAAGTAACTCACCAACTCAATCCAAGCGGTGTATTGACCAGGCTTGGGTGGGACCTTGAGTTGATTTCCCGATCCCTTGAACCCGCTCTGACTGTTGGAGTTTCCGAGGGAGGAGGATTTATACTTCGCTCTCCATCTTAGGTAGAATGGTCGAAGCATTGGAATATTGATACAAAGACCCGCAAGCATCAACTCCACGGTGCAGAGCATAAAAGTCGTTAGGGAGGTACCGGTAAGGTTCCCGGTCAAGTCGATGACAAAGATCTGCCAGAAGCGAACAATGCCGATTACACAGCAGCTTCATATATGTCAGCAACGTGATGGTGAGATAGATGGCGAGAAGGTTACTACTTACGCAAGACCGAGCGCAAAACACGCGATGACGGCAACTTTCTCCGTCTTTCGCATCTGCAACTGCCACACTGTCCAGATAGGCAAGATGACAATGAAAAGGTCAGTCACGACGTTTGTCATGATAATGCATTTCAAGACCAGAATCTGGTCCATGCAATGGCCAATACGCATCACAGTCCATTGTTGCGAAATCGGATTGCATAGGAAGATGAAGATGAAAGTGAAAACCAAAGCCCAGATGACGACGATGCCTGCGACGACATAGATCCACTTGCTGAGTTGCAGGGCGAAGGCTCTATAGTAGAACCAGAGCTGACTGAGTTTCAAAGTCGCGAGCGCCCAGAGATAGACCAATGTGAAGGCAAACGTCACCTTCAAGATATACTGCAAGTTGTTGACCACTATGAGACGATTTCCACTTACATTCGGGGTACACTTCGGAGCTTGGGTCGAAATCGTAACCAACTCCAGTTGTAAACACAGCAACGCTCAAACCTATTGTGCTACAAGACAGTAACTGTCAAAATAGTTAGAAATGCTGTATGAATATGAGGTCGAGGTATTGTGGTGACATACACAAGCAACCACTGCGAGAATGTCGTCTCCGCCTATTCCTACTCCACGGAATCGTCCCCATAGCCGAGCAAAGACTACTGTAGCAAAAATGACCCATAGGAACGAAATAGCAATCAGTGAGTTCTGGGCGCCTTTCGTCATCGGGACATACTGAAGCGGCGGTGCCACCACCTCTGCTGGCGCAGCCATGATGGGAGAATTCGATTTCTGTTTCGGTTTTAACGAGTAGAATAACGAAGAGAAGAAGACGGCCGAAGAATTAAGAACACCATATATTTCTGGGGAATCAAGACATAACTAGTGGGAAAATGCTGAATGGGACCTTGCCCTTGGCACGCCCCAGCAGTTAAAGTTGTCATATTCCGGAGGTCGTGCGCAATGAATCCCATATTCTACGGAGCACGCGCATTCATGGTGATCCGTGTTAGGCAAAGGAGAAGCAAATCCTACCCAGTATAGCCCAGGTGAGGACCCGGCATTCTGTTTGACGGCGCCGACATCTCTCTGGACCCGGTTTGCGGTGCGCAGCTTAACCTACCCGGGCATTTTTACGGGCCTCTCGTGTAAGAAAGCATAGGGGCTTGACTCGCGGAAACCCATCCACGGTCATAGAGTCCGAAATGTGATTTGAAAAGAATGCTGGTCAGAACAAGGGGGATCCGCTTGTCGACATTATCTCAAAGATGATGGGCTTCTTAACAGTCTGTGGGGTTTGGATTTGATTCACTCATGGTTACATTGTTTCGCATTTACTTCGGCAGTCTTTCGATGGTCGTGTTTGAATTGTCATTCCGCCGCCATTGTGACGACAGATATTAATGGCTATTGACTTTGCACAGCTGAAGCGTTTAGTGTTATCCAAGATATATATCACATGAAGATCATCCGAATTAACTGTAGTATGGCACAAGTGGATGATCTGCACGGATCAAGCTTTAAAATATAACCGCTCTATCCTTCTCGGAAGTGTTGGCTAGAAAATGACAGTCTCGCATGCTTACTTGTAGGAAAAGAGTCCTGGATCCTTGGTCTTGGTTGTGATAGTGGACCTTTAGCTTTTTCCAAGCCCCACGGCACCAGTTCCCGGCGTGCCCCCCGGTGGCCGTTGGAAATTGGCGCGGCCGGTTCCCGGGGTGCGCCGAGTCAATCAAACCAGGGCCAACCCTACTTTAGGCAGAAACAGTGGAGTAGTCTGTCCAAGAGCTTCCCAATTGGACAGTGACAGGATGACATTTGATGACATCGCCGATCATACCCGTAACTGGCATATCAAAGCAGGCTTCTGATGTTTGACAGGTCCGAGCTGATGAACTCGTCAATGACGGGCGTTCTGTCATTCGGGACCTATCTTCGGGACCTAACTGCTAGCTGAGCCCGAGCGCTGGTAGCGCGTGTGTTGAAAGATTCAGGGTTCTAAATATCCAACAGCATCAGTTTGAAAGGAAGTCGACATGTGACTTGCTTCGTTCGGAAACGATCCAGCTCAGAGCATAACGTTTCGGGTATGGCATGGTACATCATGAGACCTATCAAGTCATATGATGAAGATTATAATCTGTGACAAAGTCTAATTTCTAGTCTTGAGCACCAGTGACATTCATCATGGCTTAAATGATAGTTTTTTGTGCTACTCTTGTGAAAAAGAAGCCATACCTTTTCGTTGAAGCTGATCGAGCCACTGATTGAATCACCTCGAGATCGTGGGTATTTTGCGTGGAACTCGGCTCGGGTCAACGGGACTGATGCTCCGACCCCAATCTCTTCTCTTATTGCGTTGGTAAAGGGCAGCAAAACTATCCTCCCCTCGCCCAGAAAGCTGGTGAGTGTCATTGAAGTGGACTCCTTGTGGAGTTGTCTCCATTCCAAGGCCCCGGTCCGTTCCATTCAAATCGCCCAAGACCACCTGAAGATCTGTGAACGATTCGTCTTAGCGTTGTTTGCGTTGCATTAAGATAGTTGTAGTGCTGTGTATTTGCATCACAGGCGGTGTGGAATCGCCCAAATGGTTTCATCGACGTGACTGACATCTTACCCTCTGATGATATCGTATCTCGGATATGTAGATATATGTCCCCAAAAAAGCGATTGGGATCTTTTGCTTGGAGGATCCCTCACAGCGAGCCCCTCGTAGTGACCCCTGGCCGTCGTTTGCCGAGTAGCTATGCATCAGACTGTCCTTGTGGGTAAAGAGGTTACATCCTACAGACGTACTTCGGTGGCATATCCTTTACCTGAAATTCTTCAGCAGACTACTCGCCGCATGTTGTGGATCGCCCCCGCAGCGTCTACACGCTAGCAACACTAGTTTTCCATCCAACGTCCCCCTTTCTCAGGGGCAGTCGTGGTCGCGTCCTAATCCCCTCGATGCGACGGGGTTCGGGGCTGTGATGGCAGCTCGTTCGGCCACTCAGCTCGTGTGTTTTATGAATGACCCGAATAAGTGTGGATCTTGTGATAAGTGGGATGCGGTTCTTGGGTATGATTTTTTGACGGTAATGTGCAGTATATAGGTCTCACATAAACATGTGCGATGCTTCGCATCGCTGAAAAGATCGCCCTCCTTTATCCCTCCCAGTGTGCATATTCCGCTTAGCAGTTCGTGCTCAACATGGCTGCAAACACTATCGTGGACGGCCTCAAGGCTGTCCTGAGCCCGAGCGCCATCGTCTATTTCCTTGGCCTCTGGGTCTTCTACTACATCCTGGTCGCCCTGTACAACATCTCCCCGTTCCATCCTCTGGCCCGCTTCCCTGGGCCCAAGATTGCGGCTGCGACTTACCTGTATGAGGCATACTATGACTGGTGGCTACTTGGAAGATATGGCAAGGTCATCGCACGGATGCACGAGCAATACGGTAAGTCTGGGTATGACTAGTCAGAGCACGGTTCATTTCTGACAAGTCTCCCCAGGACCCATTGTAAGAATCAACCCCGACGAGCTTCACTGCTCTGATCCCTCCTTTACGGATGAGATCTATGCTGGACCGGGTCGCATCCGTGACAAATGGCAGCACCAGCTGAACACCGGCGGTGCCGGTCCCGTATCTGTCACCGGCTTCTCCACCGTTCCTCACGAGCTTCACCGCATGCGCAAGGGCGCTCTTTCCAAATTCTTCTCGCGTCAGCAGATGCTCAAACTTGAGGGAGAGGTACAGGAGTTCGCCGAGCTTGCCGTTGACAAGATGCTCCGTTCGGCCGGCAAGGAGCCCTTCGATGTCAAGGAGGCTTTCAACTGCTTTACCGCTGATATCATGTCCCAATATGCCTTCGGTGAGCCCATGGGCTTCATTGCTCAGGAGGGCTGGGAGCCCAACTTCGCAACATGGGTCAAGTCTTTCTTCAAGAGCGCCTACATGATGAGACACAATGCCCTCGGCAGGAAGATGGCGCAGGTACTCCCCATGATGGCCGATTACATGGGTGAGGATATCAAGGCTGTAATGAGACAAATGAACGTTGTGATTCCGGGATACATCCAGGCGGCTCTGAACAACCCTGAGAACGGAAGAGTCTTTGCCGACCTCATGGAATCCAAGACAATGCCTGAATCTGAAAAGTCCATGTACCGCCTTTCTGGCGAGGGCTTCAACTTCTTGCTTGCGGGTACCGAGACCACTGCTGTGAGTTGTAATTGTCTTCTGGCCTTGGACCATGTTTACTAACCGTGATACAGGCCACCCTTACCGTCATCACTTACTACCTTCTTGCCCAGCCCAAGACGTACGCACGTCTGATGGAGGACTTGCAGGGCCTCAACCCCTCGAACCTCAAGTGGACCGAGCTTGAGCAGAAGCCCTTCCTGTGGGCCGTTATCCATGAATCCCTGCGCATGATGCCTGGTGTCTCACACCGTTCGGCCAGAATTGCTCGTGAGGAGGACTTGGTGTACAAGACCCGCGACGGCAAGAAGGAGTGGGTCATTCCCAGGGGCACTCCCATTGGCATGACCTCCATGATCAACCACTGGGACAAGGAGCTGTTCCCTGACCCTGACGAGTTCATCCCCGAGCGTTGGTTGGTGAATGGCCAGCCCAACTACAAGCTCCAGAAGTATCTGATTGCCTTCGGCAAGGGCAGCCGTTCGTGCATTGGCGAAAAGTAAGTCATGTTTGCCCTGCTAGTTTTCATTCGAGTTGGTACTGACATTTTCTGGTAGCCTGGCGTACTGCGAAGTTTATCTGATGGCGGCTATGATGGCTCTGCGTGTCATTCCCAGAGCGCAGCTGTATGATACAACTGTGGAGGACATCTCCTATGACCATGACTTGATTGTTGTCCAGACCAAGAAGGGTTCTATCTCTGTAAAGATTCAGATCAAATAGGCTGAGACAGACGTCTTGAGAAGCACAATCACGCACTTTGTACTGCAAAAGCAGCACATATCTGGGCATTAATCGTCACCAAGCGTTTAACCTATTTGTCACTGTGACAATAAGTTTCAGTACGTCAGTGAAATTAAACATCCTTGTCGATTCCTCTGATGAGGCTACACTGGGTAAACCATTGTTACGGACTACTGTGTTAAACATCTGCCTTGTGTCAGGGGTTGTCAGTTCGGCTAGCTTCGGACCCTCCATAGCAGCTTGGTTTGCAGTCTTGAATCTTAGTTATTCAAGTGGACACTACCTACAAATAAGATGCTACTTGTAGGTTGCAGTAGGTTGCAGTAGCTTGAATGCAGGTACAACTCTAAGTTGCTATAAACGGCTTACGTAGCTGATAGCTTACAATTGAATCAGTCCGCAAGTCACGGTTGAGTTTAGCCCCATCGCTCATCTTGCAAGATGAAAATGATACGTCTCACGTATCAACAAATCAAAGCATGACAACAGTTTGTTTCCCGTCAATTCTACTTATAGCGTATGTGCATTTTGGTAGTAACATATGTACAGCGAATTATTTCCTAGCATACAAGGTTTTCCAGGGACTGAATGACACAATAATACCACATCGATGACTTCAATTATGCTCAAGGTGAAATCCTTGAATCAGTTCGACGAGGGTCTAAACATCCAAGAACATTCCTTGTCTGGCAGCAAGAACATTGGTGCAGAGCGCGTTGATTCGCATGTAGTTCTCAAACTCTTGAACACCGATAATAAAAGGGTTAGGAGTCTCAGGGGCCTGGTGCGCGAGCACGTCGGCGTGGTACAGAGAGTGGTCAGCGATCTGGTGGTTCGAAATGAGCGTGTCAACACCCTTCGCTCTGGCGACATCGGCAAAGTGGTTCTGGGAAACAATCTTCTGCTCTCTCTCGACCTTGGTACGGGGGATTCCGGTGCCTCCGTTCATGCCAGCGATGTGAGGCACGCCCTTGTCAAAGACGGGGAAGATGAGAGACACAGTTCCGGGGGTGTGGCCAGGGGTAAGAACGGCGGTGGTAGTAACATTTCCGAAAGTCAGCTCTTGGTTGTCGGTGATAACCTGGTCCTTGGACGGCGGTGTGGGAGAAGAGGTGATGTTGGCCATGCTCGTCCACGCGGCATCAGCAGCCCAGAGTGTGGTGTTGTAGGTGTCCTTCAGGTGCTTAGCGCCGCCATAGTGGTCGACGTGCTCATGGGTAATGATGCAATGCTTGATGTCAGAGCCCTTGTAACCGAACTTCTCAAGTCCAGGGATGAGAATTGCATCAATCTCTTCAGGGTTGTCGAGGGCGTCGATGAGCACAAGTCCGTCGCCAGTGTCGTAAGCCCAAGCGGACACGAAGGCGTGGCCAACGAAGATGAGGCGGTCAAAAGGAGTGAACGGGTCGACAAATCCCGCGGGGAACTGGAAGAGAGGAGGGTACACCTGCTGAGTGATGCAGAAGTCCTGGTAGTACTGGTAGATGGAGAAGGAGGTCTTGGCCAGGTCGGCCGCTGCGTTCAGGTATTTGGTGACGTTTTCCGTCTGTTCATTAGGGAAAGTGGTCTTGTTGAAGAATTGATCCAGAGTGGCAATCTGCGCATTGGCGGCCGCAGAGAAGAGTGTAAGGCCGCTCACAAGCAGACCACGAGGGTTGCGGACGTACATATCGGATACGGTTAGGAAGCCTGATTTGAAGTGATGATACAGAAAGAATGAATGGCTGAAACGAACGTTCAAGGTCTGCTGATGGCTTTGTAAGTGAAGGTTTCGTTTATTGAAAGTCTGGCAATGGGATGTGATAAAGTTTTATACTGTCGGTGATACTGCCTGCAGGCATATGAATCGTTTGGGTGCACACTCGTCACAACCCAATAAGTCAAACTGATATCCATATGGATCGGCTTCGTTTCTTCCCCTCTTGCAGGCCAACCCCGGCTTGGAACCTTGTCCCCAGATCAGGACTTCACGAGACGGGTGTTCATACGTATCCCATAACGTAGGTCCCATGAGCCATGAGTCAAGGGTTCTACAGCCAGAAAACAGATGCAGCTTCATGCTAGCAAATGTTCCCAACATGATGTTTCTGGGATTCATCTTTGTTCTTCCTTATTATCCAATACAGCAATTGAGACTCTTTGCAAGCAGTGACCGCGTGTACACGGGTTTCAAAAGACCACGTCGAACTCCTGTCACCACTGTCAAACATGGGACGACTTGTGAAAAGTCTATCGCCGGCGGACAAAGACTACCCCGGCTGTTTGTGAGTTCGGACTGTGCCCGATCTCGTACACTTATCCTAGCCATTGGTAAGGATCTTCTTTCGTCCCTGACTGACTAATGAATGTATGCTAGTAGAACCTGTCTCGAGGGGAAATCAACGACAGAATGATTCACGATGAGGCCATACAACAACCGCGCGCTACATGACGCGGCACCTGGGTCCCCTTGGGTCAGATTAACGAGACACTAGGAGCCTCCATCCATAATGAAAGCCAAGACCACAAGTTATGATGTCGCTCCTCCGGACATCCCCGAAGCATCCCCTCCATCGACGGGTGGTTCCGAATTATGACCATTTGTCTCCAACTTGGCATCATAGAGAACGATGGCGGTGCCCTACTTCACACAACAGATTCATCCACTGCAATGTTCATCCCCCCACGCTAGTATTCATCAGGTCGGATACCGCCATCACGAAACCCCCGCTGACAAGGATTAGCAATATATGGTTTACCAATTCCCTAGTAACGACAAGCATTGCTAGGATTCGTTAGATGTTGAAGTTACCTTGATTTAGTTAGTAGGCTACGATATTAAGCATGAGTGGTGACCCACATTTCTGGGCTTTAATCGGATGGATGTATTTGTTGCTCGGAGCTGCCACTCCTTAAAGACGAGACGGATGCAAACCGAATCCGAGCTGGCTCTTCTCATCACTAAGCTCCACGCGTAAAAACGCAAACACGCAGCACAAAACCACTACAATTTTCAAACCCAGGGTTTCATTCAACCCACACGCCGCGTCATCATAGGTACTATCTGTTCCACGGTTGAGATTTTTTAAATTCTTGCCAAGACAAAAGACCCGCCCGCGGTAGTACTACGATGGGCATAGTGTAGTGGGATATAACACGCGTAGAGGACTGTAAGCTGGTGCGTTTTATTTTACACTCGGCGAGGTCCTCCACTACGGAGCACATACAGAGAAACCTGGAGGTAAGTTTCGCCGGATAGTTGCTTGTTCAGTCACCTCCCGCGTAGAGTCTTCATCCGGAAATGGCAGGTTTCCACGACGGTATACCCTTGATGAGCGGTTGTCCCCTCCACTGCCATTCCACTAGTAATATAGAGTTACCGACAATGAGCGACATGGCTCTGAATCAATGCATGACTAGCTCAACCGTTACACTCGAACCAGTGTTAAGATCAAATAAGCTCAGGGACAATATGACACCCAGGGTTCCCCACACTCATCAGTATAGCCTGCAATATATTTGCGAAAGCATGTCGCTTACTGTACATTCTTATTGGCCCAGGACCATATCAAACAGGTGATGGGTCGTTCTGCTGCTGTATTTCTCTCTCTCTGCCGATACTCCGCGTCTTTTCTCTCCATCCTGGCCCCCACCTCCTGACAGCAAGCAACACTGGGACAGAAACGAAGCACACAAACCCATAGAAGGTGAATGTCCAGCCAGTCCCAAACTCGTCGACGAGCAGCTGCACCACAGCAACCCCAGCAGCAGCGGCAATAGACCGGACCAAGTTCATCGCCACACTTGCAACACCGGGCTCGCGAGGGTGCAGTTCCAGGTAGAGCGTAAGACACGTCTGTCCAACATCGTCAGCGTCTTGGTCCCCCCCCCTTACAAGATCCCAATCCCATTAAACTCACATTACAGATGCCCGTCGCGGCCAAGCAGCAGAGGAACTGCGTTACCATGACGAAACCCAAGTTCATCTTGTACTGGATCGCCCAGCCGTAAAACACCGTCGACGTGATGACCAGGGGAAACAGATACCATATTGTCCGGAGACGCGCCTGCTCGATCGGGAAGTTTTCAAAGTTGCGTCCTTCAAAGTCGCTAATCGAGAGACGGTGGGCTATGGCGACCATGGCATAGTCGTGATCGATGACCTTTCCTAATTTCTTTCTTCAGATACGACTAGACTTTTACGTTCACGGAGGGGGAAAAAAAAAACATACCGACCCCGTAGGCGGATAAAAAGACGGCCAAACCATATGGGACATAACATAGCCCAGCTTGAAGCCCGTTGAGCTTGTACTTCTCCATTGCATGGTGAGCAAGAGAGTCCTGGATACACGTGAAGCTAAGATGGATCAACGCGCTCCCGCCGAGTAGCAACGCATCCAGTCGGCGGAATATAATCTTTAACCCCCTAAATGGGTTTCTGAATGAGTGTTCCGACGATGCTGGCGTCTCCTGGACTGGGGTGTCGTCGAGTGGTCTGTCGATAGGGACCAATGCAGACGACACCGGCCAGCTGACTTTACCCTCGACGCCCCTCCCATCGTTGACGACGTTCGGGCAGGTTTCTGGGAGGAACACAAAGAGACAAACACCACACACAGCTCCGAAGCTGAGAAGGAGCCAGAAAGCCTGGTGCCAGCCGACTGTGTCCCCCATGATGCCACCAGCGAAGGGGCTTATTACGGGCCCAAGGTTGACTCTGATACAACAGTCAGCAGAACTCGGTTAACACCGTTTGAGGAGATTTACCCAGTCAACATGGCACCCATGTACCTACCTCTCCTGTGAGCCGGGGAAATATCAGTGACGACCAAGGCGCCCAGTGCCAAAAGACCTGTTGTTGTCAGCACCATTTCAACTCTCCAGGCCGTAGAGACTCTTACAAGACGTTCCGGCACTCTGTACCATGCGAAAGACGAGCAGTTCAAAGTACGACCGTTGCAACGCCAGTCCGATACACGAGGCGCAAAACGTAAACAGAGAAAGGAGATAAATCGGCCGTCGGCCGAGGTGGTCGGCAATGTTGCTTAGCAAGGCGGGGACGATACCCTGGACGAGGAGGTACGAGGTGATTGTGATGTTGATGTACTCGATGGACACGTGCAGCTCTTCAGACAAGGTGTCGATGATGGGGATGTAGATGAAGACGCTGAGCGGGGGCACGAAGGCCGCCATGGCCACCAGGAAGACGATGCATTTCCTCTGTCCGTCCGAGAAGCCTGTATACTGAGGTTCTCTACGCTCGTCGCTCGAGGACGATGATGGACTGACGACGACTTCCACGCACCCTTCGCTGATGCTCGGCCGAGGTGACGAACTGGGCCCCTTCATCTTTTGACCGGAAAACGGGGGAAAGAATTTCGATGCAGAAGCGAAGTTCTGTCAGAGCGAGGAAGCCGCTGATAATGGAGGTTTCCCTAGCAGTGGCTTTTCATGTTGAGATGTCTTGGCTTTGTGAGCGCTGGCGTCTTCTCCTCTCCCCCGTGTTGAGGATAGATGACTGATGACTGGTGAACGCCATTGCCGGCAAGCCATCTTTCTTATCTCAACTATATAGATCCGATGACTGGTGTCAAAGTCGAGTTGGCCTTCTTTTGGTCTACATTGCAAAGGGTGAGACCAAATCACCTTTTTTTTTTTTTTTCCTTTCTCCTCCATTTCAAGGAAATTAGGTTGATATGGGGATGCCATCGCCGCACGTGCTCAAGCTGATGGCTTCATTAACACCGAACCGTTGAATTTGGCGTTCAAAAAAAATAGAAACATGGCCTCGGTTGTTTCAAGTGCAAGAGTATCCTGGTCTGATATTAAATTAAATCGTATTTCTTATCTATCTGCTGCTCTATCGGTGTTGTTCCATAGGTAGAGTCCCGCCGAGACAATCCGTGACAACGTGAGACACGCCATCTATCGCATCTCAACCGCTCTTGGGTCCGTCCAGCGGGCTGACGGTCGGGTCCCAACAGACTGGGGCGTACTCATCGGTCTCGAGAGACTTCATGTCATCGTCGGACAACTGGAAGTCGTAGATCTCGGTATTGGCGCGGATTCGGGCAGGAGTAACACTCTTGGGCAGGGGAATGTATCCCTTCTGAAGACTCCAGCGCAGAAGAATCTGAGCCTCGGACTTGCCGTGCTTATCAGCCAGGGCCTTGAGGTTCTTCTCGCCCCATCTCTCTCCTCGAACGAGGGGGCTGTAGGCCTCAATGGCGACGTTGCGCTTCTGCAACCACTGAACGATATCGTTTCTGGCACACCAAGGGTGGATTTCATATTGCGCGACGTCAATGGCGCCACCCTTGCCGGGACCACCACGCTCGGCCTCGAGCTCCTTGATGTGCGTCTCAAGCTCGTCGAGATGGTGCACGCCGTAGTTGCTGACACCGATGGAGCGCACCTTACCGGCCTCCTTAGCCTCAACGAGGGCTTTCCAGGCGCCCTTGCGACCCTCGGAACCGCCGTAGGGGCAGTGAAGGAGCATGAGATCGATGTACTCAAGACCGGTCTCCTTCAGAGTCGCCTCGACTTGGTCCTTGGCGCCGTCATAGTGGATGTAGCGGACCTTGGAAGTGAAGAAGATGTCGGACCGGGGGATGTCCTTTGCTTGGCGGATGGCGCTTCCGCAACCGGCCTCGTTCTTGTACGAGGCGGCCGAGTCGATCTGATTGAGGTCAGATAGGCAAACGGGGATGTGTGTACTCGGCGGTTGATCTTACATGGCGATACCCGACCTTCAGAGCCTCAGTGACCACTTCCTCGGCCTGCTCAGGGGGACTGCATCGGTGTTGGTATTGAGACAGTTACATAGTGTTCTCGGAGATACTTACGTCTTCCAGAGCTACCCTGATTGTCAGTAATCAAGCCACAATAATCGCGCAAGGGGAGTGAAACATACGCCGTATCCCAGTACGGGGATTTCATAGCCGCTGGTAAGCTTCTGCTTCGACTGGAAAGTGAGCGATGCCGCCATTTTGTTGGTTTATAGATTTGTGATCACGGGGGGTGTCGTGACAACAGTTGTGGTTCCAAAGGAGGGGGTTTGAGTAAGCTCTGGAGCAATTGGGACGTGTTCGCAGTCCAAACAGATGTTCTGTCATTAGTCATAGGGACTAAGAAGGGAAGGATCCATTGTGTTGCGGCTTTGGCCTCATTTGCTGCAGGTTCGGTGTTGCTGTGCCGAGCTCATTGCGCGACCTGTCCGCAGGGCCTCATAAATCGCGTTTCAGTGGCTTTGGGGGCATGTTTACGTCATACGAGGGGGAGGGGCAATAGGCCATTCCAGGCATTTACCCCGCCATTTGCCCCGCCATCACCGTTAAAAAAAAAGAAAGAGAAAAAAAAAGAGTCACTAAATATGGCGAACATTGGCGCTATGCAGTTTTGCTGCGCCCAATATTATTATTTGCATCGTTAAGGTCGTGGAATTTCTTTTGGGTGATCATTCGTTCATATAATCGTCTCTTCTCCCGCATCACCGCCTGTTGCTGCACCATCTTCGTCCTCGTCGTCCAGGTCGTGGATGGGATATGAAAGGATGGCAGCAACACTACCCAACATGTCGAGTCGTTGACCGCTCTCGTGGTCGCTGCTGAGAATTCTGACCTCACCACCATCTGCCTTGACCTTGTCAACCATGGCCACATACTTTTTCCTTGTCGGAATGTCGGAGCTGCGGAAGAGGGAGTTGTTCATAATGAGGACACCACCACCCGGGCCGATGGCACCCTCGTTAACAGCCTTGGCGACTGATGATGCTCCGTACCATGCGCGCCCGTCTTCTAGTCGCAATCTGTCAAAGAACTGGTCCATCAACTTTGTTTCTTTGGTAAACTTGAAATCCTTCAATTTGGTGCCCATCTCGGGGCTCTTGAGCACTTCGTTGAGACTGTGAACGTGACCCGAGTTTGTGTGGATGACGGTGGCCTCCCTGGCAATCGCCGACAGCTTCTTGTCCGACTTGTCGCGTCCCTCGTCCGCAATGTACTTTTTAAAGTCGGCGGCGATGAATCCTGGGCTAGCGAGCAGTAGCGGTCTGGGCTGGTCGAAGTTGACAGTTCGGAGAAGGGCGGTGAGTGTCTTGTCAAAGAAGCGCTTCATGCCCTGTGACGTCTCGGAGGCGGCGCTTCGCTTCTTGGGGATGATGCTTTCGATGCGTTGCTTGACAACGGTACGGAACTGGCTGATTAGACAGATGTTGGCGATACCCTCCTGCATGACGACGGCAGCCATGGCGCCATCCTTGTCATCGGACAGACTCTCGGACAATGTCTCTTTTGCAACCGAGTCCCAGCCCTCGGGCTTGCTTATTGTGAAGGGGCGCGAGATCTCGAGGTCGAGGGTGTGGTGTTGACCGAGACTGACGTAGGCGTTTTCGGACTTGACAATTCCACTGACTTGGAGTTGGCCGACAATAGGGTCGAAGAAGGTGCTCTTGACCTGAATAGCCAGGACGGTGTGCACTCGCTCAGAAACGGTACTGCCGGTTTTCGTCTCTTGGACGACCTTTCTCACGGCATGAGCCATGACAAGGTCGCCGGGGCTAATGAGGTTGTAGGCGTGCCACTATTTATTTTTGCCATCACAGGTTAGATGAGAGTCACGATCGCGATGGGTGGGCGCAGCAGGTAGAGAGAAATCAGGCAACTGACCATGTCCTCAGAGTCTTCGGGCAGCAAGGTAACGGCATCTTCGCCAATGTCCTGCGACGACTTCGTTGGAACGAGCTTCATCTTGGACGGTGTTGAGGGATTCTCGTCCGGTTTGGTCGCAAATCTGGCGTGGTGAAATGGTATGTTGGACTTTTTGAAAATATCTCGACGCAGATTGGCAGATCAGCGCAGGGCACTCGGACTAGGGGGAAAGTATGACGCTGCTGAGTGGTACGTGCATCCGGCAATGACTGGACTCTAGTCTCGAAGAGCCTAGCTCATTCGTGGTACGGAGTGATGAAATCAGGTGTGTTGTTATCGTTATCTCCGATTGCTTATCTCATCGTGGCTCGCAGTAGGGCGACGGATAAGACACAGCAGCAATGCCCTTTTACCACTTACCCACCCCCTTCTTTTCTCACTGCACGACCTAATTATTCCCCTCACTGCAGCAGCACCGGGCCATGGGGAAAGGCGTGTGTGCCTGGGAAATAAAATTGAAGCTTCACTGGTGTGCAGTAGTGCACTGCTTACATGACCCTACAGCGTGGCTGTGTGGCTATAGCCACGCGAGGAACCGCCAGGGGGAAAGGGGTCTTCCCTTTGGGGGTCGTGTTTCTCATCCGCTAGTGTACCTACAAAGTGTACATAAGGCAATCCCAGTGATCTGGGAAAGCAAGTGAGACCTTTTTTGGTAAACAAGGTTATCGCAGCGACACAATGCGAAACGAATGTTTATCGCCTTACAGAATCGGCAGAGCTGAAGGCAGATGGGTGAAAACTATACAGGGAAGATACTCATCTGAAGTAGACGGTGTCGCCTTGCGCCTTTCAGCCACGCAACACCTTAATTTACCTCCCCGCCGAATACACGAGCTGTGTGCCACATAATGTAAAAACCCTTTGAGAGTTCATTCGAATGGATCAGTCAAGTGATTAGTTGTCATTGAATGCCCGTTGCCCGGCTTGAGCTTGGGACATGGTCGGGCGAGAAGCAAAGCGACGTCATGGGGGTCTGGTTATGCCCAGCCACGTCCTATGCGCATTTTCTCCTCTGCTTCATGCTGGAACGGCCCAAACAAGTAAAAATACTGCGTTGCGACCATGAGCGATGGGCCAGGTGTGGCTATGATGATGGGGGAAGACAAGGGGGGTTCAAGGGGGGGCAGGACGAAATGGATGGAGACGTTACCTCATCAATTCATCATCTCCCGCTACAACTTTCATTTCAATCACCAAGTAGTTGGTTGGTTGAATCGGATTCCAAGGGTCTCACAATTCCGGTGCCTGGCTGCAAAAGACTAATCAGAGTTGGAACGTTTAGTCGCCGGGCCGAGTTTACTGACATTTTAGGGGGTGAGCTGCCAACCACTACCAAGCCCCTACCAAAGGGCTAAAGAGCAGTAGCACACGTAAAAAAAAGAGAGTGGTGACGATCGTCCAGTGTCAAGCGCGAAGCCGTTCCAGCTGGTGTCAGTGCAGTCATGTATCGTCTTGGGTTTCGCCTTCCGCTCCCACTCTTTACATCTGAAGCCGGCTGCATTCGGTAAACCACATCTCCTGCCATTTTCTCCTCTCCTCTCGATATTTTTCCACCTCACTCATATTCTCTCTCTCCAAATCAACATCTTCACCGATTCCCACTTTACAACCTCCTGATTTTAAACCCTTGCGAGCGGCATTAATCCTGACCTGTTCCACCACTTACCATAGGAGGAGAAAAGGGGACCTTTTGTCACAATCCGCGCGGCTCGACGACTGGACCGATTAATCCAACAAATCATCCCTATACCAGATTAATATTATTTTCTTCTTCGTCCTCGTGGCTATTACTACCTCGGCTCTCTCTTTTTGCCTTTGGCTCTAGCTTCAGCTCTAACTCTCCGCCCTTCCGCTGCCGGGTTAAAAAAAAAGAAAAGATAGAAACAAAAGCGTTTCTGCTCCCCACAGTCTGTGGCCTGCGAAAGGACCCCATCCCGGCCACCTGCAAGGAAGCTTTGCGGATCAGGCCGCACATCTGCACTGTCGCATTTGCATACGGGTTACGGACTATAGAGTGCCTACCCGTTGTGTATCAGTAGGCACTGCTTACATTGACCTCGCTGTCCCCGTTCTGGTGTAACGGGTGGTCCAAGTAGGTAAGCTGCTCATGGAGTTTTCGCTGGTGGCTCGCTCGTTTCCCTTCTCTTTTTTTTGGGGTTATTTTGATTTCACTCACCCCTAGTGCATATTCTCGCATGCATCGCAGCGGTGCCTTGCCTAATCCCGGAATACGCGGACTGGGGACTAGAGCAAATTCGATCCCGCGTACTCCGTATTAGCCTCTAAATTCCACGCGCTGCTTCCACTCTTTTGCCCAGGCCCAGACCCAGACCCTGACCCCCTTGATCAATTCCCAACCACCACCAAAAAATTACCACACCTTCATACATTCCGTGCCCGACTAACACGCCGACCGCCAGATCATCCCCTTGACCGGTGGCTTTCTCTGGTCCGCGCGGCTGTCCGAGGAGGTCCGCTTCTTCTCGTTTCCATTCTTTTCCCATCGTATCGGACGCGACGGAAACGAGGAGAACGACCTACCAGCGAGACCTCGGCACTCCTAACCCGCTTGCTTTGTCTCGGCCATCAACAACTCTCCGTTGCGTTGCAATTCATACCACCCGCCGCCGACTCTACCGTGAAATACCTTCGTGACACTCGGGTCTCTCGGATCCATCGTATTACATTTTGGCGTGGAGGTCCTCTCCATTACCACCAGCCAGCACAGCTCATTCGACCATCCGAGCCACTGGACCTTCTCAGCTTACCGCGCTTACCTCGCTCACCTCGCTCACGCGCGCCACTATTCATCTCCATCTCAAAGCACTTACCCGACCGACCAACCTGACTGCCCGGCTTTACGCGCGGCTTTCCCCTCGTTCATTTTGCGCATGATGGGAAATGTCGACTCCTACGCTCGCCATAAAGTCCTTGGACGCCGGCCGTCGCAATGACGGTCCAGCACCATCACCGCCACCGCCTCCGGGTTCCGTCTCCGAGCCTCGTTTGCCAACCCCCGTAAGCCGCAAGAGCTTCTCGGTCGCTTCAAAGCCGCAGGACCCCTCCGAATCCCAGTCCCAAGGTACGTAAGAGGCCAAGTGCCCTGGAACCACCTTCATCTCCTCGGAATGAAGACTGGACCTGGGCTCTGTCTCTGATCGACACCCATGTGGCGCATACGGTGGATGCTCACCGTGGTACAGGCAGCAGTTTTTCGACCTTTGCCAAGAAGACGCCTACGAAACTGAATCGGGCAACAACCCCAAATGCGAAAGAGCTCAAGCCTGTCAAGCCCTCGCCCGTCGCTGTTCAGTCTCCAGCTGCCATTGACCCGCTATCTCAAGTTTGTTCTCCCACCTTGGCACTGCCCTGCCCCTCTAGCCCCTCGCTAACATGGCAAAAGCACATTTTGATCCGAACCAACACCGGCCATACTGTCCCTCCACAGCTGAGAAGACCTCCCAACAGCCCAACTCCCGACCCAGAGCAGACCTCGAAGCTCTCGGTACATGCACTCGATGCTCCTAAGGACAAAAAGTGGGCAATATCTGCCTCATGGCCTTGCCTTTTTGAAATACACTGACACACATATAGAAAAGGAGGGGTGTCATTCTTGAGTCGATTGAGCATGCGAGGCGGTAGGAGACGCGATGATGATGAGGAATCCGTATTCAGCGATCACCGGACCGACGGCAACAATGCTCACGTCTTTTCGTCGGCCATCGGCTCGGGCTATATTCCCCATCACAAGGAGCCGCCGCGGTACATTCGGGTCAAGGCGCATGACAAGAGAACTCGTGAGTTCAATCGCATGTTCCTCGCCCAAGAACTAGCCATCCACCAGCCCGAAACGAATGGAGACAAAAACATGACGACGGTGACGACTCCGAGTGGCAGCAGGCGGTCAAACAATGGAGGTGCCATCTGGGCGACCGAATTCAGCATAGACGGGAAGTACTTCGCTGCTGCTGGCAAGGACCAAGTAGTACGGGTGTGGGCGGTGATCTCGACACATGAGGAGCGACGGCGCCACGAGGAAGAAGAAAATGCCGGTGGCGCCAGCGGAGAGAGATTGAGCGCGCCCGTGTTTCGGAGCAAACCAATCCACGAGTTCCGAGGTCACACGGGAGAAGTCCTCGACCTCAGCTGGAGCAAGAATAACTTCTTGCTCTCGTCATCGATGGACAAGACGGTTCGGCTGTGGCATATTAGCAGGAAAGAATGCCTCTGTACCTTCACGCACAAGGATTTCGTAACGTCAATTGCGTTTCATCCCACCGACGACCGTTTCTTCCTGGCCGGATCCCTTGATTCGACCTTGCGGCTGTGGAGCATTCCCGACAAGACTGTGGCTTATACATCTCAAGCTCCAGACTTGGTCACGGCAGTGGCATTTTCGCCCGACGGCAAGACAGCTATCGCCGGAGTCTATTCCGGCATGTGTATGTTTTATGATACCGAAGGCCTCAAGCAGGTTTCACAGCTCCACGTCCGCTCTTCAAGGGGCAAGAACGCCAAGGGCAGCAAGATCACGGGCATCAAGACGATGGTTATCGATGATGTGGTCAAGGTCCTAGTAACGTCCAACGACTCGAGAGTTCGTCTTTACAATCTGCGCGACAAGAGTTTAGATGCCAAGTTCAAGGGTCTCGAAAACACGTGCAGTCAGATTCATGCGGATTTTAGTGACAACGGACAATGGATCGTGTCGGGAAGCGAGGACAAGAAGACGTACATCTGGTCGGTGCGCTCGGCAGACTCGGAGAGGGACAAACCATGCGAGTATTTCGACGCGCACTCCGACCGGGTATCCACGGCAATCTTTGCGCCAACAAAATCGCGTCAGCTCCTCGGTGGTTCCGGAGATCCTCTCTACGATCTCTGCAATCCACCACCGGTGACGCTTATGAGTCTCGAGGAATCTATCGCCAGCCAGGGAGGACAGTCTGACGAGGAGAACAAGACGCAAGTCAAGAAACCCGAGGAGTCACCACAGTACATTGAAAAGTCAAAGCACCCCGACGGACAGATCTTGGTGACGACGGACCAGTCCGGCGTTATTAAGGTTTTCCGTCAGGATTGCGCTTACATCAAGCGCCGACATGAGAACTGGGAGACAGGCTCAACGTTCTCGCGCCGGCTGGGAGGAAGCATTGTGGGACGCAGCGGCAGCGTCGCAACGCGCACAAGTGTCGGTAGCCACCCCCGTTCGCGCCGCTCATCCATTTCGCGCGTTGTTGCCCCAGGTGGTGCGCAACTGAGTTCCGACATTCTCTCTTGGCGACAAGGAATCGAGCACGGAAGGCCAACCTCAATGGTCATCACGCCTTCGCAGAGCGAGCGGTCTGTATCACCGAACAAGGCAACGCGGACGCCCATCAACACGAGCGCAGCAAACCTTGCATCCGAGGCTCGAAGGCAACCGTACGGCGGGTCCTCACCGCAGAGCCGACCACAGCATCCCGGGAGTCCCACCTCAAGCCGTGCTTCCCGCGAGAGAGGTCCGTCAATTCCGCCGACGCCAAGCTTCTCGTTCCGGTCTGCCGATGAAGATGACGATGAAAGCGATGAGCTGCGGCTGGATCCAGCGGGTGCAAGCTACTCTTTCTGGAATTTGAATCGATGGCGAGGAATCTCATCGCTGCGGTCTTCGGTATCATTCAGCAACATGAGCGCGACACAGTCACAGGGCCAGGGTCGAAATAGCATGAGCACAGCGGACACAGCACAGACAACAACTAGCAACGGCACCAAGGCCTCGAGGCGCAAAAGCATTGGCCCAGGTATCTACGACAGACCGGTTGAAGAGGAGCAGAACAGCACCACCAAAAGCATAAAAGAAGACGTAACACAGAAGACCAACAGCGACGCCCAACTGCTCCGACCAGGCGGAAACGACCAGGACAGCCGCATCAATTCCATTATCAGCCGGCTCAGCTCGGAGTACACGAGCGATGAGACCGATCGGATGGTTTGCGAGAAATGCAGCAGCAAGGAGTTCAAATCGAAGAGAGTAGGCGGACGACAGCGGCTCATCTGTGTTGGATGCGGCAAGCTAGTCGACGACAGCAAATGACGAAGTAGCGAGTACGAGTGAGGAACTTATTTCATGATGATGATGGATGAATGGATCTTGTTTTTTTGTTTCCAACAGCGATGGATTTGACGTTCTAGGCACAACTGAAGAGGCGCATCTGTCACGAACAAGGATACCATATACCCCCCCTTTTTTTTTTTATGTATACAATTACGGCTGCAGAAAGAGCAAGGATGGCAGCATACATATATATATATATATACACGAGAGACCACTTTGGTCTGTTTGGAAGTTTTTTAAACAATACCTCGAGAAGACTTGAGAAACAACAAATGTGCTGCAGCATAGGGAGGACATGAAAAGTTTGTTAAGAGAAAAAAAAAAACACAACAGAAACTTGAATTCAATGATGTCTTTGGTATCTACCGAGACTCCCCAAGTCCGCTTCTATAGATGAAAAATATGTGACCCAGATGGGCGATGAAGTAATGATTTAATAAAAGTATGTGCCCAGGCGTTTTGGTTCACCTCAGAGACATCTTCCAGTCCGACCTCTTGCCGCCGTCGCCTCCTAGCGTATATCCACCCGAGACAGTCGAGCCATCGTCAGGCTTCGCTTCGGCCTTTTCGGCCTCCTCCCTTTTCCGCTTCTCGGCCTCGGCCTTTTTCGCGGCCGCGGCAGCCGCCTCGGCAGACTTCTTCTTGGCGAGCTGGGACAGTTCCTGGACGGTAGTGGTCAAGCTCCGCGGGTCGGCGCCACGGATGACGCTTCGGCCGCCGTTGTAGGGCTGGCCGTTCTCGAAGAACATGAAGGTCGGCATGGCGGTCACGCCGTAGCGGCGGGCAATGTCGGTGGCCGAGTCGACGTTCACCTTGACGAAGACGAGCTGGCCGGGCTGGCCGTGGGTGTTTGCGAGGTTCTCGTACATTGGCTTGATGGCGTGGCAGGGCCCGCACCAGTCGGCGTAGAAGTCTGCGACGAGGTACGTGTTGGCCGACTTGAGCCGGTCGAACTCGGCGAGCGAGGATGTGTGGAGGACGACCATTGTGGTTGTGGATGTTTTTTTTTTTTTTTTTTTTTTTTTTTTTTTTTTTTTTTTTTGGTTCAAGGGTTTTGTTATTTGCTCCTTTCAGTATGTGATTGATGAAAGTTTGGAGTTGTTGACGTTGTTTTTACGCTCAGTGAAATTATTGAATGAGAGTATCAGTGTTCCGTGTGGAGTTTTATAAGTCTTTTCTCATCACGCAAGTGAGGGTTGAGTAAGAGGCGTAAGAAACTCAAATGATTTTTTTTTTTCTAATCACATAAATTGTCAGCAGGCCTTCATTGGGCCATTACGATCTCGTCAGCTTCCATTTCCAGCGGTTGAGAGGGCGGGGTCAGCCGCCGAGGAACCTTCCAGGTGCTTTGCCCGGGGAAGGCGCTATTGGCTCCCCTGAAGCTGCCGTAATTGGCCACCCCCCCCCCCCCCCCCCCCCCCCAGTGATACCGAATACCTGCCGGGTGGGAAAATGCGACACAGCATTTGTCATTTTTCATGTCAACTGGTTGTATTACCTTTTACTTACAAGCTGCCTCTGTGTCCCAGGTTCCCTCATGCGGCCTGCTGCATGCGTTCTTCGAGATCGCTGACGCAGTTTCACAGCGCTGGTCGCCGAACTGGCTTCTTCTGCATGCCACCCAAGTCACTGGATCTCGACGTAACGGTTTTGAACAGTGTCGTCGTCGTCGTTTGACCAACTCGGTACCTGGATTGAACACGATTTCATCTTCAAAATGGTCCTTTTTGAGACGCCCTTACACCCTTTCACAGACAGCCGCCAAACATAACTGTGACCAGGCTTTCACTTCTCACCCTGTTTCTCACCCTCCACCAGCAACTATCCCAGTCGATATCTCACTTTGGCAGCGCGATAGTCGCAGAGGTGGCTTCTCCTGCCCCTTTTTCTTCGAACTGCCAGCCTTGAATATGCGCCCGTTTGGCATCACATCCCGGCCTGCCGCCTGCTCCATGATGGATCGATGGATCCTCCAGGCTTCCGTCATCAGCGGGTCGTCTCGCGACTATCTTCTCGTGTTTTGGAGAACCCCAGTCGTTCAGTTTGTCAAGAGACTGAGGCCAGCCTGAATGCGGGGAAAGGACCATTGTACTCCGGTCAGTCAACGGGTTATTGTCGAGTGACATGGCCACAACATGATGGAGACTTCGACCGATCCAACACCATTCTATTCTCGTCTTCCGCCCCCTTTAGAAACACCCGCGGCCATCGAGCAACAGACAAACCAACAAACCCCTCCCTCTCCCCGTTGTCGCTGCGTCAGATGACCCATCAAATGTCTCGCAAAGTCGCAATCCCTCCCCTCAACCCTTTCAAAGCCGCCCGCCCGCTCCCCTACGCTCCCCCAGCTTCATCCATGACTCCCGCTGCCCCTCTAACATTGGCGATTCACGCCTTTACGACCCTCACCGGCGCCTAAACAAGCGTCAAGATCTCCTGGAAACCATGTTAATCCTCCAGGGATGTAGTCCCCAGACGCCCATGTGGTGTCGACCGTCTTCGGTCTAGTCCCGCCGAGTCCCTGCAGACACCGCGCCCGCCAAGTGGGATACTCCAAGAGATCAGGCTCTGTCTCGGGACGGGAGGCGCTTCTGTGTGTCGACGGCGGAAGCTAATTCGAGGAGGGGGGAAAGCTAAGTGGTTTGCCCTCGTCGGCCCCCACCTACGATCGTCCTAGGTCAGGCCAAAGTGTAGGAGTGACGTCGGACGGACCAAGTAGCTTTCTGTGAAAAGAGGCCCATCAGTCTTCAAAGGCAAGCGCCAGCGGTGAGCGTCTCGCGATCGCTATTCACGTCAAGTAACTCTCAGCCTATGGATGAGAAGCGCTGAGGTGCCTTTCTTACGTCGTTGGGGTCCAGAAGTGGGCGGGAGATTGAGTTTGGGGGCCCAGAAGGTCTCGTAAGAATAGTTCACAGACTGTAAACAGCATCTTGTTGATGGAGAACTTACAACGGGCTCGGACAAGGCGTTTCAGGGGTAGCGTAGGTCTTCAGGATGGTCTCACAGTGTTGTCGAGGGATAACTGTATCTCTTAAGGGTTTGATATTTTGACACGGTTCAGCTTAACGGTGGGCAGTTGTCGTATAAAAGCAATGAATGTTTTCAAAATCCCGTAATGACTCTCAAGGCTTGCCCTCCAGCTCATATTGTATCTCTCCATCTTCCCTCTCATTCAGACAGTAATTATGTCGGCATATCAGTCACTCAACTTCGGCTTCGAGCTCGAACTATCGTTCAACAGTACCAAGAAGCACAAGACATGGCTTTCCATGGCCCAAGACACCAGCGCCCGCCTTACCAAAAAGGGGGTCAACAACCAAGTGAAGGAAAAGGTCGACCCCAACTATCGTAAATGGTCCATCGTCCAGGAGATCACCATTCCTCAGCACCCATCCAAGAACAATTGTGAGTACCGTCGACATGTTCTAAAATTCAGAAGTTGATTAGTAACTCAGGGGCACTCGAATTAGTATCTCCCGTCTTCAGTCTCGGCTCCCCCTGGCTTGTCGACACCGGCAACATCTTCTCTGCTCTCCAGAAGCACTGCTCCGTTCAGAACATCCCGCAGTGTAGCACCCACGTCCATGTAAGTCAGGCCGGGCAGGACTTCACTCCGTACCAACTGGCCGCTCTGTCAAAGGCAATCCTCACGTATGAATCCTGCTTCGACCTGCTGGTGCCGGGCGACAGAGCCTCAGCGTACTGGTGTCAGAGTAACCGGTGGAACCCCATTCTTTCCCAATGCCAGACGCTGGAAGACTGCTTGGACCTCCTTGACGTGGCTGCCCAGCGCGGAACATCGGCCGTCGTGGAAGTGATGTGTATCTTCCCGGCGTCGAGCGCCTATGGCCGGGCTCACGGGAGGAAGAAGGACTTTGTCCACGGCAAAGTCTACAAGTGGAACTTTGCCCGCCTTCTCGGGAACGACAACGGACGTACTATAGAGTTCCGACAACCATCCGGCAGCACTTGTACGGAAGACGCTATCGGATGGGTGTTATTGACCCTGGCGTTTGTCGCCGGAGCAACTGGAGGTGGAAATTGCATTGGGGCTTTGGAAACTGGTGGTGATGACCAGACTGAGTTTTGGCATCTTTTGTGCCACGGAGCGGAGGTTATGGGCCTTGACCCCTTGTTGCTCGACGTTCTCGGTGGTTTCATCAGCCGGGCTTCAACCTGATCGACTTGGTGTATCGTGTTTCTGTCTCATGAGACTTTAATCTATCTTTCACTCCAACAACTGAGTAGGACTTGCGAATTGACACTTTCTTACCGTCTTAAAACTACGTAGTTTATGTCCATGTAGTTGCGTAATAGTTAAAATCAATCACGTGCTCAGACTTCATCGAGTGTTTATGCCAGGTGTAATCGGCCTCCGGGTTGGCCACTTCGGGTCCGGAAGCTTGGCCTCCGCAAAACCCACTAGGTGCCGGCTTCCGGGTTCACTCCGCACGACTCGCCCTTTTCTTGGACCTGGAACCAGGCTCGGGCCTACATCCCTCACATACTACAACCCTTAAATCTGCATTTAATATACTTGGTGCGCGCCTCCCCAAGCGATTCCAGCACCCACGTTCATTTTCCTGCACACATGGCCTCCCTCCTGAGTCCTAATTGCATGAACCGAATTACTGAGCGGCGATGAGGGAGCCAACTTCCGTTATAGTTCTCAGCTGACGGGGCTTTCGGGAACAAATGCAACATGACCACTAAACCCCTTGGCAAGCACTTGGGTATTTAAACACGGTAACTTGGCACCGGTGTTTCTTTCGACTGCCAAGTCTCAGCTGGTCCGAAAGTTCTCCCTCTCAGGACGCCACACTCCGGGCATCAGTCAACATGGGCTTGGTAAATGTCTTGGCCACTGGCCTGTTTCTCCTGACTTCAGTCTCGGCGCAGAGCACTGTTCCAGCTTGGGGACAATGTGAGGCTAACTCCCTTTTCGTTGCATCTGTTGGACTAACACAGACACAGGCGGAGGTAACAACTGGACGGGTTCGACGGTTTGCGTAAGCGGATACACCTGCTCAGTCCTCAAGTGCGTCGCTTTCTCCCGTAGCCCTATAGGTCTTGCTAACGAAGGGGGCAGTCCCTTCTACAGCCAGTGTATCCCCGGCTCCAACCCCCCAGCAACCACCGCCAGACCCAGCTTGACTTCCACTACACCTATCGCAACGGGCAGCGTCCGCACCACCTCTGCCTCCCGCGCCACAACCACCCTCGCCACCGTGACTACGCCAACCGGTGGCGGCGGGCCCGTACCGACGACTCTAGTGTCCGGATGGTACTGGATCCGCGCCGTCGCTTCGCCCAATTACCACAGCTACCTCCAGGCCAAGCCCACAGGCACACCCAGCAAAGCTTACCTCGAGTCTCCCGGCGGCGCAGGCCAGTTCAAGATCGAGGCCGGGCAACTGGTTCACCTTACCGGCTCCTCCCCGCTCTACCTCAACGTCGAGAACCCGACGGACAAGACGCAGAGGAAACTCGAGACGTGGTTCAGCGCCAGCAAGAACACGTATGGCACGTTTGCGTTCCAGGGAGACACCCTCACCTGGAGCACGCCGGACATTAACCGTCCGAATCTGGCGGCCTGGCTTGTCTGCGAGAACCAGACAGTATTTATTAACACCGGCGCGTATCTCTACCAGACCCCGGCTGGATGCTTTGATCAGACTGTGAGTAAAACTTGGATTTCCCCCCGTATTCGTTTGCTGACTGTACAGATACACTCTTACGGAGGGTCTACAGCTGATCTCTGAGAGGTCGAAGTTTTGAGGATACGAACCGCTCAGTCATATTGAGCTATCTCAACCAATTGATATTACATTTCATCCAAGAACGTTTCCAATGTATCAACTTAGTCCACATCTCTCGAAGTGATTCTATTCAAGTCCCATCGTCTACCCTGATGCCGGAAACACGAGTCTAGTAGGCAATTTGAACATGTGTCTGCCAGAATACGACTGTACTCGGCCCCCACCTTGCAATGTCGTGGTCGTAAAATTGGCCGGGTCGAAGTGAATCTCCCCAAACTGCGAACCGTGGCTTGTGAACGCATACCATACTCTGAAATGCATCCCAGTTCCCATCGGCTCGAGGCTCCATGTGATGGCGTTGTGGTCGGAGCAGACCATCTTCGTGACGGTGGGGACTACGGGCCCGGTCTCGGTGTTTACAGAACAGTTGGCGAAGCCGGAGCCTGGCGTAGGTCTGATGGAGAACATTGCACTGCCGCAGGAAGCTATATCAGCAAGACGCCATTCAAACAGCTGTCAGAGGGAGGCGTACAAGTTACGGTTCGTTGGGGGCAAGCCGCCAGCGTAGAATCTTTCTATCTCGAAAACCGGAGCATCGCTTTCGACAGACGCGCGGTTAGGGGCACCAAAGGCCAAGCTGGAGACAAGGATGAGACTGAACAGATGGCGCATTTTAGTGAACGTTGCGATGGCACGGTGCTATCTTTGTCTTTTTCCTTTGTAACTTTTGGCATGTAAACGACGAGGACATTCGCCCTTTTTATCATCGACAGCTTCATACATCTCCCTGTTTCCTGTTGTTTCATCACGTATCTTACGCCAGTCCAAAAGATAAATGTTCGCCGTTTCCAGAAACCGCCGACAAACTGCCGTCAGCCTCCGCCCTGCCTTTTGAAATGTTACGAATGCAGCGTCGTAGCCTCAATATAGCTCTCAAACGATCAGGCCATGTGACTTAGAAGAGTGATACCCGGGGCAAACATTGGACTGCAATGTTGTACAAGGCTATTCATGGTCTTGTACGATACCCAAGCGGGTTCATCTCCTGCCAATCGGCATGTATCCTGACCGAGCTCAAGAATTCGTCTTCACACCGGGTGTCACGAGCCGAAAGAAGCCAAATATTTTCGTTAAATGCACATCATCAGTTTGTCATCAACAAACAAAAGTTGGTATCCCATTTTGGCTAGTCCTTTTTTTTGTCTAAACGCTAATTGTCCGGAAGACGCTAAACTCATCACCAGTAGCCACCAAGCTGCCGGGGATCTGGGGGTGCCAGTGCAACTCCTTGACGTTGGACAGGTAGTGCACGAACAGCAGCTGGGGTGGGACGTCCTTGACACCGCCCGTGTCCTTGCTCTCCTCGTCGTCGAGTTCAACGGCCAAGTCCCACAGGGTGACGGTGTTGTCGGCGGCCGCGACGGCGACAATGCTGTCGTCTGTGGGGTGCCACTCGACGCTCGTGATCTGCTCCTTGTGGTAGTTGAAGCTGGCAATAGGGGAGGGCTTGTCCGAGGCCGATGTCGAGCTCTGCTTCCACTGGCGCAGATCCCAGACGGCGAACTCGCCGTTGTCGTCACCGGAAGCCAACAGGTGCGTCGTCAGCTTCGACCACGACATGACGTTGACGTCGGCCGAGCTGACCTGCATCGACAGCGCAGGCTTTCTGCTCTTGCTGCGGACATCCCAGACGCGGATCGTGCCGTCGCTGGAGGCGGAAGAGAAGACGGACTGCTCAGAGGGACTCCACTTGATCTCTTCGACACTGCTGGTGTGACCCTGGAATGGCCTGGTGTCGGTAACAAAGCCACCACCATCGGTCCGTGTTGTGACGTAGATGAGACCGTCGTTGTCACCGGTCAGGAGCTTGCCGCCGGGGACCATGGGGGACCAGTCCAGAGCATAACCCTCCGACTTGTGGGCGCGGATGGTAGAGACGGGCTTGTTCTGCTGGGCGGAAATGGTGCTGCCCGGGTTATCGAAAGAGTAGAGGTGGGGGGTGACGTCGTGGATGAAGACGTTGGAGGACTCGGTCATGGTGGCTGTGAGGGTAGTAGGGGGCCTGGAAGGGTCCTGGGAAGGGATCTGGTGGGCGCGGATTCGGTTTGTGGTCGAGTTCAGGGGGATCGCCCTGTGCTCAAGAATAGGATCGGAGTCCTCATCGTCATCGTCGTCGTCCTCTGAGTCCTCCGCATCCTTCTCCATACGGCTCAGACTGCTGAACTTCATCACCAACAGCTGGTTGTCGGCGGCCTTTGCGTTCTCCGCTTGTGTGCCAGCAACCGTGTACATGGTGGCGGGGTAAACCTTGCGGTTGTCACCAAGGCTGTCGCGCAGAATATCGAAGGAAAGGCAGGGCCAAGGGGTGCTGAGGTTGTGCAGCATCTCGTAGGTGGAAGTGTCCGGCGCAAGCGTCTGGCCGGGTTCGAGCTTGTTTCGTCCAACGATAAATGTGCCTTGGTCAACCTCCATTGCGGCTAAACGGTCAGCTTAGGTTCTAGAGAAGAGAATATGCAATTCACACCTTCTTTCTCGTCAGCCTCTCTTTCGGCGTCAGGTCGTCCGTCAACACCGGCCTCCATGATACCATCTTCACTCTCGCTCTCGAATTCGTCCTCGAACTCGTCCTCGAACTCGCCCATACCGGGGTCCTTCTCGTCAATCTCCATGCCTTCAGGGCGATCGCCACCCTTGAGGGGCGCATCGCCCATTTCGACGTCCGCAGCACGTTTCGACATTTTTTGGCCGTATAAAATATTACTGTCGAGAAAATGTATCTAATTTCTTAGTGCTGCGAGCTGTGAAAATGCAGTGCCGCAGAAAAAAAATATTCTGGCCCCGCGATTTGTGGCGCTTATCGGGACTGATACCCCGCGTGGCGCTGATCTGCACCAGGGACCGTTGTGTTGTGGCTGGTGTGTCCAGTCATGTGACTCCGCTCCTGCGTCGCGTCACGTCTTTGAGACTCGTTCGGTGTTTATTGCCCCGCCACCATGCCGAAGGTCTACATATGGAACAATCTGATGGCATCTACCCTCTGACCAACACACCCCTGCTCCCTCCTGGTGAGGCTAGTTGATACGTCTCTCTCTCGACGATGTCTCCGAGACGAGTACTATCATCATGGCGCCGCAGCAAAACACCTTCAGCGTCATCTCGCATCCCGCCCCCCGCGGTGGCGGCGCTCCAAGCAAACCTCCCATGACATCGAAGCAGGCCCAGAAGCTATATAAGCAGGCGAACAAGGGCCCCCGACTATCGAAGGCCGAGCAACGGAAGTGGGAGAAGGAGAGACAAGAAGAAATACGCAAGGAGCTGGAAAAGGAACGCGCCGCAGCTAAGGCACGGCAAGCACGAGAACGGAAGAAGGCCAAGGAGGACGAGGCCCGCGAGAATAAGCGGCGGAATGGGCAGCCGTTGATCAACTGTCGACCGAGTCAAGATACAATTGCTAGATTTGTGCGTGGGAATGGTACGAGCAGAAAGAGGGATTCGTCTGGGGAACCGATACCAAAGCCTGAGGAGCCGCATGTTGAATCGCCCGAGACCAAGCCGTCTGCACTGGGTCCTCCTTCTGACGCCAGTCCGTCTAAATCGCTGCGACATGTTTCCTCCCAAGAGAATAAGATGGCCGCAGCTCTGATGCCTCCGCCACCCCCACCGTCTCGTCCATCTCAGAAGGCCGTATCGGCAGCTTCTGTGCCTAGGTCATCTCAGTTCAAGGTTCCCGCAGTTCCTAAGGCCGATTCCGATGCACAAGTACCTCGAGCGCCCCCAATACTGAAAGCACCAGTGACGGCATCAACTCAGAGCCGAACAGTTCCTTCTGTAACATTGGGGCCACCGCTTAAAGCACCCACAAAGGCGAAGCCTAGGCCATTCATGATGCCGAAAGGCATCGTGTCTGTCCAGCCACCGGCACGCAAAACCCCAATAAAGCAGGAAGCAGTTGTGAAGAAGTCAGTTCAGCAAGAGTCAAGCAAGCAGTTACCAGCTGAGCCAAAGCCAACTGCGCAAACGCCAGCCGACCAAAAGATGCCAGAACAAAGACAGGTCAAGGAGGGGCAGCAGGAGCCAGCAATTGAACAACCTCAAATGCCTCCACCACCAAAGCCGTCGCCGCAGGTGGTTGCTCCTCAGAGACCGCCGTCCGTGATGCCTCCTCCACAGTTATCTCGATCCCAAATGCCCCCAAAAGCGTCTATGCCACAGGCACCGCCGCCAAGCACCCAGGCCATCATACAAGATTGCTTTGATGACTTCTTTCCAACTGCTTCGCAGCTTGCCTTGGAGCTTCAAGATGACTCTTCAGACGATGATTCACAACGAGTTGTTGAAGAGCCACCTCAGAAACATAAGTCCGCCGAACACAGCCACGAAATTGGTAGTATACAGGCAGGACAGCAAAGAGTAATGAAGGATCCCCTGGTCAAAGAGGACCAACTACTCAGGGATTCTCGTACTGGAGGTCACTCCAAAGCCCCAGATACCAAGCTATCCAATCCTCTAAGTATCCGTCACAGTCCGCGCAAATCCAACATGACGCCTAAATTTCCACTACCGCCCAAACCAACAACTCGCAGTATCGATAACGAAAACAGGAACCGCCAACACGGATATGCAGGCCCTCATTCTCGACCATCACCGGGCGTCCGCTCAGTCTCTCCAAAACCAAGATCAATGGCAAGCCACATCCACAAAACAACAACAACCCCCAGGGACCAACCTCAAAATAGGATGGCGACTGCTCATACACCCAAGACTTCCCATCGCGGTATTCTCCACGAAATCAGCGGCAACCGCGCCCCTGAGGTGAAGCGTCCTACCACGACGAAGCCTGTATCACACTTTGACGATTTCTTCCCCTTGATCTGCACCCAGGACCTGATGATGTCCTCCCAGGAGGTGCAAGATATAGAGTCGCCGGCCAAGATGGACAGCCAACCGTCCTCTGAAGAGTCATTTGGTGGTCTGACGTCGCAAACGTCTCCTCTGAATGAAATGGACCTCACAGCTATCGATTGGGATGACGACTTGGATGACTTTTAACGCATTAGGCAGGTGTACGGCGCTTAGGTATTGTTTGCAACAGCATTACGAATAGATTATGAGACGACTTTTGTTTATTACATAACCTAGTCTTTTAACGAGAGCAGGTTGGAGGGCGTGGTTTGGAAATATCATAGCAGGAGCAGTTGGGTCTCGTTCTTTTCTGGCAGGACCATTGCCCCTCCTCAGCGGCACACATCACGATTGGGGACTTTGATAGCAGCAAAAAAACAAGTATAGATATCAGATAGAATATTGAATGGCATCAAAACTATAGTCCTGAAAGCTATGTACTTGTATGCTTGTTTCGCTATACCATGTGTAGCCTCTCCACGATGGGGAGCCACCCCCTCTTCTTCTCGACATCGTCCGTCTCATAAAAGTAGTTGACGCCTGCTGTGGAATGTAAAACAAACCTATACCGTGACCGTGACCGTGGGAATCTCTGTTCCTGTGAAGCCTCCCCCAAAAAACGCCTAGTCAATGCATCCCGCTGATCCGGATGACGCCGATCCGTTGTCCATGTTTCCCTAACCCCCAACCGGTTCTTCGTGCCTCCGAGCAATACCCTTAAAGGTAGATACCAACCCAGGCCGTCTTGTTGGTGGCTTGCGTGCCACAGCCGTCCACCGCACATATGATCTTGCCCTCTGGGTCACGTGGCAATCCTGTGTTCTGACGCTTGGCGACTGGTTTGCGGTTCTCAAAGCAATCATCACAGTAGACCTAAAACATGATGAGTACAGGCCAAACGAGTATGTAAATAGGGTGTCCAACTTACGTGTCCACACGACTTGAGTGCCCAGAAATGGTTCTCACTGCGATGACGCTTGCCCCTGCGTGTAGGCTGACTTTCGCCTGCTGGAGCGTCGGGGTCATAAGCGAGCTCTTCATTACATGCTGGACAAATCACCACGAGATCGGCGCCTGTGTCTCTGGTAAAACCCGGCTTGGCAGGGGGAGGAGCTTGGTGGACTGGTTTCGGAGATTCCGCGCGGTCAAAGGCGCCGTGCTCGTACTGGAGCTGAATATTACCGAGGGGGTTGTTCAAGTCCCCAGGACTGATCCGGTTGTGCAAGATGCCGAGCAGCTGAACGTCCTCCTCAGGAGCGGGAAACAGACGGAAGGGATACAGATGCCGCCTCAGCCCTGCAGCCAACCCACTAAATGCACTTGCGGTATTATGCAGCATAAATCCACCTGGATCCCTTCGATCGCGGTTTCGAAGGGGAGGCGGAGGAGGCGGATACATGTTAGGCCTGCGTCGGCGCGGTATCTCTGGCGAGTCATCGGTGAGGTCAATAACCGGTGCGTTGCCGGCCAGGATACTGCTGTCGCTACGTGAGAAAGACGGAGGATTGCGCCCCTGAGAGTTCTGGCGTCGAGGGTTTACACTTGGGCGAGGGGCATGCGACTGGACTGGGCTGTCGGGCTCATTTGTCAAATCGATAACGTCGGCGGAGTTTTGTTGATTCTGCGCTCTGCGTCGAGCTCTGTCTTGCCGAAAGTAGAGCTCTAGATCGACCAGTACATCAGGCCCCTGAGGATTCTCCCCGGCATTCTGTCTCGATGCTGTCGTGTTGCCCTCGTGGTTACCTGCTGGTTGCGCTCGATGTCCTACGAGAGGTGGCAGTTGGTTGTCCATTTCAGCAAGGATAGCAAGCTCCAGTTCGCCTTCCAAATCAGGAGAAAGGGGATATGAGTCGGGACGAGAAAATAGGTCGGGATTTCCGAATAATGGATCAGCCGAAGAGTCGCGCACCGATGGTGAGTCTGGGTCGGTAGGTGTTGAGGCAACTGGTGAAGAGCCTGATAAATCTTCCGGGTCCCAGTCTTGCAGGGCGTCGGCTTCTGAATCGTAGGAGGGAGAGCGTGGGCCAAGTCGATCGGAGGGGTTTGAGTCGTGGTCTGAGTGTTCAGACACCAGGTCTTCGAAGTAGGCGATTTCGTCGTCGCCCAAAACGGAATCTGAATCAGGTATCGACTGGGGGGTTGGAGATGGAGAAGTTGAGCTCATGATCTGGTTTGGAGGCCGGCTGGGTTGGCGCTACAAAAAATAATTAGCTCGAGAATGGGAGAGGCAAATCCAAGGTCTCCACGAACAAACCGAATATCATTCAGGGATGTGCAAATCAGGGTTCAAGTCGAGGTCTGGGTTGCGCTTTCTCGGTGGAGAAATAGGGTAGGAGTGAATCCCCTACAACGGTCGCGGGATTCGAGCGATCATCCCGTGGATATGAGTCGGATAATCGGTCTGCTACGACCGAAAATATTATTAATTGTCGTCAAGAGTAAAGTTGAGGGAAGGCGTGGCCTTCGAGATTGCCTGTTGTTGGTGGCGGTTGCTTCTGTTCACTCAGATCCCGCAGGAACGGAGCACAGCGGAAGCGCTACACTTTCCGCCTTAGATAAGCTCACACAGTGCAGGGGCGATACATTCCGATAAGCCGGAACCCCTCTCCGCCAACAGTGTGCGTGGATACCTGCGGGAGGAAATGTCGCTAAGCGAGGAAACCTTGACAGAAATTGGTCCAACGACGGTGCAAATTACATTTTGTTTCACAGTGCTTATGTCATAGTCGCAAAACCCGCTAGAAACGTCGTGATTCACTCATTCCACTTTTGGCTACGCACCAGCCTCACTGAAACTAGACACGGGCCACGTGAGTAGGTAAAGTATTGAGATGGGCCAACTTCATACCGTCAGATTGGCGTCGTCTCTTACCTACTAGTGAACCTATGATAACCCACATCTCATGGCAAGACATCAGCTACTTGCAAAGGCCAAATGCCGGCTTGAGCCCAAGAAATCGGATATCATTTTTGATAGAGTCTTCCACCCCATTACTATAATACACATGCAGCAAATGCAAAAGCTGTCTACTCCGCCTTGACTCCAAACACTGAAATGACGCCCTCCTCGTTAACAGACACCAACTGCTTGGCGCCAGGACCCCACTTCACCGATGTCGCCGCAGTAGAGCTCCTGAATGGCTCCGTCCATGCCTTGGAGCTCTTGGTGTACTGCTGGACAGTAATGCCTCCTGCACCACCGGTCGCAAGGTACTGGCCAGTGTAGTCCCAAGCCAAAGACTGAACGGGTCCGCCGGTCTCCAGAGTCTTGGTTCTGGCAGCGTCTCCTTCCTTGCGCAAATCAAAAATAGTGACTAAGCTCTGGCCCTTTGCCGTCGCCGCAAGCCAGAAACCGTTCTCGGAAAAGGTCAAGGCCTCAACAGGTGCACCAAGGGAGAAGGAAGCAGCAACCTCCAAGCTAGTCGTCATGAAGAGCTTGATCTCGCCAGAAACCGTACCGGCGGCGAAAAGGTGGCCATCGGGGTGGAAAGCGGAAGATGTCAAAGCTGAGACGGTTAGCAAGAGGCACAAATTGGACTAAAATAAGGGACAACTTACCGGAGTCGGTGTAGGCACGGCTGACTCTTTTCAGAGAGTTAAGGTCATAGAAAGCAATGCTCTTATCCGAGCCAACAGATGCAACCAGCTCGCCGGTCGGGTGAATGCTGAGTGAAGTCGCAGGTCCTGCGTGCTCAGAGAGCGACGCGACTTCAGCGCCACCCTCAAAAACCTTGACTGATCCCTTGCTTGTTGCAAAGATCAGCTTGCTACCTGTCCAAGCAGAGTCAAGAACCGGCTCATTGACGGCAACTTGGCGCTCAACTTGATCAGCCTCCACAGAGTATATCGCGGCTTGGCCATCACGGGCACCAATGGCAGCATAGCTTCCCTCGAGGGCGAGAGAAGAGACTTGAGAAACGGCTGTTGATGAGGAGGCCACGGTAGCCAAGGAGGCAACGTCTTCGGATGTTGCCCAGCCTTCTGGGACGGGACGCTTCTTGCGACCCTTGGACAACCTGTAATTGCGTTAATGAAACGGCCAACATGCGCCTGTTCCTGTTATCACTTACTCTTGGTGCTTGGCGTTGACCTTCTCGGCCAAGTCTTCGGGCAGGGCCTCGGCAGAGTCGATGGCCATGGCATCTCCGTTGGTAGCTCCAGCAGTGACGCTGACCTTGGACAGCGCCTCTCTGGCTTCGTCCCGCTCCTTTGACAACCTGGCAATAACTCTGACAGCAGCATCATGCTGGTACAGGGCTGTTGCAAGCTCTTCCCGCGTCCTAGAAAGCTGCTCCTTCAGGTTGAACGTCTCGAGAGCGAGCGCGTCCCACTCATTTTGGAATGTCGCCAGCAAAGCCGGGATGGAGGTGAGGGTCGGGGGTCGAGGTCGGACGATGTGCGACTGGGTCAATGGAAGGAGGTCCTCGTTCGTCAGAGCCTCGCCAGTTCCGGGCTCGGTACCATTCTCTTCAATATATTTCTCGATTAATCGCTTCTCGAAGACGGTACCTGTTCATTGTTAGCCAGCCACTCAGCCAGGCGCAGATGCCGGCGCAACTACTTACCAGACTTCTTCGAGGCAACGGGCTCCTGAGGAGCTTCTCCCGAAACTGAAAACCGCGTCAGAAATATCCAATTGACATCATTTTCGTCTCGACTCACTTGCGCACAGCATTTTTACCAAACGTCGCGATGTAGAAGGCCGTTTGATGGTTCGCGTCAACTTTTCCCTCCAAAACAAATCTTCAGCCTCGCTGCTTGCTAGGCAGTGGATCTCCAGCTACAAGCACGAGCCACTTCATCACGTGTATCTTATCTTCGTTATCTTATCTCCTTATCATACCATGATATCACAGCTGCTGACCTCGGTATCTCCAATTCATTCTACAACTTTAATGCAGAGGCACTTCGTCCCAGTTAACAAGATGACCGCCCTTCCCGATATTAAGAACCTGCGCTCCTTGTCCGGTGAGGAGCAGACAAAAGCTCTTGACCTCCTCTTCGAACCGAGTCCTGCGATACATGCCCTCCTCCTGCCCTCCATCTCTGCCACCACTTTCGACTCCTACAATGACTTAATCACTCATGCTCATAAGATCTTCGAAGCCCTTGCGGCTGAACCTTCCCGCAAGACGGAGTTACACGCTATAATTGGATCGCATCCTCGACTCGGGGCTAAGAAGGTGGAAAGTGCCCAATCCGCAGCTGAGCAGGCCAAGTTACAAACTGGGGACGCCACCGAACTGGCTGCGCTGAACACCGAGTACGAACTGCGGTTTCCAGGGCTGCGATACGTCGTATTTGTCAACGGCAGGGGCCGCCCAGAGATTATGGAGAATATGCGCGCGCGCATTGCTCGTGGTGATATTGCGTTGGAGGAGCGCGAAGCGATACAAGTGAGTCGGGCTCAGGTCCTTGATGTCCTCTGCTAACAATAAATAGGCCATGTGCGACATTGCAAAGGACCGGGCAGCCAAGCTTCAAGCTACTTCTCATTGATTACTACAATCGCATTTACAGACAGGCCATAACTTACGGCCAAATACTAAACAGCCTCAACAGACAGGTGTGGGTACAAGATAGAAGGGCGCTTATTTTACGTCCACTTGAGGTCTCTATATCGTCTAAGTCATTGTATTCCCATATCTACGAAGTCTTTCTGAACCTCCATCTTACACGCCGCAAAAACTCGTCTACAACTTTGCACTCTCTTCGAGAAGCTTCAGCAGTCTGCCGACACGCTCGGCTTCTCTGTAACCGCTAACGACGGCTCCTGCGACGCTTCCGCGGTGCTCCATTTCGGTGTGCTCGCCAGCGAATCCAAGGCGTCCGTTCCAAACAGGCCTGCTAAGCTCCTTGAAGTCGAGCGGGCTGCGCTCGCCGTTCTCCGAGATAATGGACGGCGTCGTCGTAGCACCCCGTGAGTACTCGTCAGTGAGCCAGTTGGTCAAGTTGGTTTCGGTCGGCTCAGGCGGTTGAGACGACGTCTGAAAACGGGAGATGAGGAACTTGTGGAAAGCGGCCGCGACTTCCTTGGGATCCCGTTGAAGAAGTATGGTCGCAGGGGTCTCGGAGAGGTAGGTGAGAAGAGTTGGGCTCGGGCCAGGGAGGGACGGGCCGGCGAAGTTGGCGGTGATCAAGGTAGAAGCCTCAAAGACCTCGAGAGTAGTCGAGCTTTCAGTGACGGGCTTGGTAGAAGTAGGCAGGAAAGTGTACGAGCCGGCCGTGTCGGCCTCTGGCCACCAGGCAGTAGGGTACTGGAGCAGAAGCTTCTCCAGAACACCAACGTGGGTGCCCTTGATGGCCTCCTGGAATCGAGGCGGCAGGGCGGGGTTGAAAGTGCTCTCTGGAAGAGTCTTGAGAACTCCAAGGGGTATGGTGGAAACGACTGTCTTCGCCGTGAACTTGTTGCCATTCGTGTCGGTCACAACCACACCGTTGTCGGTCTGTGATACGCTAGCAATCTTGGTGCTCAGCTTCACTTGGACGCCCTTCGCCTTGGCATCCTCGACAACCCTGGTGACCAGCGCCTCGTAGCCTCCCTCGGGTGCGGCATCAGAGCCAGCAAAGGCCGTAGTGCTTTCCCAGCCTGCCCACTTAAGGGAGGCCTTCTCAAGTTTTAGGCCAAGAGGCACCTCAAGAGAACGAGCGAGGGCAGCGGCCAAGTCCTTTGCAGACTGTTCAGAGGCAGATGCAAACAAAGCCGAGTTAGGAGCCAGTAGAGCTGATGCCAAAGAGGCGGATGGCGGGGGAGAAGGGTGAGGGAGCTTCAGCGCGGCTTGGGCAGTGCCCAGAGATGCACGCAAGCTATCAGCGTTGGAGCTGGGAAGGCGGCCTTATATAACCATCAGCATGTGTGATAACTGCCTGGCTCGGATATGTGATACTAACCGTTGGGGCCATAAACCACACCTTCAGCAGGCTTGGGCAGATGAGCAGCCTACATCATTCACATTAGCACATTGCACTCTCTCTCTTCAGCTTACCCAAGCAATGTTAAACTTACGACACTGAAGTCTTGGGCAATATATCTAGCGGGGTTTCCCTCCAAAAATCCATGAATCCAGCTGCAGCCAACGTCAACCTTGACGTCCCCCTTGGTCCACGTGTTTGCGCGTCCTCCAATTCTGTCTCTCGCCTCAAGGACAAGCACCTTGCGTCCCTTGGTCGCAAGTTCGCGTGCGGCAACGGAGCCGGCCCAGCCAGCACCGATAACAATGGTATCCAAAACTTCTGCCATGATGTTGCGAATAGACATATGTACAGAGACGATGATATGACAAAGAGACAATGTTGCGGGAGGGCGTGATCCGGGGTTGGTGGTGCTTTCACACTGGGTTTAATGAACCCCCCGCCAACATCCCCGCCTCGCGTCACACATCCCCCCCAGGGCGGGACCCGGGGAGATGTCCGACCGGGCCGACCATCGGAACCGGCGGGGGGGCTTCTGAGAGGCCCCATACAATTGCCCCCTTACAACGCAACTATAGTTACATACTAGTAGTATGTGTACTATAGCGCATTGGCAAGTCCATTTCTGGCAACACAGCAAATAGCATCATATCTCCCGATGAAGTAGGTCTCGCCGATAGATAAGGTTGAGACCGTGCGCAAATTTAAAGCCAACCCTCCCCCAACGATTCGATCACCTCACTTCACCCTGACTTGACACCTCAACGACACCTGTTTGCTGATTTGACTTACTGATCGGTTATAACCTGATGAGTGTTGCAGTAGCGCAAATGCAAACGCCCATACAGGCTGACTTAAACTCAGCAGCGTACCTTTCCTCGAATCAGATGATCTGAGACGAACAAACATGCAGTCAGACGGAAATAAGGGCCGCAATACGATTGGTTCTACCTAGTGTGTAAAGACTTCGCATTGTATACGATGTGTTCGCTATTCTAACAAAGGGGCTACAGAAAAACACCGCCAGCTCATTCTCATCAGCTGTTTGTAAGATATGTATGCATAACAAGTCTTATCGCCGCTCCGGACTCCGCTTCCGTTTAGCTCTCCACCCCCTAGAACCGATGTGGTTGACTAGAACCTGCGAGCGAGCTCCTCGGTCTTGTTCCACAGGTCGGAATTAACTTCTTTTTGCGTCAGCCACGAGGCCTCGGCGCGCTTCTCGACCTTGGCGACGGGTGTGAGAAACTTGCCCTGCAGGGCCGGGGCGTTGGGACTGGTGGCGGCGAAGAGCGAGTTGTACGAGCCCTGCAGCGGGGTGGTGCTGTTGGTGACCTTCATGACGGTGCGCATCACGGATCCCATCCACGTCGTGTCGCTGGACTGGAGGCCGGTGTTGACGACGCCGGGATGCACCGAGTAGGCAGTGACGCCTAGTCATCTGTTAGTCAGGTGAAGATACGACGGTCATTGGTCCTTCAGGACTCACCTTGCGAAGAGTAGCGGTCGTTAATCTCCTTGGCGTCACGAATTATGGCCTGCTTAGAGTGGGCGTAGCGCTGCCTGTATTACATGCATTAGCTGCCTATGGCAACTTACAGTTTCCACCAGATGGGCTTACATCAGGGCGAACGTGCCGTTGGCGGCCGACATGTTGGGATCCTCAAAGTCAATGGTCTTGGGAGCGCCGGGAGCGTTGTTTGCCAGGTCGCTCGATACGTGGATGACGCGTACGCGATTCTTATCATCCGAGGCAGCCGCAGTCGACAGCAGTTTGGGGAGCAAGCCAACGGTGAAAATGTGCGGGCCCAGGTAGTTGACCTGCCATTGTGTCTCGTAGCCGTCACTGGTCAGCTTGTAGGGGACATTCATGACCTGGCCATGTTAGCAGGGCACATTCAAAACTGGTGAGATTGGAAACATACACCGGCGTTGTTGATGAGAATGTCAAGACGCTGGTCAGGGAAGTTGGCGGCGGCGGCCTTGACCGACTTGAGATCCTGCAGGTCCATGTGCAGAAAGTGCAGGTCAAGACTCTTGCCGACCTCCGAGTTGATCTTGGAGATGGCCTCATTGACGCGAGATTCTGAGCGGCTGGCGATGTAGACACGGGCGTTGCGCAGGGCCAGCTGCTTGGTAGTCTCGTAGCCGATGCCGTTGTTTCCTAGACACGGACCAGTGGTGAGTACGGTACTGCCGCTGCAAGGTGCTGTGTAGCAGGCCGTTTAATTACCTCCTGTGACAATGGCAACATAGCCAGTCAGGTCGGGAATGTCCTTCTCGGTGAAATCGTTGTTTGTCACGGTAGACTCTGCGGTGTCTTCCTTCTGGCAGGGCATGATGTAGGATGTAAGTGGGCGAGGTAGGTGGTAATCTTTAGCGGTATCGTTGGTTGTTGATGCGGAAAGGGAAATGTGAATGAGAATGGAAGAGGAAGAGTAAGAGGTTCAGGCAATCATGGAGTGTATTTATTCGAGTGGCTTCGCAATGTACGTCCATTGCCGCTCAACGCCATGGTGCTTACGTTCTCCTACTCCGCCTCCTTCACCACCATTCATCTATCCATCCGTCCCGTTTACGCAAGCTTCATGCATGGATGGCTAGTATTGCTGTTTTACTTGCTCTGGTTACAGCTTGGATGCATTTGGGTTGCATACTGGTTCCGGCAGGGTTGCATCACTTTCGCAACTCGAGATACCAGTCTCAATGGCACATTGACACCTCTGGCTTTTAATTCCTCCCGGCTCCGGGTTCAAGGTCTGCTGCCTTTCTTTCCCCTGGAACACTCACTTACACGTAGCGTTGTTCAGAAAGCACAGAGCGCTTTCAGATTAATAGACATCAACCAGCCCAACCAGAACGACACATGGATAACTCCGTGGATCGACTCATGGGGTGCTGTGTTGAAGGAATAAAAGGTATATCTAAACCCCTTCCTTTGAAATGCATGAACTCTAACCATTTATTCGGATGTGACCGGCATTACACCTGAGTGCTAGGAACTATGTAGGAGCTGTTGGTGACCTCAGGAGAGGGACAACACAAAAGCCCATTGCCTCGAATTTGTTGATGGCCAGTGTCAACATGCAGGTACTTTACTCCCTGGTAGCCATTTGTACTCCTAACCGGTACACATCATACCAAAGATTGGGAATATGCAGTCAGAACAGAGTCCCTGTGGTGGCGGCAAGCCGACCAGCAGAAGGGCGGGCATGCGTGTAAGGCTGGAGTTCAGGCTGGTGAGAATGGATAGCTGGAGTTGCATTGGCGCAAACCTGTGGCCAATGCAATGCATGGACGACGATCGCGGCGCCAATAATGACCTAGATAAGGGCGCAAGCACGCAATCGCACGTATCTGCTTCAGGTCTCTGAATCTCGCTTATCTGAACCTCAACCATTTATTTTTGTAAGTCGTTTTCTGCACTTGAATAATTCTTCTAGCTTTCGTATCATGATACTAGTCTTCAAGACACCGTCGAGAACCAACTGATGTGTCAGTAGCGATGCGTTGAGAGACTTTGTCATGTTAGGCGTTGCTGCCGGGCTTTTATTTTTCTTTTGCCTATGCATATGCTTTGTTACTTTTAAAATTCAGTTCGTTTTTTTTTTTTCTTCTGCGTGAAGCTCTCGCGCTTCCACGCGGTCTCTTACCGCCCTCATAGGCAGTTACAATGTTTTGGAACGATCATATCCTCATCTTTGTCTAGGCATCGAAGCCATCTCTGAGGTGGCTGCCACTGAGACGAGGACACCGGTTGCTGTGGTCCGCGATGGCTTGGCTGCTTGGTCCTCTTCTGGAGTTCGGCAAACCACTCTTCAAAGGATTCCTAAGCGAGCCAAATCTCGAAGACATCGTGGCGGTCCCGGTTTATCACAAACCTCCCATTCATTTGCTGGAAGCATCACCTACCGACCCACGATATCCCATCCAGCTCGTCCAGATACTCCTCATAAGAGCCATCATCTTCGGTCTCTCCATTTTGAGTTGAGCCACCGAAAATGGCTCCAAAGTCCGAGTACACGTCTTCCAGATCATCTTCATCGGCCCAAGCATACTGGCAATCCTGGTCTGACGTATGAAAAGCCAAGGGAACGTCGTCGTCCATGTCTTCGAGCAAGGTCTCAGAGGGCGTCAATACTGGCGACCGGGTCGGATGTAATCGCGGTGACTTGGGTATTATCTTGTTTGATTGCAGGGTCCTTGGAGGAGACGGTTTCCTCTCAGCTTGCGGTGAAAGGACACTCGGGCCAGGGGTGATTGAGATGCCGGGCCGCATCAAAATCACCCGTGGAGGTAGTTGCTGCCGCTGTTCCGCAAGCGCGGGCGGCGGCGCTACGAATCTGGCTCCGGTGGCAAGTTGCTGGCCGTGGTGAAGCACCGCGGCATTTGCAGCCGCAACAGCAATGACGACGTCGCCCCGTTGCGTCGCCTCGTTCCGGACACGCAGCCTGACTCTGTTGAGCACTGCTGCCCTTAACATCACCGAGCTCTCACGGTTCAAACTCTGTTTGCTGGTATCCGGGGAGGTGGCTACGGCGGCCAACTTGACGAACCGCTTGTCGCCCGACGCCGCTCCGTCACGATTGATGATGTGCGTTGCAGGTAACGAGAACGGCTGGGAGAGTCTGCTGGTGATAAGATGGAGCCTCAAGCGACGCTTCTTCAAACTCAGACCGGCCGTGTGTGGTCCGTCGACGTCCGAGTCTAGCCTCCCGCGCTTCTCTAGCCTGAGAAGGGAAAATTGCCTTGAGAAGTCAAAGTCGATCCATTCATGGCTTCTCTTGAAAGTGAAGGTGCGGCTTGGTTCTGCTGTTGGCGGTGTACGAACAACTGTGTCCGTCGCCGGTTTCGTTGGCAACGGTGATGGTAAGAACTCCAGGCACTGCCTAATGTCCTCGTGCCTAGAGCATTGCCGCGGCGTCAGTGACGAGAAGAGATCGGATTCCACGCGGATATCGAGGTTGTCTTCGTTCCCCGACCTCTCATATTGCCATGTCTTGAACGGCTCCACAGCACTGTGGTTTATCGTACCGACTTCAACCACCATCTTTGCACCCGCAATACTTCTTTTTCTTTGGAAAGTTGGGAGTAGACGCTGTCCGAAAGTCGGTTCAGAACTCCACGCATGAGGATTGAGCAGATGATTTCGCCGAATCAAAGTTGGTTCATACTCCAAGCCACTCCCTCGATGCCGGTCTAGGTTCTGTCAGTTGCCGACATGAGGGAATGCTTTTTATTTAAAAGAGGAGAAGTATGCAAGAGCACAATGGCACTAGGAGTGACGGGAAAGCGTATGGTGTCCCTCTCTCAATGGGCAACTGGACCCTGACGTCTGATACAGGGTCTCCTCCAGCAGGGTGCGTGGGCTGAAGTGGGTAGAGCGGGAAAAGGCGAGAGAAAGCTAACTCGGACCACAGCTGCAAGACGGGCACGAGATCATATGCTAGTATTTATTATGCCGGGTTTCCCTTACCACCTAGAGGAGGCACAGCAAAAGTATAGATGCGGAGAGGAGAGCGAGACAACCAGAGTGATCAGCACGAACCAACGGGGCGGAAACCCCATTGGAAACCCTGACTGGCGGTCTTCACAGTTTGTTCCCCTCTTCCTCCCTCTTTCGTCTCACTGTACTGTACTAGTACTACATGCTACTATGTCGTACCACGCAAGCCAGGCTAGGCGAAAGGTTCAATGTTCACTGGTGTATGGAGGGAGGGAAGCAGGCAAGGGTCGCGGAGGTAGGAATGGCAAAGACCTGGGGAAGAGTGCTGGAATGGGGACGAATGGGATAGTCGGGATGCTCCGGTTCTCCCCCCTGGTCATGCACCACCACCCTGGTCTGGGGTTGAGAGGGGGGAAAGAATGTGACATGGGCGGGAAATTGGGGCTTTTCAGCCTTCAGACCTGGGCATGCGTGAGCTGGATGCGCACTTAGTTTCCAGGTAAGCAGCATGTCGTTTGCGTAGCAGTGCGGTGACAGTAGGCAGAGAATCTGCTGAGGTGGCATCTGACTATATTCATCCTATAATCGATAAACCACTTGGCTATACAGAAGAAATATAAGTTCAAATACGGTTACATCTGCGAACACAATTGTTTTTTTTTTTTTTTTTTTGAACGGTAAAAGACATAACCGGCTGGGAGGAACATCAGGGAGGCAGAGACATATTTCCATGCAGCCCGGACCGGGTGCTTTTGTCCGGATTCAGAGTGACGAGACGACACGCGCCACCCATGGCATCTAGGCGAGAAAGCCAAGCATGCTCACGCTGTCACTTTTTTGAGAGAAAATCGGAGGCTGAGTGAGAGCATGCTACTGGCGTAGAGATGCCAATACACATGGATGAGTAGAGAGGGGACTTACGAGATGTCCCCCGCGGTCCCTACCGAAGAGTGGATGTCGCCACTCAAGAAAGCTTAACAACTCTGCTTTTTCTGGTTCTTGATCGACTTTGTTTAACGATTAATATTCAAACTCGCTTCAGCATATCCAATACTGAAATGGATACATTCACCCAGACTTGTTGCTCATTTACGTTGAGCTCGGGTGGCGTTTTGGGGCATCAAGCAACATTTCTTTTTTGCCCGTGGCTTAGGTCACCCGCGTCGCTGGATTTTCCCGCCCTCACCCATACAAGCAACAACCATGTTCTCGGATCTGGATGGCTCAAGGGCCTCACCTTTGGGATCCTGCATTCTGTCTCGAATGGCAATCCTTGCTAGGCACCTAGGGAGTCCGTAGTCGGTCCTCCTCGTGGGATTTCGATCCCCGATGAAATGATCAGCAACACATTGTCCATGGGCTTGTTAGGCAACTGCAACGATCTGCCTGTTTTGCCTCCTCGCTAATGAACTGGATGTCATCCATCTCGAGTACCGAGATTCCAAAATAGACAGAACAAAGAGGCTAGAGCACTCCAAAGGTGATTTGCAACAATAAGAGGCGAACCCAAGAAGCAGAGCTGGTCCCAAGCCTAACCTCTCATTTGCTCCCTCTCTTTGCGGGGAAAAACTCTTGTCGCATGTCTTGTCCTACTATCGTGTACATGCGTCTGGACTATCATTACGGGGTGCATTATGCAGCTTGGTCATCCAACAAGATTGTTCCGAGACCGCTTACCCACCGTCGCCCACCCATTCCAAAGCACACAGCAAAGCTGAGAGATGGGCGGGACGAGGCGATGACCGTCGAGGCGGGATTTTCTGAAGCGGTACCGCGCGATACTCGATTGACCACCGACAAGCGTGATTTTCGTTTGGGATAGCGGCTTTAATCCTGCCTAGACTGGTGGACAACGAGCTGCTAACCGCAAAATGGGGGGTCACGCGCAACCCAGAGGTTTTTGATTCGTGAGCAGCTCTAGCTGGCCGCCCAAGTGAGTCGTTGACCAATGAATCAGGGGACGAGCCTACCAGTGCTGATGAATTGGGCTTCGGTGGCAGCAGGGCGAGCTGTGTGGAACTGGACAAGGGTACCCTGTCGTTCGACTTTCTAGACCTGGCACTGTCAAGAGGCATCGATTTGATATCCAACAGTACAGTGTCGATGTGTCTGTCTCTGGCAGTTCACTGATCTAAGCCTTTTCGTCTTGGTCATCCCTTTATGGATCAGCGAACCGTATCAAATCTTCTGCGTTGTAACCGAAGAAAATCGTCCAGAAAACCGGAACACCCGCATGGACTTGCTGCATCCTGACTGTGTGGCTGGGCCTCACTCAAGCAGGGCAAGATTTGCTGGGACACTTTACAACTACCAGACGCAGTTAGACAACCATGCCCAGAATTACAGCCTGCTTGGTCTTCCATCACTTGTCAGAAGTTGCTGACTGCTGCGGCGCGTTAGAGGCCCAGACCACACCAGGCCAGCAAGTGTGGATGTGACAGCCGACCAGAAGTTCGTCTGAGGTTCCGTCCAAGTGATATGTAAAAGACAAAAGTTCTGTCAGACTGAGGCAAACCAGCGGGAAATTTTGCCCACAAAACAAGGGTAGCAGCGGCTTTGACCTGCGGTTCCAAGGCTGTCAGAGCGGCCGCTACCCTTACTGATACTACCTTTTTTTTTTCCAATGCAGAACCACTAAACTTACCATCGCCGTCTTACATCAGCCGTTTGTAGTTACAACGGCTATTTTCACCCCGATATATCCGGGTATATTTACCGGAGCCCGGCCATTCTTGAATCGTGCGGAAGCCGAGAATTACGGGCTTCTCGTAGAACAAGTCCGGGGCCCCACAAACTGCCACGGCTCTCCCCAGGAAATCCTCTTGCCGGACTAACAAACGCCCTCCACTACGATGATAACTCAGTCCAGGCTTCCCCTCACATGGATACCTCGGCTCCGCACCGATTGCTTGGAGCAGACTCCGGTGCGCACGGCCACGGCCCCGCCACAGGTTAACTCGTCCCGAGGTTCATTCCTCACGTCCGTGTCTCACACCTCAGTGCTCTGCTGGGAAGACCTGGGTTACTGGAAGTTTATTTCTCAAATCAAATCATCCTTTGACGCGAAGCTCTCGGAAGCCAACTCTGACTAGACTTCATCTCATGATTATGTGTGTATAACCACTGACGTACTTTGTTTTTGAGGTTTTGATTTCACGCGCCGCACCCTCCTTCATTCTCTCCTCTTGTCTCTCTCTGGTTGCGCAGCTCAATTCTCTCCCTACCATGTCGAAGCTCTTGTTCCAAAATGTTATGGCACTCGCTCCACTGCCGACAATTTCGAGCCAAACAACAACCAACGGCACAGTCAAACGGTATATGAGTCTTTGGCCGGCCTGGGTCCCTGGCTCAGAGCTCGTTGGTGGTGAAGGTCGCGGTTCTAAGGCAGATCCACGACCTGCGTATGGAGGGCACGTGTATGCGCAAGCACCGCTCGCCGCGTGTCGAGCAATTCAAGAGGAAGAGTCCGCCGGGTCTGAATCTCAAACTGGCGGGTTTGGTCTTCATGTGAGATTCCAATCACTTGCCGTGGTGCAGCCACTTACGTCGCTAACTTTTACCCAGAGCATACAAGGTTGCTTTTCGGCAGCAGCCAAGGCAAACAGACCTTTTGTGTATGAAGTTTCTAGTCTCTCAACCAGTCCCACCTTTTGTTCCCGGTTAGTGACAGTGCGACAACCCAAAAGACCAAGCAAGCATCTCGATAAGGACGACTTTATTCTTGAGGATGCAGAGGGTGAACTTGGTGACGTATGCTTCAGCTGTATATGCACCTTCAAGCGACCAGAGGAGGGTCGAGTCAGCTCGCAAGAAGTACCACCGCAAGAGCGTTTCGCCCATACTCTTAGGACTAGATCGCCAGAGGACTGGCCTGGGGCTCCCGCAGTCGATGTGGAAGAAATCAAGGCCATGTTCCCAGGCATCACTGGACATTTTCCTATCGTGGACATGCATAAGGTTGATTTGACGGCCTGGAATGAAGGGAAGCCGGTAACTGAAAGAAGAGAACTGCTCTTCTACCGTCTAAGGGGACCACTACCGGCTGATGATCCGAACCCGCATGTTCTCGTACACGCCTATGAGTCGGATCGAAATGGATTGCTGATGATTGGAAATCATGTCGGCGTTGGGTGGAGCTTGGGATTAGCAGCTAGCTTGACTTACACCTTTGTCGTTCATACCAATGTTGACCAGGCGGTAATGAAGGATCCAACGGGATCTGAAGATGGATGGTGGATACAAGAAGTCTCATTTCCTCGTACTGGCCAGGGGCGAGGAGCCCTCATGTGTAAGATGTGGAGTCCATCTGGTGTTCATGTAGCCACGGGCTACCAAGATGGTATCGTCAGAGAGAGGAGAACCGAGGAGAAGGAGAAGTTGTAATGGCAAGACGCAAAACCTATCCCTGGTCCAAGAGAGCAGATATACTTCATTGCACATTTTCCGACTTTGTATGTGTAGCATAGATAGAATTTCTCAGGTATGGATAGGAGTAGCGGTGTTTGTTTGTAGGGGAAGCACAAATTTCGTTCCTGCGCTTTCGTGCATTGCAAACTAGAAAGCGCTGGTGCCTGTTTTTTTATTCTCACTTCCTGGGTCGTTTTCTTCATCACATCTCAATGAAAGAACGACCAATCCAGTCCCTCTTACCTTCCAAACACAAAACTTTAGCTTTCCATCACAACTGCTCTGCCTTTACGTTCTGTCAAGTCTCTTCGCCCTTGCAAATCATAACTCAATTTCGTCTACGCATTTCCAGAAATTCCTTTGGTCACACCTCTTAATCAACAAACAGTGTAGGTAAGCATAATACTATTTCAAAACGTTTAGACCTCTGATAACTTGATTATAGGGAAATACCCATGACATCAACTCGCCATGGAATCGATATCTCTATCTCGACCACTTTGCATGTCGCGACTCACCTCATCAATCGCTAACCTCAATAACGATATACGGGAAGTTCAAGCCGAAGCCGAAATCATAGAGACTCAAGTTGCCTACAAAGATGCCGAAGTGGAACAGTTGAAATCGGACAGGATCAGTCATGAAGGCCCCACAGGTCACTTAGATGCTGCTATCAAACAAGCTCGGCACGAAAGGAAAGGCCTTCGCGAAACATTCGACGAGAAAAAAGACAAGTTGACTGCCTTAAAAGCAAGACTAAAGAAGAAAGAGGCCAAGCTTGCCGCCATACCACCTGTTGAGTCTACAAATGCCCTTAAAACGAAGGACAATGAAGAGGCGGCGGCATTGCTGGAAGTTACCAACACCGCCTGGGATCAGGTCTTTGTCAGAAGCGACGACGGCCAGACTTTTGTTAAGCCTGCTATGCTTCATGGAGTCCCCACTACTCCCATCAGCGAGGACGGTCCATATTGGGAGCCGTCATGGACCAAGTTTGGAGATGCTATTGATGAGAATCATCTACGGCGCCGATATAACGCAGATATCGACGAGAGGCGGCAGAGGTTACAACGAGGGCCGCTCTCGGAGCAAGAGAGACAATATTTCGAGATGCAAGACAAGAGATACCAGCGCTTTATGAACGAAGCAAAGGTTATCAAGAGGTGGTTTTGTCCCGGACAGACGCTGCACCCAAATCAAGTCATGGCCAAGGAGTACCTTCCTGACGCGGGATTCTGTCAATCGTATACTCTCTACCGAATTTCCACCCTCCTTAACCGTCTCAACGCCTTGCACGAAAAAGGCGAGCTGGCCATGCAACCACTCTACTTCCTTATTTGGCGGATGAGTGTTGCCTTCGACCGAGAGCCCAGGATACGGGCCAAATCCCTCCTCAAGGTTGTTATCGACGAAGATCATCATTCTTTTGATCCCATTCTGCGACAGGCTGTGATGAGAGGAGCGCAACATACGAACGATTACAATGCCTATGGTCCCAGAAGTACTGGATACTCCTCGCCCAGGAAGCCTTTTTTCCTGCCGTCGACCGCTGCCGGTGAGCAGGATACGTCTACTAGTCATTCGAAGTTGCTTCTTGGTGGTTCTCTTGGGCCCCGGAAGCTTAATTCACAATTAAAACCAGCGTCTGCAAATGCTCCTGATTCACGGGCCCCAATCTCACAGGAGAAAGGCTTCAAGAGATTCGGCGGCCAGAATAAACGAAAGAAAGGACTGCCGAGACCTCTTGAGCAACGAGTTTGTGAGGAAGAGGAGGATTCCACCATGCCACCCGCCAAAACTCCTTTCAAGCCAATGCCACGAACGGAAGATCGAGTCTCCTTTAGGCCCCGACCCCCCACCGAGAGCCTGAACATGTCTGATGAGACTTTTTGCCAACCTTTGGATGAAGAGGTGCCCTTTTCCAAAGTCGCTCAAGCCACAAACTTTCCTCAATTTTCCCAGAGAAGCAAGGATTTGATACCGCAAGCGACAGCGCGTAGTGAGCGTATGCGGAGCATGAATAACAGCACGAACAACTCTCACCCAACGACGGCTGACGTATCTGGTGAGGGTAGAGACAAGCAGCGGCGCATAACACATCCAGGAGACTCTGACATTACTCGCACAGATATACTTTCTAACAGTAATGAAGTGGACAAGGCTGCTGTGTGCTTGGAACCCGCAAAGGATAACTGCACTTACGAAGACAACTCAGATGTCGAGATATTGGAAGAGCGGACCATTGAACGGAGTCCATTCCCAAAAAGTGGACGAAGAGTAACACACGGCTTTGTGACAGCCTGGCTACCATGCACTGAGCGCGAGGCAATGTCATGGTTCCTTTGAGACATGATGGATCTCAAGTTGCACATGTCTCCAAACGATGCTTTTGACGGTATTATGAGCCTAGCTCAACTGCTGGGAAACTCTATAGTGGCTTAGGGGGTTAGAGGCTCATTAATCAAGGCCCAAGTTGTTTTGCTCAGAGAATCTCAATGAACATCTCGCGATGCCGGATGTAAGGATAGAAAATACGTACCTCACACGTAAGGTAGACAATCATACATAGATCATGCCATTCGCATCCTGTTCAACTCAGCAACACGCTCAAAGAGGGAAAGCTCTGTAATGTCATAGCTCTCATTTGGTAATCCGGGCGTCACGTGATTGGAAATCGCTTACACTGCCGGTTACGGCAAGTACCTTGGCCAGTGCTCGAAAGTGGCTCCCGTACCTTACCGACAGCCGCAACATCAAACCATCAAATCAGGCCATCGACAAATCCCTCTCTCTTCAACCAAACCCGACGTCACAACGAACCTCTCCTCTCCAACCCCCAATTGCCGTCGCCATGTTCTTGCAACGCTCCGCCATCGCCATCGCCCGCCGGGCGGCCGTCGCTCCCGTCGCCAGACGCACTTTCGCGACCACCATGCTCCGCCGTACGATCCCTCAATTGATTCCTGCCTGACTCCCCCAAATCCCGAAAAAAATACACATGAGGCCTGCTGGCCGCCATACCGAGATTCCATTTTTTCGCTGACCAGCGCGAACAACAGGCGACGCCACCTCCAGCTCTACCCCCGCCAAGAACTACAAGACTCTCTCCGGTAAGGACCTCCGTCAATTGAGTCGGCGTTTCGTGAATTGGACCTATCCTCGGCCGGCGCGGTTTTCCGGAATGTGCACTGCTTCCGCACACCACATGCAACCACCACATCCCTTCCGACCGCGTCGTACGATGGACAGACAATCCGAACGAGGACCCCGAGAAAGAAAGAGAAAAAAAAAAACATGGGCTAATCAATTCAATTGCTATATGTAGAGATCAAGACCGAGGATGACCTCGTTGGTCCCGGTGCCAAGGTCGGCGAGGTCCCTACCGATCTCGAGCAGTCCACCGGTCTCGAGCGTCTCGAGATTCTCGGAAAGATGGAGGGTGTCGACGTCTTCGACATGCGCCCCCTCGATGCTTCCCGCAAGGGTACAAGCTGATCCCTCACCCAGAGCTACTCAATGAACATAAAAAGTCTAACGCAACCCACGTAGGAACCATGGAGAACCCCATCCCCGTCCGCTCTGCCGGCGAGGAGCAGTACCTCGGCTGCACCGGTTCCCCCGCTGACTCTCACGTCACCACCTGGTTGACCGTACGTTGCTCATGTGTCCCAATCGAGCCCGTTGACGATTGCCTGTGAGCTGACTTTTTGTCCGTTGATAGATCTCCCGCGACCGCCCCATTGAGCGCTGCCCCGAGTGCGGCTCCGTCTACAAGATGGACTACGTCGGCCCCACCGATGACCACCACCACGGCCACCACCACGCCCCCGAGTACGAGGAGCCCAAGACCTTCGCCGACTTCATCAAGCCCGAGTACCGATACCAATAGATGCACTGTCTTGAGGCAGGCCAGTAGTGGCAAGGGGACTGGGGACGAGACGGCATCGGGGTTGCTCTGGAGTGAGCAAACAGATGTGTAGATTACCTTAGTTGTGGCTGTATAGAACCTTTTTTCTCCCGACGTGTTTTGAAGTGTATGTACCAATTGTCACGCCTTGGCTTGGCGGCTCGTGTTTGGCGTAGTGGTAATGAGACTATGCCAGAGTAGCCTTGCAGGGTAGCTGAGCTGTATGTGATGTGACTGCCCAGGAACAGCCCCAGCAGCTGTCGATGTCGATCCGGTTTGAATAATGATGTTGTGTAATCCCACAATGCCTTCGCGTTCGGGGGGGAGAAGGATCCTTCATTCCGGCTCGTCGAAGCTCAACTTGATTTTCTTCCCCTTCTTCTTGCCAGCCTTTTTTTTCGAGCCCTCGTCGTCCTTGGTCTCTTTACTTCCGTCGTCCTTTGCATCTTCAGCCGCGTCGCCAACGACCTTGCCAGCCTTCCTCTTCTTACTGCCGCCGATACCAGCGACCTTTTCCGCCTCCCGCTTTTCCTCCGCGGCGTCCCCCTTTTCCCCCTCGTCCTTCTTCACCTTGTCCTCCTCTACGCCGCCGTCCTTGTCCACCCGCACATCCACCACGACGTTACCATCCTCGTCCACGACAAGCGGCGCGTCCTCCGCCTCCTCGCTGTCGGAGCGCTTCTTCGCGGCCCTACGTCGTTTCGCGAGGATCGGGTCGGGTTCCGCTGAGTTGCCTGCCGCTTGTGCGTGGAGCGCGCGCAGGAACGGCGGGATCTTGGTGTCGTAGGAGAGGTTCTTGGAGGTGATTTTGTCCGACATGGCGGTCGTCCGGGGGGGCCGCGAGGATAGTTATGGTTTTAACGGTACGACGGTGGCGTTTCTGGCGTTTCCGCGCAGGATACTTTACTTTTGAGGCAGCGGTAAGTCTGGAAGGGCTGCAAGAGGACGCGAGGTTGTTTGGGTGTTGCGGTCGTGGCGACGGTGCGCACGAGAGATGTCGGCGAGACTTTGAGCTGAAGCTGGAGCTGGAGCTGGGACTGCCCTTTCGCTAATGCGCCGGGCCTGGTGGGGGGTGGAAAGTTCATTTAGTGGTTGAGCAAGTTTCGTTAGTGGGCGTATTTTGCAGGGTTAGCGGGCCTCGCTCAACGTCGTAGTGCATCGGTACCTCACTGGTTTACAGTGGACACTTGCTACGCTACCTGGGGGTGACCCATCAAGGTTCTGGACGAAGCCAAGAACCGCACTTATATTCGTCTTCTTGCATCTCCCATCTGTCCGACTTCACCTTTACTCTGATTCTTGACTTCTGCGTATCACAAGCTTCATCGAACACATGATATAGCATCATTCCTCGAGAATTGCATCACATCCACGTAAAATCACGATGTAACGACACAACTGATTAACACATCATGAATCTGATTCAGACCTCCACACCAAGGTAACTACTAAGGACCAATGACCAAGGTATCTATCTATCATACAGGCGAAAAAGAGAAAAAGAAGTAGAGTCATAAAAACAAGCGGTGCCATGTCTGTTCCAGCCATGCATGTTCCCGACCCCCGAACGCCCGCGGCCCTTTTTTTAGCCATGCAACGCCGATGCCGTTTTCCATGAAAATCATCACTTGAGAGAGAGAGAAAAGGAACGATTCCCGTCCACGCCGAGAACCGCGAAAATAAAATAAAGGATGACCTTAGACGATCTGCAGGACGAACTGAGGTCCCGGTGCGGCGCCCAGGGCGCCTCCCTGCACGCCAAAGGCGGTAACTGGGAGCGAGGCCACGGCGGTGGCGGTCAGCTTGCCCGAGTCCGCAGCACGGCTGAAGGCCGCCAGGCCGGACGTGCCGTTCTGGTTGCCGACGAGAAGGGTCTTCTCGTCCTTGGACAGGCTGAAGTGGCGGGGGAACAGGCCGCCGGAGGAGATGGAGTCGACGAACTCGAGCTCGATGCCGCCGGGCGCGGCGGAGCAGGGGGAGCCGCCAGTGGCAGCAGTCTGCTTGACCTTGAAGTGGGCGATGGAGTCGGTGTCTTGGCCGGTCAGTCGGTTGGAGACGTAGACGTGCTTGCCGTCGCCGGTGACGGCGATCTCAGCGGCGGCACCCTTGCCGTCGGCGGGGGGGTTGGGGCCGTAGGTGCTCAGCTCCTGGGTGCGAGTGAAAGCAACACCGGTGTCGTTGTAGGAGACGGAGAAGACTTGAACGAGGTTGAGCATCTCGCAGACGAGGAGGTAGTGGGTAGCCTTTTCGGCCTTGGCGGGGTACCAGACGCCGTGGCGGGGACCGCAGCCGGGGGTGGGGACGCGGTTGTGGCTGGTGATCTCGAAAAGGTCATCCTTGGAGTCGATGATGACGACGGTGTCGCTGCCGAGGTCGTTAACGGCGAAGAAGCGTCCGGAGGGATCGAGGATGGCCTGGTGGGCGTGGTTGGTACCCTGGCGCTCGGTGTTGGGGCCGACGGGGTCGTTGGACTTGAGCTGCTTGATGAGCTTCAGCTCCGTGGCGGAAGAAGTATCCCAGACGTCGATGGTGCCATCAGTGCTATGAGGGTGGTTAGTTGGTGGTTGAGGGGATAAGAACGGAAGTATGTGATCTGAGACTTACAAGGAAGTTCCCACGAGACGGGTCTTGTCGGCGTTGAACTCGATGGAGACAACACCGCCATAGCCGGTGGCGTTGGTCACGAGCTTCAGCTCATTGGTGGCGGAGTCAAACTATGGTGAGTTTTGTCAGCATGAGAAGGATTCAAAGGGAGATGAGATGAGATGAGAGTAAACTAAAAAAAAAAAAATCAACATACGCTGAACAAGCTAGTGTCGTTGGCGTTCTCGTTGACGGCATAGATGAGGTTGGGCTCCTTGAAAGCCAACCAGCTGGGGGCACCAAGGGCAGAGGTGTTGGCGACGACCTTGAACTCCTTGCCGTCAAAGTCGGCCACAGAGACGAAGCCAGGGCTGCCAAGCAAGACCTTGGACTTGGTCGCGGGAGAGTTGCTCTGTCTGGTGATGACAGCAGCTGAGGCGGTGGCCGCCGAGAGGACAAGGGACGAAAAGCGCATGGTGAAAGTGCTTTTTGTGTTTTCTTGGTTCTATTTCTTTTGACGTGAAGCGACTGATTTGTTGTCGTGAATTGGGATCAAAGTGAGAGACTGCAGCCGGCAGAAACAAATAAAGTTGTGAAGTGAGAGTGAGTGAGTATTGAAGTTGAGATGGAGGAGGAGGGAAAGAGTAGTGGTGATAGGGTTGTGGGTTATAGGTGCTGCTCCTTCCAAGTCAGGGAGGGAAAGTAAGGATGGATATTACTCAGGGACGGAAAGAACGATTCTGTTTTCGTTTCCACAAAAGCTGAATTAAAGTTTGGCTGAAATGCTGCAAATCAAAAACACTCAAGATGAGACTCTCTATCCGAACAATCAAGAAGGGGGGAGGAGGCAGAGCTCAACCTTATAAGTTTGGCATACTATGTACATGCCATGTAGTAGGAGCGCTCGACGGGGGTGCAGGGGTGTGCTTAGGTATGAGGCTGCGCATGGTTGTTGACTCTAATCCGTCCCATCCTATACATCTTTTTTTTGCTTGGATCCTAGCCTTTCAAAAGCCGCTTCCACCCCCAGCCACGGCTGAGTGAAGGGGAAGAAAAAAAGGGATGGGATGACAAGCCCACAGTGAAAGTCGGCGACCACTACCACCCCCAAAACCTTCACTCGCTCAAAGGGTCTCCACTGTCTGGGGTCATTTTTTCTTGGGCTTTTGGGGGGTAAGGCCCGTATGATTCAATCAAATCCTTTGGGTTGTCTGGGGTCCAGTTTGAAGAGAATCAAAAAGACGCAATGGCAAAGAGGTTCAGGATCAGTGGCCCTGACAAAGTGGAATCGATTGGCGGTTGAGAGACAGTGAGTGTCAGCTCTCTTGTTGGTTGGTCTATAGGGGGCCAGAGGGGTTGCGTTGGTTACACTACTTAGTAGCAGTTACTGGCCCCAGCCATGCACAAGAAGGCCCAGTGGCCCCCTTCGCCCCTTCGCCCCCCTCTATACAGCGCTTGTTACAGAGAAAGACATAGGCGACGCCAGGCGCCTACTGACCTCACCACAGACAGACAGACAGCCAGACAGAGCTCTGGCCCCTTTTCTTTCGTCTCTCATTGTCTGTTCTTCTTTGCTGTGCAATGCAATCCCATCTATGCATTATCTCTCAAACAAGCCAAAGACGCGGGTAAGCAAAGGCGTCAGAGTCAGTGTCAAACCCAGTCCAGTCAACGAGTCCGAGAGGAGGGTCCGGGTTGGGGTTGAATCCTGTCATCCGCAGTAAGCCACTTGAACAGTAGTTTTGGCTTGGCAACTATCCAGCAGCCATACAATCCGGTAGTCACAGGGCTGGAGAAACAGCTCACTGAGCAACTTGGCTTCTAGTTTTTTTTTTTTTTTACCCTCGCGCTTTTGTTCAAGGATGAACGATTCATTGGGGGCAGCTTCTCATTCACCTCCTATTCACACAAACAGCAAAATGAAAATCCCTGTATCCATGTGCTACCCAATACTCATGAAACAGGGGGGGCCAACATGTGCAAAATGCCAAAGGGTTACCAAACAGCACATCTCGAGGCCTTTAACGCGCTGTAATTGGCCTGTCTGGGTGGGAGAGGCTGAGTTGGGCTGTGTTTCGAAACATGTTCACGCCGTCCGTCATGCACGTCGCCCTTGGCCGCCAGCGGATTGGATGGGAAACTTTCCGACGGCTGTTGGGATGCTGCTTGCTTTGAAGGCGGCTGCCCCCGATTTTACCTGCAATCGTTCAGTTCGTGGTATTGTTTGCAGTTCATCCCTCGACCCCAAGCCTCGCTCAGTGATTGCCTATCCAACTAGGCCTCTCAAGTCAAGGTTGGCTTTTAGGGCCAAATCAAGTATGCCCGAGTTGGAGCCTGTCATGTCAATGGCGCTGCCTAGTAGCCTAAGGGAGGTTGGGTACATTCACACACTCACTAATTAGCAGCCCTACCATGTACTTAATTATAGGCTCAGTACAAGCCTTACGATGTCAACTAGTATGTACAGCCGATCCTAAAAATGGGTCCTTTAACAACGGCGGATACGTACTCTGGGGCGTCTCCACCCGCCTGCATGTATTCTGAGCGTGGCTGCGCTTCGAGGACCAACCAAACCGATCCCACCAGTCAAGCGCCTTACAACAACCACAAAAAGCAAACAAAAAACAGACGACCACAAGAGACTCCTGCTTGCATCGTCATCCAAAGGAACGACATGGGCCGCCAGGCACCACAGTTTTGATAGACAGCCAAGCTCAGCACTAGCACTGCAGGGGCAGAGCGGGGGGAGAGCTTTGGTGCAAACAAACTATTGACGAAATGCAGCCGCTCGTGGGACTCTATCTGGTTTCTCAAAGGAATAGCTTCGTGTTACACGTCTATTCGGACTCATTGGGATGAGGGACCACAGGGGACATGATTACGAAAGTACCTTGGGCAAAAAAGACCCATCCAGCCAAATACGATTTAACAAAATATGACGCGCATCGAATTCTAAACTCCAGCCATGACAAACCAATAACACAAACCCACCCTGCTCACAATCTCAAACCACTCTACCATGTAATAGACACGGCCTTCCTGACATACTCGGGCCCTCCCGTGCTCAGCACATTCTCAAAGATCCACCTACCCACGTCCTCCCTAGAAATGCCGTACCCGACGGCGCTACTAGCGACGCCGGTCTTGGGGTCCTCGACACCGACCCGGATCTTCCTCGTCGGCACCGCCCCGTCGCAAAGGAACGCCGGCCGGATAAACGTCCAGTCCTCCCCGCTCGCGATCAACTTCTCCTCCATAACCTTCTTATCGGCGTGCGGCGCCTTGAGAAGGATATGATACATCGGCACCTGCAGCAGCGGCACGTCGCGCTGGAAATCAGAAATGCCCGTTGTCGAAACGACCACCAGCCGCGGCTTCCCCACCACCACGCCGCCGGTCCGCAGCCGCTCCAGCGCGCTTAACACCGCCGAAATGCCGTTCTTGCACACGTCCGGGTCTTCAACCGTCATCTTGGCGAGGTTCAACGGGCTGCCGATGCTGAAGCTCACGGCGTCGACGAGACGGCCCGCGTCGGCGGGGTTGGCGAGACACGCGGCGACGTCGTCCGTGTTATGCGCGTTGCCCTGCCTCACCACGAGATTCGGGTTCTGCGCTTCGGGGAGTGCGTCTGTGAGTCTGCCTGGGTTGCGGCAGAGCGCGATGCAGGTGTGCCCGGCGGCCAGGGCGTGTTTGAGGGCCGCGAGGCCGCAGCCGCCTGAGGCGCCGAAGAAGGCGATAGTCTTTGTGGATGACATTGTTTAGTTATATATGGGTGATAAAGTGATGTTGTGATTTGTGATTGCAGTGTACTCTTATAAGTCGTAAAGAAGCTTGTAGGTGTGATGATGATGATGATGATGATGATGTATCCCAACACCAAACACCGCTTCACCCCCTTCTTATATTTATATTGAATGCCTCCAAACCAAACAAGAACAATACTTTCAATTTCCTACCAAAGTTCCTCCGCAGAACCCCTTGATCGCGCCGCGTCCTCCTCCTCATCCCCTCAAAGCGAGGCCCGCAAAGTAGGGAAGCTATTCCCTGTCCAGAGCCAGATCTACAGCAGCCACCTACCGAATCAGGTCCACCAAAAAAAAAAAAAAACGCCACCATGTCAAACAGTTAAGACTCTGGTAGTGTCCACACCAAACTCCCCACACATGAACTAACACCGTTCAACCAAACCCCATAACCCCAAAGTTCCCCCGACGGCGCAACCCCAACCAACATGTGGCGCAGCACCTCGGCCTCTCGCTCTAAACCTCAATGGCCGCCCACTCGCCTCGCGAGATGGCACGCCTTATCTGATCCCCAACACCGACAAGTAGAGAAGATCACCGTCCCCCCCCCCCCCCCCCAGAATACACTCTACGTACAGGGACCGCATCCTTCAACATGCCATTGCGGGATGCCACTTCGTCACTGCCGTCCTTTGACTGAAATGACGAATGAGTCCGGTTCACAATGAGACCCGGCAACGGTTTGGCGAACCCCGGATATACCGGCATCTGCGGCATCCCCCCCCCCCCCCCCTCAACGGTGCTGCTGCAATACCAAGCAGTCGCCATTCCTTTTTTTTTTTTCTTCAAATGATACGTCATGGCCGACCCTATACTACCACTACATCTTCAGCGGGTCTGCTGCAGTTCACTCTTATTCATCATAAACACGGACATATGGCTGAGAATCAAAAATTCAACGCATCAATTTCATCTCGTGTACGTATATATATCTGTATATATACCCCCTTTTTATATCTCAAGTCACAACGGCCGCCAAAACATGCAACATGACTCTTCTTTACAAAGGAACGGACGGCAAAGCGCCATTACCTCGATATACCCGGTATAAAAAAGAAAATGATGCCACAAGGAAATATGCTCTCATTACATACAAGGTGCTGAACTGAACCCAGGTGAGTGTATCACGTTAACCATTAAATATTTTTTAAATCCCAAAAAAGAAAGATACTGCCATGCCTCGTCCCTACTTAGATCCAGAACGCAGCTGCCACGGCAATAAGTGCTGCAAAAGCGCTGGCGCCAGCCATGGACTCGTGGCGCACACCCAGGGACGTGCCGGATCCGCTGCTGCCAGAGCCGCTGCCACTGTTGCAGTCCTGCGAGAAGCCGTTGTTACCGCAACCAGAGTTGCCGCTGGATCCTGAGTCGCCGGAGCCGCCCGAACCAGAGCCTGAACCAGAATCTGAGCCCGAGCCCGAACCCGAGCCGGAACCGGAACCGCTGCTCTGGCCAGGGTCAGTACCGGGACCGCTGTTGCTGCCTCCGGGAATCGTGGCCTGTGTGGCCGTAGGCTGAGAGGCCGAGCCCGAACCGGAAGCCGATTGAGCGCCGGCGTCCATGTCGAGACCGGTGCCGAGGAAGCTCTTGAGAATGGTGCCCTTGTCCGTGTCCTGGACGGTGTCGTTGGTGGCCTTGGCGCTGCTGTAGACGTAGCTCTTCTTGCTGTTGGTTCCCGGTGGGCTCTTGGCATTGAAACAGTTGATCTCGACGTCCTTGACCTGGGCATAAAAGTATCCGGCGTTCTTGATGTCGTCGTGGTCCCAGTTAATGGGGCCGCCAGCCCAGTCGACGGTGCCCTTGGCGTTGGATTCCGCACCACCGGGCCAGATGGACAGCTGCACACGGGCGGGCGTCTGAGGGAAGTCCCACTGCTGGGCGGTCGCGTTCCAGGTATCGGCGCGCTTCTTGGTACGGCCGACCTGGCCGTCCACGAGCCACTTGATCTCGTCGGGGGTCCACTGGATCTCGTACTCGTGCCAGTTGGCGAATGTGTTGGACAGGGAAATGTTACCGGATTGATCGTCTGCAAAAGGTTAGTCAGAGGCGCATTGAAGAACATGGACGAGGCCAGGGGGCACACGCCGGGTCTGACTTACATCTGGGGATACCCTGGAAGTAGTAGTTGGTCTGGGACATCTCCAGATCGGCACCAACCCATTCGTAATCAATTTCGTCCTTGATATCACCGTACAGGATGAAAGCGGTGACGACACCGGGGCCACGCGAGGTCTTGATCTTGGCCTTGACACTGCCGTACCACATGTAGACGGTGGAGGCGAGAACGGTACCGACACTCTTGCGGGGCATGGTCAGGAGGACGGCACCATTGCGCACGGCAGGCTCGCCCTGGGCGACCCAATCGGCCTTGCTGGGGTCACCAAGGTACTTGCTGATGTCGACGATGCCATCCAAAGAGTTCATGGGCAACTTCTTATCTTTGCAGACGGGGGCGGGAACGCAGGCATCGAGGGAGAAGGACATTCGGGGGTCGCAGCCGCCGAGGCAGAAGGCGCCGGTACCGCACTGGCCATATTCTGGAATCGTCAGATCATGTCACCGAAAGGCTTGACCAGGGATACTTACGAGAGCAGCATGGCGCTTCCTTGGGGCACTTGTTGGTCAGGGAGCAGCTGGGAGGGGTCTGGGCGAGCACGGTCGAGGCTCCGAGGAGGGCGACGCCCAAAGGAAGAATCGACAACATGATGCTGGATGTGGCGATATTGAGTGGGAATTAAGATGTTGTAACGGGTGACAACGAATGACTGGGGAACCGAGTGGTTCGCCAATGGGGCAGCCTCGTTCGGTCAAGTATCGCCGTCCACAAAGTGGGAGTGGGATATTTGGGTCGGGCTGTTTGTGTGTGTTTACTGCAGCGAGCGGGTGGAATTTCGGCTAGATGTTGACGATAATAGCACGGGGAAACTGGCGCGGGTTGGATCGAAAGCAGGTGGTCAAAGTCGACACCGAGGACAAGTTTTGGGATTTTCTTGAAAATCTGGAAAACTGAAAGTGGCGTCGAGGATTACTATCGAACAAACAAGGACGTTGATCAAGGTTCGTATTGTTGGTGGAGGGAAAAGCCACAGGAGACGCAAGTCTTTGTCGTCGAAGGGTAGTGCGAAACGGCGCGGCGATGTGCAAAACAACCTAACGAAAGGGTGTGATGTGTGTGTAACAGGGTAGGTATTAAGCGATCGTGATGGTAAGGAATACGGGAAGAGGCAGTGCTAGTCGGGAACGAGTGACGACAGCAAAGACACAGGACGAGATGGATGTCGAGAGACGAAGTGAGAGGATAAGAGAAGGAGAGGAAGGCTAGGCGGCGAGAATTAATTTGGGGGGGGGAGAGAGCGAGGGAGGGATGGGGATAGCGGGAGGAGTGGGCATGCACGGGAAGTCAAATCAGGAGATGGCACGGCCAAAACCTTGCTGACCTTATTCTTACGGTTAACTCTGCCGGCTAGCATACTAGCATGCTAGTAGTCGGGCACACTGGATGGACGCTGAGCCGGGGCGGCGGGCATAGCATCTCTAGTACAGTCGTAGCATAGCCTCCGACCAGTTGATGGTGCTCCCACCCTCTGGCGGCCCCTTCTGGAATGCTCTGCCAATGCGACGGAGAGTACATAGAAAAGGTACTGGCGCCTGTAGAGGAACTGTAATACTGAGGTCAGGTATCATCTCCCTATCGTTGGGAGCTATCAACCTTGAGTAATCCAATGTACCAGATCCCCTCGACCCCTTTCATCAACCCCTTGGACCCCTTCTCCATTCTTCCTGAAGATCCCTTTCTTTCTGTCACTCGTGCATTCGCTCACTTTATCATGTACTGGTGGTACTCTACGGAGTACTCGCATACGATACGCTACGCCCACAACACCCACCAAAAAGCTGGGTTTCTCTCCTCTTATTCAAAGCAAGGCATTGGGTGTATGGGTCACCTCCATCGCCCTCGGTTCCCTAATCCGTCCAAGCGTGGTTGATTTAGGTAGTAGACCCGGCCTAGCGAGCCCCTGTCGGGGTTCCATCGCCCGCGGGATAAAAAAGGGGGGACTTTACAGAGTCACTCACGCGAGGTGAAGAAGAAAAAAAATAATAATCCCACCGGCTACAACTGTGTAACTGTATGTACGTAGTGACACTACGAATAAGACGGCAAAAAAATACGGGGAAATCAACCAGGAAACTGGAGAATCCGCCAATCCTCTCGTAATGAAGTGGCTGCCCATCCTGGTCTCGCATTGGTCAACAAACCCATGATCGGCCCCCCCCAGATGATTGTTTTTCCTTCGCGTCGTGGGTTATTCAATACCATCGTCCTCTTTGGGGTTAGCCCCCGAACATCCTCCCCTGGCCCTGCTCGTGTTTGCCCACTTTTGTAATTCGATTGAGTCTCAACCTGCAGTGATTTTCCCCTCCCCGGGTGCTCTGTGCTCTGTGCTCTTTGTGCACGGGGCACACGGATAACGTCTGTTGGTGACGAGTTGATCTGACTGAGAGACTATTTGCCTCGTCTGGTGTTTGCGAGTCTTTTTTATTGTCTCTTATGTTGCCGCTCGATTGACTTTTTGTTTATTTTTCAGACGACAGCGGCACGAGACTGCCGTCCGGTATGTCATCCGGTATGCCATCGAGCATCATTGACATGTGTGTCGTACTAGTATTTGCCGGGATCCCGTAGTCCTCCTCCCTTGATATGTATTCTGCATCAATAAAATAATAAATCTGTCCTACTAGTATATACCATTAGCCCCAACCCAAACAGCTTTTACGCACGATACTCCATCCTTCACCATCAATGATGATGCTAGCTGAAACTCTCGCAGGACACAGCCACAGGATCCTAAATCCCACCGCGTCCTGGACAAACGACGCGAGCCGTTGATGTTGGCCGTTGGAAACCGCAAACATGCCAACGATGCGGGGAGAATCACCCAATCATATCGTTCCCGCGGTGACGTACATGCGCAGCCTTTTGATCTAGGCCGCTGCGATTACAGACACAGATGTCGTGACCGTCGGACGACGTTCGACAGGTGCAAGATCGCGCAGCGTCCTCCTTCGGCACCAGTCATGCACAGCAATGTGACACAGAACGCCTCGCGTGCCCGCCTGCAAGGCTTGACAGAGACGGGCGTTTTTCTAGTGTCTCGAGGCTGACTGTGTCAATCTGGGGATCGGAGACGGGCGTTCTGAGAGATGATACCCACATGTAAATGACGATGATGCCAGAACAGTTCTACGCCGGCGAATCTTGAAATATGTTCCAAGGACACGCATTTTGACAAGCACCAAGTGTTTCTGCAACTTTTCAGACTATTGTAAAGTATATTGGAGAGAGAGATACCGCACGTGATGTTGATGCGCGCCAAGTAGTCAAAATGCAAAGCTCGCATGTAAACACGCATTATTGCTTTTTAGCTAATGTTGTTTCGAGACATGCTCCAGCCAAGTCCCATAGTTGCAAGCCACCAAATGTCAATTTCATATCCTCGTCGGTCAGTTGACAATCACATCTCGCGGCACCGTTACAATGGAACTTACTGTAAATCAACCGGGCTTATGTTCTAAGGCGGTACGTGAGGACGGCTGGCAGTATACATGGTGGATCGACGGCAGTAGTCTCAACGCTCAACGGATCTGCTCTGTAAAGTTTAACGGGCCGAAAGGCTGGGTGGAAGATTTCTCGTAATGATGTGGCACTAATGTTCGCAGCCTTGACTACGATAGCCTTGCACGTCGCAACTTACCTAAGAGAGTCAAAAATGATTCTCGCCTTATACAATAACATCGGCGATTAACACCGTCTAGGACGCAGCCATGAACTCGCGCAAGACTAGCCTGTCCAATTGCTCATCGTAGTAATGAAAGACTATCTGATTTGTGGCGATTGCTGAAAGCACATGAGCTTGTCCTCGTAACGTTTGAACAACATCCAATACTCGTAACCTAACCCAACTACCGAAATAACAATTAACCGCCCCAGAAACGTAAACCTCTGGATCTTTCGATTGAAGTAATGTCGAAAAATCCGCCTCGTCTCGTCATAAGTATGGAGAGTTTCCTGGTCAAACAAATTTGTGGTTTTTGAATCACTTGGGATTTGACTCGGCAGTTTTGTATATGTGAATTTCAACCATCAAATTTTCAACCGATTACCAAAACAACCACCATAGAGGCAAAAAGTCTCCAAGCATTTTGATGTACCAACAGGTGAGGCAGTTGCCAAGGTAATTGCGTCCTCTCTGGTCGAGCTCGAGATCACCGACAGCAAAGACGTGGATCATGTTCTTCAAAACATCAATAGCTATTGTTAAATGTCCTCATGATTCTTTCCAAATCTCCACGTCAAGCATCGGTAGCCCAGATGAGGCAAAAGTATTAAAAAGCCTCAAAGTTTCTATAGAGGCTTACTGGTTGATGAGACTCACTGGTCCAAAGGTAAGGAGAGCGTCCCTCCATCGGTCTGCGGACATGTAGCAGCGGCGAGCGCAGCGATGTTATTCACAAACGTTCTCATAAGCCAGAAGTGAATAGCAACATTGGGTGACAGCCGCAGCGGTAAGAACGGTAAGTGGCTTGCTTGCGTGTATTGAGATTTTTTGAGGCCACTGTGATTGCCGTTGAAGATGGAAAATTAGGCAATGGCGGATGAACACTTCCTAGGGCCGACGTCGCTGTTCTCGGCGTGAATGGACATTAGCTCCGGCATCCGATCAGGCCAACCAGCAGTGACATATACATTTCCAAGGAGTGACTTGACAAAGCCACAGACTGCTGAAGTCCTGCCGGCAAGAGCGCAGTGGACGTTGGCCTCGTGGGTTGAGAAAGTGTAGCCAATCAGGCGCTTCCCCTGGTTGTCGGCCAACTCCAGAAGCGGCGACGGCACTTGGGAGTCCGGCGAGCTTTGTCCGAGAGCGTACACGTGTAGAGTGATACTCGACTCATCGACGAACCTCATAGCTACGGTATGCATAGTAGGGGCCGTAAGACGGTAGTTCTAGGATGAGGATGAGTTCTGCGATACATACTAACCCACTCCTAGTATATTGGACAAGTCCTATGATCCATAGCGAAGACAGGTAAATCAATCAAAATACGCTCATACACTTTCAACCTCAACTAACTCTTAATTTCGGTCTATCCGATACCAAAGACACCTTTACCCAAATCAAGTCCAGATAATAACCACTTTGTGCTGAACCACACCCAAGCACTCTCACTTAGACTCTCATAATTTTGGTGTAAATCAATGACTGGCTGACCAGCTCAAAAGCCACGGTACGACACGACACTCACCAAGCAAACTGAAATGTCTCATTCAATCAAACGACATTCACTCAAAACCGGGATTCATAGCAGAAACTGACACTCGCCATACACTCTCCACCTCCATTCTATCAAGAATTATCGAATCAAGACGCTGTTCCATCGCTCATGTTTCTTCATCCCGTCTTCAAACTGCAATATGCAGGGCAAAACAAAGAAGGAAAGGAACCAGCTTAAAACTAACAGCTAGCACCAACACATTCACTTCAACATTTCAAAATAGGTAATTCCCAGAATCAAGTCTATTATCAACCCCATCATCGTTGACTTGGAAATCCTGCACCCACTAACTAATATTACAACTCCCTCCCCCCTCTCTCAAGCAGTGTTTTACTCCCTTCACCATCGTCCTCATCAAATCCACATCAACATCACATCAAACCTATCACGTCTCATTCTCTCATCTCCCCAGGGCCAATGATAACACACTTCTTCACACTAAAAAGGGTATAGACTTATCATGAATCGAACAATTTCACCGTCCAGTCCCACCATCCCGTCCTTGACACCGGCCCTACCGAACATGTCTTGTGTGCTTCGTGCTAGTATAGCAAGCAGTGCTTGGGCAACCGCTGGCCAACCCAGGCCTACACCTTACCCGTGACCATTGCATCCCCTCCCTTGCATCGTCTTAAGACGACGAGGGGTGCCGTCTCTGTTTTTGCGACCCCGCATAATCACCACCGTCAAGGGCCCTCCGCAGACATGTGCTCGCGCGGACTACTCAACGGCATGATATTCACCCGCCATCTCTCAACTTCCTTTTCGTGTTGCGCTATGAATACTCAGAGCACATCGATAGCCTCAATAAGCCCGACCGGGACCATCCGTCATACATGTAACAGCCGTGCTCTCGGACCAACACACAAAAAGCCACCTCTCCACGCACTCCTCCTTCAGAGCCACGAGACCCCCGAGCCAGTCCATCCATGCCACCAAAGGACCGTCAGGACGCACACGCGCGCGCACGCACACACACACACACACACATACACACAAGTGAAAGGGAATTAAAAGTCCAACCTCCAGAGAAAACAAAAAAACAAGATGAAAAATGATAAAAGAGGTGCAAAAGGGGAATCGTCTTTTCGAGTCCGGGTCGTTGAGATCGTCAGAACGAGAAAGAAGAAACACATTTGGTATAAGCCCAAGGCATCGAGACACTCCCAGCGCCGTTTCGCAGTGTTGCCCGTCTCCTGAGTATCCTCAGAACCGCCGATAAACTGAGTTCCTTTACCGGGCGTTCGGCTTGGCCCAGAGGTCTACGAATCATTTAGTATCGTTGGTGCGACTGCGGCCGTGCCGACGCGATGTTGAGAGAGGGCATACCGGGAAAGTGCTCCTTGGCGTACTGTTCGCAGGCCTTGGCCGGCTTGCCGACTTTTTGCCCGATGACCTTCCACTTGTTGTTCTCGTACTCCTTGATGGCGTTGAGGAGCGCTTGGGACTGGGATTTGTTAGCGAAATCGTTTTTCCGGATCAAACCCTGCGAGAGTGGAGACAAACCTCGTCCTCCGCGAACTCGGCGTAGTGCATGTCCTTGTACCAATGCTTCTTGACACTGCCCTCAGTACGCGTAGGGAAGGTCTGCGAGATGTTGTTAGTTGAGCCCCTCAATGACACGAGGGCAACGGGATAGCACGAACCTTGGCGATTTCTGCCCAGCTGCTGCCAGCATCTCTCATCTGCTTGAGGCGAAGCTCCTCAGCCGGAGTCCAAGGGGTATTTGTCCGGCTCTTCTTGGCCGGGGGAGGCTGGGGTGCGGCGTTGGCATCTTCCGTAGGCTGGACCTGAGGAGGAGGAGCGGCGATAGGGGGGGCAGCGGGAGGAGGAATGGGCGTGGCGGTGGGCGCGGTGGGAGCAGCCGGCATAGGAGGGGCGCTAGAGACAACGGGAGGAGCGACGGGAGTCGGAGCCGGAGCGGGACGCTTGCGGTTCCTGTTCGGCTGGGGCGGGGCCTGGGGAGGGGGCTGATGCTGATGCTGCTGGGGTTGGGCCGGAGGCTGGTTAGGCGGCTGCGGAATTTGCATCGGAGGCTGCACCGGGGTGGGATGGTGCTGCTGGGGAGCTGGGCTCTGCTGAGGAGGCGCTCCGTACTGGAACTGGGGATGTTGATCCCGGCGAGACATGTCCTGGGGCTGGTAGGCGTGCTGAGGACTGGAGACGAGTGTCAGTTAAATGTTTCATTTCGACGAGATCAACATGGCCGAATGAGTAGGTGTGACTCGTGGGACTCCCTCGCCCAAGTCATGGTGACCAAGGCGAGGGTACATGTATGTGTATGCGTGCATCTTCAAGGCGGCCAAGGGTCGTGTTGTTATTGTTGCCCGTTACACCCTCCTTTTTTTCTTCTCAGGAGTGTCAAGCAAGGCCAAGAATGGCCGGGGTTTGCTCGAGTAGTGTATATTTCGAGGCAAGGTATCCCAATGGTACATGGGCATGTACCCAAACCCCGGAGGAGAGAACCGTTGGTGGTGGTCGGTACGCAGCCTCGCGGGGCGGAGAGGATGGAACGGGATAGGGGGGAGACTTTGGGGGGGATGGAGCGGGAGGATACGGAAAGGGGGGGGGAGAAGAGAGGACAGGTAGAGAGTACAAGGTGGAGGAGGTACTTACTGCATGTCGCTAGGCTGATGGGTGGAGTTGGAGTAAATGTACTCCGGCACTGGGCCGACTTGCCATTGCTGCATGTTCTAACAAACGGGCCAAAGGTTAGTACCGGCTTGTATCCGCTGATGTTTCGTGACTGTAGGGAAACAAATTTGTCGCGCGAAGCAAAAAAAAAGAGTCATGGGCCCCACGACCACAACGTTCGCGCGCGAACGCGACACGGCCGAGTTTGTAGTGATGGGTACATGACTTGGTTGCGCGAAAGCTGCGACCGCGATGAAAAAGAGCGATCCTTGCTAAACCAGACGTGGTCGCTCAATTGGACTTCGCGGCGGAGAGAAGGGAGAGGAAGAGGAAGAGGGAGAGTGAGAATAGAGACTTGGAGGCGCCGACGAGATAATAGCGTAGGGTAGTAGAAGGAAACGCGCAATGTATGGCGTGATGAAGTGAGTATATCTTCTTTGTCGCGTAGAAGCGATGACAAGTGAAGAGATAGGGAAAGAAAGAAAAAAAAAAGTCGACGGCGACAGGATGAAAAAAGCGCAATAGCTTCACAAGTCGATAGTCAAGTCAACGACGACGACGACGACGACGAGGTAAAATGAGTGCGTTGCGCGCGACAGACACATCCAGGCTCAAAGGTACAAGCGAGACGTTGGTCCTCAATCGGACCAATGCGTGAAAAGCGACATAAGAGATGGGTGAAGGTACTTACGGGCAATGTAGTAGTATTAACTCAAGCAACGATGCATAAACCGACGGTTTGATGGATGGGGAATATTTTTTTTGGTCTCTGCTCTCGGTCGGAAAAGAGACTTGGACCAAGCCTGACGTCGCAAGGCAAGAAGCGGGTCACGCACACGCCCAGGGGGGGAAGGGGGACCTGAAGAGGGATGGGGGGGAGGGCGAAATGAAAAAGGAACAAAGATACAAAGGCCCGCGAGGCCGAGGACGTGTTTGCTTCAAGTACTCTTTTTTTTCTTCCTCTTCACTTTTCCAAGCTGGGGGGCGTGGGTGGTGGCGTGCGTACGTGCGTGTGTGGTGAGCGAAGGCGACGCGACACGCCCAGTAGCTAAATAACAATAGTGACAAGAGGGCAGGAAAAAAAAAAAAAATACGAGGCGGTGCAGCGGCTGGCGGAAGTTGTGGAGATGCCGTGAGGTAAGTCAGGCAAGGTTGGTCGCGCAGCGGACGAGCGAGAAAGAGAGAGACGTAAGGTTTTGCTAAGGTATGGAGTAGACCGAACGTAGAAGTAGCGGGTTGACCCAGGAAGAAAGGAGCGCGGTGGTGCGCCGATAAGATGGATAGTAGGGGTAAGCGATGGAGTGAGTGAGTGAGAGAGGGAGAGAGAGGTAGAACGTGAGGGATTGGCGGAATGGATGGATGGGCTGGTTGATGGACTGGTACTCGTGCTTCTTGCTGATGGGATGCGCGTTTGTGGAGTAGATGGGCTCAAGAGAAGAGTGGAAAAGCGTGTTCCTGTTGTGTCCTTTGCGGGTATAATCAGGTAACGTGCCTTTTCAGTTCAGGTTTGGGACCCAGGCTGGGTTTCGCGTGGTTCTCTCTGGAAGTAACCGAAGAGTCAGATGTAGAGGAGGGGATGTAGATTGATGTAGAGGCGAGAGTTCCGAGGTAGCCAGCGAAATAAGGCAGACAAGACGGACGGCTCTACCTGTTCAGTGGGTGGCCCTTTACGCTGCGGTGGGTGCAGCAGGTGGTCTTGTCTTTTTTTTTTGCTGGTGTTGGTGGCGGTACTCGAGCCAAGGGTGGATTTTGGAGGGGGTAGAGAGAGAGAGACTTTGGACAGGGTGGGCGGATTGACGGGGGTAGTCGAAATGTGTGTGGCTGGCCCCAGAGAGAGAGAGCGAGAGAGAGAGAGAGAAAAGCTGCCTTTGACGTACGAGAGAAAAAAGGTCGGGTACCGTCCGGAAGAGCAGGGGAATAAGGCAAGAGAGATAGAGAAAGATCGAAAAAGGTAAGAGTGAGTAGGAGCGTGAGAGAGGGAAGGAAGGCAACTGGCGTGACAAGGCAAGACCGCGGCACGATGGCAGATCGGATGTATGTGCGTCTTTGGCTGGGTATTGGCGACAGGGTGGGTGTGTGTCGGTGCGGTGCGATGAGGTAAGGCGTAGGTAAAGTCGAGGTAAGGGGAAACGGGAAAACCACGACCACGAAGCGATTGAGATGCAATGCGCTTTGGTTTGCTCAGGGACACAAAGCGTTTGTATGTATGTGGTAATGTAATTGAAGGATTGGGGCCTTCAGGTGGTGTGGTGTATAGAGTGGCCTGGCGTTGATGGTTTGTTGGCGACGGCAACGACGGCAAAAAAAAAGACGACAAGGTGTTTTCTCCTTTGTGTGTGTGTGTATTACTTTTTTTTTTTCCCTTCTAAAAGCTGAGTCGCGATGGACAACTTGATTGTACTGCGACGATGAAGTGCAGTGGTGAGAGCTTCGGTGAGCAACAGACTCGGTAACGAGGCTAAGGAGGTGGAGCGCAGCACGAGCTCTGATGAATGTTGGGTAGATGAGTTGGGATGTTCTGCTTGCGATGGCCCAAGGATGTACCTCTGGTGGAAGTAACTTCCTGGGTTCACGGTGATGTTTTGGACTGGTTGCCCTCTTTTTTTCTGCTGGGAGAAAGTGGGTGGTGGAAGGGGGTCAAGAGGGAAAATTGCTAAGGGGGAGGGGGGAGGACATGGAAAAGAAACGAGGGAGGCGCGGGCGGGGGAAGGAACAGCCAAAGCTAGGGCCACACACACACCAAACGACCCAGGTAGGTACAGCCAAGTAGGTACTTTACGCAATACGGGAGGGGCTGTGGCCGTGGCAAAAGGTAGCTGATCGATTCCGACTATTACCCGAATTCTCATTCCCTCCACGAGATTGGCAGGCTTCTCAGTGGGATGTGCTATCACATCATTTCTTCCCTTGACAACCATGACGATAAAAGCACAGACCAGTTGCGCCGTCACCTCGCACAGGCCATACTGAGCTTGTCACTCGTCACCTCGTCATTGCTCCATGCTCACTGGCTGCACCGTGCCCTGATCTACTCCACTTTTAAGCCTGTCACTTGGCCTACCTGTGACTTGGGGCCGTCAGTTTGACACAATCCAAACCCGTTGGTTGGCTGGAAACTTTCTGTGTCCCCCCTATGTAATTGCCTATGCATTTTGATTACTACCTAGGCAATTGTCAGTGCCAAACAGACAAAAAGATGACAGCTACGTAGCAGTAGCGTCGCCATGCTAACTAACGCCCCCCGTCAATAGGCAGGCGGCCTAGTCTATTCGCTGACTGATGGGTGGGCCCCGGCCTGTTTCTTCTTGCGGGGAAGCCCAGCCACGCTCATCATCCAGCTCCAACCAGACAATGCACCCAAGCATTAGGCACTCTCTCTCAATCAACCCAGCGCCACTTTTATTCCTGCTTTTTTTTTTTTTTTTTTTTTTTTTTTTTTTTTTTTTTTTTTTTTTTTTTTTTTGGCACCATGAATGTCCTGAATGACAAGGCACCAAGGAAAAGATAATGATAGCACGAGACTGAGGGACGGAAAAAAGGGGGACACAAACAAAAGGAAACACCAACTGTGTTTGTCGATATCTATCACAGCCTTGCCGTTCCCCAGTTTTCATGGCGTTGAGGACGTTGCATGTCACGAATGTCTCTGATTAAAGCTACATCTGCTGCTTGTCCATTTTCCCTCTTGGCACCAACAGCACCGAACTGCAACTTGTATCCATGTACCGCCTGCACGGCGCAAGTACCCAAAGCTCCCTCAATGTACCTCCTGTTAGCGGTACAGCTGGTGGACACTGACCAAAACATCGGACCTCGGACGGTACGTACAGTACATCTGCTGTCAACGGGTACATCTGCCTCCCGTCGCTGCATGTATCTTTTAGTGCGTTCGAAAGGATATATCAAATGCGCAGAACCATCGCGAGTAGCTTCAATGACATTGTCATCCTGCCGTACGGTGCCCGGGGTCTTACATGGACGTACCTTTGCCGACCGGAGGACCCTAGGCTTGATCTACTCTATGCATGTAGCCTTGCACGCATCTCATCGTTCACGGGTTTGAGAGATAGATTACAAGGTTAGGCGATGGGTCAATCATCCCCTGATACTGGCTCCAAGAACTACATTAATTGAAGCAGTGATGATAAGCCGGCTGCGACGGGCGAAAATGATGCAAATGACCTCGGCAGAACTGTCGAAATCTCCTGACCAGTCCAGTCAGGTGATCAGGCCTCGGTGCCTCATGTAATGCATCACACTTTGCTCCCCTACCTGTCGGTCATTCAAGTAAACTCCACGAACCGAGGCATCCAAACCATGATAACAATGTTCACCTTGCCAAAAGAAGAAACAGTGTAATGCACTGCACCCACGAATCCTGGAAAGCCGATAACTTTGATCCATCCGACGATTCCGGGATCCTCGGAACCCGCGGGCACGATAGATTGTGTCCTGATCTCGGTGGCACGGGATAGGTGCGAACGAGCTCACGGCAACGGACCGAAGGCCCGAAAATCACCAGCGTCACATCGGGGCAAGAACGGGACAGGGTGGATGCCGCGTACCCGCACTACCGGCCGGGGGCTTGCTCTTTCCTGCCTCAGAGTGCACGGTTGCATTGATTTCCGGTCGGGAACGGGTTCCACTTCTGCCGAGAAAAAAAAAAAAGGAACCAACCATAAAATCACACCACCGAACCGGCGGGACATCACTCAACCACGGAGCTCGTCGGGAGGGGGCGGTTGCTCCTTACGCCCGTCGTATTGTCGGGTTACGGACGGAGGTGAGCAAGAAGGCCGGCCAGTTCTTTCTGATGGCCGGTCCCCAGCTCCAAGCAAGCTGCGAAAAAGAAGAGAGTCCCACTTGCAGCAAAGGTCAAACGGGCTGAATCACAGTAAGGCGACGGTGCAAAAAAAGAGCCGCCTGCCCCCAAGACAAAAATTGTTTCAAACGCCGAAAGAGAGTCGACGAAACATGGTGGCTCCTCTCCAACCCCGGCACGACGCCCCCAGATCGTACCAGGTCGCCAGAAAAAAAATGAACCCCATGACTTCCCAATACGGGATGACCCCCCCTTTGGCCTTTGGGTTTGGGTTCGCCAAGCTCATTCGATGGCAGGCGGGCTCGGCCCATCGACAACAGCAGCAGCAACAAGCAGTAACAACAACAGATGCACCTAAAACGGCCTCACAAACCCTGACCTGGGCCGGTCTTGTCTACTGCCATCCGGTCTCTCGACTTCATGCGCGGCCTACATAAGGCCAGCCAAGGCGAGACTTTGTGACACCATGTCCTCTGTTCCCTCGCTAGACCTTGCCCGTTCGTTCCGAACATGAACAGAGTTCATGCCTCACTCGGGAAGCTCTCACGATGATGCATCCCGGCACTGAAACGGAACGAGTCGCAGGGTTCCGGCACGAAGTGTTTGAGACTTCGCGGTTCTGCAGCGTTGAAAGGCGCTCGAGAGTGAGAGAGTAAGAGGGGGAAGGACGCGTACAACGTGGGAGATAGGACAGATAGAGACGGACGGTGTGCATGGTAACCCCGGGCTCGGTCAGGCCGTGAATCGGAACGTTGGTCAGTGCCCGTCGCAACTGGTTTTGTTCTTGACCCGTTGATGTTGTTCTTTTTCTGCCCAATGTTCGTTCACAGAGGGAGAGGAGGGGAAAAACACATTGGATGATGGGGGATTTAATGCGAGTAGTGAGACGACCAGATGATCCACCCAACGTTGATCCGTGGCGAAACTAAAATAAAATAAAAAATAAAATAAAAAACAAGCGGGAACTGAGAACAGAGACAGCTCCTCGCTTTGGGACGACCGTTGAAAGTTTCCGTCGCAATTCTTCTCTCACGGCTGAGCCCCCTTTTTTTGGACCTCATCTGCTTCTCATTCGGAATCCGTGGTATAGCGAAATAAGGGAGCTATTCGCAAGGACCGCCCTGACGCTGTACAGATCCAGACCCCACAAGGCTGGGGGCGTAGCACACCATCCATTCTCGGCCGAACGAAAGGGAGCCCCAGCCCACTTCACGGACATTGTAGTCAGTTTTCCGGCTCTTCGGACATTGAAGAACCAGAAATGACTGTGAAATGGTCCACGCAATTAGGCGACGATCACCACATGTGTAAGTTTCTCACATGTCATTGTATGGCAAGCTTGGTAATTCCCAAGGTCTTGGGGATGGGGCGGCTTCTGGAGCGGACACCGTCGATGCCGGGAACCTGTAATTTCGCAGTGGGCATCTCCCGTCCTTCAGCGGACGGCCATCATTACTGTAAGCCCTCGTTGGCGTTAGTGTGGAGTCGCCTGAAATCCATCGCTCGTGAGATCAGACGAAAAAAAAAATTGATGAAAAAAAAAACACACTGTTGCCAAGCTTCTGTCAAGGAACCGGGCTTGTCGGTTCATCTAGTCGAGTCTGGTACGGTCCCAGCACCAGGTTTGCTAGGCGGATCTTTGATACGAATCCGACCCAGACGTTGCGATCAATGCCGTGACCTTTTTTGCCGTTAGTTTTTTTTTTTTTTGTCTTTCTCTCTTCTCTCTTTTTCCGCCCTCGTCCCGCCTGGCCAGGCATCGCATTTCCACCAACCACATGCAATTTATGCCACCCGTTATCATTCGGTTCATGGGCTTTCCGATGATCATCACTACCCATCACCGGTAGGGGGAGATGAGATGGCAGAGTGACAGGCAGGGGGCCGTGACGTTTTGACGTTCACCCAACGGATTCGGAGACTAATAGTTACATAACCTGCAGCCAGCTGCATCCTTAAGCCGGAACAGACCTGGCCGCGGGCGCTCAACGACTTTCCACGGGTGATGGGCGATCCCTTACGATCCCCCCAAGGTCTGCTGAGGGGTTCGAGTTGAGGCGGTTGGCAAAGAGCTTATTGCTGGTTGATGGCCCGGATGATGGCCCTTCCGCCCCGTATGTGTTACTCTCTTGTCTTGGTGGTCAAGAAGGGGGCAAGATCCTCATCGTTTCTGGCCTTTCTTGGCCGGAGCCTCTCACAAGCCGGGGGCCTTGTTGGGGCAAGTCGACTGGTAGGGCAACCCTGGGTTTGGTTGCAACTTGCACGTTTTGACACTAGATGAATGACGGGATCAAACATATGCCGGGGGTGTGCATTTGAGCCTGAGATAATTAATCATGGTTTGCTACTGAGGTCAGCGGTGTGTGGCTTTGCAGCAGGCATGAGAGCGATCGGGCTTTGGAGAGTTGGGGGGTTGGTAGTTGGTTGAGAAGAAGCCTAGCAGCTTTAGCAGCCTAGTAGCGGGCGGACGGGCGGGCGGGCAAATCTTTGGGTGGCGGTACCTGTGTACCCGCAGTGGACGCGTCAAGTTAGGGAGCTTGGCCACGGGGAAATTGGGGGCGGTAAAATGCCGTTGGGCTGTGTAAAGTGTTTGGATCTTCATCGCCTCTCTTGAGTGCTATAATTCCACTCTATTTTGATTTTATTTTCATTTATTTTGGGGCAAGTCATTCCAGGAACGGCCTGTTTCCGTCGAGTGGCCACTGGCGACCAACAATGTTTCCGTAGGTGTACGAGATAGAGTCCTAAAAGTGAGATCTGTGATGGATGGCAGCCAGCAGTTCTGACTCAAGGGGACCCGTCTGTCAGGTTAGGCAGCGCACCATCAGACCGGTTTGACAGCCAGGGCGAAAAGGTCAGACGAAAAGTTTGACTAAAAAGCGAGGGTGGAAGGGTGAAGCATGGTGAGGAGACCCGACACCAAGGATTGGCTCAGACTTCTTGACTTAGGGACACTCAGACGCTTTTCCTCTGTTGACCCCTCCCCCCCTCCCCAGCGATTCCAATTTTCGAACCATGAGACTGGCGCGGGTGATGCTGATGATGATAACAATGACTAACTGAAGGGTTCACGACGGGGACACCTGAGGGAGAGAGGGGGTTTGGTTATGTTCCATTTCGAGGGGAGAGGGGGGGAGGAGTAAGAGCTGGAAAGGGAAAAAACCGACCCCGTTAGTCGAGTCCGAGCCAGATTCAGATTCAGCAGAGATCTTGTGAGAAACAAATAAGGTTTCCTGCATTAGGGCCCCTCTGTTGTTTCTCATTATCCATGTTCATCCCGTCCGCTGAGGGGAGGGGTGGCCGGCTGTCTGTTCGCCGTTATAGTGAGAACGTTTGGCGTTGAAGAGGAACAAAGAGAGAGAGAGGTACGGATAGAGAGTAGGGTATAGGTAGGTGATGGTGGAGGAGTTGAAGTTGTAACGGGCGTGGGCAGAAAGAGAAGCAAAAGGAAGGGTGGGGCACTTTCATGACTGTGGGCAGCAGATCCAATAACGTGAGTGGCTGAATTAGCGCAGATGTGGAGAAGAACGGAGACTACGTACCGAAGTGAAGCAGGGGCCACCGTTGTAACATTGTGAAGGGAGACCAAGAGGGAAAAGGCTGATACGTGGGTGAAATTGCATCTGCTCGCTAGCGAGTTTCAAGGGACGTGGGCCCAGGGCCGCAACTCACTAGGGACGTGCCTGGGGATCCTTGATTGATGCCAGCCCGGCAGCCCAGTAGGAAGACCCCCCTGGAGATTTTGGGAGGGACAGAGGGAGAAACCGACTATCCTTTAATTGTGCTGTTGTTACGAAAACAGGTGAAGCGTTTTTATTGCCCTCTCCACATCTTGGCGGAAAATGGTGTGGTCTTGATGTTTGGTGTGCCTCGGTGGTCATGGGGATGGAAAGGAAAGCGGGGGGAACAGATTATCAGGCAGCGGGCATGTGTTTCTTGTCTACAATGATTAATATGTGCTGCATATGCATGTGGCGTGAGGGTTTAAAAAAGGATACTTGATCAAAAATTTGTTATGAATAGGCACACCGTTGTTTATTCAGGTCGATGATAGGGCCTCACATAAGGTACGGGGACTTAATGACGCCTAAACGCTATATACTACGTAGTGAAGGTTGTATATCCATGGATGGGATGGACGAACTTGGACAAAGAGAAGGGAAGAGGGGGCCATGCGTTTTCAAGGTTTAACGCTGCTGTGGCTAATGGAGGCCAGTCAATATCGACAAACATGCCGTTATGCCCGTTACCAACAGAAAGATGGAGGACAGTGTGTGAGTGTGGCCCCCAATCAGCCTGAGAATTGTTAGTCTCAGAGCGCAGATGCCGAGGCGCCGTCAGAGAGGGACGAACAAGAAACAGCCTCATGTTTCGATGCCAATGCCAGTGCCATGCCCTGGAGGCGTCCGTCACTGAAAGGCGGCGGTCAAGGTAGATCAGACACTCATCTCACTCGACCTACCCTACCCTATCCTTGACCCGACAGGACACTCTTACTAGTAGTAGATTGCCTACTTGATAGCTAGTGCTATAGCACTTGGCGATACCGACGAAGCTACCGCACATGGTATAGCGCCTTGTAGCACAAGAGAAGGGGGCTAGACTTCAAACCAAACAGCTGGGTTGGAAACTGATAATGGGCGGCTGTTAATGCCCAGCACCAGCATGCTTCTGGCATAGTAGCACAGGCGCTGATTCCCTTTTTGGAGGCTCTTTACGGTGCGACGGCCACGACACCGACAGGGGTTCTCGGCCCCGCCGCACCGGTGTTCATCGACCTGTGGCTCAAATATGGGGCTCTTTCTCTGCTCATCCTTCCCTCTTCCCTGCTACCTTCTCTCGCTGCGATACCACGATACGTACTCTACGTGCCTACCATTCTTAGCGGTTGCGAGGCTGACTGGGGCCACCGCACTTGACCGTTCCTGACTAGGCCCGATCTGGACTAGCCTTCCCTGTCTGCCCTTGCCCTTTTGCGCACAGCTGCAGGGAAGGCTCAGGGGCAATCGCGAAAATCGGCCAATGATAGCCCTCGGCGCGCCTCTGTAACACGTACCGTCCATTGCTTGACCCCGCCGTCAAACGTCAGACAGACATCCTCACACAACCTTCAGACACGAACGAGCACATTGAGCAAAGACAGACGACACTGACGATGATGACGACCTTTTCTTTTCTTTTCTTTTTCTTCCCCCTCTAAACACTGTCTCCGCAATGGCTACTACTGCACCAGCAGGAGCACGAGCAGCAAAAAGAAGATGAAGAAGATGAAGAAGAAGCATGGGCCAAGCTGCACCACCAAAAGCTGGCGACGCCGAGCCAACCGTCCCCCTCCTCCTCTCTGCTACCGTATCGCATCGTACCGCACGCACCAACTTCCGTTCAGTTCTCAATCCCACCAGCATCACCATCTCTACTAGGAAACCTACATGGTACCCCGTTCTTAGCTCGAACGGGCATATGCCGCGAATGTATGCAACGTGTACCCGCAAACCTCCCCTACGGTTTGTCTCCGTACACTACTACGCACACCGTATCTTTCTTTCTATACCCATCCTGGCAGACCTCGGTTTCTTCACGACTCCACGGTATCATCACCTCGACAGCCCTCCCCTTCCCTCATCAATACGTCCTTCGCGAGATCGACGCCGAGCAAACGTATGCTTATCGCGACTTGAGACCAGACGTCGGCCGCAAATAGTAACATTGTCCTCCTTGTTGCGAGAGTCATCCGACCCAGCGTGACGGTGTCGTTTCGCCCACTATGGTTTGTTCTTGAGTCAAGAATGCCCTGCCAAACATTGTTCGGCGATGCCATGCCAATGCCACGCCATCCCAATATGTTCCGCCCCCATCTACACAATGCGGTTTGCGGCTCAGCCGCCTGCCACCTGCTCGGCAGCAACTGCAAAAAAAGACTTTCTGTCCATCAGTCATGAACAAGATCCACTGGCCATGTGCCGTGACCGAAACCAAAACCGGCCGGTGGGTAATCAAGATGTTTGCAAACCTGAACTTTGGTATCCATTTGAGGCTCTGATCAAATCTGTCCTGGAGGGTCCCTCAGCGGACTCTCAGACAAGGTGGTTAGCCGCAGGAGTCGCTCAACCCACGGAAGAAAAAAAGAAAAAAAAAGAAAGGAAGGAAACAAACTGGAGGCGAGACACGCCTCATTTGGGCAAGCGGGGTGCTACGGTACGCGGAGCGGATTTGGTGGCGCTCTCCATCTCTCTTTTCTGTCTCTCCTCTTCCCATGTCCTTGGGGTTCACCCAGAGCCTCCTCTTGTCTGTTCTTGGTAACGCCCCGGCCTGTGTCTCTCTCCCTATTCTCGTTTTCACATCGTCAACGGGGCCCCGGAGAATTGGCAAACTTGGTCTATGCTTTCAATTTGCACCCGAGGCTCCGAAAAGGGCTACGTTTTCGGTGGTGGGCAGTCGTCCACATACAATGACAACCCGGCTCGGGTGGCTGCTCACTTCTCAATCCATCATCACCGCCGCCAATTTGAGACGCACGTTCGTCTCTCACCGGATCCATAATCTCGCACCCATGTCCGGTCTTCGTCTTGGGTCTGGGTTCCTCGTCTCCTCTTTCTGCCTCGAACAGGGGTGTGGCCCGGACAGGGTGTGGCTTGCACAAGCGTGCTGGGCGTGTCTGGTGTTCCTCGACAGAGGGAAAATGGGGATGGCAGCAGGCCGACGGATCAGACCAAACGTTATGCTCTGCTAATTCTGTCACATCCACCCCATCTTCTCCAGGGTCTGCTGGCATCACTGCTGAATATCTGCAACAGGGCTAGACTTGACGGTGTGCTAGACCCCTGCCCATGGATGTACCAGCGCCCGAACATCATGAGGCAATGTTTGCCATGCCCGCCCGCCCGCTCTCTCTTCTCTTTTGGGGAGTGTGCGAGTGGGTAGGGCCAGGCCTGCCTCTCCTACACTTGGTACCCTCGTACCTACAGTACCTTGCATAGTACGCACTCCACGAGAGGAGTGTGGTGTGTCTAATGCTTGTCTCTTTTTTTTTTTTTTTTGTCCCTGCCAGTTGCCAGACGAGACGGGACCACCACCACCACCACCAACGGCGGAGAGGGCTGCATTATTACTTTATCCTCCCCTCTCCCCCCGTCTCGATCTCTTCCCATTCCACCTGTTTACTTTCTCTCTCTACCTTGGGTTATCATCAACATCCCTTTTTTCGTCTTCTTGAAGCGCAGTTGCGTGTCCTTCTTTTCTTCTCCCGCAGCTAGGGTTTTACTTTCCTTCATTGTCCAACTGGCTTGGCTGCACACACTCATTTGACTACGCTTCTTGAACACCACCTTTTTTTGTCAATATACTTGACCTATCCGGTTTATTCAAACGAACGACTTCACTTCTTCTTTGGGTCCCTTTCGCGCGCCCCTCCGCCTTTCAACCAAAGCTTATCCGTTTCCTCTCCTTGACGGATCTGCACAAAGCCGACTTCGTTGTCACGAGCTTCTGGCCTGGGAATCCCTTCAAAACCTTTTCAACCACCCGATTTATACCTTTCGATTCGTCGGCAGCAAGTTTCTGCCTCCTTCTTACAAACCCAGCTTCCAGGACGACGCGAAGACGCGCGAAGATTTCAACAGATTCTTTCCAAGTGAAACCAATCTCCACAAGCCTTCTTGAAGAGCTTCACTTTCAAAACAACCATTACCCGGAAACGATTTTACGAGGAAAACAATGTCTCCCACGATGCAACTTGCACCCCACACCACCACTTACACTCCCACTTCTGATGCCATGGACCGTCACGAGTACGGCGTTACCAAGAGCCGCAAGGCGGCTTCGACTGGAGGAGGCCGAGCATGGAGCGAGGACGAGGTACGTGTCACCAACTTATTTCACAATCCACAAAACCAACCCCCCCCTGTGGCTGTGTGCTCCAAGCGTCTCGTTTCGGGCTTGAAGGATCATATGTCTCTAACACAACAAACAGGAAGTCTATCTCCTCCAGACCCGTCTCCAGAAGATGCCTTACAAGCACATCGCCGCTCATTTGAAGAAGACTGAGCTGGCTTGCCGCCTGCACTACCATCAGCTTAGCCACGGCAGCAACCGCCGCAAGCAGCGCACGACTTCAGTGTCTTCTGGCTCTTCGGCCAACCATTCCCCCGTCATGCAGGCCACGATGCCTTCCCCGATCCGAGAGTCGACTCCTCGCTCTGTCTCGCCGCCAGGCAGCTCGGGAAGCTTCGCCCCCATCTCGCCTGGTCCCATGCAACTTCCTAGCATCATGGGCAATGTCGCCTCCCCGCGTCTTCCTGCCATCCTCCCCAAGCCGGTCTGCATGACCCTGCCGCCCCGCACCTCTTCTCCTTCCCGTGGTTATCCCACCCCCCTCCCGGAGCCTCACAGCGCGGCCCTCCCCTCGGCCTCTTTCCAGTCCATGTCTGGCAGCCTCCCCATGACGCCACCTCTGCGTCTGGAGTGTGCTCACTCCCCCACCCAGCAAGCTGCCACCACCCACCAACACGTTGATATGAACCGTCTCCAATCCGTCTACACTGCCCACCGTGCCTCATTCTGGGCCGCCGTCGCCAACGACTACGGCCCGGGCGCCAACCCCGTCGTCCTCGAGCAGGCGTGGAAGAACGGCTCCTGCTGCAACCAAGCTAGCACGCCCATCACGCCCACTTCCAGCCCGGACAACATGGACCGTGATACCTACGGCAAGCCCCAAGATAAGACTCGCATCTCTGCGATTCTCGGCATCGACGCCAACCCGCGCTCGCCCCGTGAGCGCGAGCTGGTAAGGCGCATGGAGGAAGAGAGAGTCGGAGCCTAAAAACGGCTAAACCGACCACACGATAAGGGCTTACACCAGCCCAGCTCTCTTTTCACTTCTACCAGTGTATTACTTCATACCTTTTGTGTCTGATTCTTGCTTGAGGTTCTGCTTCTTCCTGATGTGAGCACAAGGAGACTACAGCATCGAGCCACAGCCCTGTTTATTCACTTCTGTCGGCTGCTCTTTCGAAGAGATTTGAATTTTCTTTGTCTTTTGGTCAATTTTTTTTTTTTTTTTGATTCGCCGTTTTTTCCGCCGTCTTCTTTCCGACTTTTTTTTTTTTTTTCAACACATCCGTACATGAACACATACGACCAGAGGGAGGCTGTTGGGGATGGTTGATATCCGGCGCAGGGAATGTGATGGACGATCTGCGGAATGGGGGAAAAGACTCTTTTTCATTTCTTTTTCATGTTCCGTTTTACGGGCAACTTTGAGTCACAAACCGACAACGGCGACTCACGCGAGGAAAGCTTAGGGGGAGATTTGGGGATGGAGGGGACGAGGCTGGCATGGCATGTGGCAGCAGTGCGGAGGCATTTTGACACTTCTTTCATCTTGGGGGAGGCATCTTTTCCACAAACACCCATTCGCAGAAATGAAGTGATGACACACACATACACACACACAGCACACACTCCTCACATGAGTGGCTTTTTGTGACCACAATCGTATGGCGCGAGTTTTTTGTACACTAGAACGGCCCAGCCGGGGTCCGCTGAGGGAACTATCATGCAGACGACGATTGCTATTTTTTTTTCTTGATATTTTTTTCTCCAAAACGGCGAATTGAAAGAATCAGAGTTTTTGGGAAACGCTTCATGCTGTTTTTTTGCCTCCTCCTCACTTGGGTGTTACAGTGATGCTACGTCTAGTGAAGCTAAGCGAGAGCCATGGCGGTGGTGATTAGGAGAGATGATTGTGTGATGATGGTGATGATCACATTGCGCAAGTCCCTGTACTGTCTAAAGCGTGGCGTTTGACACCTGATCCTTCCAGCGCCTGGACGACGATGTGGTCTGTCTGTCTGTCTGTCTGTCTGTCAGCGTCACTGTCACTGTCACTGTCACTGTCACTGTTACTATCTTGAGCTGGCGAATGATGAATTCAGATCGGATTCGGTGTCGATGTTGACACCGAAAGGTGTGTGTGTGTGTGTGCTATGATGGGGAAGTTGCAGGTGTTGCTTCAACGTCGACACGTCAAACGGGCTTAAGGCATGCGGCTACATCGGCAATTGTTCCCGTGGAGATGGCTGCTTTGACGGTCTATATTCAAGACAAATGTGACGTATCTTTGAGTATGTCTAAAGGTGGTGTTTGTGGTGTGTAGAGTTGATGGTGGCGAGTTGGTGAGAAACAAGCCATGGAGAAAATGTGGGGGGTGTGTGTGTGTATGTGCAGAAACAGAGAGTGAGTATGGTTTTGAGTAACGACGATCCAAGATGAAGAAATCAGACGAGGCGAATCCGAGAGTATACAACCTCGTCCGTCTCTCTATCCAGACCATCGCAGCATAGTTTTACGCACCTGTTGTTACTGTGTGTCGTCTCGGTCAATTCCCGTCCAAGGTGTCCGTCCAACTCAAGACCCAAAAAAAAAAAAAAAAAAAAAAACTCAGACCACCACCACACCAAACCCATCACGACGGCACGCCCCCCCCCCCCCCCCCCCCCCCCCCTCCACGACCCCCAAAAACCTTCTTTTTCTCCCAATGTCTTGAAGCATAAATGGTTTTGGGCTTGTTGGAACACACGACCGCCAAGCATTGTCCCTGAAGACGTTTGTCAGGAGAACCGAAGAGGGGATGGGGGGCTTCGTAATGGGCTGCGCCATCGTCTGGACTTTTGAAACACGGGAAAAAGTGAATGGACGTGGAAAAGGACACGGAAGAACTTTGAGAAAATACAATAATAATGAGAAAACAAACACGCTCACATACACTCATACATCATACAAGAGATGGACGGATAGCTCGGACGAAAGGTGATGGAGGCCAGATGAACACCCCTTTTCCCTACTTACTTACTCCCCATGACTTCACACTGCGACACCCCCGGTGTATCTGGTCCCCCCGTCGATCCAAACAGAGTCAAAATACAGCCTTTTTTTTTTTTTTTTTTTTTTTTTTAGTCATCCCATCCCGTTCATCGTAGCACTCAGCTCAGCTTTATGGTCCCCTCAAACCCAACCCTATTCCTTACGCAACACTCAAAAGGTGTCTTGGCGAGGGTCATGTTTCTTCCAAACCCCCTCTAAGGGGTCTGGGGGAATTGGGCCATGATGGGGAGGGGGTGTACGATAGGGTTACAGACGAAGCGAGGTCGTCGGTCTTGGGTGACGATGACTGGGCCTCGGGCGGTGCGTGGGACGTGATACCAATGGAGTAGACGGAGTAAAAAAAACTACACGCCGCATTAAAGCACACTCTTTCCGCGCGAATGGCACGTAATTCGTCCGGCAAAGGGGGGGGAGAATATAACCGGATAGTATGTAAATAGATGGCTGCGTGCTGCTTCTGCTGCTGTGGGAGAGACCGTTGCATCACATCATTCCTCCACGCCCCCGTCTCACCCCCTTACCAACCCCCGCCAGACAGAGCTCGGCTGTCTAGCTATTGTTGGAGATGCGGGGAACAAGACGACAGAAAGAGAGTGTGTGTGAGTGTGTGTGAGGCGGAGACTCCGTCGAGGCAAAAAAAAAAAACAAAAGGCAGAATGGACGGATGAGCTCGTATGAATGGACCCCGAAGATCGGACCGCCAACGACCGAGTTACGAACCGAGTCTTGTGTTCCGTCCCTCGGGCCAGGAAAAGCTGGGGAACCCGGATTGGTTCCGCTGTCGGACGGGACATGGCATGGTTTTTTGGCCGATGGCGGCTCAGCTTTTTGTCGTCTACTACGGCATAGTATACCCCTTGATAATGACAGTGGAAAGTCGGGGGAAAAAAGGAAAGAAAAGAAAAGAAAAAATACAATAAAAAGGTATTTACCCTACGATTGCAACCCCCGCACATCACCACCAAGATCGAGGCACGAGGATGCAATGCGATGCGCCTTACCGGCACTGAATCATTGGCTACCAACGCCAAATACGTCTGCCGTGATTGGAGCCACTGTTTGAGTAGGGGTTCGTTTCCCCCCAATAGCTACAAGCTACACTAGTTTGATGGCTAAAACATATTATGCTAAGGACTATGGGGGACACACACACACACACACACACACACACTCACACACACATCCGCAACCAGATCAGAGACATTGCCGTCGTATCTTTGTGTGACCCTACACTATACTCAACTCACTACTCTCTAACCAGCATGCAAGTCCTTCTCTCCTACGTCAGCCGTGTCCCACGTAGTAGAGTATATCGTCCAATCAACAACCTCAGCCAGTTCGGTTGCTGAGCTCGTTTACGGCTTTCTTGCTGACGGTGTCGACCATGACGATGAAGCTGTAGCTGAAGCTGCGTATACTACATGTCGGAGAGAACGCCGTGGTTGGTATTGGTGACACTGTTGCTATATGTACGTTGCTATCAATACTGGCAACACTCCATAGGATTGCTCACCCTGCTGAACAAACATCCGTTCCAAACCCCCCCCCCCATTTCCGTAATTCATCACCTCGCAATCCTTTTTCCGTTATACCCGTCCCTGGAGGGGGGAGTCTCTTCCCACCTTTACCCTCTCCACCCAAGACCCTCCTCCTATTACTCATTCATCCGCAGACAAATAAAAAATAAAAATAAAAATAAAAAGTCAATGAGCTACGGGCCTCTTTCTCCACTCGCAGCCCGCGGACAGTACCCCGATTCCCCTCCGATCCAGGGTGGAATCACCCGATTCTGGGGCCGCCTCGTCGCGTCGGCAGCCCTCCCCAATAGAATCGCGCGTATTAGCAGTCATCCGGGTTCCAGGGGTCGTTCCCGAGCGGATCTGTCCCCGAGGCTCGGTGGATCGCCAGACTGTTTCCCGTCCCCTCCCCCCCCCCCCCCCCCCCCCCCCCCCCCCCGGTGGTCTAACCCCAAGTGAACCCGCCTTGTCCCAGCGGTTGAATGTGTCTCTCTTCCCTTCCCCCCGCCCCCGCTCTCTATCCGCATTTTGTTGATTTCTGGTAGCTGTCATTGGGGAGGGGAGGGGAAGAGAAAGGAATAAAGAATGAGAGAGAGAGAGCTCTAGCTTCTGTGCTGCTCTCTCGTACGAAAAAAAACAAGGTTCAAAAGAAGTCAGCTACCCACCCCAGTCATCCCATCCCATCCCATCACCTCTCCCCTTCTCCCCGCTTCTGTGTGTTTTGTCCATTGAACGAACCTCTTCTTCCCTTTTCTTTCTCTCTTCTGACACACATCCTCCCCTACCTACTACGTAGTACATCCATCCAAGCTGCTTCAGCACAGCCACCATCTATCTACTTGCCCACACCTTGTCCAAAAAGGCCGTAGACCATCTCACCGCATCATCACACTCGACTAGACCACACATATTGAACCCAATTGAGCCCACGGCAACTGCCATCTTGGCACCAAAACGCACACACAGCGAGTCTCTTCCGCAATGAACGGCGACAGCGCAGGCCAGGCCACCTCCAACGGCCATAACAACAGCACCTCCTACAAGGACAGCCATGACTACCTCCAGTTCGCCGAGCTGCCTCCCGGAGGCCCATTGAACCGGTGGTCGCACACCATCACGAGGGAACATGACTTTCCCGGCGCACAGGTACGCGAAAATAACAAGGACAATTGTTCTTCGGACAATTGTTGTTCTCTCATTTCGAGTTGGGGTACATGCGGGGTTCTGCCCGGTGTGCGGGGGTTACACACGCGATGATGAGATAGAGAGAGAGAGAGAGAACGAGACCGAGGGGCGGTGTCTGAGAGACTAGAGAGCTCACCAGTCATTGTAGGCCATGTTGTACGGCGCCGGCGTGCCGAACCGCGACATGATGAAGAATGCGCCGCATGTCGGTATTGCGACGGTGTGGTGGGAGGGCAACCCTTGCAAGTATGTGTGCCTTTTAACCTCCCATGGATGTATGACGTTTGACTAACACCAAACACAGCACACATCGTGAGCTTCACCTCACCAATTGACCCGAAAGATGTTCCTTCCTGGCTAACCCACCGCAGTTCTCGAGTTTGGCAGAATCGTCAAAAAGGCCGTAGAGAGGCAGGGCATGCTCGGATGGCAATTCAACACCGTCGGCGTGTCAGACGCCATCACAATGGGAGGCGAAGGTGAGCTCTCACCAGACCACCATGACCATCAAGCTTTCACTTACTAACTGATCAAGGCATGCGATTCTCCCTCCAGACCCGTGAAATCATCGCCGACAGTATCGAGTCCGTCACCTGCGCCCAGCACCACGACGCCAACATCTCCATCCCCGGCTGCGACAAGAACATGCCCGGCACCATCATGGCCGCCGCCCGCCACAACCGGCCCTTCATCATGATCTATGGCGGCACCATCATGAAGGGGCACTCGGAGCTCCTCGAGAAGCCCATCAACATCAGCACCTGCTACGAGGCCCGCGGCGCCTTCACCTACGACAGGCTACACGCAAAGTGCAACCCGGGCGCCGAGGGCCGCACGCCGTCCGACGTCATGGAGGACATTGAGCAGCACGCCTGCCCCGGCGCGGGAGCCTGCGGCGGCATGTACACGGCCAACACCATGGCGACGGCCATCGAGGCCATGGGCCTCTCCCTGCCGGGCTCCTCGTCGTACCCGGCCCTGTCCCCCGAGAAGTCGCGCGAGTGCGAGCGCGCCGCCGAGGCCATCAAGATCGTCATGGAGAAGAACCTGCGCCCGCGCGACCTCATGACGCGCGCCGCCTTCGAGAACGCCCTCGTGCTGACCATGATCCTCGGCGGCTCCACCAACGGCGTCCTCCACTTCCTCGCCATGGCCAACACCGCCGACGTGCCCCTGACCCTCGACGACATCGACCGCACCAGCAACCGCATCCCCTTCCTCGCCGACCTCGCCCCCTCCGGCCAGTACTACATGGAGGACCTCTACCGCGTCGGCGGCACCCCGTCCGTCCTCAAGATGCTCGTCGCCGCCAACCTCATCGACGGCTCCATCATGACCGTCACCGGCAGGACCCTCGCCGAGAACGTCGCCGACTGGCCCTCCCTCGACCCCAACCAGAAGATCATCCGCCCCCTCTCCGACCCCATCAAGAAGACGGGCCACCTGCGCATCCTCCGCGGCAACCTCGCCCCGGGCGGCGCCGTCGCCAAGATCACCGGCAAAGAGGGCCTCTCCTTCACCGGCGTCGCCCGCGTCTTCGACAAGGAGCACGAGCTCGACGTCGCGCTGTCCGAGGGCTCCATCAAGCGCTCCGACGGCAACCTCGTCCTCATCGTGCGCTACGAGGGCCCCAAGGGCGGGCCCGGCATGCCCGAGCAGCTGCGCGCCAGCGCCGCCATCATGGGCGCCGGCCTGGACAACGTCGCGCTCGTGACGGACGGGCGGTACAGCGGTGCCTCGCACGGCTTCATCGTGGGCCACGTCGTCCCCGAGGCGGCCGTCGGCGGACCCATTGCCCTCGTGCGCAACGGCGACAAGGTGACCATCAACGCCGAGACGAACCGCATCGACGCCGTCGACGTCGACGACGCCGAGTTCGAGAGGAGGAGGGCCGAGTGGAAGGCCCCGAAGCCCCATGTGCGGAGGGGCGCGCTGGGTAAGTATGCCCGGCTTGTCGGTGACGCTAGTCACGGTGCCGTGACGGATCAGGCGGATCCTTCGTGGTAGTTGTTGTGTGTTACTAGCAATGAGGGGGAGGCGAGGGGGAGGGGATGGTTATACTTGATGTGTCGTCTGTGAGGTAGACCATTCTGAGAAAACATCTTGGTATAGAGTTGTAAATCTAGCGTACTTTCAAAAATAGAGAAAACAGCTTGAAGTCGTAGGAACCCTATATGCATTCAGCCAATCCAGCTAACCTTTCACGAAGTTGTAAAGTATGATACCATGTCGTTTTGAGGAACTTATAACACAAGTCACCAACTCACCATAGCTGTAAAGACTACATTTCAGACTTCAGCTTCACTTACCAACAACAACACAGTTGTGGACATCACTTCACTGACATCGTAGACAAAGCATATATACCATTCCGCTGGACCGCCTCCGCAATCCAGCATGCTACTCTAACATGAAGAAAGCACACGTCTCTTTTTCTCTCTCCAAAGAACCCAAACATTCATGTTCGTTGTTTGTAATCCCCATTCAGCTGGTATCCTTTGCGCGCGTAAACACGTCTCCGTTTGGGAGGTTCGTTTCTTTCTCTTTCGCTCTCTGCTTCTGCTTCTGCTTCTGCTCTGCTCTGCTGCCCATCCTTCCAATACAAACGTTGAAACAATAAAATAATAAAAAAAACGTAGATTCTCTTTTCCGGCACCAGAACCTAATCCGTGCCAAAAAGAACAACCGTTTCTGTAGCTTTCCACCTCTCTATTTCATGCTTCGCAAGTTTCCCGTGCGTTGTAAAAAATAAAACAGACAAAAAACTGATTATGGACAAAAAGGCCGGAATACGTTGAAACCCTGATAACTCCCAAAATAAGACTGTGCGAGCAAAGACCGATACTGGCGATGCCGATACACCTCCCCGCGTGAGCACCAACATTATGGAGACAACCTCTGAAAGTTGAAGGAGTCGTAAGCGTCTCCGCTTTCATCAATATACAATCCCGTTTTTTATGATGTGTTTTTTCTCTTTCCACCCAACAATTGGCGCCAGAGTTTGTGTATGCTGGCCGTGACTCGTGACATCGTATGCGATGTGTTTGTTGTTGTTGCTGTTTGGTTGCTTGGAATTACGGGCTGGCCCATCCGCCTGCGACGTCAACCCACTCGGCGAGGCAGGATCCCTCCTTGCCCTCAACGTCGACAATGTCCGTGTCGCATCGGCAGCGGCATCCGACACCGTTCTCCTTCTCGGCATCCCAGTGCTCCCAGTAGTCGTCCTCCTCAATGCGCTTCTTTTCGTCCAGCGTCGTCTTCTCCAGGTACTTTTGTCTAGGGAGCTGTCGCGCCGGGGCGTTGGCGGGGCAGTGCTGGATGGTGGTGTGTCGGTAGCCAAAGTCTCGGAAGTAGTGAATGTCACGAGGGGCCAAGAGGGCGCCGGCCGCCAAGGAATGGATAGGAGCGTCACCCCACTGACAAAATATTAGCTTAGGTCTGACCGTGATGCATGCTGATGGCGACTTACGCGTTCCATCCAAAAACCGCCACTGCGGTCCATCATTTGGAAGAAGTCCTCGTATTCCTTACTGCGGAACCACTTGAGGCTGGCAATCTCGAAGTTGGACCAGAAGTGGCACATGTTGTACGTCTCGCCTTCCATGGCCTCGGGGTCGATCTCGGGCACGGCGTTGCGGCCAGGGTCGCTGCGGAGGACTTCCTCGGGGAGAGGGGTCTGCTCGGTGGGCTCCTCCTTCTTCTCGGGGACGGGGTCGACAAACATCTCCCACAAGCCCTTGGACTTAAGGCCCTTGAGACGCTTGTAGGCAGAGGCGTATCTGAAAATGTTGGGGACAGTCTCGCGAAGTTCCTTGACAGCAATGGTGAAACCATAGGTCTTGTTGGCGTCGATCATGGCCAAGAAGGGATCACTGCTTCGGTTAGTATTGTCAGTCAGATACAAAGGAGAGGTCAGAACGTACTAGGTGATGTCGCAGAAGTACTTGATCTCCGGCTCCAGGCGCCAGTACCACTCGTACTTCTGAAGGAGCTCATGCTTGTAGAAGAATCTATCGCATGTATTAGTAACGATCCGAAATCATGTTGCCAGCATTCGACTTACCCAGAGTAGAAACGACACATGGCGTGGTAGCTCTCCAAGCCACCGTACATGACAGCGGCGTCACCCTGCTTGGCGATACCCTCCTTGGCGACCTTGTGGTCAATCCAATCAGGGTAGCCCCACATGTCGGGGCCAACCTTGCCAAACTCGACGGGAGCAGACGTGTAGTTGGTGACAACCTCCTTAAAGGTCTCGTTGAAGTCGCCGTCGTTCAGGAAGACATAGGGGTAGTGGTACCATCTGTTGAAATGACGCTCAATAGACTTGATGGACTGGATAACGCCGTCCAATTCCTTGTTGCGGGCCAAGACAACAAAGGCACCGTTGGCCCTGGGTCTGCTCGTGTCGGGTTCGAGACATCCGGTTACGAAGACCTTGTCATGTTCTTCACTGATTTTCCTGTGCGCGCCATCACGTCAGCTATTGTCAATTGCTTGCGGCGGAGCGCCAGACATACCTAATGGCCGGAGGGGCGCCGGCGGGCATCAATATCCTGCCAGGGGAACTGGGATGTCTGACAAACAAGACGAGGATAAGGATCACAACGATCAGGGGGAAGAGAATGACCACGCCGAGGGGAACGGAAACGCTCGAGTTGCCCCGAAGTCGCAGCGGCCTTCTGAAGAAGGCCAGGCGCGAGGTGAATCTGTTTTGCCGGGCATGCTTTGTGCTCGGCTTCTCATCGGCGGTAGGAAGTTTGGGCGATGTCGACGGGATGGCCTTTACGGCTCGCCTAAAGAGATCCATGGTTGCGGCGTATCGTCGCAAACAGGTTTGTGGTTCAAAGTAGAGGTCAGATCGGGCGGCAAGGCGATATCTAGGTCAATGGCGGAGTGCGGGTTGATGTGGCTCCAAGAGTGGCGCGAAGGGATTTGGTGTTTTGTCGATTAACGAGGCGGCGCCTTAAGATAAGGGGGGGAAGGATGGAGATGAGGTAGCGAGGTGCGGATTAGGGATTTTGGATGGACACGCGAACCGCGAACAAAAGCAAAGCCGTGTCTAATGAAAGCAGCGAAACGTTGAGCGGCGGGCAATGCAGATTGCGAAGTAGACGTGAACGAGCGGCAGGGACGAAGTTTCCCTCTAGCAGGCGTCGGGTTTGCGAAGGTAGTATGACAGTGAAGAAAGGCGGGTCGAACCAAATTCAGACAGCCTTATGCGTAGAAAGAAAGACCTCACGCACAGCGGCACGGCAGCGGCGTATGGGGGGCAAGGAAGAGGGTGCGATAGCGGCAGCGACAAGGGAACCACTGATTCAGTCGCCTTTGTGCTTTGTTACGCTTCGCGTTGGTGGTCTCGGGGGAGACGAGAGAGGGAGGTAGTGGTGTGGATAGGGACAAGAAAGTCAAAGGACTCTGTCTGTCTCTATCACTCTCCAAAGATCTGACGAGTCGAGCCGAGTTCCAATATCAATTGTGTCTGGGCGACCTCTCGGCAGGCGACATAGGGCAGGGGCGCTGGCAAAGCGGCCGAACGCTGTCGATGTCGTCGTCAGATCGCGGGGGGTTCGAGCTCGAAAATCGAAGTCGAAGTCGAGGTCGAGGTCGAGGTCGAGATCGGAGAAGGGGGGGTTCGTGGGAAAGGGAGATAAGTTGGTGAGGAAAAGGAACCAACTTTTTGGGGGTGTGGGAAAAAAAGAGAGAAAAAAAAATAAAGCTGACAGATGTCACAGATGGGAGCAAGAGTAAGGTGGTCGGTACGGAAAGAGACAAAGGCCCAGTACCAGCACAAAGTTAGGTTGGCATATTTTTTGGCGATAGGAGAGCCGGGACGGGGGACAGGGAATGGGGGACGGGTAGCGAGATAGGGGACTGTCATGCAGAAGGGGGCACAGGACAGGACAGATGGGATTAGGGGATTGTGTGGCCACTGCACGCTGCTCTCTCTCGTTCTCTCTCTCTCACTCTTTCCCGCTGCTGCCCAGCCTGGGTCCCAGGAAGTCCAGACTGTTCGCGTCTACAGACTGGGCAGTTGGTGGCAGTGGCTGTGGACTTTTTCGAGGAACTGCAACAGACCTTGGGGCCAACCAGATGGATTGAGTGAAGTCAAAGTGGGTACGAGGGGGCGTCGAGTGGATCCTTGTTGGTCCAGGCACCAAGTGTTATTGGATGAAGCGTCCCGCCAAGACGCGCGGAAAGGAGAAAGTGGAGCATCTCCTTTCCTCAGGCAATCTGGATTCTGGATTTCTGCAGTCGAAATAGAAGAGAAAGAAAAGCCTGCTACTGGCTTGGTCTGAAAAGTGCTTCCAGACTTCCTTCCATGCCATACTATGGTGCATGCCTGGCTTCCTTCCCTCCTTTTCCATTGGATTGCCAAAATTAAGCTGCCTTCCCATCCTGTGCCAGCCTGTCCTTGCCTTCCTTGCACACTTGCTTGTCCTGCCTGCCCAGCTCCACCTACCCTTACTGCCCTTGAGCTTGTCATGTCTGCGCCACGTTTCTATTCCCACTAACTACCACTGTAGTACGTACAAAGTACTAAGTTGCTCCGTAGCGTTCCGTCCAATGGTCGCCTGCTCAATTCCTGTTTATCCGATCCTCTCCCGATTGTGGCATATTGGTCCAATCGTAACATGACGCATCCCTTTTTAGCGCGTGTAACCTGACGCCTCCCGCTCCCGTCATCTCCCCAAACCTGGCAGTGCTAGCAGTCTGGGAACAGCTGCTCTCAGCTGGACCCAGCTGCCGCTTTGAGATGCGATCTGCACGAGAGTTTGCGCTTCGATGCTGGATTTATATTACTTGTGATAACCATGATTTCAACTTTGTGGATAACCATGATATACACACGTGTAAGCTTGTAAACGGCCCGTCAGTGCTTGCGTAGCCGACATCCGATGCCGCTGGCCCAAACCTTTCCATTGCCCCAGAGTGTCTCGCTACCAAAACCTGGCACATGCCCTTGAACCTCCTCCCATATTATACAGCAGATCGCCGAGATCGCCGCCCACCCGCTTTACTGGCCCTTGGAAAACATCCTCTTCTCTTCGTACCTTAATCTGCGGAAAACCTTTCCATAGAGTGGGTTCCTCAGAACAAGAGGTACCAAGTCCAAAAACAACATTTGTACCAGGTGCGGCCAGTATGGCACCAGGACTGAACGTCCGCATCCCACACGGTCCAAGATGGCATTGGCGATGGTCTCCACTGAGGGCCAGAATAATCCGGGTGTCATGAGATCTGTCTTTGTAGCCACCGCTCCGATACGGACGCCCATGACTTCCACGTTGATGCCGTCCATTGCCAGCTCCCTGGCCATGGCAGTTGAAATGGCGTTGATGTACGATTTGCTGGCGCAATAGAAAGACAACAACGGCCAACCGCCGTCCGACACCGATCCAACATTGATAATGAGCGCAGGTTCCGCACTGCCGGAAAACCGCGGAATCATCAAGGCATTAAGTAACGTCGGGAACATGGCGTTCATGTGGACATTGTTCGTAATCTCCTCCATAGAAGCCTGGTCCAAACGCCTCATCATCGGCATCGGCGGACATCCTCCCACGTTGTTGACTAGGACCCTTAAGTTGAGCCCCTCCAATGCAGCCAGCATGACATCCCACGGGTGCGAACCGGAACCTAGTAGCCCCGCGTCGCCTACCATGATTCTGAAGTCTCGGTCGGGGTGCTTGAGTGCAAGCTCGTGTCTCACTTTCTCCAACTTGACGTCGTTGCGCCCGTGGAGGACGACGTTGAATCCCCGGTGGGCAAGCTCGTTTGCGAGGCCTTTACCAATTCCATCGCTCGCGCCAGTGACCAATGCCCAGGCGGATTTTCCATTGATGGTTTTGAGATATTTTTTGAGCTTTGAGGTTTGAAAAAAGGGAAAAATGTACCAAGCAATATTATAAGCTGCGATAACAATGGCTCCTACTCCCACAGTCCGAAGAAACCCCTCTAGATTCATGATGGAGAACAATGTTGTACAGTTTGAACAGAATGAGAAAACATAGTTGAATGACACCATATCCAAATGTTTCTGCCCGCCGCCTTTTAAAACACCTTAAAGTCAAAAACCGTACATGTGAAGACGCCGAGTAGACGTCACGAATTCGAACAAACCGGTCGAATTGACTCTAGAAACAGGGATGACCGGGCGAGACCAAACACTCATCCTCATGCTTTGCTGATGGGAATAAAGCCCATCCGCGGGTACGAGAACGAATCGTCCTGCAAGATACGGATACGCTTTCGGGGTTATCGAAAACCTCCGGGCAATATGCAAGATCTGCCCGTGGCGCTGCTGGGTGGGGTTGGTTCACAGAGAAGAGCAAGTTGAGCTGAACTCTGATACAAAACCCTTTCCCCTCCCTTTTGTGCTGGCTTCCTTGCCTTAATTCGTGGCGGGACTAAGCGGAACTCTAGGGGAGCCTCAATATCGGACGGAAACATGAAATAAACACGGCTAAACTTGAGAGAAGTCCCAGCGTGAATTTCTGCATGGGGTAGTATACATAATCTCTGTACATACATATCGCCGGGAAGTAATGGTACAATCGTCTGCTATAGCTCCTTTTATGTCCTCCCCTGTCTTCACGCTCCATTTTACCAGAGGAGGTCCTCCTTGACAACCTCCTTCTTGCGCTCCACCTTCCGCACAGCCTGCACACGCTTCTTCGCGATGGGCACCTTGAAGTACAAACTGGGCGATTCGCCCTCCTTGAGCAGATGGCTCAGGTATCCGCGGTGAGCGGGGTCGCGGTAGTACTCAATATCGGAACGGCTTGTGGGATCGGGAAGTCTGTACTGGAAGGGCTTGCTGCGGGCTTGGGAGAGGATGGGCTCGACGTGCTCCTTTCCGTAAGGCAGCGGCTTGTCCGTGTTCTCGCTCTCGCCGCGCAAAAGTTGCTTGATGGACTGCTTGGTGTAGAATCTCGTGAGGATCTTGCCACCGGCGTTCTCAACTGCGTCGATGGCCGAGGCGGAAGCGCGCGAGACCATGATATCGACGGGCTGGCGGAGCTCTTCCTTGCCACGAGCGAGGAGCTTGATGCCGTCCTTGACACTGCCAATGAGGCCCGACTCGATGATTTCCTTGACGGTGATGCGCTTCGTGGCGTCCAGTCGGCCGGCATCGATCCACTCCTGGAGCTTGTCGAGGTTGACCTTGGACATGACGGGGGCACGCCTGGTTTCCTGTTAGCCTCTGCGACAGAGTAAAAAAGCCCAAAGCTGTCGTCTCGAGAGAAATTGGCAGCAATTGGCAGAAATTGACAGGCAAAAGAGAAGACCTACTTGTTGTCGAAACCCTTTCTTCCCTTCTGCACAATCAAGTGTGTCTGACCACCCTGGAACCACGGCTTGACATGGCCATGCTGCTTCTGACCCTTGTGACCTCGACCGGACGTCTTGCCCTTACCGGCTGAGGCACCTCTACCGACTCGGATGCGCTTATTGTAAGCTCCCTTGTTGTCGCTCAGGTTGGCGAGAATAGAGGCATTGCGGACGCCGATGGAGAGACCAGCAAAGAGGGAGACGAGGCTCGTGGGGTTCGTCGAAGGTCGTAGCGCCCGGCTACAGCATGTCGACACATGCAATGGGGATAACCGCGGCGGCATTGTGAGGTTGGTGGCTCTGGTGACAGACTTTGGGAAGTGGTGGTGCAGCCCAAGGCCCAAGGTTCGAGCCTCCAAAATTTCCAATGGAGCCTCGCAGGAGCTGCCGCGAGACGCGGAATCATGCGAAGAAACGCCGAAGGCCTTGCACTTGCGCCACAAACCAGATTATGTGGCTGGTGAGCACAATACCATTGGGGCTGATTGGAATGATGACATAAACAGCTTACCGTGTACCTCGACTTGGCCGTTTCCAGTAGTGTGGGGGGAGGGGGGGCCATGACTTGCTCGAACTCATAGTGGAAACAGTGGGACCTGCAAACTGACGCCGCCTGCCCTGGTCTGGAAGCTCCCCCCTAGTCCGTCCCCAGCCCCCCTCTCTGATGCGCATGTTCAGCACCTGCGACAGGGCACATTTTGCTCCGCTTCGGCGTGGTGTCCAGGGCAGGTGAAGCTCCCTACGATGCCGTACTGTACTGTGTTGGGTAGGGGCCACTGCTGCAAGTCAGGCACAGACGACAACGATTCAGGCCCTCCGTCTCCGGCTTAGGCTTCTGTCGTCAGCGTTCCCCCGTCCACGGTCACGGCCCGCCTTGAAGGTGTCTCAAGCTTTACACTTCCGCCCCAGCTCCCTTTCCGCCCAAACAACAGACCAGACCAAAGGAGGGAAAAAAAAACCAAGTCCTCGGGCTTACTTTTGCTTTTGGTGTTTGAAAGTCCAACATCTGTAATTTTTCCTTCTGTTTCTTCAACAATTGAGGCTGCGCTGCGTGTGCATTTGCCTTGGCTTCTCTTTTGTTATCATCCATCACCGTTCGCAGCCTTGACCTTCATATGTTGTAGCGATTGGACCTCGGATTGCGATTATTACCTTACGCGGCAAGCTTGACGTGCTTTGGTGTGTGCTGCCGCCCTGCACCATACCATCCATCCTCCATTACGCATCAATTACGAGGCCCTGCAGCTCATTGAGTGTCCTACGACGCTCCTTCATCAGCAGTCATTGGAGGGAACTCTTTTGGCGTACACAGCTAGCTGCCAGTACTACCTAAACCAATCCCTACCTATCAACTGGTACATACACTCTCAACGTCTCCAAACATGTCCCTCTTCGGATCATCACCGCCAACGGAGTCTCCGTCAAACACCTCCGCCGCTCCCTCGAGATCATTGTTCGACGAAGAGCCCATGTCCAAGTCTGGTTCTAATTCCCTCTTCACCGACGATGACTTCGCCGGTGCTGAAGGCTCGCCTTGGGACATGCCCACTCCGAGAAAGCAGCAATCCCGCGCCGACGTCGTCCGCAATCTGCTGCCGTCATCCGACGTCCCCGATGCCTACATCGAGACCTTCGACACGGTAGTGCGCGACGATGGCAGCGCCGGGCGCGTCAACGCCGGCGGCATCGCCAAGGTGTTTGCTGCCGCACGTCTCGGAGCTGACCAGCAGGCGCAGATCATGTCTATGGTTGTGCCCGCTGCAGGTGGCGATATCGCCATCGGACGCGCCGAGTTCAACGTCCTCTTGGCTCTCATCGCTTTGGCACAGGAGGGCGAGACAACCAGCCTCGACACTGTCGATGAGCGACGCAGAAGTACGTTTTCTCTCTCCTTCTCTTTTTCCATCGGAGATCTTCCAGCCTTCTCCATGACGATATCTCGGCCCCTGTCCGCCGAGCTATCGACTATCGACTTATCAGTGCGCAATCTGTGTGGGGTTCATTGCTAATTGCCAATACACTAAACCAGACCTTCCACTCCCCAAGCTTGCCGGCCTGACTGCTGCTCCGGTGATGCCTCCCGTCTCCGAGCCTGCTGTCGTACCTCCTGAAGCTCCTAAAACTCCCACCCCCGAACCTGTTGCATCGCTGCCGAAGCCAAGCACCCTGCGCCGACCTCCGATGGACTTTCCCGAATCCGACGACCCATGGAATTCCCCCGATGTGCACAAGGGTCATGCCCACGCTGCTGCTGAATCCCCCAGCAGACCCAACGGCGCCAGCCCCCAGCGCCCGGCCGCGAACGGTAATGGACACAGCAATGGCAACTTTGGCACGTCGCCGAGCACTGCCATTGCCGGCCGGACCATGTCTTCCTATACAACTGCGACCGTGGGTTCCGAGACGGCATCCAATCGTCAGAGTATAAACACTGGAACGTCCCCTGGCGGCTGGGGAGGCTTCTTCGATGGCAACACCGCGGGAGGCGGTTTTAACGAGCCTACCTCCAACCCGGTCACAAGTCCCTTTGGCGGTGCCGGTGGCGAACGTGAGCCGACTGAAAATACCCCGAGTGTGCCCGCACTACGGACCGGTACGAGTGGGCGGACTGGAGCCGGCGTCGAGGAAAATGTTGTCGTCACTTTGATGCCGGAGAAGGAGGGTCTCTTTATGTTCCAACACCACAACTACGAGGTTTCCAGCATACGCCGTGGCAGCAAGGTCATTCGCCGATACAGCGACTTCGTATGGCTTCTGGATTGCTTGCACAAACGGTATCCTTTCAGAGTACTGCCTCTACTGCCGCCAAAACGTGTTGCCGGTAAGTTGTCTTATATCATATACCTTTGATGGTCGCTGATATCCGTAGTCAATGGAAACCATTTGTCCAACGATGGCGCCTTCATCGAGAAGCGCCGCAGGGGCTTGGCAAGATTCCTGAACGCCCTCGTCCGCCATCCAATCCTCAGCCAGGAACAGCTCACCATCATGTTCCTCACTGTACCTACTGTAAGTTGCTACTTTGACCCCACAGCGCCTTACACTGACAGCGTCAGGAACTTTCCGTATGGCGCAAGCAAGCCACCATCTCTGTCCAGGACGAATTCACTGGACGTGTCCTCCCGCCTGGGCTCGAGGACTCCCTGCCTCCTACCCTCGAAGCCTTGTTCGATAAGACTCGATCCGGCATCCGGCGGTCGGCCGAGTTGTATATCAACATCAGTAATATCATGGATCGTTTGGTAAAGCGCACCGAAGGCGTTGCCGCTGACCACGCCCGTATCGCCATGTCTCTCGCCTCCCTTACCGAGACCAGTGCCGACACCTACGCTACGGACACCAACGATGTGCCTCTGCTTAATGACGGGCTCACATCGATGAGCAGACATTTGAGGACATGCCAGAGTCTTATGGAAGACGAGAGCAAGGCCTGGGATGAAGGTGTCTTGGAGGATCTGAAGCGCCAAAGAGATGCGCTTGTTAGCGTTCGCGAGTTGTTTGACCGTAGAGAGCGGCTCGACAAGGACAACATTCCCTACCTTGAGAGACGTATTCAGACGAACGAGACCAAGCTGGCCAATCTCCGCAGCAAACCCGAGGGCATGGTCAAGCCTGGTGAAATCGAGAAAGTGGTGGAGGCCATCATTAAGGTATGTCAAGGCTCCCTTGTCCTTCCCCACACCAGCACTGACATGTTCTGCAGGACAAGGAGTCGATAGTCAATCAGCACAACCGGTCCGTCTTCGTCAAGGAATGCATCCGCGACGAGCTCATCTACTTCCAGACGACGCAGTTCCATGTGTCGCGTTGGAACCAGGATTGGGCGCAGGAGCGCGTCAAATACTCGGAGATGCTTGCCGACAATTGGCGCCGCCTGCTCGACGAGCTGGAGGGCATGCCTCTCGGCGACTAGCCGCGCAAACTCCCTGTACCTCTCTGATTCGATGGGCTTTGCATACCAGCGTTTTTCTACATCTGGCGTTCCGGTCCTTCTCTACATCCCGCCATATTCCTCAGCATCTCTGCCGACTGTCAGCCGCAGCCCCCAAGTCTTGTATGAAATTGTGTTGCTCCTTTTAGCGCAGTGTTTCCTAAACCAAATGTACATCTTAGAGCAGGGACACGTTGCCGAATACCCTTTGGTTATTGGTTACGCATTTTGCTTAATAAATCGTGCTAATTTCTTTACCTGCAATCTCGTTTGTGACGGTTCTTTTGCTCGGGGCGACGCTAATTAGTCGTTTTAGTGCTCGCGCAGCACACCCATTTGACAACTCCACGCGACGAGGACGCGTCCTAGTAATCCAAGTTATGGTATGACTGTCATCCTCAGCTGACATAGGTTCTTTGGGCAGATGTAGTGTTCAAGATGCTGGCAAGGAAGAAAGACTGGGTGTTTCTGGTGGATGGCACTCTTACGGTGTCCGACTTTGTCGAGTCCGCAGTAGTTGAGAATTTGGACAAATTGCAAAGCTGTTGATTTTATACCGCCGTTTTTGTGTTATCCGTGTGTTGTATTGGGTGTATGGGAAGGGTTATGATCAGAAGGCTCGATATGCCTTGCGGGCTTAGAGTGTGTACACTCAGTTGCCTTTGTCTTGTTTGCTGTTATATCTCAGTGTAATAATGCTATCTCTGACTGGCTCCAATGTGGCCAGCCTCGTCACGCCTTCCTCTTCTCCCGCCGCTGCTTAAACCAACTGGCAGCTGCTCAACAGAGAACCACAATGTGAAGAATACTAAACAACCATACCATTGCCTTCGTTGTTGCTACTTAGAAAAGTCCTTGGAGCTACATGGCTTTTTGAAGTCTTGAAAACATCAGACAAAGATGGCCACGACACACACGACTCACGACTCACGACTCACGGCACCTACTCACGATGGCTTCAAGGTCCTCTTGGCAGACCACCCTCTGGGTTAAGAGTCCTTGCATGTGCTCGACGATGCATCACGAAATTCGCAAGCCTCTGATACTGTCGGTTTGATTAGTCGCTAAACAATTTTCGTCAAGATATAAAAGCAGGTCCCGTTAAATATTCTTTTCTTCCTTTTGAAGTCTGATACAAAATACCACACAAGATGCCTGTAAGTCTTCCTTGTTCCCCATTATCCTGCAGCATATGAGCCCTCTTACCTTGATCTCCCTGTCGCGGATCATCATTATCGTCTCTCAATCCCTTTCTTCCTTGGTTTGTATACTAACTAATACCTAGAACAAAAAGAACCCGAAGGGCAACAAGGGCAAGAAGCGGCTCCCCCACGCCGACTGCCTCATCCGCCACTATCGCGCGGAAGGCCATCTCTACCCCGAGGGAACCCCTCGCCCTTGCAGAGAGCGGGGCAGGGGTCCCGAATACGATAACCTCTTCTTCTGTTCGAGCTGCCGCGGCTGCCTCGACGGAAGCCACTTCCTCGACGACGACGGCAACCATCCCTCCTACAAGTCCTGCGACGGCTGCCGCAACCGCAGCGTGACAAGAACCAAGAAGACGCCGGACGAAAAGGCCAAGGCCAAGACCCGCGGCAAGGCCGTCAAGAACCTCGACACCACGAGCAAAGTCACAAAGTCTCGCGGTCGCACCGGCGCTCTCTATCAAGCTTCGACTCCGAAGCTCATTCACGTTCTCGCGGCACAGAAGAGGAAGGAGGAGGCCAAGGCTGCTGCTGCTGCTTCCCGTGTTAATATTGGCAACTTCCTCACTGAGCCTGATACAGACGACGAGACTTTGGACGAGGAGGATCTGGAGGATATGGAAACGGATGAGGATGAGCACCCGTATAACCCTGGTTATCGCCGTACACCCGATGATGAGGATGACAAGCCTGGTCAGGATGGAACGATGGGCGGCGGTCTCACTGGTACTCTCATCGCTGCTTGAGTTCACTTCTTTCACGTTTTTCTTCTCGGTTGGTTGATATTAGATTTTGGCAAGGTTCCAGGGACTGTTTGGGAAGGAACGATGCAGTCAGGAATGAATAAGACTAGTGAGGAAGAAGTGGACTCAGCCTCATGGTTGAGAACAGACCTTCAAACAATTTATGCAGACTTCAGGCCCAGGAAACAGTCATGAATGTTGCAGACCAAACAGAATCAATAAGAATTGCTGTTTCTTATCATTTCACTCTCTGATATGAACCTCAATAACCCGCTTGAAGGAAGAACACCCATCCAGGTACTGCCATTCCCAAAACGTCAAAGCCACACCTCAACGGTTTCTGTCTCGGAATATCCCGCCTCAGCTCATGGCAACGAAAACAGAATGGACTTGAGAAACTGTGCCGCAGCACGCCAAGAAGACTCTCGTTCTCGCTTGAACGTTCAATCTCACGCGATTGGGCAGCTATTCCGGGAGCCAAGAGTTCTAACGAACCCATGGCGTGTTTTGGGGGTTCAATAATGGTGCTATATTATCAATGGAAAAAAACGACCTTTGCTAACGTGGCAGCCTTGCAAGGATGAGTTCAGATTTCGATCGGTACCTTTTCCGGATTCTGAAAAGTGAGGGGATGGGGTCGCATGGTGAATGTCTCTTGTTAGATTTACAGGATCTTGTCTGACTGTGTATTTTTGCATTATGAGTGATGTTGTTTAATATTAGAAGTGATATAAGATGATTTCCATATTATTAAGTCCTAAGTAGGAATACTCTGACCAGTTATCTGACAACGGCTGATGTCATGTAGAGACACATGATTCATGACTACGGCTTTACTATAACTTAATGTAACATGGGAGACTAACGGGAGACGATCGATGGGGGAAAGAACTCTTAGTTGTAATGTCTCTGCCATCAGCCACGCACGTTGTACAAGAGTCTAAACTGTGGCAAAGTCAAGTATCAACTCACATGATCTCCCAAGAGATCAGCAAAGACAGACCCCAAGGAATACCTTAAGCTCATCCCACTCTTCCCTTGACGGAATGCGCGCCCTCCGAGAGCAACAGACGAGATACGGGATGTAATGGTGCCGTGGATGACAGCTGTCTCTGCCTTGGCACGCAAAAGACTACACCGCCGGGCCCCGAGACGGCCGTCTTAGTCGCTCTATAAGAGGGTAACAAGCACTTTGTGGCCCTCGTCAAGCACCCCGCAATAGTGCCGTGGCTGCTAACAACTTGTGATCGACCATCCGTGACTGCGCAGCACCTTCTCGTTGGCTCAGCTCGACGCCATATGCCCTAACCCAAGGTCATTATGCAGTCAGACTCGACCTTGGATCAGCTGGATCATCGAGGCCTCCATGATACCTCAAAGCCTACAACTACATGAGGACCACGGCCACCGGCAGTTTGTCTCTGGACCTCCTCTGGCTAGGCACATGGACAAGACCATGCCAAGTTGACAGGGCGCGGCCCGTAGTCTTGCCCTTCTCATCCAGCCGCAGCAATATCTTCCGAGGAACCTCTGAACGTTGCCTTAGGGAGTCGACGGGAAGCAAGTGAGGGGGGACCCGGGAGTTGAAGAGGAGGGAGGGGGTCCCGTCTTCCGACAATACCATCCGGCGACCCTTCGCTTAAACTCGTCAATCATTTTTTTTTTCTGCTCTTTTTTTAAACGGCAAGACTCGCCAACCCGTTTGCCCAGACGGGAGCTTTTACACCGCTCTTCACACCATCTTTGGGGCATTGTCTCATCTGGTTTGTACATCACTTCTCGTATTTCCCTCGTCCTTTTTCCCTCCTCTATCTTTCCCGTGTATGCCCTCACTTGCATCCATCACACAAAGACAACTCACAACACTACTCTCAGAGGGAAGAAGATAAAAAAAAAAAAGACTCAAAAACGCAACCCTCTTATCTCACAGACCGGCATGACCAACCTACTCGAAACGGCAAGGCTGGGCCCAACAGATCCCGGCCTCGTGCCGATACCGATGCCGCGCAGATCAATAGATTATGCAGCGTGATATGAACCCGGAAACAGAAAGTGTCACCACCCCCCCAGGAAGCAATATCTCCAAAACTGATAACAGAAAACGAAAGCACATGCACCATGCGACTGCATACACGGGGGAGGGACGGTATAACAACAACAACCTCCTCCCCGCCTCCCACCACCCTTTCCCTCCCCCTCCCCCCCCCCTCCTCCGCGGCTCGTAATCTAAAGGTCCGTCGTCGCACAGGGCCGTCGACTTTCATCTCTGCTGACCCTTCCAAAAATGCCTCGCGAGACATGTTCTCTACAGGGTCGACCCGGGAATTCGGCACCGTAGGGCGTCGGTAATCCGTCGTATTAGCGACGGACGGGTTGGTTGAGAACTAGCTGGTTTGACAAGTGGGCGGGCATGGGCTATGTGCCGTGTTTCCCGGAAGGGGGGGGTCACCCATGGGGATTCTTTCGTTTTTAAAAAAAGACGACATCCGCATGTGTCGCGTTCCCATCTTCATCATCATGATTTATACGTATACGATACTTCCACCTTTGCGATTGTGGACATGGACAGAAAGAGGTGGCTCAAGAAGGGACCGTCATGGCATGGGAGGATAGATGGGCTGGGGGCGCAAGAGACTTTGTCAACATCAAGGGATTGGAGGCGACGACACTGGACTTTTGAGAAAAGATAATGGAATGATGCAAGAGATTCTGGATTTCCACGATTGACGCGACCTCTAAACCGACTTCGATACCCAGAAGGGTGGATGTAGGGAGTGGCGACAGCCACAACACGCTAGAAGCCATCACCATCGATCTCACAGTCGGGAATGTATCCGCTCACACTTCGACACGAGAATTCACAATCAAGGTAAAGAGAAAAAGCGGAATTTGAACTAATAAGTCGAATTTAAGAACAGTTCCGGACATATGTATCGCGCGCATCTATCTTCGACGGCAGTCAATGCCCGTCCAGGTCGATCTCGTCGAAACACATCTGATCGACCGAATTTTTTTTTCTACCAAAAAAATCAAAACCAGGACACCAGCCCATGAGAGACAAAGGAAAAAGAGAAGCAAGGAAGAAGAACTCCGAGGTATTACGTCCGTCGTCATCCGTCTGTTACAACAAACCTGTCGTTTGCACCAATGTACACACCCTCTGGCAAACAACAGGTCTTGTGCGCCCAACGATTCTAAGAAATCCCCATGATTGGAAGGGATGGGGGGGAAAAAAGAGAAAAGGAAAAGATCATGAAAGCATGAGGAGGGGATGAGCTCGGTCGGTCGATGACGAAACGAATAGCCACCGCCACCGCCAAACCGGCCCAGCCAGCCCATTTCGCAGCCGCAAAACCTTGGCTTGTCGACTTTAGTTGCACCACATCTCAACGCGAGTGTCCTTCAGCTGACCGAGAACATCAAAGTTGAGCCCTGTTTGCCGGTAAGCAACGATGACCATGTCGAAGCGCTGCTCCAACGACTTGACGTTCCAGCCCTCGGCGTCGTCCAGACGCGGGATCTGCGGCACCGCCTCCTGCTTGACCAGGGGATCGGCCCAGCAAACATCAACCTTCTCCGACAGGACAAGGCTCTTTGCGAGCTCCAGTCCTGGGGAGTTTGCAAGGTGAGATTGGCCCTTCTTGAAGCCCATGCCCACGACAAGGACGCTGGGTCGCGACTTCTCCGCGCACAGGGTGTCGACAGCGCGCTGGGCGATGGCTGATGGACGAGCGCGCATCGTCTCTGTTGCGTGTTGCAGGAGGGGGAATTTGCTGTTGGAAAGAAGGTAGTATGGGTTGACGGGGATGCAGTGACCGCCGACACCGAGACTGGGAGTGTAAGGCATGTAACCGAAAGGCTTGGTCGCCGCCGCGCTCGACACCTCGTAGGGGTCGACTCCGTGGCCAACGCAGGCGTCGGCCATCTCGTTGGCAAATGCAATGCACATCATGCGCTGGCAGTTCTCGTAGAGCTTGGTCATTTCGGCAACCTCAGGTCGCGACACGGGCACGACGTGGTCGAAAACCTGGGAGTACAGGCGGACAATGGCGTTCAGGGAGCCGGGGACCATGTCGTCCAGGCCGGAAACAATCTTGGGGATGGCAAAGGCGGGAGGCTCGACACGGCCGGGGTCGACGCGCTCGGGAGACATGCCAGCGTAGAAGTGGCGCTCCTTGGCGAGGGGGCCAAGCAGCTCTCTTGTCATGCCGACAGCGACGGAGGACTCAACAACAACCACGGAACCGGCGCGAGCGTATGTTGCGACGTTCTTGAGAGCAGACCTCAGAAATGAAGTGTCGACAGTCTGGTCTGGGCGGAGAAGGGTAGGGACTGAGATGAGGAAGTGTGTAGCCGCTGCCATGTCGCTCGGCTTGCAGGTGAACTTGGCCTTGCTCTCGGGGCCAAAGTCCTCCTCGAGGCTCTTGATGCGAGCTTCAGAGACGTCGAAGCCGAGGACGTTGAACTTGCGGGCGAAGTTGGCGACGAGATGCTCCCCAACGTATCCCACTCCGATGACGGCAACCAGGGGCTCGGCATCAAGATCAATGGAGCTGGCAATAGTGGCCAGCTCCTCATCAGACTCACACTCCTCGGTAGGAGGAGTGACGGGGTAGTAACCATCGTGAGAATACTCCCAAGACTCGGAACCATCCTTGGGGGAGCCGGGGGAGCTGGGAGAGCTGAAGGGGAAAGCCTCACGGGCAGCCGGAGACCGCTCCGGAGTGTCGGGGGTGAGAACTGAAGAGTCCATTGTGATGGTGAGAGGGTATCAAACGAACGATGAGTGGTTGTGTGGCAGAACGAGTGGAGTAAGTAAAGATTGGGAGGAGGGTATTATTGATATCTTAAGAGTCGACTTACACTGCCAAGCAGCTAGGGGACGTAGAGAAGGGAGAGAGGCGCGATGAGTTGGAAGAAAAGAGCCTGATTGAAGGAACGAAGGCGGAAGTTAAATGAATTGCCAACTATGGCACTGACATATAATGATGTACCAGCAAAGAGGAGGAGTAGGAGAAGGAGGAGGAGACAACCCACCCAAGTTGGCCCTGCCTTAGCGTGAGCGTCTCGAAGTCGCCCAGACTCTGGACTGGCGGCAGCCTTTCCTTCAGCCGCCTGCGGAAAGCTTTGAATGAGACATGGACATGGCATCAACCGGGTGCCGCCGGGCCTAATCGGGATCCATGTTTGCACCACGGCAGAAGCATGGACACCGTGGTGGTGATGGCTGCGACTGAGGTTCCAAGCCGGTGGCACGCGGCTGGGACAGCGACGGGGCCGTGGACAGATCAAAGTTGGGACAAAAGACGAGATGATAGTTTCAGGTCCACGCTAGCTCCCGGGCAGACCAGAATTGGAATCAAACAGCCGACCATCAGCAATAGTCTGTCCAGAAGCAGTCCATGGCAAGCGGCGTGAAGGTGGCTGAACGGCGTGAAGGCCCACCCCCAAAGCGCAACCACAACCACCTACCTCACCACCACAGGCGCGCTTCGGCAAGACGACACTGCACGGAGAGGGAAACAATAGCGCAATATGGCATCAGCACAACATGAATGGCAGAATCTCTGCACCGGCTGGAATCCAGAACTGTACCAAAAAGGCCAACTCGAGGTGACTGGGTCGGGTCACTCCATAACAACACCATCCAGCGGGATCGCCAAGCTGGCAAGCCCGGATGCATGAAGCAGGCAAAGACACTCATCTCCCCTGCTTGGTCATATCGTACTTTCGCCGAGGACCTCTCCGACGCTTGATGTCATGCAGAATGCCCTTGTCATTAATTGCTGAGGACTTTTTTTTTTCTTTCTTTCCTTTCCCGTCCCCCTTCCCACTGGGGAAAGGTTGCCTGGCCGGCTGAAGGTGTGGTGGTTTCCTCTGGAACTTTTCGAGGGAATGCGGAGTTTGAACATAACAACCAGCTGCAAAGCCATTATTCAAGGTCGTCAGCTGCGGCCGGGGGTACTGGATCGAGATGACCCGGTAAGGGCCTGGCATTACTACTCTAGGGTAACGTTCGATATCGAGGCCGGTGGAGGTACTTGCTTGGCCACCGGTCTTGGAACCGACGATCACAGTCTGGCCAGCCAGGTGGACTCCGTGTTGGGCGAGAAATTTCACTCAATGGACGTGACGTCTTGGAGGCGTTGAAAGCGTTCTTCGACGGGAAGTCTGCGAGGGTATGGTATGTATCGACAGGGGCGTAAGTTGTGGGAGGGGTGAGAAGCAGTGGGGGACCAGCATAGACCTTGCTTGCGTAGTACGAAGTACCTCTCTGGCTGAGGAAAAGGAGGGCAAAGAGTCCGTCCGTATGCGTAATTCGAGGTTGCGGAAGCTACTGTCTTGGCAGACGAATTCGAAAAAAAAGTTGAATAGAACGTTATGTGTCGAAGCGCAGCAAAAGAAAGGCACCAAAAAAAAAAAACAGGGACTGAAGGGGTTGTAGTGGAACGATTGGCCTGAGAAACGAAACAACGGACGAGGACGAACGGACGTTCGGTCAGCTCCCCACGTAGAAGTAGTGCATATGCACGTGTCATGCATATGCAACACGACGAACAGACATGGGAAAAAAGATGACCCCACCCCCGATCAATGCAAGTCTCAGTCCGTGCGGCGGACCTGCCTCGCAATTGCATTTAATTGCATTTTGTGAAGGGTGGGTTGTATTGCATTGTGGCGGGGTTTCTCCTTGCCCCGTTCTTTCTTTTCTGCTTTTCTGACTACCACCCATTCCCTCTCTTTTTACACCCCCCCTCCTTCATCACCCCTCCTTCATCATCATCCATGTACCTTGTCTGTCCCTGAGCTTTTTTTGGCCGAGAGTCTCTACCCAAGGGTTTCCGGACCGTCCTCCACGATCCCGCCTCCACCCCCATCATTCCGCCATCCACCACATCCACCAAATCCACCAAATCCACTCCGATCAAAAGCCTCCAAGCCACAGTCTCTTACCACCGACCCCTGAGTAGAGCGGCCCTACACGTGGTGGAGATTGGAGCCCATCGACCGGCTGTTTCTGTTTTACGTGTTGCCGTGTTTGTTCACCCTCAAGCCCACTAAGAAATAGCGAAGAAGAAAAGAAACGCCAACCAAACGCTCCTTCATTTGACTCGATTCAGGACCAACGCGAAGACAGTCATGCAAACACGCGGCCTCCCATGACTTCCGCTCCACGCATCACCTTATCATTTCACCCGTCAAGCCACAGTTCCTGCTCAGTTCAGCTGACTCTGGTTGTCAAATGATTTTAGCGGCCAGTAACTGGTTCGAGCAGACGTCGTGCCATGGCGATTCTTTTAAACAAGCAAAGTCGTCGCTCGAAACGGAAAAGAGCGGGCGTCTTGGGTTGCGGGACGGAACGCCGCAGCGACCGGAATAGCATCAACGTATGTTCAGCTGGTTTCATCAGCAGTAGCTTTCCTCGTAACGTACTCAAACACCGAGAAGACAATTTCCCATCTAAAGCTCTTCACCATAGATGGCGAGTATAGCTATTTTTGAATTCGAAAAGGGTATTAGACTCTCCAAGGAACGCGTTTCCCGCTCTTACCACGACTAAACTGCAACATCTGCCGACCTGTCTCGGGCACCACCACGGATACGACGCCACAGACGAGGCACTCTACCGGACTCCTGGCACGGGGACGCGACCAGTCTTCTGAGTCGCAAATCGTCTTTAAAATGCTGCTAGAGCCCAGTTTTGCGCATCTCACAACTTGTCACATCGATAATGGCCTGATTGGTGGGACATTTCAATCTCGTTGTGAACTGGCGAAACAGAGCTTGGGAAATCGGGGCATTTGCACTGGTGTCGTCTACAGACAAATGCGAGATGGCATACAATTTTTAGAAATGCAGAGCAACAGTGCCCGCGCCGAGGACGGGTATTGGGAACCGCAGCCCTGCCAAGTTGGTGCCAAGTTGTGCCAACAATGCAGAGAAAACGAAGTGCATCTCACTCGTTGTATGAGGCCGGGGTGGTTATTGGTCCAGGCTTTTACTGCACCACTTCCACCTCATGACTTGTACTACTTCGGCTTCTGGTAATACGAGAAACTCGAGTCCATGAGGCTGCAGTGGTTTACATGACCCATTCCATTCTGGGAGTTTGTCCAACCCAATATGACCTTAACATCTGACTGGTGTTGTTGAGGAATCGTCACTCGGGCGGAAAAGAACATCCGATTCGCAACCCACCAAAGACGCTGGATTGCGGGGTGAAGGATTGAATGCTGACGCTATGACGGCCATTGAAGCAAAATACTGCTTCGTTTCGAGGGCCGATAAGAAGTTTTCCTTGCCGCCCAGGCTGATTAATCATTCATTGATGTTGAAAGAGAGCTTACCGATCCACCACGGAATGATGCAGCATTGAAGAGGAGAAACAGTGGCTGCGCTATTGTGACACTTGGGATGAGGAGAGTCAGTCAAGCTTAACGGGTTGTTTAACACATGGCCTGGGCAGCGTGTGGCCAGCGCTGCCGGCCGGCGCTTTCATCCTTCAAGTCGATTACCAGATCCTCGGAGCCAGTGAGGGACGGGCACATCCGAGAGACGAAAGCGGTGCAGCCCAAAGCGACAGATTTACGGCTCAGCTTGGTACGTTTACCCAAAGTATCAAGCAATCCTCGGTCTCCCTTAATCGGCAATGATCAATCGCATAGACAAACAAATGAGACAAATGGAACGACAACGGACCCTGGGCTGATTCCTCTAGGTCAATTTCCGTCGACCTCATACATATCCTAGTTCCCTTGGACTTGACGCGGGGCAAAACAAGATAGATTGGGTAAGAATTTGGGAGACCGGACGGGGATTGCGGAGGTGTGTGTACGTACCCTCCTCATAAGCTCCAGGGCTCTAGAACACCCCGGCCCTTCCCGCTAAGCCTGTCCTGGCAACGTTCGGATAATTGAATTGTAATATCAACAAGGATGGACAATTCAGAGCCAGGGGTTCTCGAAAGTTGTCCAGCCGGCCAACAGCCGACTACACCCCTAGGTCCTAGTCTCTGATCTACCTCTAGGTCTTTCCCCTGGTCTTGTTCAAAGCACATCATCAATTAATCATCAGGCCAACATGGGTAGCCGCCGTGGATCTTCGTCGTAGCTGGTTGGCTGGTTGGGAACACTAACAGCCAGCCTGCTCAGCTTCTGCAAATCGGCAGAGGTCCCATTTTGTCTTGTCTCACTCAGCCCATCTGATATTATTGAAAGACTTTTCTTTCTTCTGCTTGTTAGCCTGCCAACGCACACTTGGCCCTGCAGCTGGACTCGTACCCAGCACTACATGCGGATCCCAGCCTTCAGTCGGCCAGGTCAGCATGATGATCGGGAGGATCCTAATATTGAATACTTCTGCAACCCAATGTATGGCCAGGGCATCTCGACCCTGAAAGACTCACGGTCTTGAGACTAAGCATGGTTATGATAGTCCAGTCTGACAACGTCAGCCATATCATGTCACCGAGACCAGCCCCCGGATCCGGATGTACGGCTCCAAGAACGTGGGTTGAACACGCGGTGAGTGGCTGCGAAGCTCGAATGGAGTCTGAATACACAAATTTTAGAGGGGCGGCGCCTCGTATTGCGAAAAGTCGGGGTGGGAGAGGGGGCGCCATGTTTCCTTTCGCAAGTGCCGCCTGTCCCGTCTCGTTCCATCTTCTAGTCTATAATTTGAGATCATACGCACATGGCCAGGGCGCCATCAGACTACCTGCCAAGTGCGCCGCCGAGTCAGCTAGTTTTCCTTTACTCTACCTTTCTTGGCCATCCTGAAGTGCTGGATTCGAAGTCCGCGTGCTTGGCAGGACCAGAGCGGAAATATCAAACATTGCAGCGTGGTGCTCGAAAGTCGACTATTGCCTTGACGCGTCTCTTGTAAATACCGCTCCTCGCTGTATTTAAATTTGCCCCGGACTTTCGCTACTCATACCGCTCGCAGTGTCGATCTACCCGAATCATACCCTCTTTGCATCACCAACTGCCTCATACTCTCTAGCTATGCATGCGCTACTGTCTCTCCTCCTCTCGGGGGCCGCCATGGCCGCCACTGTCGACAACCCGCTGAGGAAGCGCGCCGAATGCGGGCCAGGAATTGGGTCTTGCGCTCCGGGCTCATGTTGTAGTGAGGCCGGTTGGTGTGGAAAGACGGCAGAATTCTGCGGCGGCTCGCAGTGCCAGCTCGAATACAGCGATTCTTGCGACACCTTGTAAGGGCTCCCGACGTCTGTGTCGGCGTCATACAGATGCTGCACCATGCTAACATGGCCTTGATAGTTTTCCACCCCCGGGCGCTAGCACGGAGAGCATCCCCCGTCCCGCCCTAGGATCTGTGCCTTATGGTGTGTTCATCTACTCATGCATCATCGGATAGACCCTAACTTGCATGGAATCTAGGCTCAATCATCACGACTTGTGCCAATCCGGGCTCCATCGCACTCACTTTTGACGATGGCCCTTACATCTACACCTCCCAGCTTCTCGACATTCTCGAAGCCCAGAATGTCAAGGCCACTTTCTTCGTCGCCGGCAACAACAAGGGCAAGAAGCGTATGGACGACCCCGCTACACCATGGCCGGCTATTATGCGTCGCATGCACTCCCTCGGCCATCACATCGCCAGCCATACCTGGACCCACCGCAACCTCAACCTGGTCAACAACACCATCTTGAGGACTGAGATGATCTACAATGAAATGGCGTTCCGGAACCTGTTTGGTTGGGTGCCGACTTACATGCGCCCGCCTTACCTGGAGTGTCACGCCGCCTCTGGTTGTCTAGGCCTGATGAAGACGCTCGGCTATCATGTTATCAATGTCAACATCGACACAAAGGACTACATGTACGATACGCCTGCCTTGATCCAGACTGCCAAGGATCGCTTCTCCAGTGGCATCTCGACAAACGCGGCAGCAAACAGCTACATCGAGCTGTCTCATGATGTCCACTATCAGACCGTGGTCAACCTGACCCAGTTCATGATTGACACTGCCAAGGCTCGTGGCTACCGTCTTGTGACTGTTGGCGAGTGTCTCAACGACCCCAAGGAGAACTGGTACCGCCCTGCCGGCGGAGCTCTTACAACGTCAACCGCGCCGTCCAGCACGTCCGCTCGCGCCTCTTCATCGTCGGTGGCGCCTGCTGTATCATCATCCAGGCCTGTAGTGACCTCTGTCTCTTCCGTCCGTACCACTTCATCTCGGGTGTCGAGCTCGACAGTCGCTGTGCCTACAGCCCCAGTGTCCAAGGATCAGACCTGCGGTGGTGCCAATGGCTATACATGTCTCAACTCTGTGTTCGGAAACTGCTGTTCGTACTACGGATTCTGGTAAGATATACAACGTTGTCATGCAATTTAAGAAATGCGGCTGACAATTTGTTCTCAATTCTAGTGGTTCTAGCATGACTTACTGTGGCACTGGTTGCCAATCTGGCTTCGGTTCCTGCGCGCCACCATCAGAGGCTGTCACCGACACTACTAACGGCCTTTGTGGCAAGACGTACAACGCCACGTGCAAGAACTACGGCACAAAGACTTGTTGCTCTCAGTACGGATACTGGTAAGTTTTTCTTTTCAGCCACGAGTGCCTCCTATCTCGGGCATAACCCGTACTGACACGATGTGACCAGCGGCAATTCCGCCACCCATTGCGGGACTGGCTGCCAGCCGCTTTTCGGCACCTGCACATGATCGGGCTGTGTATGTAATGCAGCATATTGCTGCAGCCTGCACCTCGCGTGAAGCTGGCCGCTATTCTGATACAGCGCCGATCCCCGGGAATCACACTCTATTCTCGAGAGATCTGTACAAACCATTTCTTGTGGGACCTGTCACAAGGAATGACAACGAACATGAGGGGGCAAAAAAAAAAAAAAACAATAACAACAAGAACCTGGATTAATTATGGTTTCTTTTTCTCCGGGCAGGCGGGCCCAGGGACCGTCGGAATTGCAGCCTGCGACTGTCTACTTTGTAATTGACAGGCGGTGGGCACGCACTTAACGCACTGCGACCTATCTGATGCCCACCACGATGATTCTACGGCCGGAAGCTGGGTAATATTTGGATCAAGCATGGATGTGTTACAGCAAAGGCGTTGAAAAAAATTGCTTAATAGTAAAACATAATCGAGAACCATTATGTCTCAATTTTCCTTTACGACATTTCAACGGTTGATCTCGTGCGAATGCTTGTCTATGTCTCTAATCCTCCCCCCGCCTTCCTTAGCTAGACATAGGTCCGAGCCCTCAATGTCTTTGGGTAGCAGGCCGCTGCAACGGCTTTATTCTTCGTGGCAACCTTCCATTTACGATGAAGTCTGAGACGTCCTGTGCGTGGCATCGGGAAAAACGCAATTGTCGTGGGTTTCGGTGGTGATGATGGCAGAACTGATTTGCCATGCCACGGTGACACCACGGCGATACCACGGCGGTAGGACATAGCCCGAGCCTCGGAGTTTATCGCTCCTCATAGGAGAGAAAACACACATTTCGATATTTCGCTGCACGACTACGTAAGACGAGGTTTTGCCGAGACTTTTACCGATCCTTTAATGAATAGAAAGTGCATCTCACCCCCCTCGTGCCAAGGCACGGTAGGTATGTCTTCCCAAGAGTTTACCCGAGTGAGCTTGCTGACGTGGGCCATTCAATGGCATCGGGCATGGCATGCGCAGTCAGCAACGAAGCGACGAACGCCAAAAGCTTCGCCCACATTCCCGATGGCGAACATTTTACTAGAAAGGGAGAAGTAGCGAGATGTGGAAGAGGAGCAGCTGTCCGTGCTTTGGACATGGCTGTGTGCTACGGTCGAGACTTTTTTTTCTTTTTTTTTTTTTTTTTTTACCGCCCAGGTGTCATCCCAACGACCAGGGTCTCCGCGCGGACTCTCGGTCCCATTGTATTGAGTCATAAACATCAAATGTTTATTTAGATTGTTTTTCGTCTGTTGTTTGTAGACACAGACTTGCAAACAACAGACGACGTTTTCTCCGCTTCACTGATTGCACGGATGGATAGACGGCGCCAGGCCGTGCCGTGGCGCTCTAATCGACCGCCCAGCCTGACGGGACGTTCAGCTGCAGGCTAGTGTCCTCGGGCAAATTGGCAGCTCATTTTATTTTTGGGATTATACTAGCAGCATAGCTTGCGTGATAGAACGATCTGTCATTCGATTCTATGGGTGGTCCGGGATTGCGATGTGCACGCAAGCCGGAACCAAAGCAATCCCGAGCTGGGTCATGTTGTTGGGATGGTGGAAAATGGGGGCGAAAAAAGGACATGCCGTACGGTAGCATTTCGTGGGGGAATAAAAGGAAAATAAAGTAAAAAATCGATAGTGCCTCAATCAGCCGACGGCAGCAGTGAATACCGTAGTTAGGCAGTCATGAGGCGGAGAGCTTTGAGCGAGGCGTTTTGGGCGACCAAGGATGGGGGAATAGATAGGTACGCTGCATATGCGAAAGGCATTATTGAGGTGACTTTGTGCCTCCCAGGCGACCATGCGGATTGCTTCCCTAGCGCCCTTAATCTTTTTTACACTCTCAGCTTACCTTAACCTCGACGTCGTTCTTTGGAGGAATCCTCGAATCAACTCCCCGGTTCTCGAGATGCCAAGCTTGCGTAACCTTGAAAAACAAGGCCAGGGGGGCTACTGCAGGAACTGGGATGCCGCGTGCTTAGCGCCGCGCCAACCTCTCATCGGGGGGTCTAAAGTGGATCCGCTTCCGCCGCCACCGTCAGACCCACCACCTCCGACACCCCGCCGGGCCCCGATGCGCATACTATCGGGGTAAACGGTTATATGCATAGTGAGGAAATTCCATCATCGGGGATTTAGACGGTTAGGCAGGAAGGAAGCTAAGGGGCGTGTGCATTTTCTCCCGTCCCACGTCCCCCCCTCCCTCCTCCCCCAGTCACCACCATCTCCACACCCGCATCTTCCTCCTTCACACACCACAACCCACCACACCAAACCAAACCAAACCACACCACACACACACACTCCCCCTCCATTCATCTCTGCCCTGTCCTACCTACACTACACACAGTAGTACTATGCTCACTTCTTACATGCAAGCCACTTCCGCATCTCGTTTCTGCCCCGCCCTCCAGCTGTCGTCCGCCCTCTCACAGAACACATGCAATCTGCATCATCCAGCATCGACTCATGTATTCCCTTTTCGGCTGAACAGCTGGGATTGAAGCCCATGATGCGACTCCTTCTCTAGCCTCCGTCCACGAACCATGGCACATCCACAGATGGTGTGATGATGCATCGACGCCACTATTTCTTTTTTTTTTTTTTCTTGCGCAGCTAGGCTACCCAGAGAGGAGAAGAGTGCTACCATGATTGCACAAACTCTGCACGTCCCGCTGGTCTGGCTTGGCATACCGGGACCCCCTCCCCCTTTCATCTGGACGGGCACAGGACGGCTTCTACTTTGGAAAACTCTTTGTTGCCCCTCCCAGTTTCTATTAACTAGGGGCTACCAATTACCACAAAAGAAAGCGTTTAGTAGCCGCGAGTTCCCAAAACAGGCGCGAAGATGCGAAATGGGATACCACTGAAAAGAAGGGTCCTCTTGGCATATTTGGTCCTCCTATGCTATGGTTATTCTTTCTTTTGGCCTGGGTAATTTGCCACGGTAATACTAGACAGCTGTTAATGGGCCTGATATTGCCTTGGGAAGGATGAGGCAGCAGGGTCCTAATCCGAGTCGAGTCCGAGTCGAGTCGAGGCGAGCGTCGATACCAAGCCAACGCAACCAATCCCGTTTGTCATCCAGTCTCATCCTGTCGTCCGAAGTGCCTTGCAGACAGACAAGAACCACGGGCGCAGCATTGGCAGCATTGGTTCGCTCACACAGATGTTAGACAGCACTGCCTTACATGCCAGGACCATGTACGATGCGGACGACGTTGTTCGTCCGGCCTTTTCGGTCAGCATCCGCGTACGGAGGGAGCTAGAGGCAAACGCAGACACACACACCACCTACATGCGACTCACCACAGCGTGTGCCTGAATGACGGCGTCGGTGGCGGTGGTGGACCTGCCTTACCCTGTGTTTCTGTTGTGCTCAGAGGCCGTCCGCCTCCTCACCGGGAGCCCAGAAATCAAGCTTACTTGCGTGTGGAGGCCATCCATCTGCATGGACAGGCACTGTACAACCTTTTCGCCTGTGCCCATTCTTGCAGCTCGCGAGTCCATAAACACGGGCTTGGCAGGCCGGGGTTGATCTGATCTGATTCGATTCATACTTTTTTTGCTGCCAGCAACCCATGAGATGCCAACCTCTGCTTACTTCTTTGTACTCGAACTGGTTCCCGCCCCCGATCCAGGAGGTTTTCCTGCAAAAGGGTTGGTGGTTTTGTCTCTGGATGAAGTGGTATTGTCTCTAAACGACAGCACTCTTCCCCCCCCCCCCCCCCAGAACCCCCCTACCCCCAAGGACAAAAAATAAAAATAAAATAAAAAACCTCAATCCAGGTCATGCCCAGCCATCAAACGTTTCGTCGAATAGCATCCATCTGCGGCTCTTCTGTTTCATTCGCATCCAGCTGGGGTTATCGAAGCGAAGATCACCCGCGAACACGGGGGCCAAGACAAGGACTTTGTGTGGCCTATGCTGTGGGACCCCCCGCCCAACCCACGTTCGCGCCCAAAATATCTCTCATGGCTGCACGCTGGCTGCACTTCACAACCTCAACCAGCGGTGTCCTGAAGTTGAAACTGACGTGTATATTGGACAGGGGGTCAGCGGAGCTTGACCGCGCTAAGATTTAGGGCCGGATCCTCACCAATCGCTCACCCACCCCCAGCACAAACGACACCGTTCTCCTTGTCTTGCTTAGCGAGCGGCTCCCGTCTTGGGTGTAGCACTAACTTGGAGTGCCTATTTTTTGAGAGGTGTGTGTGTTCGTGTGTGTGCCTGTGCGGCAGTGTTGTTTCTTTTTGCGCCAAATTTGCTGCTTTTGCTGTGTTTTCTGTTTTCCACACCATGCCGATGTTGTCGTTGGCCGACGCCACACAATTCCTCGGACGAGGCCGATCCCCTTTCGGGACATTTTTGGTGTGTGAAATGGTCCTTCTCAATATTACACACACAATGCATAGTGACATAGTCACAACTGGCCGAGTCCTAGTCGCCGCCTGCTGGCGATCATGGCGGTTCTCGGATTCAAGCGAATCTGCCGGGCAAAATTCAGCGGCGGCAAGCAATTGCGAGTAACCAAACAGTCGACAACCACGCAGGCGGATGATACGAGCTCGAGCCAAGATGACCGGTGCCGAACCAGGGGGCGTACCGAGTGAACCGTCAAACCAGACGTACCGTTGCTTCTCCATCCAACCATCCACCTGCAGCCGCCATGCTGTTGAATTCTTTTTTTTCCCACCCTTCTGGGACCAGGATATGTTATGGTACGGCTGTCTCATCTCCACCACCCAACCACACGTTTGGTGGGAAACGTCTTTGGATGGCCGGTTTTGCTCATACTAACCCAAAGGCGTTTGATGTACCTCGTGGCCGAACCATGTCCAGGTGGGCATGATAGAATCAGGTTGCTTCCATGCTCGTTGGCCTCCTGCTTGCCATCTTGCCCAGCTGACGCTAGATGCGGCATCATTGTCGCCATGCCCGCTTGCCAGCCCGAATTGTTAATTCGGGCCAGGCTAGAACTGCTGCAATCAAGCAATAGTCCGAATTGCGAGACATCACTACACGTCGTTCAGAGAGAGAGAGCGAGTCAATGTCAGACCAAGGTCCCCCCATCTTACGGAAGGACCCTAGGCGGTCCATGCCCACACCCACCCCTGGTCGTGAAGCTGGCTGCCACTACTCTCTACCTGAGCCTGAGCTGTGCTTTGATTCTGGAGAACCCAGAAAGCTGGACGGGTCAACCGCCTCGTGAGGCTAGCCCGAGTCGAGGAGTCTAGGTCCGGCGTGCTGAATGCTACCCTCTTTTTACCCATGCCGGCCCTCTTTTTCTACCCTGCCATCCCATCCGCATGAATATAGATTCCCTTCCACTTCACACCTTTCGCTTCTGTTCTTCACTTCGGCAAGAACTTCTTTCTGTTGTCTCCGGCAGTCATCACACTCGTTTTTGTCGTTGGCCCCCAACCAGGATCTTGATTTGATCCTTGACTTCCCCCACCCCGTCTGTCGACAATTGCTCTTATTCCGGCCTGCTTGAAAGTCACCTACTCTTCTCTCGCCGTCTTCCTTCGACGCTCCCCTTCCTCCTCTTCTTCTTCCTTATCCGCATACTCGAGCAAGCATCACCATGCGGACCACACCTTCTCCTCCCATCCCCCCACCGCCTGCCATGATGGAGGCTGGCCGTATGGCTCCTACCTCTGGGCACTCTACACCAGCTCGTAGCCAGCGTAGCCTGTCTATCCCCAGGCCTTTCAACCCTTCGAGAGTCCAGTCCCAGGGATCGGTATGTTGATATAAGCTTGTGCTCGATATGATTCAAAATCGCTGACTCGAACAGTCCGTGGTTGGTTTTACCACCGATGACCTGCCCTTTGGCCAACGCACTCCCCGTTACCAGTCATGGCAGTCCCGCGGCGGCGAGTCCGCTGCTTCTTTCGTATCGTCCGTCCAGCAAGAGGAGGCCAAGCTTAGATGGGACTCTGACGCAGAGCTCAAGCTCGTGTCCAAATCGCTTCTGTGCTTACAGAAGTGGTGCCTGCTCATCGGCCTGCTCTGCATCAATGCCGCTCTGATCTACGTGTCGTTCACGTACCACGTCGCCCACTACTTTTTCATGGTCCTGCTCAGCTCCAACACGGTCCTCCAGTTCATTATGATTGTCTTCATCGTCGGTCACTTCCTCTTCAAGTCCATCTTTTTCTGCTTCCGCCGCAAGGAGAAGGTGCCCGAGACCCCGGAGCGCATGGTTCTGCTTCTGCCGTGCTACAACGAGACGTATGAGGAGCTTACTCGCTCGCTCGACTCCCTCGTTGCCCAAAAGAACATTGACGACCACCCTCGCATGATCTTCATCGTCGTCGACGGCAACGTCAAGGGCCCCGGCATGGAGAAGACTACTCAAGAGTACCTCCTCCAGGATATCCTCGAACCCGGCCCAACCCGTTTCTTTGAGAACGGCTACCGTGCCCGTGACGGTCTCTTCATGCCCACCAAGATCCAGACCGGCTACTACAAGGGCCTGCCTTACCTTTTCGTCGGCAAGCGCTACAACCAGGGTAAGCGCGACAGTTTGTGCTTTGCCCGTTCTTTCCTGTACCACTTCCACAAGCGCTCCGTCAACGTCATGACCATGTTTAACAACGACCTCTTTGAGCACGTGGGCAACGCTTTCGTTTCCCAGGGCCTGGAGAACATCGAATACCTCGTTGGTATGGATGCCGATACCGTCTTTGACGAATACTGCATCTGGGAGATGTTGAGGGAGATCCGCAAGAACCCCAAACTCGTCGGTGTCTGTGGCCACGTCTGTGTCGATTACGATGGCAAGAACTGGGGTCTCTGGTCGCTGTACCAGTCCGTCGAGTACTCCCAAACCCAAGGTCTCCGCCGCATGTTCCAGTCTCGTATTACCGGCAAGGTTAACTGTCTCCCTGGATGTTGCCAGCTGATCAAGATTGACGAGGCGACGTTTGGTGATGAGGTCCTCCGTGAGCGCTTCGGATACTGCCCCAAGCCCAACGATCTCATGACGCAGCACATCATGGGTAACTACTCCGAGGACTCCATTCACGCCAGTATCATCTTCTCGCTCTTCCCTCAACGTCAGACTGCCCAGGCTCTTCGCGCCAAGGCATTCACCATCGTTCCCCAAAACTGGACCGTCTTCCTGTCGCAGCGCAAGCGCTGGGCCCTTGGATCCATCTCTAACGAGTTCGTCATGATCTTCCGCCCCGGTATCATCCCCATCGAGCGTCTCCAGTCCATCATCGCTGTCCTTACCTGGTTCATCACTCCTTTCATTATGGCCGCCGTCGTTGCTCTGATCATCATCTTCATTCGCCGTGGCGACGAGTTGGTTCGTGATCCCGTCTTCATGGGTCTCTTCGGTCTCCTCTTGGTTCGATATGTAAGTTTCCCCTTTCATGAAATCCTCCCTGGCGCGTGGCGTTGGTGTAATCGAAACATGGCTGACGATGTCGCAGATCTACTCTTTCTGCATCGGCTTCTGGCTGCCGAGAAACACGCTCGAGCGCATGCAGTACTTTATCGGATACTTTTTCCACCTCTGCACCTCGCCCTTCCTCAACATGATTATTCTCGGATACTCTCTGGTTTACTCGGATGACTTCAAGTGGGGTAAGACTCGAGAGGTCATCAAGGGCGACGACGAGAAGGCCGACGCTGAGGGCGGTCGCGGTACCCATTAAATTGGGGATGCTCGTGGCAAGGCTCGGAACGAGCGACAACACAAAAGCATGACGGGGGCTGGCTGAGTCCAGCTCACTGCGGAGCCCCACCACCCTTTGGATTGCGTTAAGGATCCAACAGGATCGCGTCCTCTCACACCTCATTACAGAGACAAGTTTGCTGTCTAGTGTTTTTCTTTTGCATTTCTTATCATTTTACTCGTCAAAATCATTTACGTGGCGTTTTTTATTATTTATTACAACCCGATTGTAGGGCTGAAAATGGGAACAATAGACTCGTCGATCCAGACGACCGGGAAGGGTGAGACATGGTTTTATGATTGGAGGATACCGGAGGAGAACCAACGAAAGAGTTACCAAAAAAAAGGGAGTCAAATATCATTCATGATGACTATTGACGCATCTTGGGAGGGATGATTAGCATACGGGCCACCTGAAAAAGGCAAAGGATACGCGCACAGAAAACCACCACCGACATCATCACATACGCTGGAGAGTTCGTACATAGCGGAGGACCTCTGTACAGATGGACGGAACAGGACGGACGGGTGATGAGGGCTTGCGCTCTGGCAGGGCCCTTGATCTTTTTCGATTCTTTCCCACTTTCGATTCTTTCTCCATATTTCCGACTTGACGAGTCCGTCTTGTCGAAATCTTTATCAATATTTCGGGTCATTCCTTTTTTATTTTATTCTCTCTTCTCTTTTCTTTATCTTTAAATGTAATGTTTTAAAGTCTGGTGGCTCCATGAATGATTTACGAGGCATAGATACCTTTCTCCTCAAGTATCCGTACAAAAATGAAACTCATAAAACCCAAACTAGTTTGATGTAATTTCTCCGTCGTCGTTTACGGGTATGTGTGTATATGCACATTATGTTATCCGAAGCGAAAACATGTACCATCAAAATGAGGCTTTTTTTTTCTCCTTTCGTGGCAATAGTTGTGGTGGTGGTAGCACTCTCCATGCCGACGGCAGGATGGCGCCTTGAGCGGCGGCCACACCTTAATCTCTTGGCTGACCAGCACATCTCTTCCCAGATGCGCAAATTATGGCGATAATCGCATGAAGTCGCTCAAAAAAGGTAGAACGTGGCGTCGACGAAGTAGCTGACTTCAATAGTGCCACATTTTCCCACCCTTCAAAGTTGCCGCAGCTCTGTTGAAAGTGTAATGATTTTTTTTTTTTTTTTGATTACGCGTACGCCGACGTCTTCTCGTCCGTGCATCCAGACACGCTTCTCTGATTAGACCAATTTACTCTGTTCATCTCGGGCCGTTCTAGATTCAAATTAAAAAAAGGAAGCTTTCCTTCCGCTGTGTTTTTATTTATTTATCTATTTATTTGTTCGTCTTTACCCCGTCCTCTCCTCCACACCCGTTTGGCCGTAGTCAAACGCCCGTGTTGTGGGGGGCACGGTCATCGCCAAGTCTTCCCGTCTCGCGCAAGGACGGCGCCGTCAGGAGGATTAGATAGTTTAGTTCCCGTCCGCCTTTGCACATATCAAACGCAGAATAGGCGCGAGAAGAAAACCGTGGTGAGTGATCCATCGTCAAACGACTCAAATTTCCACATGGGTTTCTTGGCAAGTCCCGGCATCCCGCTAGAAAAAAAGGAGATCCGAGACAGTTCGTTCTTTTTTTTGTGGGGCCATCTTCCACGCGCCGGTCGCCGATGAGGCTTCCGGTGGACCGGGGAGGAAAAACACTACGTTTTGCTTGACTACCAACTAGAAATGCTTGAATCGCGGCTCTGTCTGTCTTAGTCTTTCTGAAGCCGCGATTTGTTTCTTGACTCAAAAAATATGCAGGCCCCCGCCCACAGTCTCACCGAAGCTGAATCAGCGGTTAGAAAAAAAAAAATGGACATGATAGATCTGAGTCGACAGCTCCAACGGTAGGATTGTCTTGACTGATCGAACCACATGGGTATTTTTTTTTTTTTTAACTTTGCCCAGTGTACGATTTGCTCCAGTGGAGACGGGCACGAAAATTCAATCTGAACAGCGTCGAGTGAGGCCCACCTGGGGAAGTGATCCGGACAAGGGGGGACCCGTCACTCCCGCTATCCACCCGCAACATGCCCCTCAGAACTGTCGATCTCTCTCCCCGTCTCTGTATCCGTATTTTGTGACGAGAAAGCATCCACAGAAAGTCTCCATCTAGAAGTGGAGGAAAGTAGACGTGGGTTGAGGCCCAGTTCAGCACATACACGTATACTATGTTCTCATTTTCTGGCGGGGTAGATGACGGGGGTGGGAAGGAAAAAGACCATACGTCCGTAGGCATCCGTCGTCCAGACCCGGTTCGGCTGTCCTTATCCACGCCATTCTGGCCCGATTCCTCCATGATGGTCAATTCCAGTTGTTGGCTCAATTTCACTGGCAAATTTGGTTTCCTTTTCTTTTCCCTCCGCCAGATACGATCAATCCTGGCGATACCAGCCGCCGTCGACGACTGTCGCAATGTCTTTCCGTTTTGCTTTACCCCTCATCTCATTCGTATTCCAGCCACCAATCTGATCTGTTCGGTGGCCGGTACGATGTCTTACACATGGGACGGCTCATCGGTTGTCTTGAACTCTGCCATCACAAACACACGACTGGGATATGACTAAACTTGACAAGCATTACAAAAAAAAAAAAAAAAAAAAAAAAGGGCTGGACGTGTTGCAGCCTGCCCAGCATGCGTGTGTACTCAGAAACCCTGTGCTTCCCGCCATCATCGTCACAACACACCCCCCTCCTCAGCCTCTTGGCACCAGCCTCAATATCGAGTACAAACTGCCGGGCAGGGAGGAGTCAGAGTAACACAGAAAAAGGTTTTTCTATCTCCTCCTCCTTCTCCCCTGTCCTTCCTATTATCCATGCGTGCATATAATCCTGGTCAGCATCTTTTTCTTTTTTTTTCCCTTCCCGCACGCCCTCCTCTACGGCTTACCACCGAATACGGCGACCTGCGACGTACATCGAAGCTGTGCCGCAAGAAAGCATGAGGTGTATGCTGTACAAAAAGGGAATTGAAGCGAGAGAAAATGAGAATACCCGTGGCCGCGGCAACAGGGCGAACCCAGCCAGGCTGACGGACGGGTACCGGGCCCGGAGTAAAGGCTGTTCTTCCTGAATAAGGCAGCTCACGGGTAAATGTTCACGGAGCCGAGTATTTCGTGATCCGAAAGCAACGTGGTGAGATTGATTGATTACTGTGCAACCTCTCTCTCGCGCCCGCTCTCAACAACCCACTCACCGTTACGAGTATCCCGATGGCAACGTGGGATAGAGGGATCTGAACCTTGCTTCTTTAACTTTTGTCTGAGAAACAACCTCCTCGTGCTCCTCCACCCCGTTGGCCAGTGTCTCGAGCCTGGCCGAGCCCGTGTCTGCACGAAAAACTGGGGCGTACGCTCCTAAACCACGACCGCAAGTTTAGCGGCCGACGTTGCTGTCAATCGGGCATCGGGGTCTTTTTTGCCGGCATCATAAGTGGCTAACTATAGGGCGAATTCATCAAGCATCTCATTGAGGTATACTCATCCCACCGTAAGAGTCACATCAGGGGGGGGAAGGGAGGGAACCGTGAGCAGACCAAGGAACCTCTGACCTGCCGAGCCGCGCGCGAGCACAGGGCAAAATTGCAACGTGAACGGTTGTTTTCCCATGGTGAGAGACTGTCCAGGGGTGCGCTCAGTTAACAGTTTCGACTAAGGGTAAGATTGATTCACTTTTTACCAGAGAGGGCAAAAACAACCACCCCCTTCCGGGCAGGAGCCCTCGCAGGTTCCATCGGCCGTTTGAGTATCCTTCAGCAAAAACATGCACTGGGAAGCGCACGGGGCAATGATGAGAGAAGATGCAATCGTATGCCTGCATCCGGTATTCCCAGCGGCACCTGGACGCACACACACACACACCGAGTACTGCCAAGCCAATAATTCGGCAGGTTAGGGGGCGTTTTCCTGGGACGTGGCAGACGCGCAGCGTGTAGCTTGACCTTTCGGTAGAACGTTTAAGGAGGGGGTGGTCTCATCTCGTGGCCGGGGTTAAGGCCGGGGGTAGTTATCGGGGAGGTAGTCGGCAAACGAGGTTCACCTCCGATAACTTCAATTGTCGCATATCCCTTTATGCATTCATTCATCTTCTCCTAAGCAGGGGGGACCACCTCCCTCTCAACCCTCCCCCGGCTCTCCGCCCCCGGCTCGCTGCCCCGTCGAATTCGCTTCTCACTCATCCGCCTTCTATTCACCTTGTCTTCTTACCACGCTTATTTCTCTAACTAAACCAACTGCAGGAATACGAATGCATCTCATAATCCACACTAACATCCTTCCATCTCACCCACATGAGAGAAAAACAGCCGGGCACGCTCGAAAGAGAGGGGCCCGTCTCCATCTTCAACTTGGCCCAGGCTCCGCCCCATCGCACCAACAATCGCAGTGTGACAGGGCAACCGTGATAGTGTACTACAGTAGGGGCCCAGCAAAGGATTCCCAGACCATCATACCACCGTCTTTCGGGGCATTGCCCGGCGACCGATCTGCAAAGCACGTTGCTGCCGGGGGGCCTAGCACCTGGTAACGCACCGGCATCAACGAAGCCTTGTCGTCTCAACCTCTTTCTCGTTTTCTCTTATTACACATTCTTGCTTTTCACACACTTCTCATCCGTATCGATCGATGTTTTGCTCAATGGACCCACCGCAGCTTACTTGGGCGCTTGGAATTCCGCCCAGGCTTACAAGCAGTAGCACGTACTGCGATGATGGCCCCGTTGTGCAGCACCCAAGCTGTCAGACGGGCAATAGAACCATGTATAGGATCGATAATCTCTGCCACATGCCGCCGCATTTCCAGGTTGGCCAGTCATCAGAGGACTCGGCCTAGTGGCTGTAGTCGGCATCGTACCTGGCATCGCCTGGAGCCTTTGGAACTGGGCCTTCCGGTGCCGGTGGCGTCCTGAATGCGTGCCGCACTTCAGCCAGGCTCATGGCCATTTGCTGTGTCGTTCAGGAACTGATCCAGATGTTCTGCACTAGAAACGTTTTTGTCATTGTTTCTTTTCATTTGCTACGTTTCTTTTCCCTCGTTCGTCCTTCGTATTCCAAGGAAGAAAAAGGACGCACTTAAAATAGCCATTTCTATCCAGCCAGATCCGCCTGGCCAACCAGAGCCACTCATGACCAGGAACCTCCGCCCTGAGCTGCCCCTTGTGACCCTGGAGCAGGCTCTACGGTACAAGCATCATGCACCCACACAGAGATCAACGTCCAAGTACTATGCGTCAGTTTTTTTTTTTTTTTTTTTTTCCCTCCCTCTCCTTCTTCCCCCCTCTGCGCTGACCTGCCCGTTCCCCATCCAAGCTGGAGCCCAGCGTATTGGGCTGCAGCATGCTGCAGCCGGCTACAGGTTGCCTGGCCAGGGTAGTATTTTCAGCTCAGAAACTGCGCACTCACCCGACGCCGTTGTCTTAACCGATGAGATGACCTTTTTTGTTCGTACCGTTATATAACGCAGTTTCCGGTCCCGTGGTGGCCTGAATCGGTTTTTACAGCTCTACCGGTTCATGGTGTAAGTGGTCGTTGCCAAGAGCAGATTTTCGTTAAATCCTCAGCTGCTTTTGTGTATATTGCTTCATTTGGCTTGGCCTAGTTCTTCAGTGAACCCCGCCTCGCCATAGTCCATTCGTTAAGAGTTGTTAATTTTTACCTACGGGATAACTGTTCGTTACGTCCACCCGGATATTCCTTCGTTCTTTGCATTCATCCACGATGCACTTCACTACTCTGGCTATCGCGGCCGGTCTCGGTCTGGCAGCTGCCCACGGTGGCGATGGAGTGCCTCTCCCTAACATCATGGCCGGAAGACGTGCCTTGCAGGAGTTCACCTCGGCCCGTCGCCAGGTGCAGCGCCGCGCGGCCCATGTCGAGCCTGTCCATGAGGCCTCGGAGCTGGAGAAGCGCCAGTCCGTTGGTCGTTGTGGCCCCAACTTCAACAATCAGGTCTGCGACGCAGGCTACTGCTGTTCAAGTGCTGGGTAAGTCGTATCAAAACCTCGGATCTCAGATTTGAAATCTAAACATGGCAACAGATGGTGTGGCCAAGGATACTTGTATTGCTCTGCGCCGTCGTGCATGATTGAGTACGGCCCGGCCTGCGACGCAAACATCCGCCCTAACGGGCCGGACACGGCCAACATCCCCCGTCCAAAGGTTGGCTCCGTGGCTTACGGCTCGGCCATCTATCACTGTGAGAAATATGGTGACATTGCTCTCACATTTGACGACGGTCCTTACATCTACACTGAGGACCTGTTGAATAAGCTCAAGGTATGACGGCGCGCATGATGTTACATGAGCTTGACTAACCGTCTCACAGGCCTACAATGCGAAGGCTACTTTCTACATCACTGGAAACAACCTGGGCAAGGGCAAGATCAACGACCCCACCACTGCCTGGCCTGGTCTCATTCGAGTGAGTTCAGTCTCAGTCCCTTCATCCAATCTAAATAGCTAACCGAATCACAATAGCGCATGATTGCCGAAGGCCACCAGATTGCCAGCCACACGTGGTCTCATCAGAGACTCACTACCGTCAGCGCGGAGAAGTTCCGCAACCAAATGATCTACAATGAGATCGCATTCGCCGACCTGCTGGGCTACTTCCCGACCTACATGAGGTATGTTATATGTTAAACATAACTGCTTCGCAGCTTAAACAAGTTGCATGACTGACAACTGCAGACCTCCCTACTCCGCTTGTGATGCCACCTGCGAGGGATACCTCAACGACCTCGGCTATCACATTACCTACTTCAACCTCGACACCGAGGGATACCTCCAAGACAGCCCCGAGCTCATCCAGATATCCAAGGACATCTGGGACAGCAAGGTGGAGGGTAAAAGCCCCGCCAACAACAAGTGGCTCCACATCGAGCACGACCCAGTCTACCAGACCGTCTACAACCTGACAGACTACATGCTCGAGTCTCTCTTCCGCAACGGTTTCAAGTCCGTCACTGTCGGCGACTGCCTCAACGACCCCAAGGAGAACTGGTACCGCCAGGTCGGCAACGTCCCCCCCAGCAGCAGCAGTAGCAGCAGCAGTACAACTTCCCGCGCCACTGCCACCTCTTCCACCTCCCGCGCTGCCACTCCCTCGGGAACTCTCACCCCCTCCAAGGACGGCCGCTGCGGCCCCAACTTTGGCTTCACAACCTGCATCAGCGAGCCCGGAGCCACCTGCTGCTCCGCTGCCGGATGGTGCGGAAACACCGCCGACCACTGCGGCGCCTCGTGCCAGCCTCTTTACGGCAACTGCGCCATTTCGACTCCCCGCGTATCTACCTCTCCTGTGCCTCCGGCATCATCCTCGTCGTCCTCGTCGACGTCGAAGTCGACGTCGTCGCCCACCAAGGTCAGCTCTGCCCCCGCGTCTACAGCTTCGCCGCCCATCAGCACCAACGGTCGCTGCGGCTCTACGCAAGGCGGCACAACCTGCATCAAGGAGCCCGGCGCCACGTGCTGTAGCCAGTACGGCTGGTGCGGAGCCTCCGCTGACCATTGCGGCGTGGGATGTCAGCCTCTCTTTGGTACCTGCAACAGCGTATAAAAATGACTTTTTATGAGGGTGCCCGTAGTCATCTTTCTCTTTCTCTTTCTACTTCTTACTTTCTACTCTTCCTCGTGTCAAGCACGTCTGGAATACGTTTAGTGTGTAATGCAATAATTGGATCGATCCCTCCCCCCCCTGTTGAGGGGCTGGTGAGAACGGCGGAGTTCAGGATATGGGATTGTGCGGTGGTGAAAAGGACATATCGGACGAGGGTACAAATAACTGAGCATTTATTGAAGCGCCTGACCTGAAATGGGAAAATTAGATGCAATAACAAACTTTGATTGAAGAGTAGTAGCGTGATGTGCTGTGCTGTGTAGTACAATCGTGTCAAGATGAGCGATCGTATACAGACTCTGGGCGGCTGGTTTCTTACGCATGCTCATCACATCATACCGCGGACTTGATATTTGTAACCAGCAGACCAGTAGCACGAGGCCAAGACACTTCTCATGGGGATACTCTTATGATTCTTATGGTCAAACAGGTCTTTTCATGTCTGAAACATGCCAGTTGAGGGTTTTCGGTGAATGAGAGATGATAGTTGGGCTGAATATGGTCCCTTTCCAGACTGTACGGCCTCGACTCTCACACTTTGTCTCGTCCATTCAATTACCTTAAGTGATTAGAAAGTGGGAGTTTCTGTGGGAACAGCCTCTTTAAGCCAATATCGGCTGATAAAATGGAAGAAACTGATAATAGATCTCTCTGAGGAAACGAATAACCGATTCTTAAACGTCTAAACAAGATAACGCATGCTTCAAGCCTCAACCGCATGACTTTCACGTCTCCCGTAACCACGCTTGGTTGAGAGTTAACAGGAAACTTGGGAAGTTTATGTGGATGAGCTAAAAAACATTCATCCAAGTTAGGGTCGGGAACTGTCATTCAACCTACTTTCGTCGGATGAAGCACCCAAGGGGTAGCAGGAGAAGTTCTGGGACAAGCGGCCAATATCTCATATCGCATATATTTGAGGCCCTAAATACACTACTACATTCAAGCGTGTTGATGGCCGATTGGGCAGTGCTAACTCGATAATTATCTACCACACCCTTATGTTTGATTAATTGCAGATGGCTTGCGTCTTGGTCATTTCTGATTCGGACTCCAGTAGCATTTAATTTCTCAGACTCTGTCGCTCTTTCAAGCTTTGTGGGTGACTCCTTTATGTTCGGTCATGCAATTTATCCTCATTCGGGTCTAGATAACTGCCTAGCTGCCGCCCCGACTCTTAACCCCAGACTACAAATCTCACGATCCCAATTTGCGTTAACTAGTCACTCTGGCTTTAATTTTGGCCTGTGTGATGCTTGAATCGTGCAGGATAGTCAAAATACCACCATTCTTACTGGTCTGATAGTCTACGAAAACCCTGAGTTGACTCAATCGCTCAGTCGACATGTCTAAACCTTCGTTGTACTAGCGGCATCCATGAAGTTCCTCAACCGTACTAGACGAAAGTGACATCTCCTTCTCACAGAGGTTCCGCACAAGCCATGATATCGGGCTGTCACTGCTTTCAGGTGGGGCTTTCTGGGCATTCGGGATCTGGACAATCGATCCCGGGACAATTAGAACTCGGGCATTGGGGCGCAGGAAAAGTGCCTCCGCCGCCGCGGTTGCCGGGCCTCGAGCGCCACAGCGGTAGAGATATAGTGAGAGGACGGATGACAATAGGTCTTGAAAAGAATAGTGTTTGAGTGTAACTGACGAGGATGACGAGGGTGGTGAGTGTCTATCAGTGTATGGTGGCCGTTCTGGAAACCTCGGGTCGTGTTCGTGTCTCATAAGCACAGCCTATAAAACCTTGCTTTACTGACCGTATTACAGTCCCAAAATTTCATCTATACTCTTGAACAGGAGATTGACATAGGAACAAGACCATGGAGTAAGGGATTCATTTTGCAGGAACTCGTGCTAGACTGCGGAGGCCGCCGGAGAGCAGCACATCGTACTCTGATGACCGGAGTCATGCTTCAACAAATGTTAGACCGATCATTCAGCGACAAACTCAATACAAAGTTCCCATGTATTCTGAGACCACTCTCTTTGTATTGATAAGTTACGCATGTGTTCTCTTGATCTATACCATTCAGGAATCCATCTGTTATTGTTGAATGTAACTCCTGTTGCATCGTTTACCAGTATGTCACTTGAGGACGGTACTTTTATGCGGACCGGTTTCATAGGCGCCGTTGGCTAGGTAGGAAGATGCGATGGACCTCAAGATTGCAAGATGTTCTAGTCAAGTAGCGATTGTTGGGTCATTTGTTCAAACTCTGGGGTTGTACTGGGATACAGGTGATTGAATCTATTCCAGGACCTCCGAAGGCTTAAGTTCAGTAAAATGGCCGAGAACGGTTCAATAATAAGAATATCAGACGAACACATCCACTACAGTGATTTCGATAGCGAGCTAATCAGATTTGCTGACAAGACTATGGCCCCCAGTTCGGTTTCATAGACATGTTGCAGCAGCAACAGGAAACTCCGTCGTGCGATATCTTAAGGTGTGTTTAACTTTAGTTTTAAGGTTAGCAAGACTCCCCAAGGTAATGTCAATCCTTCGAGCTTACCTTCAGCCCAGGTTAAGGGCTCATGGTTAGCCACCGCAATCTCCCACCATAGCCTCAGACACCACGTAGCTACTAGTGCGTCTCTCTCCTTTTGGGTGAGAGCTTCGCAGACGCGCAGCTGGTATATGCCACCTTCGCTCTCTTCGTATGCGACGATACGGTGTTCACCATCAGGACCGCCGTTCCGCCATTCAAATTTGCCTTTTCCCCTCTCTTTGACAACAAATGCAATATCACCGGGTTCGAGATCAGCATATGGTCGCGGCCTTGAGGCTCGATAGGCGCGGTAACCAGCAACTGTTCCAAACCAGTGGCGGTGTGTCTTGAGACCTAGATGGCCCAAGTTGTTCCGCGAAAGCGATTCGAGATAATAAGAGAATTGGGGAGCTGTCAGCTGAATCGCGAGAGCGCGCTTCAAATCAAAAATGTGCTTCTTTCGCGTTGAGACTCGAGGAACCTGTTGAGTACCGCTCGCTGTCTCTCCAGAAGGTTCTAGGGTAGTGTTTTCGTCGCTCAACCGAATGCGATGTTCAACCCGTTCAAAAGAAACCGTGGTGTTGGACTCGCGAAGGTGACCGATTGGATAAGAGAGCTCGTAAAGAGGAGGTGAAGATGCTGAGCCGGAGCCGTAGATAGTGGCCCCGGCGAGCAGTAATGTTGTCGGTGGGATCAAATCGTTATCAGCAGATATGCCATACGATGGCGGCTCGTCCTCAACTACTGCGAGCGATGGGCCCGCCCTTGACAAGCTGCTGTAAGACGAGGTAGCGAGTCTGGCCTCAGTAGGACTCCTCTTCTTGTCTTTTTCAGCCATACTGGCGATGGCTAGTTGTTGGAGGAACAGGATAAAAGGGAGAAAATGGCCGCGATACCTAAAGTACAATCAGTACGATTTATCAAGCTTGGAATGCATTTCGACAAGGCTGAATGGACAGGGTCAGCAGTTAGCCTTGGCAGCTTGGCGCTTAGGGCTACGTGGAAACGCCTACCTGGGGATATTCTATTTTTTGTTGAAATGGTCGAGATGTCTGGTGCGAAAACACCACTTTTAGGACCTTTGTATAGATGATCGATCTAGCATATACTGTTACCCCTTAAACAGCGCCCAGAGAAGGCCTTGGCATCTCATCTCGGCTAGGCTTCACTGACGGCTTCGCTCTGGAGCCAGCGCGAGGCTTTTGTCTGAGATGTTTTCTTTATACAAGTTCTGTGAATCGAGAAATTGGCAGTGGAACTGAGGCCTCAAGCCATCACCCAAAATGCTCGCTTGATCTTAAGCGATGGTGATAACATGGATTATGTGGCTAACATGTTGGGGGGATATAAGCACTAACTCAATTTGATGATTCAAGAATCTAGACACCATGTGGATACCATAAGAATAGGTTCAAGAGATAAAGAACCCTATCTAGGAGATGCACAGCACGTGGATTTTCAGAAATTTTTATTCCTTAGCTCTTATATTTCGACAGTGTTTTCGAATGCCTCAAGAAGACAATCAATACTTAGGCTAGTCGAGCGGTTAAAAGTGTCCTATGACAACTAACGCTGTGGGATTCAGTGACATGTAGAGGTGACTGGCGCCACTTGGCAAAAACCGGCAGGCTGGTGGCAGAGTCTTCGGCAATGAACCGGTGAATATCCGATATCGCCAAATCTAAAACTTGTCAGTCTCACATGAAAGCCACTGCAAATATCCTGAAATAGACCAGCATTATCCGAATCTTCCATAAGGCTCAAAATCTTACAGCTGTTACCGTTAACATGCTAGAAACAACGGCGTCTGCGTCCGAAAGGTGCAGTCGGCCAAGTCCGGTTTCTGTTGGTCAAGGCCGTCTCCGTGGACGTTCGGACAGCCAATGGAATTATGATGATGCGGAGTTAGAGGCATCCGGGTACCGGCGCGAAATGCCTAGGCAGTTCTCTACATTTTCTATGCTAGCTTTGGCCTATGCTCTTATATGCACATGGAACGGGTTTGCCAGGTACGCATCCTTCGTACGCTTCCCCAGCGTTACCGTGGTGCTGTCGAGGACAACGACATGATAGGTCGCTGCTGATCTATTTACAGTGGAATTGGAAACGGGCTTAAGCAAGGCTCATCTGCTGGCAGTATTTTCATGCTGTTTCCTGCAGCAACTTTTATCGGTATTGTATCTTTGGGCATGGCCGAGCTGACATCGGCTTTCCCCGTTGCTGGTGGGCAGTACTATTGGGCCTAGGTTTTATCACCTCCGAAGTGGGCTCCTTTCATCTCATACAGGTACAATCCGCAGGAACATCTGGAGAGTAAATCGGCTTACATGATGATGGTAGTACCGCAGTTATTACTCTTCTCGGCATCTGGCTAGGAGGTGCGACCACGTGCAACTTCATCTCCGGCATGATCCTTTCCATTGTGCAATTGATACACACCGACTACGTCATCCGCTCATTGCACAAGTATCTTGTTTACGTCGCAGTAATGACAGTAGGGTCTATCATCAACATCTTCGGGTCTCGAATGTTGCCGGCGTTCAATCGTTTCATATGTAGGTCATCAAGATTATCAACTCTAGCTAAAAGCTAAACACTAACAACTATCGCGAGTTTTTCTCTCCATATCTACCTTTACGATTACCACTGCTACATTGTTGTTTTGTAGTTATCCTAATTACAACTCCGCCAAGTGGGTGTTCACAGATATCACAATCTCCAGCGGATGGAGCAGTCACCCTCTTGCATGGGTGCTTTGTTTTGTCAACAGCCTTTATGGATTTCTAGGGACTGATGCTGGTGTCCATATGTCTGAAGAGCTTCCCAGCCCATCTTCTAATGCACCTAAAATCATCGTGAGTTTTTCTCTCAATAGTGGTGAAGATACACTGCTGACCGGAATTAAGCTGTACCCCATCATCATCGGACTTGCCACAGGTAAAGATGCTCAATAAGCTGATAGTAATAGTCTCTGAACTAACCTTGAAAATAGCGTTCCCTTTCGCCTGCGCCTGCATGTTCGTTATCAAAGACATGGACGAAATCCTTGGTGCACCGAGTGGACTTCCTCTGATTCAGCTGTATTACCAGGCGACAGATAGCCGCTTGGTAACAGTTCTTCTCATGATTGCTTTCACAATTTGTTTCTTTGCCTGTGTCGTCGCAAATATAACAGGATCATCTCGTACCTTGTGGTCTGCTGCTCGAGATGACTGCTTTCCTCGGTCTGATCTATGGAAAAAGGTCAGCCCCAAGTTTGGGATGCCTCTCAATTCTGTTCTGCTGCAGGTAACCTTTACTGCTGTAAGTGAATCATAATCTCAGGTCAAAGTGTTGTTAATACTGAAAGACTTCGTCTAGCTTTATGGACTCGTTTTCTTAGGATCAGAAACGGCATTCGAGCTCATGGTTAGTGCTTCGATAATATTTTTGGTAGGATCATATGTTCTTCCACAAACGATTCTATTGTTTGTGGACCGCAATGAGCTTCTGCCAGTGCGGCCATTTAATCTTGGACGATTCGGTTACGTCATAAATCTCGTCTCAACTGTGTGGACAGCTCTACTAGTTATTGCTTGCTGTATCCCTACAGAATATCCAATCAAACCATCAAACATGAATTACAATAGGTTAGTTATGTCTTAGTAGAGATGAAACCCTACTAGAAAGCCTTGGTAGTAGAGCAATATCTAATTATTAGTAGCGTCGTCACGGTCGTTTTGCTCTTGTTAACTTGGATTGGATGGGCCGCTTCCCGTAAGGGCGTCTTCCGGGGGCCGAATATCGATAGAAACAGGCTCGACATAACAAGAAGGAGGCGCTTGCGTGAAGATGACGTTGATGAGCGCACGCCACTGCTTTGATATACCTCTTGTTGATAATATAGAATACAGGGAGCACAGCCCCCGGTTGACGCTTGCTCAATGATTAAACGTTAGGAATCAGTTCAGCACCAAGCTTATGAGTTTAAAGGAGAAGCTTCTACCAAAGAAAAAAAAGCCCAATTGATGTCGCAAGGCTGTGAATTATCTTTAATATTGGCTTCTATTAGCGCGTAGGTACTTGTGGCTCCGCCCATCGCTTCACTTCGTTATACCTGGAGTATAGCAGTCTATCCCCTTCAATATCGTCTTAGAATTAGACAGGCAAGTTAAGTCCAAATGTCAAATACTACTCAATATCAATGTTGCTTATACGAATGTTTGGCTCTTAGCCTGCTAATCCTCTGATCCCAGTCTTCGGAGCCCAACACCCTGTTGCGGTACCCCCGTTTGGTTTTGGGGTTTGCATAAGCAGTTGAACTGGAAAGAAGCTGCTTGGTAAAAACCAGGTTCAATGACCACAAGACCTCGAGGAAGTTAAAGAGAAAGCGAAATATTGTTTTCTAATAGAATTGGAATTTCAAATCACGACACCGACCGCAACAGATCAGCGAACAAGTGAAACAAATTTCTCCTTGCTAACTTGCTCAAGTTCGCTTTTTCCCGTTGGCGGGAAACATTGATGTGTGTAGCATACCTTTCTCAAGGTCTTCACAGCGACCTTGTCCCTTGGCCCACCCTCTCAGTAGATAGAACTTTCCAATCGCCCATTCTTTCAGTAGATAAAACCTTTTCGCTGCCCAGTCTCCGAGGTATTTAGATAGTAGCCATATGCTGATGGTCAAAGCTGTTGTAGCAGCAGCAAGGATAACAGGCCACCGCCAAGATGGGTTAGATGCAAGTTGATCAATGTTCATGCCAAAGACACTCTGTACATATATTCAGTTACTTATATCTCGAAGAAAGTAATAGGACTATTCATCATACCGCGACAAACATGAGTGGAAGGAAGATAAACTGTCAAACAAACTGTTAGCAGGCGATGTCCGATTCAGCGGCGTCAAGGAGGCGTTTACAGTTATCCAACTTAGACGTTTCATACTCTTGTTAGTTGATCTTGCCATTTGGGCTTCCGCGATTGATGTGAGATTGAATTCCTTTCGTAGTTAGTTCATCTGTACTAGCCACCAGAGAGTGGCTGTTTCATACCAGTTGAATGAGGTTTTGAGAAGTCTCTTTCAACATGGGAAGTTTCACGTGTTTCAATATCCTCAGATCATCTATTCTGTTCGAAAAGTTGTCCATGTCCTTCATTTCTGGGGTTTCCACTCGCTCGACTAGTCTTTCGCCTGCATCTTCCGATACAGCCCGGTTCATCTCGTGAAGTAAACTTAAGCTTCGTAGCCGTTGGTCAAAATCAACCAAATCCAAGATTTGCTTCTCGAAAGTCTTTTCTATCTCATCCCACAGTAGGGAATCATTTAGCAAGCTGCGGATCAGTTTGGAATTCAACCCTTCTGACTTGAGTAATTTGATACGCTATATCATGTAAGCGATGAAGCATTTATGACTAGAATTTTACCTACCATGTTTGACAAACGTTCTTCTGCTCGCTGGAAGGTTCCTTTCCATATGTCTTCTAGTTCTTCAACCAGCGGAAGTAAGAGCGCCGAGGCATAGGGTGGCACTTGCGCATATTCGGACGTGCTGAAGAATGCCTTAGACTCTAGAATATTCCCGTGTTTTGAAGTGTCTTCGCTCATAGTCATAATCCAAAGAATCCCGTGGGTTTTCCGGAGCTCGTCAAAGTCCCACAGAGCATCGGTATCAGACCAGATAGAGTCTTCAAGTGAAGGTAACGCAATAGAAATGCTAGTAAAACGGCACTCAACAAAATCTTAAGATTGTTAGTAGGCAGGCGTTCCTAAGTGCAAGCACTTACAGTGTTCTTTAAGGAACCCAGACAAGGTTTTTTTGTTCACAAAAACCCCAGAATGAGACTTCCATTCCCATCCTACGTATGCGGAAAATACCTTCTCCCACCATCGACAATAAAACCCAGTATCCGGCGAAGATATTAGATTTCCATCCGCAAGAAGACTGATGAGACATGTCAGTAGCCAAAGAGGTTGGTTTAAGCAAGTTAACATACAAAATTCGTTTGGAATCTACATCAGTGACCATAAAATCATTGGAGACTGCCGTCATCCTACCATTTCCAAAGCTGAGTGGATAATTTCTGCTTTGGATAGCCTTCTCTGGTACGTTCTTGATGACTGGAGACGGATTGTACCATAATTCTAGATGGTTAGTAGAGCCCCGTAAACATGATCTCCACTCAGATGCTTTGATTGACATCAGGCAGTCTCTGCTTTCTGGAAGAAGCTCATCTATAGTCTTAGAGTCTCGTTGCTGGATAGCAAGTTGAAGGGGGTAGAGCCCATCAAAATCCCGTATGTTCGCACGGGCATGGTTCTTGATAAGGGTTTTCACAATGTCGGTGGCCTTTCTGGTTGTTGCGGCATGGAGGGAAGTTCCATACTGGCCTCCTTCGGCGTTGACATCTGCTCCGGCTTCAAGAAGCTTGTTCACAACTTTCAAATTGCTCATCCATGATCCTGTGGCGGCCTGAAGAGCATTTCCATAATGACCACCTTCGGCGTTGATTTCTGCCCCGGTTTCGAGAAGCGTGTTCACAATTTCTAAACCGCCAGCATATGCTGCAGCCTGAAGAGCATTCCCATAATGGCCTCCTTCGGCGTTGACATCTGCCCCGGTTTCGAGGATCTTGTTCACAACTTCTAAACTCCGAGAATACGCAGCGGCCTGTAGGGCATTTTCACACTCGCCTCCTCCAGCGTTCACATCTGCCCCAGCTTCGAGAAGCTTTTCCACAACTTGTAAGTCGCCGCTCCATGCTGCAGCCTGAAAGGCACTTCCAAATCTACCCCCTTGAGCTTTGATATCTGCCCCGGCTTCAAGAAGCCTTTCCACAACTTCAAAATCACCTTGCACTGCAGCAGCCTGAAGGGCATTTCCGTACTGGCCTCCTTTAGCGTTGACATTTGCCCCGGCTTCGAGAAGTTTGTCCACAACCTTTGAGTCGATGGATAATGCTGTAGCAGCTAGAAGGGCATTTCCATACTGGCCTCCTTCAGCGTTGACGTCTGCCCCGGCTTCGAGAAGCCTTTCCAGAGCTTCAAAACTGCCCATCAGTGCTGCGGCCTGGAGCGCATTTCCATAATGGCCCCCTTTAGCGTTGACATCTGCCCCAGCGTCGAGAAGCATATTAATGACTTCTAAGCTGTTGGCATATGCCGCAGCCTGAAGAGCGTTTCCATAATGTCCTCCTTCAGCGTTGACATCTGCTCTTGCTTTGAGAAGTCGTCTCACAACTTTTACGTTTCGTTCTGCTGCGGCAGCCTGAAGAGCGTTTCCATAAAAGCTTTCTTGAGGATTGAAATCTTCACCGTATTTGAAAAATTTCTTTGCTTTTTCCAAGTAACCTTCATGAGCAACATGGACAGAATCATACGATACGATGGAGGAGGCCATAGCGTCATACACCGGAGGAAATAATTCGGAGAACTCAAAGGTTTTACTTGGTAGCGCAGATGCTGTTAGGTACCTGTCTTTTTTCTGCGAGTTTTGGTAAGGAAACAATCAAACAAATTTAGATCTTCTTGCCGTACCTTTGTCCAAGGACCCTTAAGTGTTCGTTTGGCGTTAACTGTTGATAGATGGTTGAAATTAAACCCCTGTTAAGGCCTGCTCTCGATTCGAAAGATGAAAGTTGTGGACGGAAGAAAGACATCTTTCGCAGGAAGGAAAGTCTGACACCTTGATTACAGTATATTGTAGCACCAACCAGTATGCGCCACGGTTCTAGCCTGATGCAAGACCCACACCGGTGAGGATGCAGTGTTGTCACATGGCTGGTCGTGTTAACAGTCCCTATCCAAGATTGAAACGTCAAATTTCTATCTTAGTTCTCCAAAAAGCGGTGTCTCAGATGGCGCAAGCATTCTCCTCATCACCCACAGGCGCTATCGAGCTCTACATTACCTTCTAGGCCCAACCACCGCCACTGACACGGTCGTCACCAGAGCGGCCCGGGACGTAGAGTACTATGTACCTAGTGGAAGATGGCTCATTGGCTATTGGAAGCTGGCCAAGATCGACTTGATTGGAACACCCATTGTACATAGCATGATCCGTAAGAGGGAAGAAGAAAAGCTTCCAAAATCTGGCCTCATATGCATTGGAGCCCAGTCTTCGGTTTCAGCTGCATTGCATGCAATGTTCTTGTTTGGCCAATACAGATTTACGCCATTAACCACCATTGCACCTTATGCATCTTGTACTCGTAAAATTACAGAATTGCAAAACTTGTGCCAATGTGGGTTTGCTGGGCTCTAGAATAATTGGGTCATACGAAACCTTTTAGAAGCGCGCGCGAAAGGGGCACGTCAGCGAGAGCAATGCACAATAACAGCGCGCAACCTACCCTTGCACCACGTTGAGTTTGTGTGGCACGGCGGGGTTTTAAACTTATGCTGCGAGAATGTTGGGCTAATTCTGGTAGTATGTGTCTTGTGGTCATGCTGTCCGCTTGCTTTTGCCGCTGGCGTAGTATCTTGGCCTTGGCTTTCTGCCCTGCCTTTGCTTCTCCGACAGACACATGATTGGTGAAAGGAACTTGGCTTAATATGCCATCTTTGAGCCTATAATTTATATATGAGGTAGCTTCGAATGCTCCTATCAAAAGATGAAACGTGCACAGCAATAGTTGTACTTGGGAAAAGGACTATTAATTGATCCAAGAAGTCTTTGCTAGCACTTGAGTGGTTACTTTCCTATTCATAGACAATGACTACGATGTTAATATCCCATTTTTTTGGCGCGTAGTTCTAGTCGTACAAATCGCACAGCTATGTCAAACCAAAATCTCTGCAGTGAGGGTCTTTTCCACACACCCATATATGCAAGGTGCACTCAAAATAAGAACGGCTAACACCTGAAGTTCGCTGATGCTGGTTCGTCAAGCCAAGATCGACGATACATTCCCAATATGCTTGAAATTCATTTGCAGCCTATCGAAACACCGCATGAAAGTATATACGCCATTCCATATAAAGATTGTTACTGCCCTTCTAAAGCTGCTCATCTTTGAGATCCACCAGTGGCGTTGTAGGCTTTTAAAGGCATCGCACTGCAGTTTTCCACTACTCGATGCGGAATGTCTGATAGGAGTACTCCCCTAGCGTGGCGGCTTTGGTAATTTCGCCATCCATGACTCCATGGAGATAACTACAAGACTGGTTAGCTATAGTGATACATGGGGGGAAAAGATGTGAGAAGCAGAACTTGAAATCAGCTTTTCCGTCTTTCTCAAAGCTTCTATACACTTACCCTTCTCCAACGTAAATCCACCGACCGTTTTCTGTTGCTCGAAGACCATAGATTACATCTCCTCCTTTCAAAGTGCAAACTGTATCTCCAGGCTGTAAAGATGGGTGCCCAAGCCCAAAGTAACCTTTACTGGTGATGAAGAATCTCCGATTCTGTTGTTCAAGGAGTCTTAGTTGTCGAGCGTCAGGCTTTTTCGGATCTTCCCATGTTAACAAAAGGTTTTCCATGCCCTCATGCGACTCCAATTCTGACAACAATTCCAAGTCCTGGGCCTTGAGACGTTGCGCCCCGAGTGCGCCCCCCTGTTGTAAGTCTGTCAACACTGTTCTCCAGAAAGCATCAACTTGAGGCTCTCCCGTCGAGTAGTTTTTATCCGACAATGGGATCATTTTTCGCCATTCCATAAGAACTTCTCGCATCTTCTCTTTCCATGGATTTCCAACAAAGCCATGAGCTGGGTCGAGTGGGTTCCATCCTGGAGCTGTCTTGCCTATTTCAAGAACAACATCAATTGATATTCCTTCAACAACGAGGATCGAGTCGTCTTCTTCCGTCGTAATTACCCTGTGATCTTCCCCTGTAATTAGGGAGTTTTTCATAATGAAGTTTCCTTTACTCCAGATGCTCTTCGATAGTGAAGCGAGATCGTTGCTACCTGATGTGGAATGTATCTCGAAGTCAGGAACCCAAGAAGGTAGCATTGGGTTTCTCTTGAAAGAAAACTCCGAGAGGAGCCCCAAGGGGCTTAGATTTTTTGTTTCCCGAAGCACGGCAGCAAACCCCTTGCGGTAGACCTTCTCAACTGCCCAGCCATACTCAAGTGCCAAGCCTGATGACTGGTCAACGAGACCAAGAAGACCAATGATCTTATCCCTAGGATCTGAAGCAGCTCGATTCCACGAGGCTTCTAGCGCCACTAGCAGGGGGATCTTGCCATCTTTGGCTACCATCCTCCCAAGTCTTCCCACCCATATTGCAGTTTTCCAGGGGATTGACGCATCAATGGGATGCCCGCTCCAGTGTCCGTAATTTAGTGATAGGTAAATGAACCATGCGAAATTCCAGAAGCAAGAAAGTGGTAATGACTTCTGTCCACACCAGCACGTAACGTAACGACACAAGACGCTTTCTTGCAGGGTCCACATTCTCCTCCACCAAGGTTTTTCCAGGAGCTGAAGGGCGTCGTGAAGATTGGGAGACAATACACCTTGTCGAAGGCCCTCGATGAAAGGTCCAAAAAGACTCCAGTAAGTCTCAACTTTCGCACTCTCTGAATCATGTACGCCCCATCCGTCGGTTGATATGTTCTCAAATGATTTAAGAAATTCAATACCGCGATCCGTCGCGGCAGAAGACCTTCCAAGCCAGACATTGACGCGCTTGGCGCCGGCGTAAATTTTGTTCATCTGCCGGACCTGGCAATTTCTTTCGTGAACGCTGCCTTGATTGATACAAATAGCATCTACCCAGAGCCTTTTGGGCTCAAAGTCGCTCCTCAGTGCTATTAAAGCATTGTACAGCCCTTCACGGATTATGAATGGCTTGTCATTTATCAAGATGGTTTTCTGGGTCTTTACGTCCCCCCACACATACGATAGAGCTTCATAAGAGCCAGCGCGGGACATTTCCTGAGCTTGTAGGTGACATATCAGAGGATTTGTTGGTTGATCTGATGGTTCTAGCGTGAGCAATCGATACCACGCTGTCGCTGGGAGATCGTCCCCGTAATGCGGGGCATTTTGTGCCGTGTATTCCATCTCACTTCTCACTTTAACAGCGCTGGTTTTGTTGTGCAGAGGGATATGTAGGTAGGGAGGCCACCAACGGCGATGGGGAATAGGCAGACCATTTCTTATGTAATTTTGATAGGTCTGTCGCCGGTGGCTTATCTTCGCTTCTCTTGGTGTCCAATCAACATCACCTGACGTGAGATGAATGGCCGGAGGATTTTCGGTACAAAAGAACCAGAGCATGTCCCTAAAATGCTGAAATCCCACAGGGCCTATTAACGATAGGCTGCATACATCACGACAAGGCCCCGGCGCTTAGGCTTGGAACTTACCTAGCCTTCTTGATACAGTTTAGGCAGTAGCGGGCTTTTTATACATTTCACGACAAGAAAGAAACACCAATGAAGCGTGCAGCAAGTGCATCTGCATGCGTTTGCCAAGTTAAAATTTGTCTTGGGCTTCTCTTTTGGCGAGGAAGATGGTTGGCAGGCTCGCTAATGACATTAAGTAGCAAGCATTGGGATTCTCATGGTTGGTTAGAGTTGACGTCTCTGTATTCTTAGGTGGTACTATTTTAGCTTCATTCACAGGGGTGGTTTTCTTGTATGAGCAGTCATAGCATTCAATGTGACACATGCTAGAGCTCCCGGAATAACAATCACGTTCGCTTCATTCTCTGTTTCTGTTCTATTTAGCTATCTAGCACAGCACTCAATTGCCTTGGTCGTGAAACTTCTTAAGAATTTTAGTATATCCGAAGAGAGGCTGTTTCAAATCCAACTATTCTTTTTCGATGTGGGATACTGCTTCCTTATCAGACGAAAGCCGGCTTGTGCCGCCATATTCCTCCTCGCCCTTAAGAGTGGGTGCTTGACGCATTCTGTACATAGGACGCTCAAAGATGGCGTCCATTTCATCAAGACTCAGCCCACTAGTCTCCGGGATGAAGAAGAGAGTGTAGATGAAAGCGAGAATGCACCAGCCAACGAAAAACAGAAAAGCGCCCCATATGTCCATGCTGCTGAGAATGCTGGGAGTTGCCTTTGTAATGGCGAAGTAGAACAGCCAGTGGAAGCCCTGTGATAGAGCACCGCCAAACGATCGAATACGGTTAGGCCACAGCTCAGCTCCAAAAAGGTACGGCAGGGTATATAGCCCAACAGCCCATCCCAGAGCATGAATGTAGATGATGCCGATTGCAGCATCCGAAGCCCCCTGGGGCACAGAGTCTGGATCTTTGGTAAAGTACCTGAGATATCCGCTCAGATACGCATGGCAGGCCGCCTGGATACTGATTCCTATCATGAGGGACTTTCGCCTCCCAAGTACATCCACAAAGACTAGAGAAGCTACCAGACAGCAGATCATCTTTGCAACAGCGTATAGGCCCGAGGAGTAAACTTTGACGCCTGCGCCTTGAACGCCAATATAACCGAATATTGTTGGTAAGTAATTTGTAACCGAGTTGGCGCCAGAGAACTGCGCGAGAATATAGGCGACAATTGTCAGCTGTATCCGGCGGAGGTTTGATGGAATAAGGAAAGTTTCCTTCATGATGGACCAATAACCCTGATCGGCGAATTGCTGGTTCTCGTCGTCTAGGTGAGCTTCGATGGAAGCATATTCATCTTCGAGGTATGGATGGTCGACTGATAACCCACGCAGAACGACAAGCGCTTTGAGAGCTTCTTCTCTGTTTCCCCGGATAGCAAGCCATCGGGGTGATTCGACCGCAAAGAAGGACAAGCCAATGGCAATTGCCGGTACAAAGGTTTGAAAAAACCATGGAATCTGGTACTGAAGACTGCGGCCAGGATAGATGTTGGTACTGCATCCAAAAACGGTGAATATTCCCAGGGCCTGGCCTCCCAGCATACACACGTTGAACCATAAAGTCATTAGGCCACGAATGCTCTTCGGAGCCATCTCAGCAATGGCCATAGGTCCGACTACCGTGCAAGCCCCGATTCCCAGCCCGGCAATAATGCGCCCAATGTATAGGACGCCATGGTTCCCGTAAGAGAAGCAGGATATCAAGGATCCAGCGGCGTATATGACCTGGTAAAGTCTCATGGACCAGATTCGGCCAATCTTGTCGTTCAGGAAAAAGGAAAGGAATGCTCCGACTCCAGCACCGATGTTTACAAACGAAACAAGGTTGGAGATTGTCGTTTTACTGTTTGGGCCGTCGAGATGGTACGCATGCCGAAACGATTCGAGTTCCGTTACGGAAGCTGCTGCTCCTTCATCCCACCCTAAGAGACTTTGAGTTAGTTATGATCGGTTGGTCAAGGGGCTTGCTAAGTATGTAACCTTTCGGGCATCCAGATAGAGCGAATGCGGTGACAGTGACAAACAGGTGCCAGTTGAAGATACCGGCTGGCATTGATCTCACGCCATTGACATATTTTGCGAGAGAAGACTTCTTCAAGGCTTCCATTATGACAGAGGAATAAAGAACAAGAATTTCCTGATAGCTGGTTACAGACAATCGAAACTGGCCAACCCGGAGGAGTCTGTTATAAACGACCAAGTCATCCACCTAATGGGGTCTCACTCTACCCCAATTTCCCCAGATTCACAGATCCATACTACCCCGCAAGACCATAATTCATTCTAGTTACCCCAGCTCCTTGTCTGTCGGGATTGTGCCGATGACAGGACGCCACGCCACCTACCATCGGTAAGAACCGATAGACATGGCTTGACAGGAACATGTCTATCCGTAGAACAGAAGAGCTCTCTCACATGATCTGATAAATCGTTCGACTGTGGGTTTCTGTTGTGAGCATTTCTATAGCTCTGCCTTGTTTTCACACACGGAAAAGCGGCAGAGCCCCCAGTACTACACCGGCATGACCTTGGTCACTCAGAACAAGTATCGTACTATCGGTCGTTGCCGATGAGGTAAGATGATAAGCATAATGACTGGGACATTTTTATCAGTTTTGATAAGTCAAAGAAATGTAGTGTATTACATGTATCTGCGCAATTCACACAGTCAAAGTTGGAACAATCAACGCCAACCCATGTCGGCATCCAATTTGCTTTTCTTGTTTGAATCCGAGGTGGCAGCAAGGATCTGTGGAAGTAAACACAACCACATAACTCTCATGAGGTATCTCAACGCAAAGTGCTGTGCTCTTTTCCATGATTTTTGAAGTGAATCAATCTTGTAACACAAGTAGATAGCCGCTGTCCCGGAAGAAACCTTTACGAACACATTTAATAGGCTCTTTAGCTGCTATTTGAGATGCCATATTTGACATCTAATTGTCAGGCTCCCACGCTGGTTGGATGGGTGAGGTACTGGACATTCCTCGTCAGAACTGTCGGACCTATCCGATGGAGATAATACCTCAGATAAGTATATACAAGACATCGAGAATGTTTACGCTTACTCTGAATACCATTGTAAAAGAATACAATCTGAAGCTTTTAATCATCAGATTACCTGATGGCGTGCAATGTTTTGAAGGCACCACTCATGCTCGAGTATTACCATGTCATCGAATTGCCAAACTAGCAACTAGAGAAGTCGGCGTAAAGCCCAAAGCTTTCGACCCCGACGATTCCAAACCCTTTCATCTTGATCCCTGAGAAGTGATTCATAAGTTTAGATGGTGGTGAATTCTGTCTTATTTATTCTAACTTGTCGCTATCTATGTCTACAATAAGTGTATTCCAATGATTACAGCCCGCAAATCCCTTCATCCATTTCTATATATCTTCAAAGATCTCACATGAAATTCAATGTAAGATAAACCACACTGCGGATGGTAGCATTTGCACCGCCTTAGAGGGCCGCCTTAACAGTAGCTTCCAGTGGCCGCATAATGGACTGCTGCGTCATGTTCGCAACCAGATTGCCGTCACGATCCCAGAACCGTGCCTCAGTGTAAGTTCGGCCGTCGCTTCCCGCAACCGTCTTCAGCTCTCTCAGATGCCACTTATCCAGGTCCAAATCCCCGGTGAAGAACCGCAAAGCGAAATCAAGGCTTGAACAGGCCGCGGTATCGGTGAGGAACATTTGGCTGTGGGTGAGGGGGATGAATGCCAGTGCCCCGTCCAAAAGGAAACCGAGACCGGCGAATCGGTCTTTCAGCCGAGGTAAGGGGTGCCGGCAGCGGACCCAGTCGGCGGACGTCTTGGATGTGAGAGGCAGACCGTCCTGGGGAGTTTTTGCTTTCCTGGCCATGCCGTGGAGGTTGTTTGTCGCAACGCCTTCGGGCGTCGCACGAGTCTCAAAGAAAATGCTGTTGAAGCCGAATGTCGCCAGGTAAGCCTTGCCCATCTCCTCCGTCGCAACTCCTCTCCGGACTAGTTCCGCGGTGCCCTGATGAATATCGAGACATTTCTCCGGCGGCGAGTATGTCATCGACGGCGGAGGCGAGTATACCAACATGGAAGCCGGCTCCTTTACTTGAAAGTCGGCCAGCATGATCATGCATGGGCGCGACTGTCCGTCATCCTGGTCTTGGCTTATCTCAACCAGCCTCGTGGCAAAGGTTCTGGTATCGCGGATTTTGCGGACCGAGAACTTCAACTTGCGGTCGGTCAAGGCCGGACCAAGATAGGTCCCGGTGACTGAATAGAGAAGGTATTTTGATGGCACTGAATCGTATGCTGCCGAAATGCCGCAGCCCATGGCGCACCCTCCGTAGGCAATGTTCCGCGCGTTCCCCATCCGGGCGGGCTTGACGCGACTGACGTACTGCTCGGGGCCCAGCTGGTCCACCGAGACTTGCTCTTCCAACGTGGTGGCCATGGTGGAGATGGCTTGCGGGATTGGTTGGTCGAAGCGCTTTCTCTGTCCAGAAACTTTCTTTTTTTCCCCGATATGATGCAACTTTAAAAAGTTATGTATCACTTGATGATCAGTAATCTGGCTGGTTCGGCTTGAGTCTTCTTCGGCAATTTCCTCCCTTAGTTGGCCTCTGTTGGAATCAGGTGCTAAGACAAGCGTGGACAGCCGAGGTAAAAAAACGCTGGAACATAAATGTGGGGTAAGGCTGTGTCGCAGTAGCGGTTAAGCGCGCTGTTAAGTGAGGGCGTTGGAACAGTGTAAGCTCAATGGCAGATGCATACGAAAGACAACCCGTTTAGTTACTCAATATTCATAGCATAAAGGCTTAGTCTACCTGACCAAAACGCAATAATCAAAATTGGATTGTCCGATTGTTGGGTCAGGATGAGACGAACCACTCAATACCAGCAGGCTGCAATCACATGTGACTTTAAAGGTCTATAAATAGGATTCTGCACGACTAGTACCAAAACGGCCGGGCCAAGATCGCCCAAAAATATTGGTGTCAGGAGCTTCAGTAACCACAGGGGTCTCCTCTTAAGGCTCTTAAGAGAGAAGTTTAGCCTATTTCTACTGACTGCTAACGCCTACAATTAAGTATATAAGTAGAAGTCTTAGTCTTAGATCATACTATATGTCACATAACCTATAGAACTACTATTCTCAATAGTAACTCTGCGTAACAAGTGGGAAGCAACATATAGCTCAGCTTTACATTTAAATGTAAGGGGTCATTACTATGATTAGGGTGTACAGGTGAACTTGTCCATACCTAGTTATACACCCTTGTATTGTTTCAAGCATTTCATATCAACTTTGCCACCAGCACAGCCACCCCGACCGAGAGGTAACCCCGACTTAGATAGTCCGAAGTAAAGACGACAAGGGTTTAGAAATGCTTCTAGTGAGCTTCTGTAAAGGGTCATAACCCGCCTACAGGCTTGCAGCAGCAGCCTCACACCAGCCTCCAGCAATTGTAAAAACAGAGGTGCTACACAACTTGAGCTAATCGCAAAAGAAAACGTACCAACAAGCTGCTCACTTGTTGTTTGGCTGCACTTATATAGGGAAAAGGCGTAGGCACAGCCTTATGCCACATCAACCGTGGCATAGCCCGTAACATATAAAGCCTCTATACTTATGTTGACTTTAAGAGGCTAGCTAAAATGATTGCCGGGAGGAGCTCAAGTTCGCTTAGACCAATATTTCGTTTCTGTGGAGACTTTGTTTTTTTTTTAAAAAAAAAAAAAAGTGTTGCACCATCCGGTAAAAGAAGCGGGAGGATTATAAAATAGTTTAATGGTACTCTAAATTCAAGATGAACAAAGTCACAGTGATTCTCCGAGACCATTCATGGTAATGGCATAAGCCGTGGGTATCTTGAGTCACATAAGACTGTTTACAAATAGCGATTATGTACAATAGTAAGTTTTACAGCCTATGTTCTGCAAGCAAACGGCTTGTGAGCAGAGCCACTCGATGTCTCGTGAATCTATACATCGTTAGTATGTCAATTATGTTGTGAAGAGGCATCGCTAGACTTACAATATCCACGATGGTAGCATAAGTGCCGGCACCGAGAGTAACGGCACCAATGATGAAGGCAAGAATACTCAGGGCGCTGGTGAGGATGTTCTCGCGGGAGTACCACTTGCCCTTGCAGAGCAGAGCGAACCACATGATCGCCGGGAGGTAGAAGGAGAAGCCGGAAACGAACAGAGCAGAAGCCAGCGAAAGAAGATCCGAGAAAATGGGGATAGCCTCGGCAATGACCCAAGCAATGATGGTAAAGATAACGACAAGAACGATCCAGCTAGCCCAGCCCATGGGGGTGTTGATGTAACGAAGCGGGGAGTTCTTGTACATACGGCCGTGGATGTATCGGAGGGCAACGGTCGAGTTAATTGAGCCGGAAATGAAGATGACGGGGAGTGCGACTCCGAAAGCGATCTTGGAAATAAGAGGTCCAGCGGAGAGCAAGGCTGGGGACTGCACCGTAGGACCAACAAAGGCATAGCACAGAGCGCCAGTCAGGGTGTAGATGGCGATCTGAATGAATCCAGACGCCCAGATGGACTTCATGTAGTCGTTGGGAGTGTGCATCTCATCCATGAAGGAGAATTGACCAATGGCGAAACTGAAGGCCAAAATGACGTTGCTAACCGCAACAAAAGCCTCAGAGAAGCTGAGATCCTCCTTGGGCCAAGCAGACCATTCGACGCCCGAGAGACCTCCGACGGACTTGCTAGCCTGGATTCCAGTGGCGATAACTGTAATACCAATAGCAGCGAGGATAGACACGAAGTCGATGTAACCAAGAATGGCAACCTCGGTGAAGGACGGGGGGATGGCGAGAATGAGGAGAATGATGGCCGAGACAACCGAGAAGACGATGGAGCAAACATGGCCTCCGTTGATGTCAACCAGAGCGATACTTCCAGTCAAGGCGTGGGAGCCGACGATCATGACAAGCTCGAGAACGAGGGCAGTTCCGAAAATTTCATATCCGACCTGGCCGAAACGACCGAAGCGGTCGAACAAGAGTCTTCCGGCATCGGCATAGTTGGCGACGTAAGGGTGGGCCAATTTGACCTGACCGATCAGGTAACTGGTGAAGATTGACATCAGACCGAGAGTGATAGTCAGGAAAACACCAGGGAACATTCCGAGGGTGTGGTAGGCAGACGGCAGACTGAGGGCACCAAGGGCGACGGCCTCGACGATGGTGACAATAGCCAGGCGCTTCCAGCCCAAACGGTGGAAGTGAGCGCTGCCCTGAGCGGCAATTTGCTTGAGGCGAGCATCGTTGAGCTCGTCGCTCGTCTCGCCGAGCATGGTCTGGTCATTCATCTCGGGCCAAGGGTTAGGCGGCTGAACCTGCTCGGCGTCGGGCTTCTGGGCCTTGGAGTCCTTGTTGCTGAGACCAGCGTTGGTCGTGTTGGTAATGGCGTCCGTCATGATTGGGAAGAGAAGAACTGTTTAGCCACTGCCGGAAAGCAAACCTGGCAAAAAATGGGTAAAACAGTTCAGACGGAAGGGTCTAGAAGATGTAGGAGGGAGAGAGGAGAGGACGGAGAGGGACAAGACCACTGCAGGAGCGAGCACCCGGAGAGGCAGACACGACGCGAAAGGGTCTGACGTTTGCTTTCTTTTAAACAGCCTCTCTCAAGGCGCGAGTCAGAGTGACTTTGGCTCCACACGAACAACGGTGGACTACTAATCCATGGCTAAAGAGGCTGTCATCTGTGACATGCCCGGTGGAAGCCGGGTTTTCCTCCACAAAACGATCTTTGCCCCATGGGCGCTCAGAGATAAGAAATAACCCCTACAATACGGGGAATGCATTTTTAAAGTTGATAAGATCTAATTGTTTTTTGTCATTGTGAAATTGAAATGCGGTAGAGGGAGAAACCCAGGTACGCTCAATGGTGCTTCTTCGGCCAGAATCTCACGGTCACCTGGGGGGGGGGTTTCCAGCGAAGGGCGCCATCAACAAGTTTTGATGTCGTAAAAGAAGCTTTCCATGGCATGTTGAGCCGCGCTAGAAGGCCCGCTTGGCGGTTCTCCTAGGGGGCCATACCGCTTAGGGGAAAATAGGCGAGGAGCTTTTAGGTAAATAATGGGGACATTTTATGGCTCCATTCTAGATCCAGGTGGATGCAAGAATTTTCTACTGGGTCTATAGTGTTATTGTAAGGCATAAAGCGTTCTAAAGCCGAGCAAATACCGCCGCCAGCCACTAGTATCCAGAGACGAAGCTCATCAAAACTTTTTGCATCCAGGCGGTCCAAGCGGGGGCGGATTACGTTCGCGAAATCTCTCCATTGGATGGAGGCACCGGCCGGCAAGTCATCTGTCCAGGCTGGACCTGTCTCAAGGTGGGTTTTGCTGAATTACAAGTCAGGACTTGATGGTTGCCTCTCCCCGGGAACGAGAGATTCGGCGAGGGATATACGTGTACGTGGCATGAAGGCGCGGTTCCAGTTCCTGTAACAGTTCGCGTCTTCAGATTCTTTCAGGCACTTGATCAGGGGTCCATGCCAACGTTGCAGGGGATGGCTAGCTACCATTGTAGCGTCAAATTTTTCTCCGATCAGTATACTAAGGTACCTAGTAGAATCCTACAGTTCGGTTCAGGCGGGGCGAAATCGGTGCGGGACCTCCGGCATTTGGCGGTATTACGGCTTCGTCGTCTTCGGCTTATGCGAACACCTACTAATTAGTAGGCTTACGACTGATTGTTAGTCTTCTTCAATTCGCTGTTTTTGTTATTCCGCGGTCAAGACAATCCGAGGCTGCTTATCTTCACCCCTGCCATGATTCCCACATCTCAACCCATGAGTCTCCGCCTGATGGCTAGTCTGAAAGGATCTATTTCGTGCTTTTTTTGTCCGGAGTAATACGATGGAAATCGATCAAAGAATAAAGTCTTGTTCGCCTAAAAAAAGTTAGACCAACTAAATTTTTCCGACTCACGGGAGCAATTTCTCCATGGCTTGGTTTGTCGACGTCTGTGCTTCAGTGGCTCGCCAGCCGTTGGAACCACAAATTTTACCAGCGCCAGTGCCAAAGCAAAGACTTTTTTCAGTCAACAACAACGTTTTTATTGCCTCGCAATCTGCATATGCAAACCGAAGTGGCAAGCTGGAGTACCATACAGTAAAGATTCTTTACATGTGTTGATTGATTGTCCATCAAGTATTCCCCTGAACTGGCCATCCATTTGGCCAAAGATTTTACAAAAGTCCTCGCCAATTCCCCTCTAGAAGCCGCCCGCCTTTGCGTGGGAAAACGGGCATGTAGCTATTCCCCTGGCCTTGATTACTTGAATATCCGGAATCATGTCATCTTGTCCTTTTCCTTTTTGAGGCTCCGGGCCAATGGTCATCAAGTCGTATCCCTGTGGATAGTATCTGTCGCCTCGCGATCCAGGGGCTTTACCTCCCACCGCTCTCAGGAGCAATGCGCTCGGGCCCCATGCAGACCAAAACGTAGGCTTCATATACCATGGCTGAAGAACTTTTCGTTGGAAATTGTACAGCTTTGTCTGGGGATTCGGCGCCTCGTCTACGAGCTTGACGGCGAAATAGGACGATCGAGGAAGTGCGAGATGTCGAAGATATAGCTTTCGCAAGTTGCGCAAAAGATCAAAGACGGCGGAAAGAATGAGCCCAGGAGACTCCAGACTAGTACGAAGAAGAACTTGTTAGCTGCATCATTTGAAGAGTTGCGTCTACGTAGACTGCCACATATTGGCTGCTTGCTTCCGATGGTCTTGCCACCTCTTCCTCGTATTGGAGGACCCAGTCTGTCAACTCGGAAGCGAAATGCAAACCATCTTTCCAGCCTTCCTTACTCGAAGGCAGTGCATCGTAAGGAATCTTCAAGTCTTCTCCCAAGATCTTGTGGAAAACGCCTGCGGCACACTTTTCGACATCCGTCAACTTCCGCCACTCGCCCTTGTCGACAATTTCGACGATAGAAACAAGGCCGTCCCCTAGTGTGTGGAGAAGATCGTTGTCGGTAATTTTATTGGCTTGACGGTAACGCGCGTGTCTAGAGGAGGTTGGAGAGCACTTAGCAGTTGAATCAACAATGTTGAGCCTCTTTGAAGGAACTGTAACTCACAAGTAATTCGTCCTCGCGACAGCGGTGGCGTAGCGATCCGAGTCTCTGGGTTTGGATTGTACTTCGCGCAGAAGGATTTCTGTATCAACGGCTCTTCTTCCCGCATTGCGTCTGTTATTCTGCCCCGTTGCCGCGAACAACCTGGACATGGTTGGAATTCCTCCAGCCTAGTTGAATTTTAATCAGCTAGTCTCACTTGTAAATTAAGCTACTTTTTGCCAACCAAATACCTTAAGAAGAGCTATTTGACGAGCTTTGGCCATGGCGAAAGGAAACTCGAGTTCTTGCAGTTGATTCATAATTTCCTGTGCTTCTTTTACCGTCATGCTTGACAGCGGTCTTCGCCCGGAGGTAAATGGAGCTTCGATCGAAGCTTTACGGCGAAATCGCATAGCTCGAACCAACAACATGTAGATGACCACTGAGACTGTCGCTATCAAAGGGGTATTTCCCCATGTAAGTTTGGGGCCAAACATGGCAAACATTGAACCAGACATGGTGAACTAGGCGCCTTCTTGGTGAAGATTCGACTCCTTAACAACTCCTTGTCATCTTTAGAGAAATGTTAGAACATTTATCTTGTCCTTCGGATTTCATCATCTTCAATTCCTACCGTGCTATCCAACTGCCATATGCAAAGAACGGACGAAAAGGGTATTCCAGCCGAGGTCCAAGCCTGGTTTCGGCTCTTTGTGGGTCGGGCTGAGGCTCTTGGAAGCCTAGGACAAGAAATTTGTTGAGCAAGTTGAGCCAAAGGGAGGATACAATAGGAGCCTGTAGCTCCACGTTTGATTTCGGATTGCTCCGTCTTCTGAATTTTTTAACGTTTTTTTTTTTTTTTTCAATGACGTTCTGGTCTCATTTGACGACATGTGATTCTTCGTCCAAGTACCGCACGATGCAAATGAATTGGGGTGTGCAGTTCAAGCCTGCTAAATTCTCCGAAAAGATTGATTCTGGCTTTGTTCTTGAATCTGAAATGCAGAGGTTATTCGGATTGCGTAGCCAATGGTAAAGCTCAAGGAAGCGCAAACAGGTATGCCAAAAGCGCGTGAACTTATCGCAGAAGTGTAGCTGGCGCAGGCTCACATTAACACAGAGGTTTTGCTTCAATGCACTATATTTTCCTTATGTGATGCGTTTGTTGCTGGAAAGCAATTCTGAATTCCGCTATTCGTCCTGAACGATAAAGTCTGCTAATTGCAATTCTTCCGCGAGATCCATTAGCTCCGTCGGTGACAGCGCGAAACCCCCTTGATTGTCCAAAAGGCCCCATTGCAACATCTCGTCAACGGAATTAGTATCGCCATGGCTTTCTGGATTGTGTTCATTTGCCGTCTCAGCATCTTTACTACTAATCCCGCCTTCAGTCAACCCCATATTTTCTTGGCGGCCGTAGCTCATGAACGATGTCAAGATCTCCCCCAAGTGTTCAAACTCGCGCTTCCTCAGTCTTGCTGCCGGGCTTCCTCTCGATATCATGGTATCAAATATGCAAGATGCTGCTGCCAGCCAAGATCGGTCGCTTATGAAGTCAGGTGATAGTGCTTCAATGAGCTTGAGCAGAAAAGAGGACGACCAGGCACTTTCTAATTGAAATGGAAGAAAGCAATCTGAATGAACCTTGTATTAGCAATTTGACTTTGCAGATAATGGAATCTCAAATGCCTTGCCTAGCAGATTGTTGTCGCCTAGCGCTTTCAGCGCCTTGAGGGTGTTCAGGGCAGACGACACACATGTTTTTAGGAGACAGCTAATAGGTCCACTGGGTATGGATGTATCATTGTCGGTCGAGGCAAGTCGCTGTTGCAAGGCACACATGACCAACGGTCGAGTAGTCAGAACAACACACTGCCGTGCAAATCGTCAGTTTTGGCACAAAATGAAAGACACCTTCAGAGCCAAACCTACATGGTGATAGGAGAGAATCAGACTAGTTGCAATTTTAGAAGTCCGTATGTCAGCTCCTTGGAGACTTGTCTCCATGTAACTGTTCAAGTGCTTTGACACAGCGGCAAGCTTGTGTAGAACAGACTGAGTTTCTATTAGCAAACTTCCGTCGAAATTTCGATCAACGCCATAGACACCTAAGATGCGATTAGCATGATTCACAATCGACGGTTACTCAGCTTCAAGTGCTCACCGTTCAGAATTGTTGCCATCAGACGGGAAAGACGGATATGTAGCTCTAGTGCTGCAGCTTCGGGGGTATCACTTAGTTCCGAAGGGAGCTTTGTCGTAACATCTTCGTCTCGTATAGAAGTAGGGGCTCCAACCAATGTTGAAAATTCTCGGTCAATGATGTATGCAGACCAAAAAACGGTGTTGCATCGCTGGGCATACCGCGGCTCCACTTGCTCTGGAGGCATATGCCTGTGAAGTCCATCAAGGACGCAGATCCGCAATGCTTGGCCTACCTAATTATCAGTTCAAGTTAGCAAACCATTCAAAAAACCCCATCTTAACTTGGAATTTGTCGACATACAAGCTGAAACGACATCAATCTCAGGTCCAAGGCCTGAAGATATAACGCCCCTAGGCATAGAGCTTCGGCAGCTGCTAGTGGGTTCCTCTCCATTGGAACAATGGCTGGTAAGAGAGCCATGGCTCGAGACGCGTAACTAATGCCTGGAACAGACTTTGATCGTCCTGCTTGATTGAAAGCTTCTCCGAATGCTAGAACAAACAAGAACTGGCTAAACCAATAACGAGATCTTTTCGCTTCAGCAGCGGGGTTTTCATATAGCCTCTCCATTCGTTGTTGGAACTTGTCGTGGTCGATAATTTGGTAAAACAAGCCCAAGTTATACTTGACCGTGGCCAAAAGAAAGACGGCATAGTCGTAAGAGGGCAGATTATCGACATTAGGTTGTTCGTACAGCCCAACTGGACTCCATGTTAGGTTTAATGTTTCGAGGTCCCAGGGGTTGATGGGGGCTTTGGGGTCTGGCATCCGGCTGCCGATTATTGCAAGAACGCGTCTACAGAATGCCCAAGACGATGTCGGGCCCATAAACCCTGATGCTGATATCAGCATGGAACTCACTGGAATATTTCGTGTGATTTCACGCTGCCTTACAATATTTGCCATGTGGATCAAGCGCATAGCTCTCTCCATTGCTTACCAAGGGATTTGTTTTGAACTCAGTCGGGGAAGCTTGGTAAGAAGTCCCCGTTTGCTCTTCATTTTCGTCATGCGGATGACAAGAGCCGAGAAAGTCTGACTTCCCGAATAAAATATGAGTATGGATGTCTGTTTTGAGAGCTTAATCCATGCGGCTAGGTGGAGTTTCTCACCTACTCCCGTGTTATCACGGTTACCATAGTGTTCATCAATGTCATCGTTCACTCTTGAAAGATGTTCACTCGATTGACCGGATGGCTCAGTCGATTGTGGGGGAGAGATTATCAAATCATGTGTGGAGCTTCCGCGGCGCCGTGGCAGGGGCTGTCGTAACGAGCGCCTAGGATCTTCTCTATGGTGACTACTGCGAGTTTCCAAGGCTCTGAGATAACTGTTGACTCAAGTTAGCTTTCATTTACACATTGTAAGCAATCCCTAGTGCTGGGGTTATTTCCCTTTCTGAAACGGTAATCCGATTTTCTTCAGGTCTGAAATAGCACTTTTCTTTTTTCTTTTGGCACCTTGAACATGGAACTGTCCCAGAGCATCGAACTTTCATGTCACGACACCTGGCGCATCTGCTTGGTCCGTCAGTGGTGTTTAGATGAGCTAACGCTGTTAAGGCAGTCTCACGCTCGGTTACATCTTCGGTTTGCTCTATCTGAGTTGCTCAACGACGTAGACATTATGATGGAGATATAATGATGATGGTCGGCAATGCGTCTCCGCATCTGACTGCGCTTGGTGTTGTTATGAAGGACGTGAGACAGTGTTCATCGGCCCCACAGGCCGAGATCGGCTCCACTAGCCGATTTCTCCGCGCGCGGGGATGCGAGTCTAGAACGTCTTTCTCCTCCTTGGTCAGGACAAACAGAATTTAGGGAAATGGAGCTCTTGATGTATTTGGAATTCCTTTTGATTTTGGACTTCTGTTGACACATCTTATCCCCATAGGTGTGATAGGGGCTTGCTTTCTATCCTCGGGTAGGCTCAAGCCATTTTAGGGGCTCACCAGAGATCACATGTATGTCTGAAATAAATCCAACTTTCTCGCTTTGAACAATGTGGGAAATATCAGAAGGTTCCTGAGGCTTAATTATCTTAGAAGGAACCCAGGAAATACAGGGTCCGATGGATCTATGAAGAAGCTCATGCGACCGACCAGGTTGGCTGAACCTCTGACACAAGGAATGCAAGCAGGGAATTCTTTCACTGGGCTCTTTTCTCTGGACCTGATCTTCCCTTCAAAAATCGTCGATATTATGGATCCGTGAAGAAGCTTGGAGGTTTCGGATTCCAATCTGCCCTGGGCGAGGAGGACAGCAAGTCTTGCACTAGTACCTGAACCGCAGGGAGAGCGATCGATCTGCCCGTCGGCAAAAACGGTCACATTTCTCTGTCGTACCACGTCCGCTTCGTCTTTCCTGTCGCCTTCCTCGGTGTAGAAAATGACACCATAGAGGTCGTAAGATCCATGGTTGGCTCTTTGGCCGATCGAGCGCTTTATCTCACGTCCAAGCCTGATGAACTCATCGCATTGATTGGCTTCCACTTCGAGGCCGAATTGAGCTGCATCTAAAGTGGCATAAACAGCTCCAGCGAATGCAAGATCAATGTTGACAGTCATGTCCCGAGAGGATACATGAACAGATATGTTCTTTGCAAACTGGTAGCTTAACACGTTGACGAAATCGGCATGTATGGGCTTCCCAGACTTGACGGTGACACTGGCAACTACCCTCCCGGACGGAACATCGACCACGACGTCTACCACACCATCTCCATCAGGAGCCTTGACAATGCCTTTTGCTACGGCCCAAAAGCCTAGGGCAATAGTACCATGGCCGCAGGCAGTAGAGAAGCCGTCCTTGTGCCAGAACAACACACCAAAGTGAGCCCCGTTGTCATCAGGTGGAGTTATAAAGCCGCCGTACATATCCGCATGCCCACGGGGTTCATGGCAGAGAGACTGACGTAGAAGGTCTAGGGGATGTTTGGCATCATTGACAACGGCCAAGCGACGCTGAGCCACTGTTTTATTTTCTGGTGGATAATTTAGCGGGAGCTTTTCAATGATGCGGAAGGACTCTCCAGCTGTATGCCAGTCCTCGGAGTCTATCCAATAGGGTGCCGTTGTGATGCCAGTCATATTGGTTGCCTATTAATTGACTGTCGCGGGAGTTGAAGTTGGGGAAAGAATGTTTGCGACCTTCAGATGATGATCCCTAGTACTTAGAAGAGAGTTGGCCCCAATAAATAAACAAGCAACGCCTGCGCCCTCGGCCCCTCTGAGCCAACCAGATCGACAGAATCCCGACCCACCTCCCGATCCTAAACTTATTCCCGAAGGGCTTGCGCCGTTTCGTCGTGATTTCACATCATTTTCTACATGAGCAAGAGTTTCAAAATTGAAAAACGCTTCCCAGACGCAAAAGCCTAATATTTCTTTGATTCATAACCCTTGATCTATGAACCATGACAAACTCATATGCTCCTCTCCCCAAGATGGCGGAAACCTTTGGGTTGAAGATTCCAAATCCACTTCAGCTGATATGGGTGTTCACTACATGGGAACTGACCATAACCATCCACTCGGCCACTTCCATGAAAACATAATAAATCATGTATTGGCTATTCTTTATCTAGCCATATCATCGAACCAAATTTCTCGTATATCTTCGACATCTCAGATCCGGGCAATAGAAGGCCATTTAGTTGCACTTCAGCACTTTTTCCAGTACTTGGTCTATAAAGCTTTGATGTCTTTGTCTCATCCATTCTGACTACCGCCATAAACGCTTCATGTACGGTAGGGTGTAGTATTCTTTTAGAATCCCAGAACACATACCCGCACATACATAGTACGCGGTGCGCAGTACCATTGAATGAAATGCTACGGTAAAAGTCGTAAGGCGAGCTCTCAAAGTCGAGCCAACCCTTACTCGGCCGAGAGCTATCCTCTGTGAAATCTCCTTCAGGTAGAACTGTTTGGAACAGAATATCGGGCAGATATTGAATTGCCTCTGGTAAAAAGCCACGTCTGCGAGGCGAGTTGCGTCGAATAAGATCCCGGCGACGATCTTTACTCGATGACATTAAATCTTCAAGAAATTCGAGCCCCAAAGATGCCATGAACCCGGCATATTCTCGGAGGTTGTGTTCGTATTCGGTTGAAAAAAGAGCAAGTTCAGTTTGATCAAGTTCCCGAAAATTATACATGTCTTCTTCTGTTGCTTTGCCATATTCAAAGTTTTCTCGAATGTTAAATCGACCACTTTGTGGATCGTAGTTTGGGTGAACTCGTAATTGAGAGTTTCCTAGCACGGTTTGTACGAAGCTGTCTTGAAAGTCCGCGATGTATTGACCGATGTTTGTTGTGAAGTATTCATAGACGCAGCTTAGTTCTTTAACCTCCCATGGCTCTAATTTCGAGAGAAAGTGTTCAAATTGTAATTGGGGAGAAAAGAAGGGCTCCTGAGGAAAACCTTCGAAAGGAGGGCAAAGTTGGCAATAAACCTCGAATCGAAGAAAAGCTCTGTGAAGTCTAGCGTGCTCGGTGGCCGACAATGGCCATGAACCGCCATCGCCATGTTCGTGAGATATACCCAAAGTTTCCATGGCAGATGCAAAGAATTTATTGACGAATCGATGCACACGAGCGGTTAAACGAGTTAACGAAATGATTTGTGATAAATCTTTCGGGAATCTCCATGAATTAAGCTGCAGGTATTGGTCCAAAAAGGTCCCGACCTCTCCTACATCCAGATAATCTGCTCCAGAATGGGGTTCTGGAATGTATAACAGGGCAATGGCGTGGTGGATGATGTCTGGCGACAGTACGTTCTGAATGACCGAGGTCAAGACGATGTTTCGGGATGCCAGAAATGCCCGCAGGCTGTCAGGCGATGCTTTGATGAAAGAGTAGAGGTCTTGGGAAGAATCCAGCAGTGACATAATAGTACAGAGCAGTTCAGGTGCGAGACGATCCAGCGCCATGGCGGAAATGGTATGCGTAGTATCGGTCAGCTGGATCTTTGCTAGGTCTGAGGTTACGGAAAGAATTCCAGAAGTAGCTTGTCTGTTGCCGGGGTTGTGTAAGATGGTTTCGTTAATGATGCGATTAACGAGTTATAGAGGGTTTGCACCTAGGATGAGACTTCTTTGGGGAAGAGAAGAAGGCAATCTTGGACAGAGGCAATCAACCCATCTGGTCCACTAGTGGTGATGAACCCCCTGCGCCGTATCAACAGCCGAACCCCTCCCTCCACAATGTATGCACCCAAGTAATCTTATCCCTTCGCGCGCGCCAAAAATCGTTGCCCAGCCCGGCCCAGCCGTCATCAGGCAATTTGGATTGGCGTGGGTAGGGATCCCCACTGGCCAGTGACAGGAATAGCCTAGCTTCACGTGCGCAGAACCAACAGGATTGACCATTGTTCCGTCACCTATTTCAAACAACTGATGAGCAAAGCGGCCAACGCCAATTTGTGAATCATGATAAAGAGTCAAGCTCTGGTATCGGTGTTCGCAACTCCCCTCTTTAAGGCTTCATGGCAAGTTGGCATGTATCGAGTACGAAACTACCTTTGATGTTCACACATGACGGCTTCTCGCCACAGTTCTGTTATCACTCATGGCCATATTATTGTACCATCAGAATATTCGAGCCGAGCCGTCTTCCAACGAAGTAAACCGAGAAATGGATATCCTCAAGCTGGTTTGGCAACAATACAAACATTTTGTTGGATCATCTGCTCATCTGACAGCTAATACCCGCATGCAACTCACAGAGTTTTGATCATTTCTCCGAAATGAACACCCGGTTTCCGGGAATGACCATGTTTAGATGGTAAATTCACTTGTTTGACGACTTTTCGAGTTTATCGACGTCGAGTTGATTGTCCCAAAACAGAGCCTTACGGCTATAAAGGTTTCTGCGATACAGGGCTCATGAATTTTATGGAGACATTCCTGACATGGAGCTCGAACGAAGGTCAAGGAGCATTGTCGAGAACCCCATAGAGAGCTCTAGTACGAACCATGCAGGGATGCAGGATAAAATCATCATCGAGCATTACGTAATAACAGAGGACCGTAAGTTCGGTTCTTTGCTTTATTTCAATGGTCCGTTTTCATTGCGGAATAATGCATGAGTGTTTCTAAAAGAAACTTAAATCCTGGGGCTACCTGAGCTGTTGACATTAGTCCCAACCCGGAGGAATGGGAGTCCACAATCGCTTTACAACCACGCGGCACAGAGCTAAAACCCCATCAATCCCGTTTTCGTCAATTCTCCCAGAGCCTATCAACGTGGAGGTGGTAACGGAAGCCAATGCCGCAGTGCCCCCACACCCAATTTGAACGGCATGCTGTCAGTATCTGGCCATGTGGCTCAAAGGGCTTGGAACACGGCTGAATTTGGGTCACAGAATCAGCTTGTTTGCATCGAGGCTGAGAAGTCAGACTATGCATAGCATCTCGATGATGAAAGCAGGGTTGTTCACAGGTTTTCAAGAGAGTCGAGGAAGCGGGATATCTACCTATAAATGAATGAAGCAGTCCATGAATTTGCAACATCTTTTTTGCTTCATGCTCTCATTGACAATCAGATTCAATTCCCACGCTCATAGGTGCCCTTGCATCCCCCAACTTCTCCATGGCTCCCCCGTCGAAAGCTTGGAATCATTCCGTCGATGAACGGATCAAGCACATTGCACAAGGACTACATGACGCCCCAAAATTCAGCAAGAAAGAGGTCCCTGGCCTCCAGGGTCTCCTTGACGACTACAACAGCAAAGATGTAGACGTGGACTACGTTCAATTCCTCCGCAGACTTCTTAGAGTGTTCAAAGATTCGGAGACCGACAACGCATACTCTAAAATGCTGAAAAAGCACACAATTGACGAACAGACACGAATTGAGAGATTCCTCGCCGGCGATGATCCCGAGAAAGTCTGCCATGACTTTGAAATGGGCCCCAGCCTGGGGTGCCGCGAAGAGTTGGCAAGATTCCATGATGCCGACTGCGTGGTACACGTCAGTGCGCAAGGCCTCAAGAAGCTCAAGGCGCCCATTGAAGCGCTTGCTGCGAAGGAGAAAGCCCTTATCCACAAAGTTCTGACCGGCATGGAGAGTTTTATCATGGGGAATAAGGACGAGCTTCAGGGAGCCGGCATCACGGTAGGTCACCAGATAAGAATCCAGCTTCCTAGAATGACCTTACTTATCCATTCGTAGGTTTATTATAAAACCGAGTTCCAGAACTGGGGCCTTACTGTGAAGAATACTCCAGCTCTCACCTGTGTTCCCAGGACAACCAAGGAAGTTCAAGTCATCGTCAAGTATGCAAAGGCACACAACATGAGCGTTCGATGTTCAGGTTTCCGTAAGACTCAAATATCCTATATCCTCATCGCTTTCCTAGATCTGACATTCTCGCAGGGCACTCATGGTCTCCCGTCTTTGCGGAGAATGGCTATGTTCTCATTTCCTTGCTCGGTCTCCATGAAGCGACTAAGCTGCCAAACATCACGGCTCTTCCATTACCAGAGTCTCCCGCCACTGATCTCCAAAGCATCAAAATGATGTCGGAGAAGCCTAACGAGAATGGTAATTACATTGTCAGAGTCGGCGCTGCCTGCACGAATGAGAGACTTCGCCGCTGGTGCATTAAAAACAAGACAGTCACGCTACCACTGAACGTCATCATGGTAGAAATAACCCTTGGTGGTTCTAACGCTCCAATATGTCACGGTGCCGGCCGCCGTCACCAGACCCTCAGCGACCTGGTCCGCTGTATCGAATACATTGACTGCAATGGTGAGACAAGGCACGTGTCCAAGCCTGAGCATCTCCGAGCCGCGAGTGGATGCTTTGGGCTAATGGGCGTCGTCACACACATTCATCTTGAGATGTCTCCCATGGCCTACGCGCTTCTGAAGCCAGAAAAGGTCCCTGTGGCTTTCGCTGTACCTCCGCCGGCAGACTTGAATCTGGATTCGTTGCCTCCTCCCCTAACGAAGCCATGGACCGACCTTTCAAGCCAGGACAAGCAGAAATATCAAAAAAGCTTTGAGCAGCGTGCCACGAATGATTTCTATTCAGAGTGGTTCTGGTTCCCGTATAGCGACAGGGTCTGGGTCAACTGCTGGAACGACACGACTGACAGCACAGGCGTTGTGGACTTCCCCGACAATCTGCACATCTTCTTCTCCTTCATCCAGACGTTCACAATGAACGTGATGCAAAACAGTGAACTCCTCAATAGGCTTGTGGACCACTGTTTCGCCGAGGCGGCTGTCACAATCATTTCCCGCTTCGCCATGTGGGCACTACCCAGCAAGGCCGTCAAAACCTATCTCCCCGACGCACTCCACTTCCAGCGAGCTATCCAAAACGTCCGCGTCCGCGACATGGAGGTCGAGATCCCCCTTGTCGCCAAGGGCGGGAAGACACCCAAGCCCAACGAGGTCGTTGAGATCGACTATGCACCCATCCAGCGAGCCTGGTGGGATGCCATCCTCACCGCATACACCGAGGAGAACCGGCTTAAGTGCCCCATGCGCATGCCGTTGGAGATGCGCATCATGGGAGGCAGCAACGTCATCATGGCGCCTCAGCGTGGTAATGAGTTGGGAACCTGTTCAATTGAGGTACTCACTCTACACGCTGCATCGAATATCTGGATTCCATTTGCTCAGCAGGTTCTTGACAAGTGGATGGCGCTCAAGGACCCCAACACTCAACAGCCATTAAAGATCCGCCCTCATTGGGCAAAGGAATGGAAGGGACTTACGGTGAACGGCAAGCCGTGGATCGAGAAAATGAAGAACGAAGATTACAAGGACGAGATTCAAGAGTTCCTCACTGTCATGTCTGAGGTAGGCAAAGAGGCTGGCTGGACCCTGGACGATTTGCAGAATCGGTTCTCAAACAATTTGTTTAACGACGTTTTCTTTGATGGTATTTCACAGAGGAAGACAGTTGTCACCAATGTGCTGCAAAGTCAAAGCGTGAACAAGTTGCCACAGGTTCGTGCGACTACAAAAGAAGTTGGCTTGGATTCTAGAGAGGATTTAATCACCCTATAGTTTAGGTATCAGGAAGAATTCAATTACTTCTGCTGTTTAATGGTTAAACATCAAAGGCGTTGCCGAAAGGAGGGTGTTCATTTCTAAATGACCGTCATTTCTTGCTTGACGATATTCGAGCTGGAAGAAAACGTGAACTCCTTCAAATTATCAAGACTTAGTAGTTATGTACCATGAAGACTGAATCATTGCCTTAGGTTCTGCAACACTGCCTTGATCTGTTGACGGCCGTTCCATATAGGATAGAACCCGGCAGCGAGAAGTGTCCACCACAGCCATATGAGCGAAACTACAGTCCATGCTGTGAAAAACTGCCAACAATCGATTAATTAGTCATTAGACACACTAAAAGGCTTTTGAGCTTGGTTATCACCAGTTAAGTACTTACCTGCTTACTGAAGACGTATCTTGCTGCGTACATTGGTAGTGGCCACAGCACCCAATGCCCGAGGAAAGTTGCAATTGCCCACCACAAAGCATATTTAGCCCACCGTTGCTGGGTGCTGTCGTCCAATATGTGAACTTCAGCTGTGCTAGGGCTCTTTCTATCCTGTGATGGGGGTTCCTCTCGTCTGTCGTTCTCGGAATCGATGATGAGCTTCTCCTCTTGAAAATCGCTCCAGTCGTAGTTTTCGGGTCTAATCAGAGATATAGCAACGCTGTAAAGCATGGGACTGAAAAGTGATGCTACTGTCCCGTACATGCAAGGTAACGTCCCCCCAGTGGATGCGATGGAAACACTTCCAGAGAAGGCGTAGGCAGAACCAAGCCAAACTCCAAGGCCCGTTGCCATGCCAAGAAAAGCAGAACTAACAACTGCTATCTTGCTCTGCTTGCGCCAAATTAGGGTGAAGATTAGAGGGACGACCCCAGGGCATGTTAAAACACCTGCGAAGTTCAGCATTAGCGGCTATCAAACAATCGACGGAAAGCTTCGGACGCACCTAGCATGTACAATGTCCAACCCATGTCCACGCCGATATAATAAAACATCGCAGTGAATCCAGCAGACACCAACCCAAAGAAGACAACTCCCAGGTGTCCCCATCGAATGACTTCCTTATTACCAGCGGTCTTATTGAAATACACGCGGTAGATGTCAAACGTTAAGATAGAGGAAACGGCAAGGATTTGTGCAGAAAGAGTGGATGTAACAGCCATGAAAGTCATCAACAGCACAGCAACCGCACCTCCTTTGCCTGCAACGGCCACAGCCACATATGGAAGGGCCAATCCGTTAGTAACTTCAGCACTTGTCATTGTCTAGGAAACGCGTCAGTATCATGCCCTATCATGCCATATCAATGAATGATCAACTAACTCTTGGATATGTTGGGAAAATCGGTAACGCCTCAAGCCCTAGGGAGGCCATTCCCACGACAGTACCAAGACACCAAGGTATGCTGAAGTACGAGATACCCCCAAGAACGTAACCTGGTACAACGGCACTCGGAGATGCAGCAAAAGCTTTCAGGAAATAACCTGTATCCATCTAAACAGGACTCTGTCAGTGTTTGGCTTACTATAGAGCAATCTACACTCACAATGACGGCCCCCAGTTTGGAAACCAACAGTATGATAGCAAAGAATATTCCCTGTTGAGATGTCATCGTCAGAAGGGAGCCGTTGTAGTTGCCTTCGATCAAATGCCTCTCTTGAGCAGCAACAACCAGGTCATAAAGCCCCCCAATTGAACCAACAGCTTCAGATGTGATGACCTTCGCTGTCAACCAACAACACAGAATTAGGATGATGAATGTGTGAATGTAGTCTGTGAGAAAGCTGCACATAGTATCAGCATCAAACAACTTTCTGAAAGATCCGTTAGATACTGACGTCGCTTTGATACCACCCACAAGAGTATAAAGAATCACACCGAGAGGCAGCAAGAAGGTAAAAGCCATGATATGTATCCCGGTGCTGTAATTATATTATAAGGATTAGTCATTTGCATAGAAGTGAACTGCTTGACTGTGAACTTACAGAAAGGATATAGCTGCGGATGCGCCGAGAATCATGTTGATGGTGTTTAAAAGGTTGTTGACAACGGCCAAGAACGTAAAGCTGAGATGTGCAACAGTACCTTTGGAATTGTTAGCCACAAGAATGTTAAGTCTGATACATATTTCTTCATCTCACCATATCGAATGCGGATAACCTCGAGAACGGTATGTGCCTCTGGAACGCGACTTTTGCAAACCACGCCAAGGTATCCGAAGAAAACTATAACGGTTGAACACCCAGCACCGTACCAAAAGGCACCACTAATGCCATAGCTGTAAGTCACTAAGACACAGCTCAATAGAGCTGTACTCCATAGCCAAGACTGTCATTCCGTCAGCTTATTTCCATGTCGGCTAGTATCAGAAGGCAGGCAAAGGTAATACCGACCGAAACGACAGCAGACGCAACAAGACCGGCCTGCACACTTCGATTGGCGACCATGAACCTAGAAAATCCAGTAAGCCCACATTAGGTTTCTGTTAGATTGCTTTCCTTATTGCCATACGTCTCGGCTTTTGAGTTATCTTCGTGGAGGGTTCTTTTCAGAATGGCTGTGACACCCATCATGCCTACGTCCAATCAAGGATTATTAGTTCACCACCAGTAACCACTTCGCTTGGCTTCAACTAACCAAAGGCAAAGATTAGTCCGACAGCTACAACAACTCCATATCCAACTGACTGTGGGAGTGGAGAGGGAACCACAGAACTATCGTCCGCGCGTTGGAGGATGCCAGACATCCTTATTCTCACTTTAGGAGTTCAATTGACACTGTCACAAAAGATCGAAGAGCGTTCGTCAAATTGGATTATCTTAGATGATGAATTCTTCTTATATAGCACTATTAATTGGAAAGCCTGTTTGAATTTCTCTTCATTGCTCATAAGGAAGAATGATAGCGTGATTGCCAGAAACAGGGGTTTGCAAATTTCCAGAATTTGGATATGAGCACATCATGGCTGAGAATCTCGTCAGCGAAACCCGTTTTGCTCAAAACGCTCAAAGACCTCACAGAGGCACACGGCAACGAAACAATGTTCATTTTCGGCATTTCAAGGCCGATCCTGGCGGGTCGAGACAAGAGTCAAGATAAGGGTGGAATCTGGGGTTGATTGACAGGGATCGCGTCTTGGCTGCCTGAAGGGGCTTAGCGTCGATTACACAATTTGTCTCCGTCCCGATCTGCCGGTATTAAGAACAGCCCCGCCTGTTGCTTCACTTCCACAACTTGGCAACCCAACTTTCTGCCCAGAAAAGACACCTCGCGCAAAGCCACCGACGGAAAAGCAGTCAAGCATGTCTCACGCGCCATGCAAAATGCATTCTTCGCTTCCAAATCGTGCCTAACTTGCCGTCAGAAGCGGGTCAAGTGTGACAAGCGGCTTCCAGCCTGCCTGCGCTGCTCCTCTCTGAAGCTCAGATGTCAGGGGTACGACCGGCCAAACAAACTGGTGTGGACTAATAGTATTGCCAGCAGGGGCAAAATGATGGGCAAGACTACCTTCAATGCGCTTGAGCAATCAAAGAACGTGGCTTTATCACACAAACCCTGGCATCCCCCTAAACAGGAACAGTCCACTGGGGCAGTTGTGGAGGCTTGCACATCTTCAGCCGCGGTGACATGGTCACTCATGGAGCCTAGCTTGCAGGACTTGCCCTTTGATTGCAGAAAGTATATCCGTTATTGTGAGTTTTACGCAATGGCTCTACCACCATTTGAATCGCTAACCGGAAGTGTCGTGCCAGTCGACTTAGATCTCTCAAGGGAATGCGTGGTTTACAATCAGCCATCAACCAATCCATTCCTGGCTCTGATGCCCCTCATGCCAAAGAGCCAAGCTTTATCGCATGCTATGATATCAATATCTGCGTTTCATTATACTCACCGTATGGTCATCAGTCAAACACAGTCTTTCTCGGAAGATGGCGGCTTAGTTGTCGCCGAACGGCCTCAGCGATGGCACATATCAAATGGCCGCGACTGGCAACTGGACCAACCCGTTTTTCGTGATTCATTGCACACAGCGCTATCACATAAGCAGAAAGCTCTGCAATTTCTTAAACAAGAGGTTCAGTGTGATCCTATGAGGAACAGCGACGCTGTCGTTGCGGCAATAGTTCTCTTCATCTGCATGGACGTGGTGGAGTTTGGAAGCCATGGATGGAATCATCATTTGCGTGGCGCAGAAGAGATGGTTCGAAGCAGAAGAATGCTCTCGAATAATGATGCCAAGGATTACGCGCCGTGGTTGAAATACTTCGATGCTGCGTGTATAACGTATGGCCCTTTGCCGCTCGGTGCAGTGTTCCTCGTTGCTAATTGACGGAGCAGCTTTGGAATATTGGGAGCGACCCTTGCACCAACATTAACCCGATCCGCGCATCGGTATCCTGTCTTAGACTCTGCTTTCCTAGAATCTCTGCGACACTCAGAAAACCAAACTTGGGTGGGTTGTCCCGCTGAACTCTTATACTTACTGTCAGCTATCAATTCAATGCGTCTACAGTCTCCAATGGACCCTGAGCAATTGGAGACAACCACCAAGATATGCAAAACACTGTTTGAGTTTTCACCATTAGCTTGGGCTGAGGACTTCCCTGCCCAGGAACACCATGAGTCTAGATACCATCTTGCGCATGCCTACAAGGCTGCAGTGGAAGTCTATGCTTCTCATGTGATAGGGGCACTCCCTGGCCAGCACTACTTATCAGGTTCTTTTGTTCTTGAGACTATTCAACTAGCGATACTTCACATGCTCAAGATAGCACCCACAGATTTCCATATCAAAAGCCTGGTATGGCCGGCATTTGTCCTTGGGGCAGAAGCGCAAAATCCAGAGCTTAGAGAAATGGTGCGCACAATCTTTCAGAGGATATGGGTGTCTTCTTGTTGCTACAATGCAAGAAATGCCGTTGAAATTCTGGAGTCGATCTGGGCAAGAGATCTCGGTGAAAGAATTGGAAAGTCGTGGTTGGAGTATGTATGGCAGTTTGAAGAGACTTGGCTGTTCGTATGAAGTCATGGTGATAAGACGACTGAAAGACATAAAGAACAAACACATAGACTTCATCATGAGTATTTCTCTCCTTTGCCACCTTCAGTATCAAGATTGCAACGTCAGGATCATTAAGCAGCAACATGCACCAAAGTAGCATCTCCATTTCTGACTACATGTTGTGACAATGCGCGACCTGACATTCTGCAGCGCGCTTGTCCATGTATGGCAGCTGCGGGTCGAAACATTGGAGGCTGGGATGAAGGGTTCTCGCCAAGCTCACGCCACCGCCGAAATGTGGATAACCTGCATGATACCGGCTTTGATCCAAACTGGGCCCGAGCCCGTAAGTTTTCCAGATTGGATTTGAGGCCTGCGACAAACTCCGAATACTATGGGACGGTTAAATACCGTATCACTGCCCTCCAAACTCCGCGTTGGTCCTACACCGGGCCTACACCCTGTTTTTGTCACTCTTCCCCCAACATGGCCATGGCTTCAATCCCTCACCCACTCTGCCCTCTAACTGGTGCTGAGATTCAGTATGCGGCCAAATTGATCCAAGGCGCTTGGCCGTCATCAGTACCCCTCCAGTTCAAGGCAATCACCTTGAATGAGCCTGCCAAGCAGGAATTAATTCCTTACTTGGAGGCCAAAGAGAAGGGATTACATCCCTCATCGCCCGATCGCCGAGTATTCGCTGCATACTACATCCGAAAAACGGTGAGACAGCAAAATAATTTGAAGTGTTTCGAGAAGGACTGAAACTGATAGAAATAGGAACTCTTTCATGAAGCCATTGTCAACCTTACTACCGGAAAGGTTGAAAGCAATGTCAAGCTTGGTGAGCACATTCACGGCAACGTTGATTACGACGAGGCCCAAAAGGTGGAGAAGATTGCGCTTGAGGACCCTAAGGTCCTCGCTGAGATCAAGAAGCTTGAGCTGCCAGAAGGCACTGTCGTCTGCGCGGACCCTTGGATCTATGGTGAGTAGAACCAAATAAGATTGATTCATTCAAGCTAACAGCTGCCAGGAACTGATGGAATCGGCGATGACCAGCGCTTGTACCAGGTGTTTCTCTACATGAGAGACCCAAACAACTCTTCCGAGGCTGACTCCAATCACTATGCCTTCCCTCTTCCGATCTCGCCTGTGATTGAATGTACCGAATACAGGGTGATTCGTATCGATGTCATGCCAACCGGTGCAGACAACACCATCAAACCTATCAGCCCGTATCAGCCCAAGCCTCCAAATGAGTACATTCCTGAAAGCCAGAACCTCCGAAAAGACCTCAAGCCGCTGCATGTCAGCCAGCCTGAGGGGCCCAGCTTCACCGTCACGCCGGTAGGCGAGACTGGAAACACCCTCGAATGGCAGAAGTGGAGTTTCTTTATTGGTAAGTTCTGGTGGCGAATCGTATCATGCAAGTCACACATTGACACAGCATCTCAGGATTCAACCAGCGCGAAGGCATGGTTCTGTACAACGTCAAGTACGACGGCCGCCCGCTCTTCTACAGATTGTCCCTCTCGGACATGAACGTTCCCTACTCTGACCCGCGCCACCCTTTCTTCAAGAAAACAGCTTTCGATTTGGGCGACGCAGGAGCCGGTGCCACGGCTAACAATCTTCAGCTTGGATGTGATTGCTTGGGAAGTATTCAATATCTTAGCGGAGTCATCTCCGACGACCGTGGTCAGCCGGAGGCGAAGGACAACTGCATCTGCATCCACGAGCAAGATGCCGGAATCGGCTGGAAGCACACCAACTACAGAACTGGTCGTGCCGCGGTCGTCAGATCTCGTGAGCTGGTGCTGCAGTCCATCATCACAGTATCCAACTACGAGTACATCCTAATGTTCCTTTTCAACCAAGCTGGCGAAGTTACATACGAGGTCCGCGCCACTGGTATCCTGTCTACACAGCCTATCGATCATGAGTTGGACAAGGTGGGAGTTTCTTTCGGCACAGTCGTTCATCCTGGCGTCCTTGCTGGTCACCACCAACACATCTTTTCCTTGCGAGTCGACCCCATGATTGATGGCCACACCAATCAACTGGTTTACCAGGAGGCTCATAGAATGCCGAGAGATCCTAACTGGAACCCCCACGGCATCGGTTACGAAGTAATTGAGAAGCCCGTAGAAAGAACGTCGGGGCTGGACCTTGACGCTGATCTTAACAGAACCTTTAAGATCACCAACCCCAATTCACTCAACCCAGTCAACGGCAAGCCGGTAGCCTACAAAATCATGGCTCCTCCATTCCAAAAGCTCATGGGTGATGAGCATAGTTACAACCACAAGCGCGCGGAGTTTGCAGACCACAACATTTACGTCACCACGCATCGCGACCATGAGCTTTACGCAGGCGGCTGGTATACGAATCAGTCTCGCGGAGGGACCGGTGTCAGAACTTGGTCGGAACGCAACGAGACCCTCACACCCAACTCCGATATCGTTGTTTGGGTGCAGTTTGGTATCAACCATGTGCCGAGAATCGAAGACTTCCCGGTGATGCCTGTTGAGATTCTGAAAGTGCATCTCAAGCCTGTCAACTTCTTTGATAAGAACCCTGCCTTGGACGTGCCTCCAAGTGAACAAAAGTTCAACCAGAGCACCTTGGTAGAGTCAAAAGACGTTACGAGCAAGGCGGCTGACGGATGTGGCTGCAACTCTCCAGTTTCTTCCAAACTGTAAGTTAAGGCGTGCATATGTACATATCATACATTCAATTAAAATACCATATTTCAATATCTCTTCAAGGTTTCGGTGAGAAATAACTCCCGCGAATGTTTTCCCCTCAGGTGTTGACTGCTACATGCAGTATTGCAAGTGGTCATCAGCAGAAGCGCTACGACCACATTCTCTCCAAGTTCAAAAGCCTGCCGAGCAGTAAACGTCACAATATTTCCAATAAAGTAAACGATTCGTGAAAAGATATCATTGCACCTACTTGTAAGCCTAGTTAACTATCTATTGGAAACGGTTGAGAATGAATTTCAGGGAGCGGTAATGCTCGAGCATTGACACTTCAAGTATAAGGGGACCTGAAAATTTCGCTCTAATGAAAGGTTCGCAGTCAAGATTGGCAAACAAGTAACTTACTCGATGAAATGTCCAGTTTTTTTTGGGAAGGCACAGACCGATGTCCATAATTGTCGGGATCCCTGTGTGAGCCACATGGAAAAGCCAGTCGTTATTGGCTTCAATTTTGGATCTTTCACTGCAATTTTAACCCCCCCAAAGGCAACAGGCGCATTGACGCACAGGACCTCACAGGCCAACGACAGCAGAATATTCGGACCTCGTAGATTCTTTTCCCTGCAACAACATGATCCGCAAATATGGAACCTCTTAATTTCTATCACAGACTTCTGGAAATTCTTGCGGAAACTTTCAATACGGGAATATCGACCAAGTTGATTGATAAAATCATCTTATCGGCAGACGTCCAACGCAAGATGCCACACATATTTTCCGGAGACATGCATGTTTAGTAGGTGCCACAACATACATGTCAGCTGGGAAGAAGGCAGAGGAGCTCAAAGGATGTGCTTTATAACACAAACCCCTATGGGTCAAAGGTCAGAAACACGCTCAGGCTACCAGCAAGCCCCAGTTAAACCGGTCAACTGTCCGACTGTATGTGCAACGCTTTCACCTAAACCACAAGTCTTGGGACTTTGTGTGAGTTTAACAGGACGATATCCAAATAACCCGCCGCTGTTGCCTCAAGCAGAAAATCAGCTGCTCCTGTCAGCCTGGCTGCTGCAAATACGAGATGTCAAACGTGTGAAGACGCCGTGTAGAAGGGGGAGAAAAAGATGATAAATCGATCTAGGCATAACATATAACTATCGCATCTATAAGCCTATGAAAAAATATCTCCTATGTATCTTGTGGGACGGTTGATGAAGAGTAACGGCAAGCGAGTGATGTACTAGCCAGCTCGCAATATAGTGTTCAAGGGAGATTCAACGGTCTTCTCGTGGAAAAAACCATGAAGATTGGGCATATAATCAAGTCAAGGCAACCTACCAGTCATCACACCTGAAACCACGCGCTAGCTTCCTTCAGCCTGTCGCTGGCATTCGTGCTGAAGTTTCCGTATGATCCCAGACGTTTTATGGTCTTTATATTCCCCTCGGAGACATCTCGAATAATACACATGAGCCTTGGTGAACAAGGAAACCGCGCTTCCTGGGAGCACAACAGACAAACCTGACTAACTGCGTTGAAGGTAAGAAATAGAGAGCATGGGAATAGATGAGCAACGATTGAGAAGTAAATACATGTCTTACTTCCCCTTTTCTAATGCTAAATACTGGTCATGATGTTACTCTACCTCCGACAAGGAGATTGTAGGTTTCACAGGGGGTGAAACAGGGGGTGAAACGGAATTCCGTTCGTCAATAACAAATAACAGTAAATTGGTTCTAATCGATGGTTCATGATGATAGTTGAAAGTGGTGTTGTTGACTAGAAGGTGGGGATATTCCCCCTTGGCCTGTCACGTGGGTCTGGGAGGCTTGGGCCTCTCAGCCTGGCGGGCGTGTGGCTGGAAGTGCCACACGGCTCCGTATTCCAACTATCGCAACACTGGAAACTCTCTTTTTATGGTGTTGAAGCGGTTGGAATACGTTGTCCCTATACAGTTCCGTCTCCTCGTCAATTCGGCCTCCTATCCCTACTTTCTCCCGTAGTTACGGTCTTGTTACCCATCCCTCCATACGTATCGTTATCGTGTTGCTATCAACGAATCTCTCGAGGGCTCGATTTGGTTTGCTCTTCGTGAGGGCATCAGCAGGGTTGTCTTCGCCGTTAATCCAACGAATTTCTTGTAGTTCTCGTCTTTCGTACGATTGTCTCAACGCCATGATATCGATCATGAGTCGCTTTTCTTTGGTAGTGCCCAGCTTCACGAGACACTCGTACAGCGAATAAGAATCGGTACAGACAACTGTCTGAATCGTTGGTAGGTTGAGGTGGTCAGTGATTGTCGCCAGGGTTGTGGCGAGGGCGTAGGCCATATCGACGCTAGCGACCATCCCGTAGATCTCTGACGCTAATACGCTGCGGGTGACTCGTTTACTCTTCGTAGAGCTGTAATGAACGAGGTTACCGTGAATCGTGAATTCTCCGTTGTTGCTGTCAGAGGAAGTGTCGTTGGCTAGGATGATCAGAAACCCTAATTGGGAGGAGAGGTCGTGGTTATTAGCGAACGACCCGTCAACGAAAACGAATAGCTTGGCTGTTGTAAGGTCGAGTGGGATAAACGTTATTCCTCGGTTAGGCGATTCTATTTGCCATCGAATCCGTTGATTCAGTGCTTTTATCGCTTCTGGCGAGGGGTCTTGGTGTTGGGCAGCAGTGGATAAATCGAAACAGGCCTCGGGTTGGCAAATTGACGCGATGTACGCCCCTCTGGCGCGTTGTTCGACATATTGCTGTTTTGGGTTGGGTTTAGTAGTCTCAATACATCGTAACTTCTTGGCTTGTCCCTTTTGCCTCAAATTGATCGAATTGTCGGTTGACAGCGCGATTATCCCTCCGTTGAATTGGAGGGGTTCGTCAATTGTGAGGATATTCTTCGCTTTTGCCGTAAAAGCCGCTTTTTCTAACTGTTCGTCTTCTAATTGTGAGAACGCCTTGTCTGACAAACCGAGGGTATCGTCGGTTTGCATGCCGATACAGCCAAAGTGTGGATTTTCGGTAGATCAGATCAATAGGCATGGATCGTACGAAGAAGTAACCATCTGGAGATTCTCTCTGTGATGCTTGTGATACGTTGCCCACCAGTGGGTTCCAGCTTCTGCGATTCCGTACAGAGGCTTCACAACCTCCATAATGGTCCCTTTTGGGTACTGGTCTTGAATTTGCTTCGGTGGGTAGGCGAGAATAGTACGATTGAGCCTTGTGGAGGATTGAACGTAGGCTTGTGTGATATCTCGAAGCCATAGTTGTTTCCCTTCTCGTAGGAGTGACGGGGTAATTGACAGAATTAGCCGTTGACTCGCCCGCTGAATCGTTGGCGATTGGGTCAATATAGCCTTCTTGCCATCGTCGGCGTAACCCTGTATTACAAGTCTCGATTTCTCGTAGGGTTCGGTTGTTTTACCCTTGACTTCGTTGACGATACGAGATCGGAAGATTCGTACGTTCTGGTGCCTTCTCTTATTGAACTGGGTGAATTTGAACACTCCTCTAGCGATGAGGCTGTTGATCTCTTGTTTAGTTGACTGTTCGAACGGTTCGCCTGGTGTAGTAATAACACCTTCTCGTCGTAGTTTGATTGCCAATTCTTCGTCTGCTTGCTCCTTAATCGATAGGAATATTTGTTGATAATCCGGGTCATCGTTGAATTCCTCTGTGAAGTGGGCGATTGGCAGTGGTCTCTTCCGGGGTCTGCCCGGGCGTCTTCTCGGTGGCTCCGGTGCCTCTTGCGGTTCGTCCGGTTCACTGCCTCCGCCGGCGACGATAATTTCGTCGCGTACTACTTCCTGCTGCGGTATCTTAGCTTCGGGTTCTTCTTCTTCTGGCGCGGCGATGGAATTAGGTGGTTGATCGGGATCTTCGTAGTATGGTTTGACTACGGTAGACCGGAAGGTCTTCGGACCACGTGGCGTATCGACAGTACAGGTTTCGCCGTTTATGGCTGCTAAAGTAAACGGTCCGGTCCAGCCCTTCTTTTCGCGTACATCGTACATATCGCCGCTGTATTTCATATCGTCGGGGTATAGTTTCGCGAATTCTGTTAATTGCTTTCCGATACGGTCTGTTGACTCGTATGGTTGGAAGTCTGTTAACGGAGAGACCGTGGGATGTGGCGGTCGGTACGGTAGTTGCCACTGTTGTTGTTCTTGTGGAGGAGGTGGCTGTAGGGTTGGTTCGACTCTTCCTCCTGTGCTGTTGGCTACTGTTGCCGGTCTCGTGATCTCTTCGTGGAATTCGGGGTCTTTTATCAGAGCCTTCAGGTTGCGATATCTCTTGACGCCTTGTTCGAGTTCTTGGGGTGACCAGTAGTGGAATTCTTCCTTTTTGAGGGCTAATGCCACGTTTTTCGAGATTTTCTTGCCATCCATTTCGACGTAGACGCCGTTACCGATTAAATGGTCTCTGAAGAATCGTAGGATTGGGGGAGGTACGTTCTGGAAGTCTTCTTCTGACCAGTCGGCGAAATCGGGAGAAACTTCGTTCCATAGCTCGAGGCCCGTGAGATTCCTCTTCTCATAGGTCTCAAGTAGGAAACCCATATAGGAACCCAGTTGCTGTGGGCTAGCGTTTGTAAGGTCGATTGCCCAGTTGCCCCATACTGCTGGATCGATCATACTTTCGATTCTCTGTGGGATGGGGACTGTTGATTGGCTTTTGGCAGTGACGCCGCTCGCGGGCGATCCTTCTCGTGAATTTCGCTCCATTCTGACAGTATAAAAGGATTACTTCTGTTTAGAATCTTGAATTCTAATCCTCAACAGCGTCAGCTGCGATTGGTGCAAGATGCAGGCCTGGAAGTGGGAGTCAAAAGACGATTCGGGATATTACGATTCTAAGGGGAAAGAATCGTGAAATCGGGGATTTTCGTCGGTTCGTCGTTTGTTTCCGTCGGCGCCGTTCTCGCTGATGTTCTCGAGGGGTGTGAGGGTATACACAGGTCTCGAATTGGTAGGGAGAGAGTTCTACCGTAGATTCTCTCGTGA